TAAAAAAAATGGAATGTATCAATATGATTTAATTAACATTAAATTTTGACAACAAGTCAATGATATTGATGATAAAAAACTTGATATTTTATGGTTGAGTGAAACACATAGATATTTGTCACTATTTTATTTGAGATATGATTACTGAAAAATTGATTAAATTAAAATTTTGTTAAAATAATGGTTACAAATGATATTATGATGTTGAGTGATCCCAGATTTCTTAAAAATCACTTGTTGTACTTTATGCATTAATTGGGAGTATTGATAATTAATGTAAAAGCATCAAAGGCATGTGTCGTGCTGAAGTAGGGAAGGCCCACTTAGTCCATTTTGTTTTGACATTTTTTCTATTAATGTATAATGTGTTAGGTATAAACAAGATTTTGTAAGATTTTTCCTAGTACATCACTGGTGGATGTGCCACTATCTCATCAAACTCTCTTCTATCTGTTCTCTCTCTATCTATCTATCTATATATCTATTTATTCATCATGAAATTTCACCTTATTTTTTGTCAAAACAAGGTGACTTAGTTATTGTATAATAAATTATGCAAATTTAAATTTTATAAAACTAGAAAATATCAATTTCTAGAATTTTAGAAATATTTTAAAATTAATTAATTAATTATAATTCGACAAAAAGTTTCAAAAATAGTGGAGAAATTTCAAGTCAATTAAAAATATTTAAGATAATATCAGATAATATTTCATAATTTTTCTAAAATAATACAAGTTTTTATTATTTTTAGACTAAATGATGAATATAAAATATATTTAAAAATTTACAAAAAAAGAAAATAAGGGTATAGACATTAATAATTATAAATTAGTAGTTACATCTATGCATTAATATCATATATCTAGATGCTAATTAGTGGGTAGAAAATCTAATTATACATGTGTTATCGACTCATTATAACATTCATAATATTTTATTATTTAAGTTCTAATTTATATTATTTTACTTATTATATTGATATTATGAGACTAACCCCACTTAACTTTTATAAAGTTAAGTTGTGATTCTTTGACATTTTTTGATAATTATTTGATTAAAAAGACTTTGGTGAGCTCTTATTATAAGTTGGAAGTAATGGAAGAAGCCCAATTTCCAACCCAAGAAAAAGCTCAAGTCTTATGGAGAGGGTTGGCTTAATATGTTTATGGGCCCAAGAGAGGACTTCATCTTGGTCACACCCAATTAGACCTTGAGTGACACATGACTTTAGCCTAACCTATTTAGACTTAAAAGGGCTATCAAGAGATGAGATCTAGGTTGCTCATCTTAGGATGCCTTAAGATGAGATTAAGAGGAGGATTAGAACACTACCTTCATGGAAAATCTAGGCTGTCCACCAAGAGAATTGGTTATTAATAATAACCATCTATTGGAGGGGCCTAATTCTCTAGAGGTTTAAAGTATCTCACCCCCCTCTTAGAGAGAGCTTTTTGGCTCTCTCTCTAGTAGTGGCTAGTTGAACAAAAAAGAAAGAAAATTAAGGCCCAATCAATGGCATTGTCGTGCTCAAGATCATTATAGAGAAAGGATTAGCTAGAGCACCTCAAGATCATCACGGATCAAGCATCACTCGGCCTAGGATTGGTGCACAACAAGGTCTATACAAGATCTAGATCTAGGACGTCCTTGTAATCTTTTCTATAGATAGATTAACTCTTAGTTCAAACTAATTTTATCATTTATTCTATCATTTCATTCCATTAGATTCATTCTCTCTCATTTGTCACACTTTTCATTTCTCTTGTCTTCACCCTTTTTAGATTTAATTCCACCATTAATGATCTCAAGTATATCTATATATATATATATAAAGTAAAATTCATATTCTCATTACCCACACTCTTTGATGATCGACCCTTACTTATCCTAAACCAAAGAATGAAGTTTTATAAATATTATTTACATGAACTTAATTACATCAGGACTACATATTTAACTTCAAAATTGAGTTCATCAGATGTCAAGATGATGTTAGCATCTGATGAATGCAAATCAGGTGAAAATAGAGTTTCACATAGTGATTCTTACGTAAGTAATTATAGATAATTTAATGAGTCAAATTAAGTTCTATAAAAATTAAATGAATCATAATTTAATGAAAAAGAGTTTCAAAACTTAAAATCACACAAAATATCACAAATTTAAGTGAAAATTAAGTTTAAAGTAGGAAAAGCATAGTTCTAATTTCATGACAGCGATCACCTGAATTCTATGTGTTCTAGAAGATTATTGTGTAATGTTCACAGTCTCGAAGGTTCTTCTTAGACACAAATAATGTCGACAATCTCTAAATCTTCTTATAAAGTTTAAAAATCAATGAAGTGGGTCAAATCATCTTTGATAATTGTCACCTGGCTGAGTGAAAAAATACTGACTTTATGACTCTCTATGGCAATCACTCAACAAATATGAGCTAGATGGAGGTGAGGCAGGTCTTAAAGAGTTTCATCCTCAAGTCTGTGCAACAAGAAAAAGCTCTTCATCGCATTTGAAATACTCTCAAGAGGTGTCGATTTGTCTCTCGGTAAATCATCCTCTTTGTGACGATAGCTTATTTGTCGATCAATTGGAGATGATTTACTCAATAGATTCGTAATCTTTTTATCTAGAATTATTCAACAATTTTAGTAATAGTACTCTATAAATCACATTGACAAGATTTTTATTGATGATGGAATGATTCTATCAATTTAATCATTCATCAGAAATTGATAAGAAAATTATATTTTAATTAAATAAAAATATAAGTTTTTGACTCTGATAGGATTTGAACCCTCACTAATTGTCCACTTGTATGAGAGAAAGTGAAATAAAATGTGAATATCTTTATAAAATGACGTCATAACAATATCTCTTTTTGATAAACAAGGAGTATTTTAGATATTAAAATCTTAAAAAACTTCTAGAGAGGTTGTGATTACTGATTTAGTCCCACATCAGTTATATGTTGAATTTTGTGATAGATATATAGTAATATGAAATTTCATAATCAATGAGTCCCTTTCTACATGTGTACGACCACTCTTTGCCCCACACCTGACTGGCCACCAGTGACATGGAGGGAGAGTTCCCTTTTTTTCGTCAAATCACATAATCTTACGATTTCATAAACTAAAAAGGTCAAAAATAAAATCGTAATTACAACGATAAGAAAAAGAAGAGATATGAGTTAATATATGTTCTAAAGTGACAAATATCATAAAAGGAGTCCAATTACGAAATAAAAATCAGGTAACAAAGTTATAGGATCTATTCAGTAACATTGATAAACATGAGATTTAGAAGCCAAGAGCTGTAGGCTTACATGGAATCTTGTCTCAGTCTAAAGACTTTAAATGGCATAACTAGTTGAGGAATGCGGAACATTGGTTCATCAGGAGAAGATGGCATTCCCACGTCTTTTTGAAAGCCAGAATGATTATTTGTGCTTGTTCCTCGTAAGCAATAAGGAATAAAGATATTTAAGGGGGCTGGAATCATCCTTTTAAATGAATCTTCTCGCTGGGTGGACATCTGTTCATCAGTGGGGAGGAGCCCTTTTCAAAATTTATGATGGAAGTTTGGGCTCTCAAACCAATGAATTGTTCGGCTAAAGCCACACTGACAGGCCTCCTGATCACGAGAAGCTAGATCTCGTGGAGTGGGTGTTCGAACGATAGGATTCTAACTGTTGGGCAGGAACAACCTCGCACCAATTGGCTCGCTAGACCAAGACTAAACCACTGGACACCACCTCTAGCTTGAAGTCGTCTTCAGCCATATACAAAATAAAACTAAACTGCTTACACATAACATCCAAATGCCACCGCCAAAGCAGTCTTCGAGATAGGGAACAGTGCTGGATTAAAAAGTGAGTGAATACAGCCACTTCCCTCTCATTTCCCGGTCAATGAAATAGACAAGCAAGCCTGCAGCATCAGGTTCACCAGGAAAAGCATAAAGATTGGTTGCCAAAACCGAGAGAAGAAATAGACTCCGATACGGCAAGTTCAGTACACTGAGAGAAGAAAGCTTACCCTAAGTTCAGGAACTAGGGTGCACAGTAATATCATTTCTCTTTCGTTGTGTGCATATTGACATTCATCTGCGGCTGTCGACCTAGAGGACTCCCATTAACTCATCTGCCTTTTTGTTTTGTTATTCTAGTAGGTCCTCTCTTTTGTTCACCAAAAAGGTGCTACATAGAAAAAGGAAGAAGCCGCAAGCGCCTTATCCAGCGTCCGCGGTGTGGCATTCCACGTTCCGTCTTTTCATCGGACTACGATCCGTAGAAGAGACCAGAAAGCAGACGAGTCAGTCTGTACTTGTCCCTATTCTCGTGCTCAAAACTAAGAGTAGTGCGGAAACGCTCTAACTAGAAGTATGAGTCGGTTGTAGGAGCTCCTTCTGCTCCTGACTCTAGCCCTTTATAAAGCTAAAGAAGAAGCGTATCTCATTATGTGAACGGTATGTACCGCAGCTTTTCAATATGACCATATATTAAGATTGCCGGTCGCCTTTTAGCGTTTTGGCAAAACCATGACTTTATATTATATCATAGATAATATGCTTTGATCTTTCTTCAATCTGAACAATAAGGGGTTCACTCTTTAGGGAGTAGGCTAAACGAACGTGTCGAAAGCGTTCCATATCACATTTTCTGTCACGATTTTCGTTTAGTCCGTGCATTCTATATTACAGGCCGCTCTGTCATTGTCTGATTTTTTGGTTTGCTGAATACACTCGATCTTATGTATCTAATGATAGTATTTTTGCCTTTGCTCGGTAGTTCCGTAGCAGGTTTTTTCGGACGATTTCTAGGATCAGAAGGAACCGCTATAATTACCACCACGTGCGTTTCATTTTCTTCAATCTTATCTTTGATTGCTTTTTATGAAGTCGCACCTGGAGCTAGTGCTTGCTAGCTAAGAATTGCTCCATGAATCGGAAATGTTTGATGCTTCTTGGGGCTTCTTTGGCGACCGTGAAGTCACCAGATGAATTGCCGAGTATATAGATCAGATCCGGACGCCGCAGTTGCTCCGCGGCGATACGGACTCGACCCGTTCTACCCACCCGTGGGCACCTTAGCATGTTGGGAATCGAGGGGGGACTTACTTGACGTCACCACTCTTGTCGGTTGGGCGCTGTGCCGCCCTGCCTTTCGATCGATACGCAGTTGAGGAAGCCGATCACGAACGCTACAGGTGTGGGAGCGATCCTGGTCAGGGGAGGCTAAGACGGCGCCTTGCATATGGGTAGCAAGAGGGCGCTTATGCCCCGACGGTGGGGCCTCATGGGCAAGAGGGCCCAGCCCAATAGGGAAAGCACACCCCCCCCCCCACTTTAAGTGCATCTCTGTATCGACTGAATGACTCTATCTAAGGGTGATGTCGGTGGAACCGGTGAACCACGCGAGCTGGTTAGATGCGTGGGACAGAGGACTCGTAGTGCTCCCTTTCTTGATCCAGCCTTTTCTTCGCTTCGGTAGTTAATCACCTAAAAAAAGGGTGGCAGGCTTCCATACCCATACCTTAACAGTGTCAGGCTGGCAGGCGGTGGACTCTTTTATCAGGGAAGGGAAGAAGGGGCCTAAGCGCGGCATCTGCCGTACACTTGAGTGAGAAAGGAAAGCGAGACCGTAGCTGTTTTTCCAGGCCTGTTCGGGCATACGGCTCCCGCGGAAGATCAAGTTAGTGAGCCGTGTGATGGGAAACCTTCCCGCACGGTTGGGAGAGCACTGAAGACAAATGAGAGGTTAACCACCACATCATTGCAAGGGGAGCTCGCTCGATTCGCAGATTGGTCCGACTCGTGATTCACTTCTGACCCCGTGTTCGATAGCCTGAGCGTAGTGATGTTAATTCTGGTTGCATCCATAAGTAGCTTGGTCCATCTTTACTCCATTTCATATATGTCCGAGGATCCGCACAGCCCTCGATTTATGTGTTATTTATCCATTCCTACTTTTTTTATGGCAATGTTGGTGACTGGAGATAACTTTCTTCAATTATTCCTGGGAAGGGAAGGAGTAGGTCTTGCTTCATATTTGTTAATTCATTTCTGGTTCACACGACTTCAGGCAGATAAAGCAGCTACAAAAGCTATGCCTGTCAATCGAGTGGGTGATTTTGGATTAGCTCCTGGGATTTCGGGTCGTTTTACTCTCTTTCAAACAGTAGACTCTTCAACCATTCTTGCTTGTGCTAGTGCCCCCAGAAATTCTAAGAATTTCTCGCAATATGACACTGAATGACATAACTCTTATTTGTATTTTACTTCTTATTGGTGCTGTTGTGAAATCTGCACAGATAGGATCGCATACTCGGTTACCCGATGCAATGGAGGGTCCCACTCCAGTATCTGCTTTGATTCATGTGGCTACGATAGTAACATCTGGCGTCTTCATGATAGCAAGGTGCTCCCCTTTATTTGAATACCCACCTACGGCTTTGACTGTTATAACTTCTGCAGGAGCTATGACGTCATTCCTTGCGACAACTACAGGAATAATACAGAACGATCCAAAGAGGGTCATAGCTTATTCAACTTGCAGTCAATTAGGCTATATGATCTTTGTTTGCGGCATCTCTAACGACTCGGTTGGCGTCTTTCACTTAATGAATCACGCGTTTTTCAAAGCATTACTATTCATGCCTTGTCGGATGAGCAAGATATGCGGAATATGGGGGGCTTGCCTCCTCATTCCCTTTTACCTATGCCATGATGCTCATGGGCAGCTTATCTCTAATTCGATCTCCCTTTCTAACTGGATTTTATTCCAAAGATGTGATCTTAGAGCCCGCTTACACTAAGTATACCATTAGCAGGAACTTTGCTTTCTGGTTGAGAAGTGTCTCTGTCCTTTTCACTTCTTATTACTCTTTTCGTTTACTTTTTCTAACATTTCTAGTACCAACTAATTCGTTCGGGCGGGTACCCACTCTTTTTATTTCCTTTTATTTTATTTTATTTTTCTTTATTTATCTAAAAAAAGGATTATAAAATTTATATAAATTTACATAAAATCACATAATTAATAAAAAAAATTACATTAACCAACTTAAAACTACTTTTCATAATTTAACACAAATATAAGTCTATTAATCATGAGTTAAAGCTAAAATTAAAATATTAATTAATTATTGATCATGAGATCGGCCCTGGCAGCGGCGAATTAGTGACGTCAGATGGGTGAACGAATGACGCAATCTCTGACGCAAGCCGGCGTCGCCGTAGGTGGAGTGTAAGAAAAGGTTATCACCCCAAAAAATCCTTTGAATCCTCCAGAAGGTATCTTCCAGCCATCCCCCCCTAGCGAAGAGCCAGTGCCTCCGCCCTCTTCATCCCTCTTCTCCCTAGAACTCCGGCGATCCGACCGTCCTTTTCATACAGGGATTGGTGGGTTTTCTTGGCTCTGAGTTTTTGATTCCTTGCGTGAATTTAACTGTTCTCCTTAGCAGACAATCAATCGGCTGCCCGCTATGACGAACTCTTCCCGATGGTGGTTGCGGGTGGCCGTGGTCTTCGCCATGGCTGTACAATCGTCACCGGTAAGCGCCGCCGCGGACGGTACCCCGCTGAGAGTGCAAGTCTTCCACTCGCCGCCGTTCACGCTGAGCCCCGGGTCGGTGGAGGATAGATTCTACAGCGACATCGCCTTCCCGCGAGGCCACATCGCCCTGAAGAGCTTGAACGCTGAGGTGGTCGACGAGGCGGGGAAACCCGTTCCCCTCTACGAGACCTACATTCACCATTGGTTGCTGGTGAGGTTCTACCAGCGGAAGCGCAGCGGTGCCACCAGCCCCCCGCCCGAGCCTCCCGAGTCCCTTTTTACCGGTAACGCCGCCTCTTCTTCGAACGGCCCTCCCGAGTACATTCTCGCCGGGAACTCCGGCACCTGCGGGGGGATTCTCCCGCAGACCTTCGGCCTCGGGTCGGAGACTCGCCGGACCGCCACCTGGGTTCCCGACCCGTACGGGATAGAGGTCGGGAACCCGGCGGAGGTCCCCACTGGGTACGAGGAGAAGTGGATGCTCAACGTCCACGCGATCGACACGAGGGGCTCCGTCGACCGCCTGGGATGCACCGAGTGCAGGTGCGAGCTCTACAACGTGACCGTCGATGAGCGCGGCCGCCCCCTGGTGAAGGACTACGTCGGAGGCTTGGTCTGCTGCCACGATAAGGCCCGCTGCCGCACCGGCGTAGGCTCCGGTGGCGCCCCGAGGAAGCTCTTCCTGAGGTACGAGGTGAAGTGGCTCGACTGGGCCGCCGACATCGTCCCGGTCAAGGTCTACATCCTCGACGTCACTGATGATGGGAAGAGCGGATCAAAACCGTCGACGGACGACTTAAACTCTAATGGCTGCCGGGTGGGTAAACCTCCGCATCCATTCTGAATATTCCGGTGAATTCTCATCCCTAATGATCCTCTCCACTCCGTCTCCCACTCCAGGTGGAGTACATGGTCGCGCCCTGTGGTCGGGAGGCCGCAGCGGCCGGCGGCGCCTGCATCGACAGCAAGAGGGTGGATCTCGTTCTCCCTCGCGGAGGCGACATCGTCTACGCCGTCGCTCACCAACACACGGGCGGAGTCGGCGTCGCCCTCTACGGCCAGGTGACTGACGTCAAAAGATCGCCGGTATTGGTTTTCTCTGTGCCGTCCCCTGACTGTCTCTGCCGTCGAAATGGATCCAGGACGGGCGGACGCTGTGCTCCTCGACGCCGATCTATGGCGGGGGAAAGGAGGCGGGAGATGAAGTCGGTTACATCGTAGGAATGACGACCTGCTATCCGAGCCCAGGTTCGGTGAAGGTGACCGCTGGGGAGAGGGTGGCTCTCGTCTCCAATTACAACGCCACTGAACTGCACACTGGGGTCATGGGTCTCTTCTACTTCCTACTTGCTGACCCGCCGGCGAGCACCGTTCGGCTCACCGTGAGAAATCCCTCCTCCTCCCTCTCTCCCCAGACCCAGCAACTCTTTCTGGCTGCTAGCACCAGTACTCCGAGCTCTTCCCTACTATCGCTATCGTCGCTACCCTAATCCTGTATCGTGGTTCATTTCTGCAGGGCGGCATGCTGAACTCCAACTATTGGTGGGTCCTCCTCGTCATCGGCATAACCGTGGCCTCCGCCGTCGCCGTTCTCTATCGGCGAAGCAGAGCTAGGGATCAACGCTACCGGTCCTTGTTAATGTAGATCTACCGCGTGATTCCTCTGGTCTGCTCCATCTTCGATAGTAAACGCAACTAGTACTTCTGTATGAGCGCCAAATGAGCCCTAGTAGTCAACGCTGCACAGCCTCAGTCTTCTGTGTTACCGTTCCTGGCGGATTCTAGACCCGATTTCTCCTCTTCAGACTTCTCACTAATACAGACTACCAGCGTGCCATTTCATGAACATCGCTGGCGTCCTGCTCCGCTGATCTCCTGAGCGTAGAGTCAGCAGAGGCGGCGGCTGCTATGCAAGTGGTGAGAACTGGCCGAGCGTGATGAAGGGCGAATCGTACTGGCTGCTGGCGGCGGAGGGGGACAGTGGATAAGTTTTCTTTTTTATCACAAACGTCGATCACGCGTCTTGGGAACGCATATCTTTCAAAGGCGGCGCCGAAGCAGTAAAGGCGGAGAAACTAAGGGCCCCGTATTCCCACGTGGCAGTTTGCTGCGTCGTGGGATTGTTTATAATTTCACTCCTAAAATACCGAATAATTACTAAATCGGGGTTCTTACTTTCAGAGGGACATGGGGGGCCAACATTCAAACAGTCGACCTTTATTTCAGACCACTGAGTTAACTCCACAACATTCGAGCGGGTGCATAAATATAATAAATGCGGGGGGACCAAGGGGATTTTCGCATTTTGGTGGGAGGGTTGGGGTCTGGTGTAAATACATACCCCCTGAGGGATAAGAAATACGGGAGAAGTTCAAAATGGTCCCCGTTAATTTAATTTATCCCGGCTCGAGTGTTTTTTTTAATAAGAACGTTCTTTTCTGGGTGGCGCGCTGAAAGCTAATTTGCTGCCGTTCAGTCATGGTCGGCTGGGAATATTCCCAAAATAATGCCTTTTAAGAGGTACCCAGCTTATCGTTTGCTTTTTTTTTATACGAAAGTCCCTCCCTCCATCTCTCGGGGGGGTTGATGACGTCACAAAAGAGGTGGAGGGGAGGAGAGAATAATCGAGAGAAATCGAGAAAGTATACATGTAGTCGGCGGGGGCGCCGTTCCTGTCGCTTCACCCTCGCGCCTCCTCTCCATCGTCGGCCGTGTTCCTTCCTCCGCGAGGGCCGGCCCTGTCGACGGGCTCCGGGGGACCTTGCCGGGCCCCTCGCAGCTCAGGGAGGCGGGCCGACCAGCACTGGCTCCTTTGTAGCCGTCGTCGTCCGTCAGGTGCGTCTTGGGGCTGGTTGCGGTCGTCTTTCTCCAGTCGGCGATGGCGCGGACGAGGAGCGCTCCGGGATTCGCGGACCAGGTCAGGATACTGAAGGACAAGGGAGAATTCTCGTCTCTCGGCTTGTTTTATCGCCCCCCGCGCCGAGCAATTTTTGTCGCAGTGCTCGGAATTCCGGTCAGGCTGTAAGGTGATCCGAGTGGATTCTGTACAGTATCGTTGTGGTTTTCTCCCTTTGAATTCGGCCATCTCGGGCGAGCTACTTGGAAGCGGAAGTGGTCATCTCTTGAGGGAAGCCCTCGCCGTGGTATCTCACTGCAGGCAAGTTCGGTTCAATTCGCAACCGCCTATTTTGGAAACCCGTCCGATCGCAGTACATTTTGAATGGTCGGGGCCGGGCAGGCAGTTGGGCGGCACGTCAGCTTCCCGAACATGGGGTCGGAGAAGCAATCGCCCGCGGAGGACCGCAGCATCCCGACCGCCGGTGGTCAAAAGCAGCAGCAGCGGGCGGGATGCTGCAACCCGGTCAGAAAGCCGGGGCCGGTGTCGATTGACCACGTGCTGCTTGCGCTGAGGGAGACAATGGAGGAGAGAGAGGTCCGGATCCGGAGCCTCTTCAACTTCTTCGACGCACCTGGGGCGGGGTACCTGGACCAGGCACAGATTGAGGCGGGGTTGTTGGGGCTCAACATCCCCGCCGAGTACAAGTATGCGAGGGACCTCCTCAAGGTGTGCGATGTCGATCGGGATGGACGTGTCGGGTACGAAGAGTTCCGGCGGTACATGGATGAGAAGGAACTCGAGCTGTACCGCATCTTCCAGGCTATCGACGTGGAGCACAATGGATGCATACTACCAGAGGAGCTATTGGACGCACTCATCAAAGCAGGTAACTGGCGTTGCCAGAATTAGCACGTTCAATTGTTCACATCCTTGGGTACTATCTCTTTGTTAGGCTACCATTTGGCTGACCGACTTGAGCCCTTGTTTAATTGATTCCTCCCATGTAACACAAAAAACAAAATTCCCAAGCAAACTTTCGGATCACAAAGGCTGTAGTTGTTCTTGCAGCTCTCTTTTGTGTGGAAATAGTTACACTCCACTACACCTTGGATGATTATTTATCTCAGTTATCATCTGGCCTCCCATTGATGCATTATCAGTACATTTAGTGCTCCAGTGTCAGTGAAGGCGATGGATCGTTGAGCATCATAAAAGGCAATTTTATGTTCAACCGGTATGTGCAGGTGCAATACAGTGAAATGGCACGTTCTCAACCTACACCTTCTGTTCAGGATCAATTTGTCTAGATGAATGTCTTTAAAATATTATTTGAACTGTGCCACTTGCACTGAAGGGTAAGCATTGTTATAACTCATTCACCTCCAGGACCTCAAGTATTTCCTATTAAGCGGTCCTTCCAATTAAATTCAGCCGGAGTAGACACATCCATCTTGATGCACAGAAACTTCTTTTGATGCTATGCCGGCTTTCATCATACTTTCAAGCAGTATATTGGGCAGATGATCAACATATCCCACAGTTTATATGCTAGATAGCTATATAGAATCTATGCCTTTTTCATCAATTTTTTGTTTACCATCATTACAATACGGTGTTGCCTAATTAGTTTCAGTTATGCTCAGTCCATCTTTCTCTCACCGGAAGGAATCATCTCAGCTTTATTGTATTTAAATTGTTGTCTCTACCTAACAAGTTATACCAGTTTTATTTTCCAGGAATTGAAATTGATGATGAAGAACTTGCTCGTTTTGTGGAACATGTTGATAAGGACAACAATGGAATTATATCCTTTGAAGAATGGAGGGATTTTCTATTGTTATACCCACACGAAGCTACAATAGAGAATATTTACCATTACTGGGAGAGGGTTTGTCTCGTAGATATTGGTGAACAGGCTGTGATCCCAGAGGGTATTAGTAAGCATTTAAATACTAGCATGTACCTTATTGCGGGAGGGGTAGCTGGTGCCATATCCCGAACTGCAACTGCACCACTTGACCGCCTTAAGGTTGCAATGCAAGTACAGACTAGTAAAGCACATTTGATACCTACAATAAAGGATATCTGGAAAGAAGGTGCCTTTTTGGGCTTTTTTAGAGGCAACGGATTGAATGTTATCAAGGTTGCGCCGGAGTCTGCAATTAAGTTTTACACATTTGAAATACTGAAGGATATGATTGCCGATTTGAAAAGGGGAGATAGAAATGAGATTGGTGCTTCCGGGCGCCTCATTGCTGGTGGTCTGGCTGGCGCAGTGGCACAGACTGCTATCTATCCAATGGATCTTATAAAAACTAGAGTGCAGACATTTCCCTGTAAAGATGGGAGAGTCCCTAATGTTGGGAAACTATCAAAAGATATATGGGTGCAGGAGGGGCCTCGAGCCTTCTACAGAGGCCTTATTCCATCTCTCTTTGGGATTATCCCATATGCAGGGATAGATCTTGCTGCATATGAGACTTTGAAAGATCTCTGCAGGACCTATATTCTGGAAGATAGGGGTAGGTCTCTCAGCTATTTCTGTCTATAAAATTCGACAACATATCACTATACTCATTTCTTGGTCACTGCGGGCTCTTCTTTCAGACACTTTTATTATTGGGCTCTGAAAAATTGCCTTTTTATGTAGAAACCGGCCCTCTGGTGCAATTGGGCTGTGGGACAATTTCAGGGGCTCTCGGGGCAACATGTGTTTATCCTTTACAGGTGGTTAGAACGAGGTACATTCCAGTCCACTGAAATCTTATGTTTCACAATCGGCAAATTTTGTTACATATTTCTCCCGTTCTTAGATCTGTGAGCTGTGTTAATATTTTACCATTCTTCTCAGAATGCAGGCCCAACCTACTAATACTGACGCTGCCTATGAAGGAATGATGGACTGCTTCTTGAGAACATATCAGCGTGAAGGTCTTTCAGGATTTTATAAAGGAATTTTTCCCAATCTTCTCAAAGTGGTGCCAGCTGCAAGCATAACTTATCTTGTTTACGAAACTATGAAAAAAGGGTTTGCTCTTGACTAAAGAGGAATAGCCGCTGTTTTATGTCTGGTAAAGTTGATGAGAATCTTGAGGATGGCATTACTTGTCAAGTATTTGATTTGATTATTCAATTTTTTTATGTCACCTTTTGCCCTACGATGTGAAGCCCCACCTGTGTAGTTATACGCATTTTTCAGCTTCAATGGAATAATTTGTGGGTATTGTGGGCTATGACTTTGGTTTGAAGTTCTGCAATCTCATCACAAGGTACTGCTCTCCTCTCTCTCCCTCCCCCCCTTCACAAGCACACCCACGAATTTTTTTCTCAAATATTGCTTCTATCTTTGATTTTTTTAATTGTGATACACCGCTCAATGTGCTAATGCCTACCAAAGTAAGAAAGTTTTCCATGGATACTCATTGATCAACTCTATTTTGTTCTTGTTCATATTTGGCCATAGTAGAGCACATTGTCTTGTTAATGTGACATGTATAGAAATGATGAAATGATTTCTAAGGTGCATCATGGAAAAATTTTGGCTTGCTTGATAGGTGATAACTATTGTCGTGACTTAATTGTTGTATGATAAATAACATAAATTTATTATTTATAAAATTAGAAAATATTAATTTTTATATTTTTAGAAATATTTCAAAATAAAGAAATCAATTATTTCGATAAAAGGTTTTAAAAATAGTAAGGAATTTCTAGGTCAATTGACATGTAAGATAATATTAGATAATATTTTATAATTTTCTTAAAAGAATAATTTCTTTATGAGTTTTAGATTAAATGATGAATATAAAATACATTTAAAAATTCACAAAAAGAAAAATAAGGGTACATATATGAGGACAACATTAGTGTCTTAAGGAATATGATTCGAATAGAAGTAGAGTTATGTTTAGTGATTATTATGTAAGTGATTATAGATGATTTAATAGGTCAAATAAAGATTTGTAAAAGCTAAAAGAATTATTATTAAATGAAGAAGGTTTTAGTTAACTTAAAATCACACAAAGTATCATTAAATTAAGTGAAAATTATGTTAAAAGTAGAAAAAGTAAAGTTTTAACCTCACGATAGCAATCATTGAAATTATGTGTGTTTTGGGTGGTTATCGTGCGATGTTTATGACTTTAAGGGCTTTTTTTGAACATAGATGATTTGGGCATTTACTAGATCTCTTTTCAAAGTATAAAAAATTATGACAAAAGTTAAACTAGTTAAAAATAGTTAGTGATGTGTTAGAATCTTGAGTACTTAAGAAGATTGTTATGTAACATCCACGGTCTCAAAGACACTCTTTAGACAGATGATGTAGACAACTTCTAAATCTATTTGCAAAGTCTAAAAATTAATGAAGTGGGGGTCGTCGAATAGTCTCCAATGACTATCACCTGACAAAGCAAAAAAATGACAATTTTGCGGCTCTTTAGTGACTATCATCTGACAAAGATGAATTGAATGGAGGTGGGATGCATGTTGAGAAGCTTCATCCTTAGGTCTATGGAACAAGAAAAAACTCTTCATTACATCTAGTATGCTCTTAGGAGGTGACAACTCGTCTCTCAATAGATCGTTCTCTTTTCGACGACAACTTATTTGTCGATCAATTAGAGATTATTTACTCAATAGATTTATGATTCTTTTATCATGAATTGTTTAGTAATTTTAGTAATGATACTTTGTAAATCGCATCAACAAAATTTTTATCAATGATTGAGTAATTTTAGAAGCTTAATCATTTACCAACAATCTACAAGAAAATTATAATTTAATCAGATAAAAAATATGAGTTTTGAGTCTAGTAGGATTTGAACCTTCGTTAATCACCCACCTACATAAGAGAGATTAAAATAAGTATGTTAATATCTTTATAAAGTGATGTCATCAAGATATCTACTTATGATAAATAAGAGATATTTGAGGTAAAAAAATTATTAAAACATTATGAGGAAGCTGTGACTGTGATTTAGTCTCACATCAATTATATGTTGAATTTTGAGATCAATATATAGTAATACAAGATTTAAGAATTAATGAGTTCTTTTCTCGTATGTGTACAACCACTCTTTATCCCTCACACCAACTTGCCACTAGTGTGATGTAGAAGGGGAGTGACGCACACATGCCCCCAATTGGTCCATCCTTAGCCGCTTGAGCCCTTGCTCATAGCTCCACTTATGTTTCTGACCCCCTCGTGGGCACAATTGGCCGGCAAATTCTCTTCTTTTTATCTTTTTATTTTCTTTTATTCTTCTTCATTTATCTAAAAAATAAGATTATAAATTACATAAATTTATATAAAATCACATAATTAGTCAAAAATTCACATTAACTAACTAAAAAACACTTTTTATAATTTAACATAAATATAAGTTTATTTATCATGAGTTAATGCTAAATATATATTATTAATTAATTATTAACTCATGATAATAAAGACTTCTCAACTATCATCTAAGTAGAAAGATATTTTTTTTATTGTCAATGGTGTATTACATAGGAGTTCAATGAATTTAGGCCCTTCATCACCATATGTCTTACTTTTGGAGCCTAAATATTAACTCTACATGAAGAAAGGTTACAGTTTTAGGCATTATGGAAGGGACTCAACTTCTTTGATTATTCTTCTTCTCAATAATCTTAAATTTGCACATGAAAAAATATTATTTGAAAGGTATAATGCTATGAAAATTCAATATTTTGAATTATTAGTGATAATTTTATACGTGATTATGAGTCTAAATTAGTTTCTACGAAAGGACAGTTTTTGAGATCAATATTCAGAAAAAAATAATTGAATCTCATTCAATTGTGAATGATCACAAAATTATGGATGACCTTTTTTTTAGTATTTTTATGTCTCCCTTTGTCCCTTGGAACCAATTGATTGGATAGAGTTAATTTGGAATTCTTATTCCAACATGAGAGGATAAGGAGTGGTCAATCTTAATGGAATAATGGCAATAGAGACAATACAAATTGAATTTATTTTTTTTGTGATGTTGAACATGTCAATAGATGGAGGAGCAGATTATCTGATGAAAATGTAAACCTTTTACAAAAAAGTCTCATTTAAAAATATTATTGGGAATTGAAGTCCATAGATCTTTGAGGACTGAAGATCAAAGCCATAAACTTTAGAATTGGATGCTTCTTGACTTTTTCTCCTTCCAAGCTTCTCATTTGTCTTCTTCTTAGAGAAATATTTTCACGTTGCAGATTTGTCTCTTGTGCCATATTCGAAATACTAGTTCAATTGTAGAAATAGAAAATATTTCACGACATTTAAGTTGTGTGTATGGATAGAAAATAAACATATTTAGAGGTTTATTGACTGATGATAGTGGTTGGTGAATATCTGCTCCAAATTACAAGAAACCTTAGTGACAACTAAGTTTGAAAATAAGTTGAGGTTTGAAAATGATGTAGAAGATTACTAATAGAGAAGACCATAGAGACTAAAGAACTTCAAGATAAATTTTTTGAAAAAATAAAAACCAATATTGGTTCTTTGGAGATATCAATTTGGTGAGTAATAAAAATCCATGAAAGAGCTTATTTGGTGAGTAATAAAACTCCTTAAGAGCTAAAATTTGTAAATGAAAACTTATCAATTTTAAATTTTTTAGGTGTGATATCAATAAGAAAATTTAAATCATTTGCCCCTTTCTATCATAAATAATTTTTTTTTAACAATGTCTCTTTTGTTTCTATTAAAAATAGTGAATTTATTTTTACATCCGCAAAGAAAAGTGTAAGGAAAAACATGATTTGTCCGAATTTGGCAACCTGGAAAAGAAACATTTTTAGTTCTTTTGTAATCATAAAACGAACAAGATGATAGTAATATGAGGAAAAATAGGCATGATAACTTTTGCACTAATTTTTCCTAATGTATATAATTAATATTTTTGTTCATCAAATCAGCTATCTTGTCTTATATAGAATATTGTCTCACAAACTCTATCAAAGATTATCATGCTTAAAAAAATGATGAGTCATGATATAAATTGTTTAGCTTATTTGGTCTATGATGTAATACATGCATAGTTTAACACTATCAAATCAAATGTCATGGAAGCTTGAAGAATGGGTTATAAGGAAGAGACCACCCAATATCAGATAAGGCTTATAGATGTGGTGAAGGTCATAAGATATCAAATGACAAATAATAGAATGATGAGGCAAAAGATTGAGTACTTCAAGATAACTTTGTCAATTTTTATATTAGGAAAAAAAAAATCATTCACTAGTTGTAAAGAGACTCATATGTCTACCAAGGAAAGAGAAACATCTCCAATGACATAATATTTTTTCAAATGTAGTGCACTATCAAACAATAAATTATGTGGTGTTAGAAACTAAGCTCCCATACATTTGATTTTAAATGTCTGAATCTGCTCAAAGGAGTATATTCTCTCAATTCATGTGCTTAATCTCCAAGGATATTATGGAAAAGTTGAGAGTGAAAAGTAGGTTTCCTTTGAAGGTATAATTAATAGTGAAAATATTATTTCCTTAAATATGGTCTCTATATTAAGACTCAAAATAAAAAATCAATCAAGTCTATATAAAGTTCATTGGATAAAATAGTATTAAAAAAAGTCTCACAAAAATATTTAGTATAAACTTTAACTATAAAAAATATATTTTGATGAAGTTTATTATGATATAATTAATGTGCCTGCATGTCAAATTATATTAAATAGACTAGGAATTAGGTGATACTCATAAGGGTAGAGACAAATTATATATTTGGAAATTTGTTTTACACTCGATATAAGATAGTGATTTTATAAATATTAATAAATACAAGAAAAAGGAAGTCATGTTAATTGATATAAGAGAGCTCATGAACAACTAGGATCAAAAGTTTGAAATATTTTTGAAAAATTATTATATGATTTTTACTATTGTTCAAGACTTACCTAATGATCTTCCACTAATGAGAGGAACAATAAAGTGTTAGTGAAAAAGTTGAATTTCACATGTGAATTTCCAAAATCTGCACCTAAGCTTGTACTAAAAGTATTAAATGATTTTTACAATTATTTAAGACTTACCTAATGATCTTCTAGTAATGAGAGGAACATTATATTCATTTCACAAAAGGATTGATTAAATAAAGTATGAGTCAACATTTATTTTTTATATTACTTCAATGAAAGATGAAAGCTAGTGATTGTGTAGATTGCACAATTATTAACGTGATTACAATTAAATATACATTTTTATTATATACTTGGCGTGCTCTATTGTTTAAATTTTTCACAAGATTTATTTAAAAAGTGATTATCACCAAATCAAATTTGTCTAAGTGATAAATAAAAAATAATTTTTAAGATGAAAGTAACTCTTTATGACTAGTGATGGCATTTGTTGTTAAATGCTCATAGTAAATTTATAAGGGTGATAAATCAAATATTAAAACATATGTTAGAGGACTTGTGATTTGTCAAATGCTCCCAACACATGCACAACCCTACACTAGTAGACTAGATGACATAGAAGCTTGAAAGATAACCTACAAGAAAGAGATAGTTGATAGGAACCCCCAGAACGAGGCTTAGGAATGGCCTGGTATCAAGCAATGCCTATGATAAATATGTGAGAAATATGCTAGAGATCAATTCAGATAATTTTCTGACTTTTCCTGCATTTTGAATTTATTTTAATGAGTCATTTTGAATAAATATTTTAACTTACTACTTTGCAATTAGCTTTGAAGTTGTTTAAATATATTTTAAAGTATTATTAAAATTGATCCACCGTTTTAAGGGCATCCTAAAAATATTAAAGTATTAATATTGGTCCTTCGCCACTACCACCCTACGACTCTCTCTCTCTGAGGCAATCCTCAAAACACAATGAGAATAAAAGCAGTAAGAGAGAGAGAGAGAGCTTGTGAAGGGAATTTACACCGGCAATGGCAACAAAGATGCGGGCTTTATTATAAAGCTGGGTTAGACGGGAGCTGGCGAGAAGGGCAGGGCAGCAGGGAGAGCCAACCTCTCACAGTTGTATCAAAAATCCTGCTGCTCCCACCCGCATACCCCACCCCATAAGTCATGTACAACGGTGCGCAACCTTTTAAGACAAAGCAAGGGGCAACAGGGAGGGCAAGAGGTACTTACAGAGGAGTTGGTGCTCGGCGGCGGCGGTGGCGGCACTCAAGAGTCCGGCTGTTCGGCCTTCACAGAGGGGTCTGGCGGTGCTGCGTCGGTGGTGCAAGATCCAGCGGAGCAGCCGTTCTGGTTGGCGAGGCTCCTGGCCACCAGCGAATCACTGACTATGCTATCGAAGTTGAGCCTCCCACCAACCTTCCTACCGCTACTTCCCACACCAAAACCCAAAGACGAAGAACAAGTCAACGATGAAGATCTATTATGAAGTTTTGGGAGGTGACTTCAAAAGTCGTACCAATTCAGGCGGTTGTTGATGGCGGTGAGATCCTTCGAGGGGCTCTGGTAGGCGTGGGTGCTCTCGCCGACGCACGCATAGTAGCTTTTTGAGCTCGGGGAGAGCAACGAGTCCATCTGCCCAAATGCAGACACCTTTAGTAGGAAGAACATCCGAGATGATTCCCGGCATTGAAAGTAAAAATCGATCGGCCACAACCCAACATGTAAGAGAAATTTAGCCAATAAAACTCATGATCTTGGTGGAAGAAGGATAGATAAATGAAAAGCAACCGTAAGAAGAAACTAAGCCCAGATCAGAGGACTGAGGCCGCATTCAATGCTGCGGCAGGAAAATAAGCACCTTTGATGGCCGCAGAGGGGAAACATAGACGTTATGCGTCCCGGAGACTTTCTTAGGAGACATGTCCGGTAGACTCGGGAACGTTGACACCCGCGGTGAGCTTGGGGATTGACCTGGTAGCAAGATCCGGTGGATAGAAAAGGTCAACATAAGTGAGGAGAGATACCTCAGGGCTTACACGTTTGTTAAAAGCACATACCATCGGCGTTAGTGATATCCTCGGGGAGGCGGCTGTGCTTTGGAGCAGGCCCTGCGGGGCCAAGCTCCACTAACAGAGGCTTAATGGACGGAATGAAAACCTCATTATAAAATGTGATGATATCGACATGTTCCTGGCCAGTCCTCTGATCATCAAAGAGCTATTGAATCAGAAACCAGAAGAGAGCCCAAAAAAAAAAAAGAGAAAAAACTCTGTCGGAAAGAAGGGAGCTTCAAGTTAAAAGCAACATACCCCACTGCAATTGGTAGATGACCAGTCGACAAAAACACTCCGGAAAACCTGGGGTTTACATTGCTGCTGCTTTCTATAACCATAAATGATCTCCTTAAAGGTCAGACTCAAATCAGAAATCTGCAAGCAATAAGGGTATCGAATTGAGGAATCAGACAGACAGGGATCGTAGTCGTCTAAGACCATGAAGCACAAGGGGGAAACTAGCTTGCCTTTGCAACCCCGTACAAGCTACAGAGAATGATCTGGTCGATGTGACGATTGAAAAAGAGCCCTGTTCGGTGACTGAGAATTTGTTGAATAAGGGAATAGACATGTTCTACAACTGGCTGGCAGAGTTGTAGCCTTTCACACAAGCTTCGAATCCTTATAGCTGCTAATTTTGTGATCTGCAAACCAAAGAAGATGAAGTTCTCTGATAAATGCACGGACAACAAGAGCATGACCTCCACCCACGAAAAGATCAGTCGGAGAAACTTGCCACGGTTCAGTATTTTAAACATGAACCATCTATCATTCAGGAAAATCCAGGGTAACAAACAAAAAAAATTGTCTAATCATAAAAATACCTTATTAAAAAAAATGTTGATCCCAGTCTCCGCACATGTTTCCCCACCTGCAGCAGGGTTTGGTCGTGTTGGGCTGCAAACAAAAGGTTTGAGGTTAATTTTACACTAAAACCGGATGCAAAGACGAGCTGCCCAAAGAAAAATGTTTTCAACTCAGCTTCTCATGTCAGAAGATCGGATACCTTGCAAACGCAGACTGGAGGAGTGGCAACCTTGATTTGAGGCTGTTGAATGTCAGTAGGCGGTCCTTGACTGGTGAAGTGAACGAATTGCGCTCTACCAACACACTCCTATACTCAGTGCATGGTCTCTTTGGAGAACGCATCTCACTATTCAGATCTGCAATGTGTACTGTGAAATTGACATAAGAATCAAAGATCAAATCTCACTGATGAAAACAATATAAGTTATCTCTCACAGTGGAATGCAATTTTGAGTCTTTTAAAGTCTTGTCAGGTAACAGGCAAGAAAAAAGGACAGCTAACTGCAAAGAATTAAAACCGAGATGACCACTCAACTATTCAACCAACAAATATGCTTTACTACATAACTTTTAGCATTCTCAGATAACTTTTAATGACCATGCAACATGGATGAAATCACTGATCCAGGACCAGCGTAGAAACACAAACATGACTGCATGCACTTAAAAAGCTGCCAAATTGGGCCAAAAATCACCTGGTGAAATCTCAGACTTAGAACAAGGCTGCAGAGGCAAGCCTGCAGTTGAAATGTTATGCATCATCGCAATTGCATCCAAAGATGGCATCGGTTCTGCTAAAAGCCCCAGACGGTTTATTTCAGCAGAAAGCGATGGTCTTGCCACAATCAAGGAATTGTACATTGAGGATCCCTTTTCCCAAGCCATACTTTCTAATAGCCGCTCTTCCAGTGAATTCAAATGTCGTTTCAACTCCCTCGGAAGGGTTTCCTCATGTCTCACAAAGCTCTCAATTACTTTGCTCAAATCAAATGCTGTTATACCTGTTTTTTCCAAAACTGCAGGGAACATCATGGTAACAGTCTTGTGGGTGGCCAAAACAAGTTCAGCAGCACAAGCAAGCATACACCTATGAAAACGTTCATTGGATAATAAGGACGTCAAATTATTCCCATTTAGTATCTGAGATTCAGCCCTGCACATTGCTTCCAGGACACGGTAGTACAGTTTCATGGCCTCCAACTTCCTCTGCTCCGCCCACACATTATCGACTAGGCTTGTATTCTGAATATTTCCAGCAACAAAACGTTCCCCAAAGGAAGTACTCGGAAAGATTGCCTCCAATATTATATTGGCTCTTCGAGTTACATCATTGGTTACATCCTTGTCACATGATGAAAGAAAGCGCTCTAGTTCTGCTGTGGGTTTTGGGGGAAGGAGTGAAATAACGTTTCGAAGCCACTTGGCGGTAGTCATGGCAGTGGTCACTGGAGTAGAGGTTATTTTCACATTACCAAGAAGGTTACCGTTTAATGGTGATGCAGGAGTACGAGGGGGAGACAATGGGCTCGTTATCGACTTGGCAGGCGAGGCCAACGCATCAAGCTTTCGCTGCAACGACGGGAAAGACACTGTGAACATCTGAAACAGCCTGATGGACAAACCAAAAGGGTACCGTTCATACGCAAAATACTTCGAGAGAAGAAATATACCTTGGCACTGGAAATGTTAATAGCACCTCCAGACAAGCTTCCAGTGCCGATCAAACTATCTTCCCCATTGACAAACATGCGTTCATCAAGTTCTCCTCTGACACAAATGGCGTCATAATAATCTTTCTCTAAAGTAATCAAGCTCGATGATAAGGAATTCATCTCCATCAAATCCTCAAAGTACGTCAACCCATCTGAAGTCAAAGGGGTCAATTTATCATTTGATAAAAAGATTAAACAATCCTGAGTCAGCAAAATTCTCATATAAGGGAACAATGAGGTGATGGTTTCACCTGTGTCAATATTATGTAAGTTCTCAGCTTTGCACTCTGATGCTGAGCGAGGCTCCTTTCTCAAAATATCAACTATGAGGCTATTAACTTTTTCCATCATTTTTTTCAGCTCATCTTCGGATGTGTCGTATTTTTGACATAGGAAAGCGACAAGGTCCAGACCCTTGTCGGTTCTCTTAGCTAAAAGCAAACGAAAACAGGCATCTCAGCCAACTAGAAATCTTACCTCAGATATCAGATATCTAAAATAGCAAGAGGGAAAAATAAAAGCGTCAAAATAACAACCAAACAACACTACCTAGGCGTGCAAAATCAAGAACTGAAAACTTCCTGAAGCGAACAGGAACATGAAGAATGAGGATTACCTGTATAGACACAAAATATTGATAGAATTATAAACAAAGAACCTGAAGGATCTGCACATCATCTAAACTAATGACAAATAAATAAAACCGAATCCAACAAGCAACTAACCAATATGGAAACTATTCCATTTGTAGAAGTCACGATATCCTTGAAGCGACTGAATGCGTGGACACGCAATGCAAGGAATAATAGCCATCCAAAACGATGGTAGTCGGATATATAGACGATACTGGCAGAATCAGAAGCATCTTTACCACCACGCACGTCACCAGGCAAGAAAAACTCTTCATATTCACGCTTGTAGAACCTACAGTACGATCAGCATACATCGATACGTTAGGAAGCTTCATAAACAGAGTAGAAGTGTAAAGAGAACACACATAGGAAATTCGGATTTCTGTTGTATGCATCTGCATATACGCAAAAGCGATTATAAATAACATAATTCCCGGCATGGTAACTATCCCAAAATTTAAATGATAACAACAAATGTGGTGACAAAAAATTGACTCCTGTAGACTCAAATACTATGTGAGGCAAAAATGCTGAACGATAGATGCTTACCCACTAAGAATCTTCAAATGCACAAAATTCCCCTGTGATTCTTTCACCTGATCATGAAACAGAAACCAAGTGGAATTATTAAAAAAAATGTGCCGGAAAGAATATTTTAGAATCGGCAGTATGCCATTTCTCTAGTATGATATAATATACCTCAAGCCTCTTCTCCCAATCTGAACCAAACTGACGACCTATTATATGTCCAGCCTTGAGTAAAAATTGCGGCATCTCCTTGAAGAAATCCATAACACTGAAAATGGAAAACACGAACGAAAATAAGGAGGATTTGAGAAAATAACTCAGTCAGGCATAAAGATAAAATATAAGAATTTTAACGGCATAAATGGGCTAAGACAGTCGATACTTGAGCCTCGCTGCCCTCAATATCCGAGGGAGGGTAAAACCTCCCTCCTCACAGTCTTGTTTTGCCTTTTCAGAGTTCAGCTTCTTCACGCAGTACAGCACAAACCCATACCACAGACGTTCAATCTCCTCCGCCTGGAAGGAAACGAAGGAAACAAAGCCAAAATTCAAAATGTAACTATAGCAATTCAGAACAGACTCCAGAAGATAAATTAATTGCCTAAACTTTCAAACGAATCGGTACCGAGCTAGTCCCTATCGCCGACATATAAGCCACAAGAATGGGCTTGATCTCGGAAAACAGCTCCATCGCCAGCCTCGCCTTGGACTCATCAAGCCCCAACCCCGTCTGACAAGGCCGAAAAACGGCCAGGAGAAAATATCAGATTATATTAAAGGAAGCCGGCATAAACGGAAATGGATGCTTCAGAAAAGGGAGAACTTTACAGACTTTGCAAAGATCGGCGAAGCGAGATTCCATGGCACCCTCGTCGTCAGCTGTGGAAGCCAGCACCGGCTTCGCGTCCTCCATCTCCATCGTCCCAAGGCACATCACCGGAGGCATTAAGTTGCCAAAGCCATTCCACCAGCAGGAAACCCTAATTGATCCACCATTACAGCCAACATCGCAGATCTCCCCATAGTCCCCAGGGATTCTCCGGATAGCAGGACTGCACCACAGATCCAACCCCCCCAAGACCGAGGGGGAGAACGCCGATCTCCCTGGCAAGTGGAGATTCCCCCACAGAAAACAACCCGATCTGGGAGACGCAGGACGCTAGACTCCACCGTGATGCACCCTTCTACAGTGGAGATCGCCAACGGAGCGGGGGCGGATAGCTAGAGCGACGTTGGAGCTAGGGTTTTGGGAAATGGCACTGAGGACAAAGGACAGTGAAAACTCGTTGCCCTGTGTCTTCTCCCCCCCCCCCCAACCCCCCAACTCAGTTCCCTGTCTCTCTCTACTCATTTCCCGGTGCGAATTTTAGTTCGTACTTTTATTCCCCCCCCTCCCGCCCCCCCCCCCGGAACGGCGCCGAGCGCGGGAAAATAGAGGCGGGAGAGTGTGCATCGCCGCCAACTCAGAGCTGACCTGGACTGGACCAACCACCATACGACACGCAAAGGACTTGGGTACCCGCCAAAACCCGTTGCAGGCGGGTGGAGCCAGCGGATCTTCGAAGGTTGCGTAGCCAGCGCAGCCTTCTTGCGCTTATTTAAGCGGCGGTTCATCCATACTAAAACCCATTTCTCATTTCCGACGTTCGTTCTCTCTTCACCCAGACGCTCTCTCTCTCTCTCTCTCCTTCTCTCTCCCTCTCCTCTCTCTCTCCCTCCCTCTCTCCCTCTCTCTCCCTCTCCCTCTCTCCCTCCTCCCCCTCCCTCTCTCTCCCTCTCTTTCTCTCTCTCTCTCCCTCTCTCTCCTCTCTCTCTCCCTCTCTCCTCTCTCTCTCCTCTCTCTCTCCCTCTCTCTCCCTCTCTCTCCTCTCTCTCTCTCTTCCTTCCCCTCTCTTCCTCTCTCTCTCCTCTCTCTCTCTTCCTCCCCCTTTCTCTTCCCCTCTCTCTCTTCCTCTCTCTCTCTCTCTTCCTCTCTCCCTCACTCTCTCCCTCTTCCTCCCCCTTTCTCTCTTCCCCCTCTCTCTCTCTCTCTCTCTCTCTCTCTCTCCCTCTCCCCCCCCTCTCTTCCTCTCTCTCTCCCTCCTCTCTCCTCTTCCTCCCCTTTCTCTCTTCCTCTCTCTCTCCCTCACTCTCTCCTTCTTCCTCCCCTTTTCTCTCTTCCTCTCTCTCTCTCTCTCTCTCTCTCTCCCTCCCCCTCTCTCCCTCACTCTCTCCTTCTTCCTCCCCTTTCTCTCTTCCTCTCTCTCTCTCTCTCTCTCTCCCCTCTCTTCCTCTCTCCTCTCTCCTTCTTCCTCCCCTTTCTCTCTTCCTCTCTCTCTCTCTCTCTCTCTCTCTCCCCCCTCTCTTCCTCTCTCTCCTCACTCTCTCCTTCCTCCCCCTTTCTCTCTTCCTCTCTCTCTCTCTCTCTCTCTCTCCATCTCTTCCTCTCTCTCCATCACTCTCTCCCTCTTCCTCCCCCTTTCTCTCTTCCTCTCTCTCTCTCTCTCTCTCTCTCTCTCCCTCCCCCCTCTCTTCCTCTCTCTATCTCCCCTCCCTCTCCGTCCCCTTTAGTCTGCACGATTCTGGTGAAAGCCTGCAGTAGAACGACTGCTGAGTGAGGCAAGGTATGGCCGTGAAGCGTTTACTTCTTTCGGCCCAAGTCCACCACCAGATGAGCCTCCTCCTGTTAGTGAAGTGCATCTCAGGCCTGCAGGGCTTGCTCAGCATCTGCTCAAATCTAGACGCCTCAATGATCTTCCATTTTCCTCGTCACACCCAATCACTGTATATGAGATTTGCAAAATCCTTGGATGAATGCGAAGAAATTCACTTCGCGTGATTATTATTGCTTTTAATTATATATTATCTTAACATAATTACAGCGAACATTTTATCCAGCAGTTTCTGTGAGAAATTTCAATCACGAGTTTTTTTCACACCTTACTAAATCCTGAGTTTTGTAAAGCAACCCTTCCATGACTGTCTTAGAATGAATATTTTTTAATCGTATGAGTTGGATGCTACCACTTATTTTCTCACGAAGTATTCATCATAAATTATGTCACAAAAGGACTATGAAGCACATATACTCCACATTACATTATATCTGGAAGATATTACGAAGCTATACCTTGTACGTATAGAATCACATTTAATGTATCCGTAGCTTATTCCAATTGATCATGTGTGGATTCACGAAATGGATTTCAAGATTAGAAGATTGCTCACTCTAATAGGAATTTTCCTTCACTAGGGTTCACCTAAATAGTTGTTTGAGGTTTTTATGACATCTAAATGTAGATTTATAGTTATTTTTATTATTTATTCGTAAATTTTACACAATTTTTTTGCACATCAAATTAAAAGGCTAGGTCATAAAACCTTTAGCATGTGTCCTTTTAGAGATAACTATATAATTATGAAGTTAATTATTCGGCTTAAATGGTGACAAATTAATCTCCATACAGTGGCAGATAATATGAAAAATGAAATGCAGCACATCTAGGCAACACTGTATGAAGCTTCAATCTCAAGTTGTATGCATTAAGAATGGCAAAAAAGAGGATTGCCATGAAGCTTACTTGATTTTTTTATAAAGTTGGGAGGGTAAAGAGAAAACAATGAAAACCATTTTAAATAAATATGTATCTACTTGTTAATAAATTTCACAATTAGTGATAGAGTTTATAAAGTCATCTCTATAAAGTACATGTAATATAAATCTTGATGCATGTAAACATGCGAGCTTTTGACATTATTTATTTAATTACCTGATAGACAATACTTCATTATAAAATACTGAGGCCTATCATTTTAGTGATTCGCCCTTTATTGATGAGCACTTCTTATAGCTTTCAGTGATGTATTTCATTGCAGATGATCACAGATGAAGGTCACCATAAGAAGGAAAGAATAGGAGGACCTAGTTATGAAACTTCTGGTGAGATTAAGCCTAATAATTGGTATGTAAAATGCGCCAATCTTTATCCCGGCACAAGTAAAAAAAAAAATGAAGGCCAATGGGGGTATTAAATTCCGTGTGGAATTGGATGACGAAGACAATAAAACATCGAGGCTCTAAAGTAACCATGATAAAATACGTGAATAATAAAAAAATGCTACACTTTACAAAATTATGTGAAATAGCCAGGTCTGCTAGCCAGTGGAAAAAAGCCAAAAACATAAATATTCTTAAAATGCCTTTTGTCGTTCACGGAAAGCTGACCTGATGACGCTGCAATGTGCACAGTTTGATGGAACACCAACGGGGAAGTCAAAAAGAGCTGCCATCAGACTGCCAAGATCTGTTATGGTGTCAAGCTGTGGGGACACAAATATGCCCCTCGGAGCAGATCAGCTCATTCAAGCCCAGAAGGGTCTCATGGATCAGATCCATATGATGGTGGGAGGACTCCGAAACAAGAAATTCGTGAACGGTTCCATTGATCTCAATGGAAGAGCAGCCTGGTTTCTTGATGATCCCTAAGTTTCCCATGTCTTTCCGCACCAAGTTCACCTCCTTCCACCTCTCTGCTGTGGCATACACATTGGAGAGCATGACGTGAGCTCCATGCTCTTTCTGATGCTCCAATTCTAAGACCCTCTGAAGAGCCGCCTCTGCCAGCTCTACGTTCCCGCAGTTCCTACAGGCGAAGAGCAGTGACCGCCAAATGACCACGTCGGGCCGGATCGGCATCTTCCTTATGAAGGACTCCATCTCCCGAAGGAGCTTTCCCCGGCCGAGAAGATCGACCAGGCAGCCGTAGTGCCGAATTGTGGGAGAAATCTTATGAACACTGATCATCTTGTTGAAGTAGTGGAATCCCCTCTCCACGAAGCCCCCATGGCTGCAGGCTGATAGAACTGCGAGAAATGTGATCCCATTGGGCGCAACCTCACCTGAAATCTCCATCTGTGAGAACATATCCAGGGCCATGGTGGAGTGCCCGTTCATGGCGAGCCCACCGATTATTGCCGTCCACGAGAACACATCCGGACGAAGCATATCCTGGAAAATCTGCAGAGCTCTTTCCACGTCCCCGCACTTTGAATACATGTCGATCAGAGCGTTCTTCACCTTGAGACGCTCCCCCACGCCACTGGTGCCGCAGAAGGCATGAACCCATCTCCCATGGTAGAGAGCACCCAGTTGGCCGCAGGCAGAAATTACAGATGATACGACTGCTTCGTCCGGCTTCACTCTGGCTGTCTCCATCTCCCAGAAGAGCTCCACCGATGCCTTGAACTGGCCGGCGTGGGCATACCCTGAAATCATGGAGGTCCAGCAGACAGTGTTTCTCTGCGGCATTGTGTCGAACAGCGCCCGAGCATCGGTCGTGCGCCCGCACTTGGCGTACATATCAATGAGAGAGGAACCGAGGAAGAAATCCAAATCAAAGCCGCTGGCTATGGCCACCGCGTGAATCCGTCGTCCGGTCAAGGCCGACCCGCTTCTCCCGCAAGCGTTCAGAGCGTTCACGAATGTGGTCGCGTCCGGTGCCACGGAGCTGCCGGCCATTTCACCGAACAGATGGAGGGCCTCTCTGTAATGGCCGTTCTGCACGTAGCCGGAGATCACGCTGTTCCAGGAAATCACATCTCGGACCGAATGCGGGATCGAATCGAAAACCTGACGCGCCATCGCCGCCGCAAAACAGGCAAAATACATGTGAATAAGGGAGTTCTGCACGAAGGCGTTGGTCCCAAACCCTAGCTTCAGGCTGAGGGAGTGGAGCGCCTCACCTCGACGGGGGATTCCCAGCCGAGCGGCGGCCTTGAGGGCGAACGTGAAGGTGTAGTCGTCGGGGCCGACGGCCACCCTCCTCATGGCGTCGTACAGCGCGACGGCGTGCTCCGGCGACTGGCCGCCGGCAACCGTCTTCATCATCGAGTTCAGGATCGAGAGACCAGTGTTTCGGACCGGCCAGCCGCCGGCGGGAAGGGAAGAAGCGTCGGGGCAGAGCAGGCCGCCGACGACGGCCGCCGACAGGAGCTGGCGGAGGTGATCGGCGGTGAACAGCCGGCTGGAGAGAAGGTCCCATCGGGGAGATCGGCGGCGGGATTCCGCCGGAGCTTCGAGGGGAGACGACGAGGTCTGGGGGGCTCGCCGGAGAAGAGTGGAGAGGCGCATTAAACGGCAGGTAACGGCCAAATCGAAGGGGTGAGCAGGAAAGTCTCGCGTAAAAAAAGTCTGAAAAATTACAAATTTCTCCAACTCCAATAATATTGTGACTAAAACATCCCCAGTTCAGGAGTTTTTTATCCCTTTTTCCCGAGCCATATTGGCGCACGTGCGAGATAGCTGGGGTGAGGGGGGCGGACGTGAAAATATCTTAACAAAAAAAATGGAGGGTATTTTGGTCCATTCTAAAAAATGGGGACGTGGAAGTATCTGAGACGGAGGAAAGGAAGAACATTCTCCACGTAAACCGCTCCTCCCGCCATATACAGAGGAAGCTTGTGGATAAGCAGCGGCAGCGACCAGAACCCTCCCAAAACCCTTGCAGCAATGGCGGATTCTTCTCCCTCTCTCCGCCCTTTGCTCTCTCGCTGAAGCCGGAGCGTCACAGGAGGTGCTGCCGCCTTCTCCATTCTTCGTCATGGCTGTTCTCCGAGCACCTCTGATTCCCCCGTCCATTACAAAGCGCGAATCCTCGTGGACTTTGTCCTGTAGAATTCCCTCGAGGCGCCTGTTTTTTGAATTTCCCGGTCGTGGATGCCCGTGCTGGAGGAGGACGACGCCGTTCCGTGCCCGAATGGGCGTCGTCCCCGTCGAGGGAGTCTCAGTCAGGGGAACGGCATACCGGAGGGACCGGGAGGAAACCGTGCCGGACGCCATCGCGGCATTGCACGAGAGGATCCGCCGGGAGCAAGGGAAGAGGGAAGCGGCGCCGGCGGCGCCAGCTATGGGGTTGGAGGAGGCGGAGAAGTACATCCAGATGGTAAAACAGCAGCAGCAGCGGGGTCTGCGGAAGCTGAAAGGGGAAAAGGGAGACGATAACAGCGGGTACGGATACAGAGTCGATCCGTACACGCTGCGGCCAGGGGACTACGTCGTGCACAAGAAGGTGGGCATTGGGAGGTTTGTTGGGATTAAATATGATGTGTCAAGGGATTCAACGGAGCCCATTGAGTATGCGTTTATAGAGTACGGGGATGGGATGGCGAAGCTTCCAGTGAATAAGGCGAAGAAAATGCTCTATCGTTATAATCTGTGAGTTTGCTCAATCTTGCTCTTCCGTGGACTCTGTTCTTCCTTTTCTGTTAATACCTTTTTCTTCTCTGTTTCCATGCTGACCTAAAGGAAGTGATAGGTTTTACAACATCTATGGTTCTATAATTTACGTGGGCCATTATGAAGTTTGCAATGAATATCATGTGATTTTGCTAATCTGATAGTTTGACGAACTTGGAGGCATGGTCTAATTATTTCACTTGTTTGTCACAGTTATTTTCCATATTTCCTCCAATGAAGTATATTATTGCCTATTTCATATGGGAGTTTGTCGTTGTCATTCCGTGCATTAACAATGTTGAAACACCTACGCTCTTTAGTGTAAAGACCTTATTAGAGGTCATGAGAAAATATTATCTTTTATGTAGTGAGACTTATTTAATTTCATATTCTTTATGCAGTCCAAATGAAACAAAAAGGCCGCGTGCATTGAGCAAATTAGCTGATACTAGTGCATGGGAAAGGAGAAGGACGAAAGGGAAGATTGCTATTCAGAAAATGGTTGTTGATTTGATGGAGCTATATTTGCATAGGCTAAAACAGAAGAGGCCACCATACCCAAAAACTCAGGCCACGGATGATTTTGCTTCTCATTTTCCTTATGAGCCTACTCAAGATCAAAAGCAGGTTCATTATCAAATTCTATGTCATCTTTTTTTTTTGAGCCATTTGTGATTCTGTGGTGCCAACAATCAATAGCCTTTTTTAGTTAGGAAGAGTGTTGTTGCTAATATAGAAGCGTATGGTATTTTGATACTTGATTTTTTTCAGTTGGCTTAAATTTGGCATGGTCCATACATGATTTTTTTTTCCCAAATGCTTCGTCCTTTTCGATCGATTGATTTTTAAAAGTACTCTGAACTCGAATAATAATAAGAAAAAACGACTCAGACCTGCTGCTGCCAGTCGAGACAGACAGGAAACGGGGCGGAGATAAGCTTGTAAAGAAGCCCCCCACCCCCCGAAAACCGGTCCAACTTCGCGTTCTTTCTATTCCATCCCATTCCATTCCGGGATTGGCGGATAATACTATCAAAAAAAGTGAAAGTTTGATATTCAAGTTAACCAGGAAGAAACAGAACTGTGGGAGTAAACCAGGTCAAGATATAGTCTAATTAGCTGTAAATATTAAGAAGAATGCTTAGGAATGACGTTCTTTATCTCTTGAAAAAAGATTACTGAAAACCTGAAATAGACCTGGGAATTTCTGTCGGTCAAAGTAACTCACATTCTGCATTAAATCACTCTTACAGAGATCTGATCATCAATTCTAAGGTCTATGATTACAGGTCCTCTTGCAATGATAGTCGTATGTTTTGTCTTTTTGCTTATTTGCATAACCAAAGTCCTGGCACCTTACAACTTAAATAAAACCAAACTACTTTCTTCTGTTTATTTCTCTTCATATCATTCTTTATTGCCATGACCATCATAATGGCTTCATCACTTTGGCTCAGCTTAACACTCAGATTACCCAATGTCGAGGATCATCTGGCCGCTTCTTTGATGACAGCCTCTAATTTTGTGTTGTCAGAATTCTACTTAATACTAATTAGTGGACATGGTTGGAGTTATTTTGATAGAGACCGAAATTATTACCTGACGCTAGTTTGCTTATCAATATTAAATTTTCATACTATTGTTCTCATTAGTGTCACCCACAGAAGAACGAAAGGAAGGATGGGTATCAGGAATCGATTTAACATCTTAGAACCTCAATCTTGCACAGTGCAATATCATTCGGCAAAGTTCTCTCACCATGAGTGATTATTTCTTCCCTGGAAAGCTGAAGGATGATGATACGATGATAAAGGCACGTTTTTTCTGGTCATAAGGAAGAATTGGCATAGATGGTGATATTTCTATTCTCTTTGGGTTCGAATTTGACTCGTACCACATGGAATGTAGAATTGGTGTGTTGAACATTTTCAGCTCTAGAGTTATGGTTTGATCTGGTTGTTGACAATCGATAGACAAGTTGCCTTAAGAAGTAACAGGGGGTTTCGTTGATTACTCACTGACTCCCCTACCGGACATAACGACGATTCTGGCAGATTATATATTAATGGGGCAGGTTTTTGTGGTACCTCATACAGAAGATGGAAGGCATAAACGCCTCAATAAATGTCCTATTATTTTATCACCTTTTTGGGGACATTTCCGAGTGAAAACTAGCTTTTATGAAACTACTCTGATGATTTCTGTGACATTTTCATGGATTTTCCTTCTGGCCAAAGATTCAACTCATAACTCTGTTACTTAGCTTCTAAAACATGAAGTATCTCTTCTGCAATTTTAGTACGCCAAATTTAAAGTTTAAAAATCTGTTAAAAAAGTACGTCAGTAGAGACAATTTTCTACCTGCATGATTTATGCCAGTGGCACTGGGAAGTGGTGATACAGAAGACGAATTTTGAGCACAGCTGGGGCATGATGATCCTACATCTTTATGCCAGCATCTTATATAATGGTTTTGGAGGTCCATATGAGGTTATCGAGACTAACCGTAACAGATCCTTGTAAATGTTCTCTACAAAGTAAAATGGAACCGAAAGTTTTTAACATAAGACGTAGATTATCCAACACATTGTGAGCACTGTTGCTTTTGGATCTTGGTGAAAATATGCTAGCTTGAATGCAAAATCGAGCTACAGTTTGTGCTTTTACTGACATAATTCCTTCACGTCGTTTTCTCTTTTGCATTTGTCTTCTTTGTGTCTCAATTTATTTTTAGTCACGTGCTTATTATGACTGTGAAATTTTCTTCTGGGCAGGCCTTCATTGATGTTGAAAAAGATTTAACTGAAAGAGGAACTCCGATGGACAGATTGATCTGTGGGGATGTTGGATTTGGTAAAACTGAAGTTGCCCTTCGGGCTATCTTTTGTGTAGTTGCAGCAGGTAAGCAAGCTATGGTTCTGGCACCAACTATTGTCCTAGCCAAACAGCACTTCGATGTCATCTCCGAGCGTTTTTCTCACTATCCTAACATCAAGATTGGACTTCTAAGCAGGTTTCAGGTGTGTTACTTCGTGAATTTCTTCTTGGGTATCAATCTCCAGATGCTTCCTTTTTCCGTTACCTTGTTTCTTGAACAAAACTTGCTGTTGTACTAGGAATTCTTCTGTTTCTTCTTTCATTGGGCTTTATCTAGAGCTGATGTTCCTTTTTTGAACGTTTGAACCGGCAGCTCGTTGAAAAAAAAAATTGCCTTAATCTTTTAACCAAAGAAAAACAATAAAGAATAAGATTCTTGAAAGAAGCTCGGTCATGAGAATTGGATATAGAGATGATAAATTATTCTCTTTTTTTTTCAGAATAAAAAGAAATTCGAATCATTCATAAAATTAATGATGTAGATTTCATGTCTTTTTAGTTATTTTGTCTTTTTGTCATTAAACTAATATTCTTGTTTCTTATCATCTTTTAGACCAAGTCAGAGAAAGAGGGGTATCTCTCAATGATAAAAGACGGCGATTTAGACATTATTGTTGGGACTCACGCACTTCTTGGAAATCGTGTAGTCTATAACAATCTTGGTCTTCTCGTGGTTGATGAAGAGCAGGTACTTCTACTTCATATTTTGCCTTTTTCCAAATGCATTAAATGGGGTTATGATTTTATTGTTTGGGTTTGAGAGGGCCAAGAAGGAACCAAGAGGAGGTGTGTTGTCTTTTTAAATAGGTTAGAAATGATGTATAATTACCTATAGAAATAAAATCATTTTTTCTAGATCGAAGGTCACACAACTTAGAACGTTTAAACGTGAAGCTACTATTTATATAGTGGTTTGGCACCCTAGACCTACTTCACCCTTTAAACAATATGGCCCTTAGGTTCCACTAACACTTATTATCAAAATCGATCAAACTTTGAATCATCAAAATATTTTTTTAGATTAATGTTTCCATGTTGATAAGGGTCCTTAGACTTTCGACGTTCTAGGCGAGTGTGGGATACGGAATGAGACACGATTGTGAGTCCTTTCCGTTCAGTTCGGAGGTTCGTCCAACGAACATGGAATGAGACATTTGTCACTGCTGCAGCCGTACTTACTGGGTCTTTTTCGGACCCTATAATTATTCACAAAACATTTCTTTTAGAATAAAAACTCGAGGTAGGTCCAAGTACATCCAGTGCTCAACACGAATCTCATAGAATAAAAAAATTAGCTCTTACTGTTGCAATAGCCTTGACAGATGAATTTTTTTTTGGAGTGCAAATTCTTATTTCGAATGTTGGTGGAGTTAATCCTTTTAAAAGACAGGATGTCCCTTAAGCTTTTGTGTTTGGAAAAAACTCATTATTGACAATCAGCTGTAGTCATTATGACAACTAGTCATGAAGCGCCTAATAGCTAATTTGCAGGCACTATAACATTTTGTTGTTTCTTTATTTTGTTTTGTTAACATTAGGTACGAATTAGTCTTCATATTAGGGGAGCGACTCATACTATATCCACTTCCTGCAACAAAGTGAATACATCACTTCACAATAACTTATTTCCTAATATACGGGATATTTTATTTGGAATTGGATATTTGTCAACAAATAAATAGTCTTTTGACATACTACCACCGTCAAAATTAAAATATTAACCTTTTTGGTGATACCTTAGTCATAGTTTGCTAAATAGACTCTTCCTGCTAAATTAGTCAACTGATGAGTTGAGTCCCTTCTTAAAAACAAAAAGGGCATTAAACTTCTTTCAAATAGTCTCCATTTTGGAATGCGTAATAAGATGTTAGAATTGTATATTTGCCAATATCTTGCTAGATACTCTTAACATAGTTGGTACTGCTAAACTGAGTTAACATCGTTGTACAGTTATTTTGCTAATATCAAAATTAAGAAGGCTCCAAATTACCTCAATATTTCACTTATACTACTATCAAGAGAAGTTAGAGACATGATTACAGACCATGATACCATCGATTCATACTTGAGTTATATGAATCATTTCAAATGAATCTCTTACTACTTCGTATTATTTCTTCGACCCATTGAGTGCATTTTACTCTGATTTATTATGTATATCCCAATCATTGGAATGCAGCTGAAACTTTGTTTCATTCTCAGAGAGGACATTAGTTTTCCACACTACAACTTGATCTTTCTTTTCACCCCTTTGACAAGTTTGCTTGGGACTCTAGTCATTGTGACTCTTACAAAGTTTAGTAGGAATACCTTAGACCTTTATTCGGGTGTCTTGACTTTAATCGCAAGGTGTTATGTATTTTTATTCCTGCCAATTTGTCTGATGAGACTTTTGACCGATTGTTTTAGTATCCACCGCTAGCATTATAAGGTACTTGTCACAAGACCTGTAATCAGGAAGCTTTGCCAAATTGTGACATAAATTAGAGTCAGTCTTAATGAGATAAGACCTGTTGAATCATTACGATGATATGGATACTTATCTTCTTTTATAGTTGATAAGAATAATTATATATTAATTATTATAGAAATAAACATGTGATGACAAAGATGGCCCTACTTAACTTATTGTTGGATGGATGCTCTAATTCTCTGGTCGAAAGTACCCTCTTTATATTGCTTGCATGACAAAGCCCTAAAGTTCGTTTTGCACAGAGAGACACTCATTAAGAAGCATGATTCCATATTAGCTCTTGGAAATAATCCTATGATTATAAACTCCTTGCCAGCTGGTTCTTGGAAATGAATCATTATCATGGCGTTAAAGATTATTGGTCAATTTAATCATTACTTTCTACCACATTATCTTTTAGTGAGAATTTTTTCTTTAAATTTGCCTGTAGGCTTTTTATCTAGTATTTTTTAAGAGAAATGGAGATAATATTTTATTTTATATTAATTAATAACTTTCATAATTCTCTTTACTACAAACTTGATGTGGCCATTCTTTGTTTCTCTCTTCAACAGAGGTTTGGCGTCAAACAGAAAGAGAGGATTGCATCATTCAAGACCTCTGTTGATGTTCTGACACTTTCTGCTACACCTATTCCCCGCACACTTTATTTGGCTTTGACTGGCTTCCGTGATGCCAGGTAATATCTGAAGAATGTTTAAATTTAGGATGTAGATTATTTTAGTTAGTAAAATCTGTTTTGGCGGGACTAGGCCTGCCTACTGCTGTACCTTGACGTGTGCTTGCTCTGCTTGCCCTGTCCTTTGGCTCTTCCTTTCTTTCTCGCTCGGTCTAATATAATAGAGTTGTGCTTTCTTACTTGGTAAATCTTAGTTAGTAATTACATAATTTTCTGCAAAACCTCTAATATACCAATTATTTTGTCGTAATATCGACGTTCTACTACATATTCCCTTTTTTTTTTGAATTTATTAGATGTATATCACTGCTTTGACATTTATATTGGATACTATGTCACCAGAATTTGATCTAATTATTGTATGAACGAATAACATGCTCATATTACCAGAATTTGATCTAATTATTGTATGAACAAATAGAGACAAATAGCAAACAGCCACGTTGGATTAGACGAAAGATAATGTATAAATGTCATGGCGGCAAATTACAAAGATAAGGATAACTTATCTTTGTGACATGTTACCTTATCTTTACAAAGATAAGGTAAATATTTCCCGTTTCGGGATGTAACGTGGCTGAGGTTTGGAAATCTGCTCTTTTCCTTTGTGAAAAATTGTTTGAGTATTTTATCACTTGCACTGGACGACGGTAATTGAAATGTTTTAGGGTAGATCGTGTACTTATATATGCTTTAGGGTACGAAGAACATTTTTTAGGAATACATTAGGACTTGTCTGTGAATGTTTGCTTTTGTCCTAAGGTTCTCAACAGATCATTCAAGAGAAAAAGAAGCAGAAGAGTGCGTAGGAAACAAACTTGAATACATTTTAGGCTGGCTTTCCTGGGGACACTAATGATTTGCTCTGTTATGGTATCTCGTTGAATGGCACCAAGCTTGTGCCGTAGAACATATGGATATGACAGAATGTTTTATATGGGGAACTTGCAATAATAGCAACGCGACTTATGCCCTTATTTTCTTATGGTACGAATCTGGTAACTTTCTGTGATCTAAAAAGGATTTGGATGGACAATAATGCTGGGGATTTATAGAGAGAGGTGATGAAATGGTGACAAGAACTTCAGGCTCTAGTTTCACAAAATGGACGGAAATCGGTTTCAGAGTGGCGGGAGAAGAAGGGAAGATGGTTCGACTTCCATGTATAGTTCTGTCTTGTTATCTTCATCTAACAAATCCCATCTGCTTTGGTTTCAAGATATGATCACCAGAAAGCCATTTTATGCTGCCATATATCATATTGACCCTCAATATGCATAATCTTATATTTCATTTCGATTGTGCTTATCCAAATACCTCTGACTCTTTCTATTTCTAATTATAAACCTAATTAAAAATGTTTAGTAGATTTCTTAGCATCTGATGTATTGGTTTTCTTGGATACACCCTAGTCCATGACCTCATTATTCACAGCATAAAGTCTACTCCATTCATTGCCGGTTAGTTTTGAGTTAGATGTTCTAATTGGTGTAAGATTATATCAAAATTGATGGTTGCTCCCAGGCACATTCATTTATGCTATTTGTCGGATAAAAACCCAACGTCGCCTTGTATGTGATGGGACAGTTAAGGACAAATAGATAGCATGTCTCATATTAAAAGACAAATAGATTCTATGGTTAGATAGATGAGCCTAATCTATTCAGTGCTGTCCAGTTGAATGACCTTATAACTTCAACAATTCAAAATACACTACTGTGTAAACATAACTTCAAGCAACAATAAAATCTGACACAAATGATAGTACAAGATCATTGTAGACTTAATGTGCTTCCAGCCAGGCACCAACCATTTTCTAATTAATAACTGCTGATTTCTCTTCATACGTTTTCCCAATATTAATGTGTCAAGTATGTGACAAATGCTTTAAAATCGTTAGGTTTGTGTACAGGCCTCAAACAAAATACTCATGCAAAGCTAGGCCATATTATGAGGAATGGTTTAGGTGGAATGGATAAACTTCTGAAGCCGTTTTGTTCATCATCATTCACATAAGAATTGGCTTGTTTTAAATCGACATAGCCAAAATTTCCTCAACTACAAACGTACTCTATCACTTTAGCCTCCCTTTGAAATTCCACTCGGTTATCCAACCTAGGAGTTAACTGAGACAAAAAATTAATAAAATATTTACTTATCAGTTAAGGCTTGTTTGTTAGCAAACTTACTTTACACTAAAGGAAAAAATAAAATGAAATAAAAAGGTTAAGAACAGTCTAACAAAGATAGAAAAAAATATTCAAACGCTTTGGAAAGTTTATAGATCTTGGATGAAGCTTGAACACACCATGGATGATTGCGTTTTAACAGTGCTCTATAGAGAGGTCGACAGATTTGAGATGAATCAGTACACTTTTTGTGTCGACATTGAGGTCCATACATTCAAGAGAAGAAATAAATATTTCACAGTTAACATTCAACTCTTATTCAGAATTATTTTTTCTCATCAAAAGTTTCAAAAGATGAGGATTGGAGACTAAACAAAACATGAAGGCATGGCTTCATTTTAATGAAGGCAATAAGATTACTACAATGTGGAGTAATTTTGGTTGTAAAAAGTGCCTGATTGCTTGCTTCTGCTTCTCAGTTATTATCACTTTGTGCACTCATGTTTTGCTGTCGAAAGATTCTCCTCTCAAACGAGCAACTTAGACAAGCTGCTTAGCGCTTCCTTTTATACACTGAACCAAGGATATGCTTCAATTTTCGCCGCAATATCCTGTCGTTATCATGCTTTAGCTGTCCAGATTTTAATATCTGTAAAAATTTCTTTGTTTTTCTAGTTTGATTTCGACACCACCTCCGGAGAGAGTTCCAATCAGAACACATCTTTCAGCATACAGCAAAGATAAAATTTTAGAAGCAATCAAGTTTGAGCTGGACCGTAGTGGCCAAGTCTTCTATGTTCTTCCTCGAATTAAAGGTCATGTTTTTATTGAACTTTCATCTAATAATTTTCTACACCTGATCGAGTATTATTTATAGGTTGTGGATCATTCCAGAAAGATTTGTATCTAATTTTTCCTCCCTTAATATTAATATCTTATTGGGCAGTATTAAATAGTCTCTTATAAATATTAGAAGGAAATGGTGAGCTTCATGCATCGTATTCTTTGTGCACATTAATGCTTTTTGCTGAATTTTGGCTTTCCAATTGAAGTCTAACAGGTCTTGAAGAAGTGATGGAACTTCTCGAGCAATCATTCCCGGATGTCTCCATTGCAATTGCTCATGGAAAGGTGATTTTTTTAAGATGATATGTGATTAACATTTTATCATGTTAACATTCTCTCTGTGAAATCTTCCCGTGGAGATACAGTTCAGTGTTCAACCTTACTGATTTATTACCAAAATATACTCAAAGTTTGTAAAAAAGTCTCTGAATTACATTTGATTGATGTTTTAAAATGATATGTGCATTGTGAGTCATCAATTTTTTGTGGATATTTTTCTTTTGGATGCTAATCTCTCATTTTCCAAGCTTACAATTCTTCACTGACATGATCTTAATTTTCACATTCGAACTTGAAGATTTAGAACCATGAATCCCTCAACACCCTGGCCAAGTGAGTAAACTAAGGATAAAAATGTTATACATCTTAAGATTCACGTCATGGGCGTACTTTAGATCACTTGGTAAGCATGACTCAACTCAAATATGCTCTTAAGATATGTGAGACGTTACGTGCCCATTTTTGGTCAAGTTTCTTTTATAAGTCACTAATTGTTGTCAATTGGAGTTTTTCATCATCTTCAACTGTGGAATCATTTTGTTATCACTTCGATATCCACTTAGTGGATTGATAATGTGACTTTGACATTGCACTTTCCTCTGTATTTTATTCTTATGTCAGCAATACTCAAAGCAGCTGGAAGACACTATGGAGAAATTCTCTCTTGGTGAAATCAAGATTCTGATATGCACAAATATAGTGGAAAGTGGACTGGACATCCAGAACGCCAACACCATCATAATTCAGGATGTCCACCAGTTTGGTTTGGCCCAGTTATATCAGGTCCTAATTCTTGTTTTACTACCTTCTAAATTTCAGTGGAAATTTTCGAAACTCGGATAGACAAGATTTATCTTCATAGATATGATGCTATTACTTTCTATTCCTATTCCATATCAATCATGTACTTTATGGGTTAGTTTGTAGTTTTTGTCTACAAGTCAGTCACATTCATGAAAACTTCAGAGATGGTAAATAGTCATTCTCTTGCCAACGTGTTTATGGGCACATTGTCCTTACCTTACATTAGGTTTCTGGTCATTCCTCAACGGTGGGATCTTTTAGTTTGGAGATTTGTGAAGCCTAGTAAAATTTTACAATTGAGAGTGATGGGAGCGTAAAGGAAGACATGGGCGAAAAGGAGAAAAACAATTGACATAGAATCTGGAGAGGATGGCCAAGGTGGATGAGAGGTCGAGAGAACTTCCAGAAGAAGTGGAAGAAGGTTGAATGGATATATCCTTCGAAGTATTTTCTACGTGATTTTTGATGAGAGACTTGTTCTTCCACCTATTGTAGCAAAACAAAGGTATATACCGGCATAAACTTCAAAATTTTCAGTGATCTCAATCTCAATAACTTGACGAGATGAGAGTGGACCCACCCAGAGAAACGAGAACATGAATGGGTTGCAATGTTCTCTTCCCCCAATACGAGATCTCAGAGCTTCTGTAGAGATTTTGTAACATACGAAAGAGGGAGAGTAAATCAGTACGAGGAGAATCGACACTAGAATATAGGTTTACCCCAAATAATACCCGAGGTTTCTCAGTATTGACCACATAAATCCCCTTTCTACCCCATATTACACGGATCACTCTTTTAAAAGCGTCCACAAATCATCCAAACAGTCTCTCATGTATAGATGCAGTCTTTCAAAAAATTATATCATCTGCAAAACTGACTCTGGGAGCTGTATGCATCAACATATGCATCATGTCACTTATGTTCTTGCTTACGATTAAATTGATCATATGTCCCCATCACGAAAGATTTTGTTCTTCAGTGGTTGACTTGTGGTTTCCTTTTCTATTTGATTTTACGGGCTGCAATTAAATTTTCTCATTGACAAGAGATCTCACTGTCATACTCCTTGCTGGAGCTCACTGTTCTCTTGCTTATGGAGAGGGTCCAAGATTTTGGTTGGGATTTTGCCTGCATTGGTATCAATCGACCTAACAATGTTGTTCCAATATATAATTGAACAGTTGCGTGGGAGGGTCGGACGAGCAGATAAAGAAGCTTTTGCATACTTGTTTTTTCCAGACAAATCGCTTCTCTCTGATCAAGCATTGGTATGTTTTGCATAACCTTCCTTTTTCAGCGATATCAAATTTCCTTTTTAATCTTCTTTTATGACTTGTAATACGCAGTTTTCTGGAATGGTTCATCATATGTGAAACCTTCCGCTCAATTGCCCGATAAATCCACACACCGTCATGAAAGACTCAATCCCCTATTACTGCTATATGACCGCAGGAAAGACTAGCTGCTCTCGAGGAGTGTCATGATCTCGGACAAGGGTTCCAGCTCGCAGAAAGGGACATGGGCATAAGAGGTTTTGGAAATATCTTTGGTGAGCAACAGACTGGTGATGTTGGCAACGTAGGAATCGATCTTTTCTTCGAAATGCTTTTTGAAAGTTTGTCCAAGGTATCTCATTTTCTTCTAAACTTGGTATTTTGTACGATTCTTTGTTCCTCATTATCAACTGGCGGGAAGATTTTTATTTTTATTTTCATTTTCATTTTTATTTTCATTTTTATTTTCATTTTTATTTTCATTTTTATTTTCATTTTTATTTTCATTTTTATTTTCATTTTTATTTTCATTTTTATTTTATTTTATTTTATTTTATTTTATTTTATTTTATTTTTATTTTTACTATTATTATTTATATGTGCATTTATTGTATATATTCTTCCTCCATTAATTTCCAGACATTAGATAGGTTCTTTTGTGCTGCCTTTCTGCTATTTCAGAGGTATGCCCCATCGGGGGAAAGAAGTCTCTTTGATGTCTGAACTTTGGAACTTGCTTTATTTGATTTCTAGGTTGAAGAACATCGACTTGTCTCAGTTCCTTACAAGCATGTTCAGGTATTCTTCTAACATTACAGCCGCCTCTTCTCAAAGTCAAGATTGAAGTCGTCGATTGAACAGAGGAATCCGAAAGAACTGATTAAAACATTTCTGCCACCTCTTCCTTTCCCAGCTGGACATCAACATAACTCCCCATCTCTCATCCGAGTACATCGACCATCTTGAAAACCCTCTTGAGTTGATCAATGAAGCAGAGAAAGCTGCTGAGAAGGACATCTGGAGTTTGATGCATTTCACCGAGTGCTTACGTCGGCAATATGGAAAAGAACCACGATCAATGGAGGTAATGATACTCTTAACAAGCAAATATCGTACCCAAAAAAAAAAAAAAAAAACTTCCAGGGGCATCCGTGAGTTTTGACATTGAAAATGTATGCAGATACTATTGAAGAAACTCTATGTTAGAAGAATGGCAGCAGATCTAGGTATCAACAAAATCTATGCATCAGGCAAGACAGTTTGCATGAGAACTGACATGAGCAAGAAAGTCTTCAGAATTATGACAGACTCAATGGCGTCTGACATTCACCGTAATTGCCTTGTTTTTGAGGCCAATGAAATCAAGGTCCGTATGATATTTCATCTATATATATATATATATATATATATATATATATATCAATACCCAAAAACAAAAAAAATATGCATTTTTTTGGACACTTGGAGGTTGTGCAGCGGCTTTAACACTGCTGAGAGCAGAGGAGCGCTCATCCTGTTCTTCCTTTTTCCGAGCTTTCAATACACCGAGGAAATCCTTGTATTTGTTTTTTTATATTATCACACCGTGAGTTGACTTTTAGATGATATCTCTTCCCTCCCCATCTTTTCTTTCAGGCCGAGCTCCTTTTGGAACTGCCGGCAGGGCAGCTTCTGAACTGGATATTCCAGTGCTTGAGTGAACTCTATGCCGCCTTGCCAGCCCTCGTCAAGTACTGATTGATGGGCTTCCCCCGACTCAGAACACACCGGATGAACGGCAGTGAGGACTTTAATTGGCCTCATTTTTGGGAGGGAAGGAAGGAGAAGCTGGTGGAAATCAGTCGAATCTCCCAGCCTTGCTCATGTTGGTGCGAATCTACGTAACCCATCCATTCAAGGTCTGAAAAAAGTTCTGGTTCAATCTCATAATCACGCCGCCTGCGTCGTCTGTTCGTGGTTCAAAGTGGGGTTGACCTTCTTCACAGGAGGAAGCAGGTAAAAAAAAAAAGACATCTTTCTCTTATAGCTCTCTTTGCGGCTGGGTTCTTAGCCTAATGTCTGCCATTTGCTCGGTGTTTTCTTTCCAATCTCTGGCAGCCCTGATGACATGGGGGATTGCATCTCCTCGCGACTGGGGGGGAGGGATGAATGACGGCGGAGTATTGGCCTTCTTTTTTTTTTGGGCATTTCACCATATCCAACGGTAGTATACATATAGTTTCTCACGAGGCGTCATCACACTGGCAGGCCAGGCGGCGCTCTGGCAAGGGGAGCGGGGGTTGGGGGGGGGCGGGGAGATGGGCTTCTTCTTCTTCCCAATCTTGGAATGCTGCTCGGTTTTGCAGCTTGTGGCAGAGTTACTCTCTCTCTCTCTAAACTCTCGTAGCAGATGACCCATTCATTCATATACGACGATAACGAATTGATTACATCCCCCATCTGTTGCTTGCTTGCTTCGATTTAATGGCCGATCTGTGCGGTAAGATCATCATCTGACCAGGTTTTAAGAGAGAAAAAAGGTTGGTGAGAGGTTCATCATTCATTTACTTACGAACAGCCTCCTCCTCTGGGTCCACCCTCTCTCTCTTGGTGAATCCCTGGTGATCCATCCCGAGCGGGTCGGCCCAGATCGAATGCGCCGGCCGCGGGCCGCACCGCTCCGCCGCAACGCCGACCTCAATCTGGCTTCTTATATCTTCAAACTCCTCTGCCGCCACAGCCTGCCGCTTCCCGCCTGCTTCCAAGTCGAAGCTCGTCCTGGCCACAGAGAGGGAAGAGGGGAAGAAGACGCCCGCCGAGGAAGAAGACCCCACGGCGCCGCCGCCGCCTTCCTCCCTCTTGACCGCCGCTCTGAAGTCATTTCTCGACCTGGGGGTCCTCCTGAAGAGGATCTCCCTTATATTTCCCACGCATCCGCGGCTGTACGGATTCCCCTTCCCTTCGTACCGGCACCGGAAGTTCTCGTAAGTCGTCTGCATCAGAGACAGAATATGGATTAATGATATTATTATTGGAGAGAATTGGGGTTGACCCTTGGGGGAACCCACCTGATTGGTGCAGATCAGGTAAGCGTGGAACGAGGTCAATCCTCCGACGAACCAGGCCGCGATGAACGTGTACAGGATGAGGATGCCGGACACGGGCGACTTGAGATAGGCCCTCCAGAGGCTGCACCCATGGGCCGCCATGATCTCCTTGAGATTCACCCAGCAGAAGGCGAACACATAGAGGCACAGAAGAGTTGTCGAGGAAACAAACATGAAGAAGAATCGGTAGTTCCTCTGCACACACAACAAACAAACAACAAGAATAAAAAAAAAAAGAAGAAGAAGAAGAGAGAAGTGACTAAATCCGAAGTATAATCAAGGAATCATCAGTTATAGTTTCTGCGAATGGGAGAGGGGAAGAAGCATTCTCATACACCCCCACTGAGATGATGATGATAGCGGCATAAAGATTGGAAAGTTATAAAGGTTCCGACGTTGTGTGAGCTAAAATCATGCATGCATAATCCGGCAGTGAAGGGCGTAGAGTGGATACAGCTCAAGGAATAGAGCATGTGGGTCACAAGGACGAATGATGACGTTCTTAAGAGCTATAATCTGCCAAAGTCTTCGCCATTGGATGGAAAAAAAAAAAAAGAAAAAAAACCCAGATGATTCAAGGTTCGGATGATGCTGCAGGAGGAAGAAAAACACAGGATGGTGCTTACTTTTCCGATGCACTGGCCGACCCAAGGGCAATGGTGGTCAAAGCGTTCAACGCAGTTGTTGCAGATGGAACAGTGGGAGCACCGCGGTGGTCTATAAAGCATGCATGTGTGGCAATATTTAACCTTGACGACGATTCCACCAACGATGACGTCCTTGGTAGGGGGCAACGCGCCACCGCGGTTTCCTGTCCAGTCTGCAGATAGATGTGACGTCTCAGCTTTCTCATCTGTCTCCGGAAGATGTGCATTACGAGGAATTATGCCTGGATCTCCGCCAGATGTCATAAAGAGAAGCAACAGAACCTGCGTGCAAAAAAACGATCACATGATTCCTGATGCAAAGAAGTGAATTCAGTGAATAAATAAAAAAAACTGATTCTAGAAAAGGTTTTATAAGTGGGGAATTGAGAAGGGCATCCGGCATTGCCAACTCCAAATCAACGATGACCAACGAGTAGTTTATATAAATGATCCTTCAGTGACAGAACCATATGTTTACAAGTACGCAGATTATGAATATGACCACATCAAATGAGAAAAACTCTGGAAGGAGTAGATATAAAATGTTCAGTAAACAAGCTTAGAAACATTATTACGCATTTTCGCAACAATCTCAAACGGAAAGAAGAAACTTACATATGCAGCAAAGACAACAGCTATGGCTATTATGAGATTCCCTAGATGGTGATGGAATTCGTGTACAAGCTGCTGGGAAACAAACACAGCGAACAGAATGACTGGAACCACTATCAGAAACACTGTTAACACCAGTGACCTTACGTCTGGGCCAAATATAAACCGCCCTCCTAAGAAGAATTTCTGCAAAGGAAAATACGAAGAAGACATTAATGAAACATTATTATTAAAATAATTATTATTAACATCATATTAAGTGAAAGCGAATGAAGGAGATATATGGCTCCTCGTCTCGATATCCTTTGGTGTTTGCCACGAATGCTGTACTTAAGTTGAACAATATGCATTGGGGTTGTCTAACGTCCTATTCTTTATAATGGTGACTCATTGAACAACTGATCCTTCCCATTCAAGTAGATGGCCAAGTCATCGACAATTTTTTTGGTAATGCTCAAGTACAGAATCTGACAAACACGGAAAGTCATGAAGATTTTTCGAACTAGGAACTACCAGAAATTTCTTTTTTTTTTAAAGAGGAAGCACCACACGCCGTAGAAGATGCTTAAAATAAAGGCAGCAACATCACCGTATAATTAAAGATGCCTAACCTAGATAAGATTTCCCTTGCAGAAAATGGATCCAAAGGCTTTGTTGAAAACCCTGTCATGGCCTTCATAGACTCGAAGGCCTGTGATACCGTCGTTCAGCTGGTCAGTACAACCATTGTAGGGTTGAACCAAGAAGATATACATATATTGTACGGTATAAGTATCATAACTCAAGAAGTTCAGCACTGCATGTGGGTTGGTAGATAGTGATCCATGGGCACTTCGCTGCTACTTGGATTAACCTTGGGAATCATTATTCTTGCAATTTTATTAGATTGCCAGACAGAATCCGAGAAGACCTGCCAAGGTAAATGCTCCTTAAAACGCTTTTCCTCCGCCTATATTTGTGCGTGCCAACCTCTTTCTCAACGACATTTAATTTTACTCACTGGAAAACTCTCGAGTCATTAACAATACTAGCATTTAGATCACCATAATCGTCGAATCACATGGACACTGGAGCCCTTATAAGAGACGAAAGTACTGGCTTCATCTAACAACTGTAAATACTTCCCGACACCAAACCTCCCCATGATTCCCAACCCCAGGTTTTACTTCATGACCCAATTGTGAAAAGTTTATCTTCAAGATTTCCATGAAGGTCACCTGTTGTCATCCGAATCCTACAATCCATCTTTGCAGAAACTAACTCTTGTTAAATTGTCTAGATTCCATGTAAAAGAGCTGCATACTGACAAATCTTTACTGCCACAAAAAGTGCACCAGCACAATCCATTCTCCTTCCATACGCAGCTCACTTTGTGGAAATAATAAAACTGAGGTCAATTAGGAACGCTCACAAACCTTGACACTGAAAACAGGTAGAAAGAAATAGAAACTGAGTTTTATTGCTGTTCTATTGCCTATCGTTGCAGATACACTGAGAAAATAGTTTCCTCTAGCAATAATAATTCTACGTAGATTGCGCAACCCAGGTAGTTGTTCATGTCTAAGAACGTAAACTCATGCAGCTTGGGGGATGGAAGACGAGAGAGCTTGTAAAGATGAGGAAATGAATAAGAAAAAAATGTTGGGAGAACCTCACATTACTACCCTTCCAAACTTGATAAACTCTCTTTGTGGAACCATTTGGCTCGATCATTCTGCGGTTTGAATCCGAATGCTGAGCAGGAGCAGTATACATCTTGGTTCGCATATGGCGATTCCACAGACCAGAATGGTCAGGATTTCAGCGACGATGTGACCATTGCTGCTCAATCAGATCTGTTAAGCGTCAATAACGGCGAGATACATTTCCAGGAGAAGGCAGAGAACGACGCAAAAAGAAGAGAAAATACAGAAAATGCAGAGCGCAGAGTACAACAATTGGTGAAGATAAAGATGAAAAACGAAAAATAAATGAAAATTTCCAACTCTTTAACCGAAAAAATATGCCGCAAGACGAGGAAACCCGCTCGAAACAGACAGAAAGCACGAGAAAATCAAAATTCAACAGGTAAAGTGCACGGGACGAGAAAATCCACAGAAAATACAAAACGTAAAGAAGAAAAAATCCACGACCTCACATTAATCAACGCCTACTCAGATACATTGCCTAGGAAGATCGATGATGGGATTGTCACCACGCGATTGAAGCCTCCGACGTGGCCGAGCTCAGCCAGCTCCGGCAACCCAAAGGCAACAGCCTGGTGGAATCAGGAGCGTCTTGGTGGACGGGGAAGACGGATCAGCCGGCGTGGATTTCAGCGCAGCTCTTCTCTCGACGCCACCGCCTGCCCTCCGGTCGCTGCTCCGGTGGCGGCTGCTAGGAAAAAACGACGATGAGAAAGAAGGTGGCGGACTGGACGAAGAAAGAGAAATCTGGCAAAAAGCAGCACCAATACGTGGATATTCACACGCAGCGCCGTACTATTATCACAAATGACTATAATACCCTTATTTGAAGCAATTTCGGGAAAGCATACGTAAGGATATAATAGGAAATATTGGTCCGAGACCGTAGGAGCTTCCTGGCCATGCACAATAAGCGTTCGCCAACTGCGAGGTTCCACGTGCAAATATTTTTCTTTTCTGGGTTAGAAGGTAAATATTCGCTTGGACTCTTCTTGGATTTCCCGTCTGGCACACCGACCCCATTTTTTCTTCTTTCATGCTGTTTTTACTCTGGAAACTTCAGAAGTTGATCCCTTTCATTTGGAATGTACGCGCAAATATGCAGAGAGAAAGAAGAGAAAGAGAGAGAGAGAGAGCGAGAGAGAAGGAGAGAGAAGAGAGAGAATCCATGTGACCTGCCGTCTGCAAAAGCAGTGCCACTCAGCTCCGACTTCTTTTTGCAGGCGAGCAATAATCTCCCTTCTTCTCTTTTTTACTTTTCCTTCAACTTGAGTTGACTCTCTCTCTCTCTCTCTCTCTCTCTCTCTATCTCTCTCTGGTCAGAAATAGGGGAGCATCTTTTACACTGATTATTTTGAGTTAAGATTAAGAAGGGAAGGATCAATAAACTTATTTCAAAAGTCAAACAAGGAAGACAAATCGAAAAAAATCCAAAATTTTATCGCTATCCAACTGGGGCCTAAGCTTCCAAAATTGGTGCTAGAGTTTGTCCTGAGCCATCAATTGATCAGAAAGCCTGCATTTTCAGACACAGGCAAGCTACCCAACTCCAAAAGGAATTTCTTGCAGACGTAGATCATCATTCTCTAAAAAGAGAAAGTCAAACCTTTCTTGATCTTGGTGGCCAAAAATTAATGGGCACAATGTTCTTGAAAAAGAAAAAGAGACGACCCAAAAAATCAGATTAGACCCAAATAAAATGTGGATAAATACATCAAAGCTGCTAATTTAGTCATTATTTTGGTGTGAGATCGTTTAAATTTCATTTTTCATAACATAAAAAGTTGTTGACTTGTTACAACTCCAAGAGCACTTTTATCATTACAGATTATCATTTAAAGGAGTTTTTTTTTGTGGAATATTAAGGATCATTCAAGCCATCTTTTTGGGTTCAAAGGTTGAAGAAGATCATGCTTTGTAGATTCAAACTGATTCAAAACCTGAGCAAGTTCTTTGCTCTCTTGCTGAATCAGTGATTCTTGCAGTGGTGGGGCATGGAAATTCAGGACTGTTGCCATTGATGGGGTTCAGAGAATTTCGTCACCACCTGAGTTGGATCTGATTTCTCCCCTAGTGCCAAAAAAGGAAAGAAAAAAAAAAGAAAAAGAAGCAAACTTGATGAATGGATGGGGAACTGGATCAAAATGGAAATTTCTTCAATTGGGTTGAGAAGAAAGTACCCAGTGTAGAATTGGGTTGAGAAGATATATCAGGGGCAGGAACAGAGAAGGAACAGGAAGCCTGAAGAACTCAGCTGTTCTTCTGGTCATGGCGATGGCTCAAGAAGTAGCTCAGGTTCTTCTAGACCCACCAATCTACCAGCCCTCATCGATTTCTCCTCACCTCAACTTGCTACTCTCAGAGGAGAGTTCATACCAGCAAGATGAAACTGATACAGATTGATGCAGATCTGTGTGCATGTTCTAGGCTTCTAAGCTTCTCCCCTGAAACCCATCACAGCCGCCCAGCACTCTCCGCTCCTCCACACTGAGACAGTTCATTAAGTCAACCGAGTGATCATGGGAGCATGAATTGCATGAAGGGCCAGCTCACAGATGAGATACCTTTGGCGGGTTTCTCGATCCAAGGACCATTCATGATGTTCAGAATGCTACAAGCATCGCTGTATTCCAGATCCGGCAGAAGCTTTGGCGTGAGCAGGAAACACCTGAAGAACATGAACCCAGAGAGAGAGAATCCGATGCTCGTATCTTCCATATTGGGAAAAAAAAGTGAATTGGGCAACTGGGTGGGAGGAAGGATTCCTCACTGCGGTGTGGTGGGTTGGCTGGCCGCCCGCACAAGCTGTTGAAACATCTTCCTTTCATTGATGGGATCCATCCCTGATTATGCTTCGACTTGTCAGCCAAATGCTTTCAAGCATCACAAAAAGAAAAACAAAATTAAAAAGAAAATCCGGTCCCGACCTTGATTGATCTCATCGACGACTCGGAAAGGGCAATTTGTGAGGTCTTGCAAGGAAACGAGGTACAAAATGGTGGAAACAGAGCGCTCCTTGAGAGAAAACAGAGCCAGGTAAACATGGGGAGTAGAACAGAGGAGAAGCATTCGAGTTTTTGCAGCTACCCACCCCTCCTGATTGATGATGAGCGCTCAACACCTGTAGCTGCCCTGTTTGTCTGAAAAGGAAAGATTGGCGGTGTCAAAGCGAGCACCAAATTTCATGAGGAGAATGGAGAAAATAATATATATAGTAAAAGATGAGACTACTGATGAACATGCTCGCCTTTTATATGCAGGCCTCATTCAAGCCCCACTGCGACTTCTCTGCCGAACATGACTCGAGAACTGCTAAAACCTTTAAGCTTTTTAATGTAAAAACTAATAGGAAATTCTAGTCTACTTAGCATTGGGATGATGCGACCTCTGGGACAGATGGAAGATCACAGTGACGACCTAGACAACCTTTATTTAAGCAAAAGTAGTGGCCACTAGCCATCATCTCCTGCTCAAGCACCTTGATGTCATAGCAATCGACATTTGGTTGAGTGGGGCGGACTGGGATTGATCCTACCTCCTACTTAATGCATTGGGCCACAAATGCTGACGAATGAGGCATCCCTTTCAGCTGAAGAAAGTTAATGATGTGAACTAAACTATAACTGTTGAACAACAAAAAAAGAAATTTTAATCTCACGTATAAAAGATTTGATCTTTACCAAAAAAAAAAAAAAACAGCTTTACAGAACAGCTGGTTCAGGATTATCCTCAGTTTATCACGCGCAGTAAATAAAGTCTTGGAAAGCGATGTGATTGAGATGAAGGATTACTCACCTAAACTTCACCTTGATTAAGATACCATATTTATCAAAATCCATTTCACGCTCATCTGAACAATAAGATTGATGAAAGAGAACATAAGAACCCATTCCTCCTGTTTATGACGCCCAGACAAAAAAGATAGTTGGGGATACCCAGTGAAACCTCTCCTGCAACAGCCATCTCTTGGAAGTTGTGGTTAAATGTTTCATTTATCTTTGCAACAAGATTTCTTAATGTTGGAAGCCACTCTCCCTGCAAAAAAAATTCAAATAGGAACAATACAATACACAAGAAACGACCAGATCATGTAATGACTGAGGTGAATTTAACATACCTTAAGCTCATTTACTTCAGATAAGCATTTATTTAGTTGGCAGACGTCAGCTTCCAGTTTCCTCTCAATAGCATTCATCTGTATAATCAACAGTCAATAGAAGAAAGCAGCGTACAGGGGTTACTGCACTGTTCTTAGATGAATGGCAAAAGATCACCTTCTGTTGACGTGCTTGATACTCCTCCAAAACATTTTGATTGAGGAAAAGGATTGAATTTGCTTGAGAAGTTATATCTATGATAGCAGCTTCAAGTTCTTCAATGGTGCCAGGCATCTGCAAGACAACTTCTGATTTCGGTTAGACAGTATATAGAAGAACAAAATACTGGGATTGATGTGCGACACTTTTTCCAGGATAAAAAGTTATTTCCCTCTATGGCTTCCATGAGTGGGACCTCGTTCTAGTTGGGGTTTTCCATATTTAGCAACAAAGAAAAAGAAGGCAGATCAAATCAATCGAGTAACTTCCTCAGTATATCAAAGATTCGAGGATAGTTGGAAAGGGTTACCCTGTCTACTATTATGTGTGTTTTGGGTCCTCAAGTTCCCTAACCTTCAATTATAACGAAGATAAGTATATGCACATTAGTCATAGCCTCATCAAACTGTTACAAAAAATAATTTGCCAACATTGAACAAGTTCTACATTGGGTTAGTGAAGGAGATCAAGACACCAATTTTACAATTATCTGGTAAAATCGAGAGTATCATCCGACACCTTTAAGCTCTGATTCTCCCTTCCCTTTAGAGGTTTCCATTTTAGGAATAGTTCATTCATTAAAAGGCCAACTTCCTACTGTCAGAGGGATTTCCTTCCAAGTTGATTGGCTCTCTTTTAAGAGGTCAACTTGCTAATACCGTATCTTCATGCCTTTCTTTTTAAGGTCAGCTGTTCGTTGTCCTTATCTCATTCAATCTCACTATCATTAAGTACACACATTATACTACTTAATCTCTCTTCGGATTTGTTTTACTTGTGCGATCTATCTTTTGAAAATTTTAACCGCCTAATGCATCCTAGACAACCTGTAGGAATGGATACAAAAGGTGACCTTGATGCTTTACTAGGGTAGCATGTAGACCTGTCAATGCTGATGCGCATACTTTTGACGTGAAATAAGAGCTTAAGCTCTTTCAGACTGATATTGGTCATCTGATGGCTATATTATGGATGATCAGTTTATTCTTCATTTTATGCTAGCAAATAGCTATTACATCAAATCGAGGAACTACTCTTTAATTCCTGCTGCTTGAATCACAGAAGATCAGTTGTGCTGCCTTGACGTTGATGTTTTCAATATTGTTGTCAGTGCTCCCCCGAGTTGAGTTAATCTCAACACTTTCAAGGGGAGAGGTAATCGATGGCACACTACATTTCTTAAATATGTCAGGAACAATTCAGGATCTCGTCCAACAACTTTAAGAGAGAGTTATTCTTTGATTATTGAGCTTCATTCCTCCTCAATCCTTGTTCTTGCAAAGAGCGAGCATCTAATGTTGTCTTTGGAATTTCTTTTCTCAAAGGTTAATTTGCTATTGTCTTCAGGCCTTACCTCAAAAATCCACTCTGTTTCTTGAGGTCTCCTCGTCAGCAAAGTTATCATTCTTGACACTTTTTACCTAATTATAAATTAAGCTCCATTCTATGTTTCTCTTTCTCAATTCTTTAGTCTAACATACTGGGCAGATGAAAGAGTGATCACCATTCAACGGCGAGTTGCTGTCAAAAGGAGAGCACCATATTTCTTCCAGAGACTCTAGTATGAATTTGTATTTATATTTATAATGTGTTTAACATTCTGAAAATAGATCATATTCTGAATCAACAGATTCTATTGAACAATAAATGCGGCTTTCAACATGATTCGGCTTGACGTATAGTGTAAAAATATTAGTGCAACGAATATGAGGAATGAAAGCGAATAATTACTAAGAGAAAGCCAAAAAATACAATCATATGAATTATATTGCATTGACTTCTGTGGCAAAAAAGCAATCGAAACATCTTGGATAGCTGCAACAGTTCAATGATAGTTTGGGAGTAGTAAAGGATATTCCAATGCTTCAAGAAACAAAAGTTATTAATAGGAGTTTCACCTCAAGGAATTCCCGTTCTAGCTCCACAGTAATTCTTGCAATTGATTCGGCATGACATTTGGCATCAGAAAGTTCTTGTTTCAAAGATTTTGTAACTTTTGTGCCTGCCATAAAATTTCAATTCAAATATGACAAACGATTAATACACAGCAATTCAGACAATGATTTCTCCATGAGGAAAAGAAATAATTTATCATCAAGATACAACATACAGATGAAGATGTATAAGGTAATGGCCTTTTGTCATTAAAGAACTGACTGATATAAGAAACTGGAAAGTAAAGCTACTTTCAATTACCCGTTCGTCTGTTCTCCATTGTCCTCCATGTTAGTCTGAGCAGGTTTCGAGCTTTGAATTATCATCTAACTTCAAACCTCCACGCATTTGTTTTATGATAATAAGTCTTGGAAACGTAGACTATCTTTGAACTTTGAAACAATGCTTATGCCTTTTAGATTAATCCTAACTTTCTTGTTTCAATTCCGCCATTTGAAGTTGTAATATTTAATTTTGACCTTTCCTTTTATCCACAGTTTTAATCCGATCCTCAACTAAATCAGCGACTATGAGATTAATTTAGACTCGAATAGAGTGATTGTTTACCAGAAAAATCACATCCTATAAATTCATCATGACAGTCTATGCTGGCCTGAATGGAGTAAGCATTTCAAGGTTTTTTAAACATAAATGAAGGATTTTTTAAGTATAAAACCTATACCTCTATTTGCTTATTGTCTGCAAGCATAATTTATGGATTTCCATTACGTATGCCACCATGTTGAACTACATATTCAAAGTATGAAACCTGTCATCTAGTGTATGTCATAAAAGTATGTTGCATTCAGTGTGGATAGCAAGGGCGTGAGTTGTTAACGTTGTTCTGATAAGCTCTGCAATCAATAACAGAACTTATCATTGTTTCCACACCGAATGATAAGAAAAAGAATGAACATAGAAATGTCTATTTTTTCCCATCGAAGGGGATCCTTTCTACCAATTCACAGTCAAAACCTGGGACTTCCTACCAGGAACCGAATCCATGAGTTTTATTTTTGAGTATGAAGACAGTGAGAGGCGTGCACATGTGACTATGTTCTGATCACTTCTCTTACCTCCCTCACCTTTTAATATCAGATCTCCTGTTTGGGTAGAGAAGCACAGACTGACTCGGATTGCTACATTCTGACTCGCTGCACGAATATTGCCAGTGTGACATTCAATAACTTATCAGGGTTTGAACTAGTATTCTTCCAAGGCAAAGTTCAATATGCTTTTCCCTTGCATTAAAATTATATTCTGGGTACATCAAATATGAGAGAGACAGAAAATTGTTTATCAGTACTTGATTGATAAAAAATAAAATTAATCTTTTTGGTAAGTTTGTGAGTAGCTACTCTTTCGAGAGACAAAGTGTAATGTTTGCGGTGACATGTTTAGAAAAGAAATGGGATTGCCTTTCCATAATTTACCGGTAATGTTTCTATGATGTGGGCTAGTTGATGGGAATCAACTAAAACAACTAGGAATATCCCCTGGAGATTTCTACCGAATAAAAGCGGGATGATGCCAAAGGTTTAATTCAAACTAAAATGTAAATCGGAAATCAATATACCAATATGTTGTGACCTAGATTTTAATCAATACCAGTTTCATTTTATTTTACGCGTTTACTTTCCTTTTTTGCTTCAGATGGCATCCTAAAATGTTTCATTCACTAAAAAATCTTTCGGTGATAGTTTTTAGTTACATAAACGAAGAAACGTTTCATGTCCACTAAAAAAATTCCTTTCGTAATCATTTAATTCTTCTTTTTATGCCATTAGGACATTGTAGCATTTACCCGTCTCACAAAAATTATAGCATAACGTCTCAGCCAATGACGTATTATAATAATAACTTCTGCAGAGAATTTACGCACAGCAGATGATGAAAAAAAATCTCGGCAGCAAAAAATACGACATAAATAAAATTTCTTGCTAAAATTAAACAAAAAGGATACTATACATCTGCATATATATATATATATATATATATATATCAATCATGTATTCCTCATGAGAAGTATTCTAGATCTCAGCTTACACTCGTCATAATATGTGGATGCCTGTAAAGCTGCTCGTCGATGCTGCTTCAGGTTAGCGTCCAAGTCTTTGATCTAAAGCAGAAGCAACAAGAAGGTAAAATAAACAAAGTATTTCCATGAATAACTGATTTTCGTTCCTAGAAATAGAAATCAATCGTACAAAGAGAGTGATCCTCTTGCCTTTTCTCTAGATGAAAAAGACTGGATGACAGGACTTTGATATGAAGGTTTTTTCGATCATAGAAATGGAAACAGTTGCAGAAAACAGAGGAGAAGCAATCCTTTCTAATTAAAGGCATACATTATAAACATTCAAATTCTGATTGCCTACGTCCACAGAATAGTTCACCTCTTAAAAATCTAGCTGAAATATATAGCTCGGCTGCAGCAAGAAACGGCAAAAGAAAATTCCAATCACAAGTGGTTCTGTAACGATAGAAAGTACGAAAGAAAAAATAAGGACTATCGGCATATACAAAGTTAAAACAAAAAAGCAAAAAAAAAAATCTTGTGGTCTAATTATTTCAAAGGTTTTGTTGGAAATGGTGTTTATTCAAAGAACTGCTCGACACTGCTCAATTACGAGAATATGTAAAGTAACCCTTAACCGAAACCAAAGAGAAGTCTCACAATTATGAGGTGACCATTAGTGAGGTATTTTACTGGGTATTCAGTTCCATACCAATAGATTAAATCCTGAAACAACGTGAAAGGTAGGCATTTAAGTATTACCTGTATATCAAGGTCGACAGAGGTCATTCGCCTCTCAACATAATGCCGCTTTAGCGAAATGACATCCATAAGCAAAGTCTAGAAAAGAAGTAATCATACATTTAGAAAAGGTGAATGGAAGCAGTTGTCAGAACATACAGAACCATGGGAGATGTAAAACAATGACAACAACCGAAAGCTAAACATGAGCACATAATGGGCGAGATATCATCATCCAATCCAGATTCACCTTCATCTTAATTGCCAACTGATAACGGTCTAGATTCAACTGGGAAGCCTGATCAGTTAATCTTTCTATATTAGATTCTAAGTCATCTTCCTTTCTCAGATATTCAAGTCGCATCCTTCTCTGGTCTGGCTCAAATCCAAAGAACCATCAGATTTAGTAGAAAACTTGAAGAAATAAAGCAGATTAATGTAATGAAAAACTACAGCCGTCTTTATTGGAAAGTTATATTTCGATAGACATACCGACACGGTTTTCCAGTTCACGCCGTTTTCTCTTTTCATGCGCACCAATATTAACGATTTCCTCCTAACAAGAAACAGAAGTGACCCATTACCCATAGTTACAATGTCTGTGATAAATATATCCTAAATTTAGCTCACATACACGCTTTTTCTGAAGTTTAGCTGCCTCATCTTCTAATTGCCTCTGTTCCAACTGAAGTGATTTCAAAATTGCATCCATTTGTGATATGCTGGCTTCAAGTTCCTCTTTCCTAGACTTCATTCGTTCCACATCCCCAACTTCTAAATCTGTAAAAGGGAAGTATTATGAGCACATGTAAATTTGCAGAGAACATGGATGAAAGCAGCACACAAGATTACAAATACTTACTATATAAGAAAAGTCGGGACTTTTGTACTGGATCTACAAATGCTGAAATATGGCCGCCATATCTGGACCTAGACCACCGATAATGACAATCTGGTGTCCACAGATCTGCAATCCCTAGTTGTTGAACCTCATCAGCTCTCTGATCTGTGTCTCGTGTGCCAACGTACTGAGGACAAAGTGTTCAAAGTTAGAAGAGGCTATAACCAAACACTAAGAAACTTTTCCATAAAATTATTATCAGGAGAAACTTTGCTGCATGCAATAAAAGCCATGGCTAGGTAGCACGGTTTGTTTCATAACTTGATAGAGATCAATAATTTGTATCCGGTTACTACCCATTAAGAATTCCACAATGAATTAGAAAGTGACCATACAGAGGTTTGCAGAGGACTCTGGCTGTTGAGAACTTGTTTCACAGCGGAAGGAGCATCAAAAACCTGGTCAAGCCTTGTATATATACAGAGATCTTTCATCTGCTCAGCAGAGTAAAGATAATCGTCAGCTCTATAGCTTAGAGGAAAAACGTCTTATCCCTAAAATACTAATTTTTAATACCTCTTGAGACAGTTGAAATGGTATTTCTGTGGTTCCTCCCTCGTCTGTAAAATTTAAAACTGGAACATCAAATGATTTGAGGTTTTTGACCAAGAAATCTCTATCAGCAGCATCCTGAGTGACGAAAGACTAACAGAAGAATGGATAAGCATATAATATTTTCATAAAATCATCAAATGACACAGGTTTAAAAGGAAAATAAAACTGTGAGAAAACATTTCATTGATGGTCAGTTGAATTTTGGAAAAAAGAGGGGGGGGGGAGACTATGAGAAAAGCATGAGAGTTGGATGAAAAAGCAGTGGAAAAATGGATATGATATAGATGTCTTTATTTCTTCCAGAGACAATGACCAATGGCGCACCTTGCTCTAGTGTCTTGTCATTTTTTTTTGTAAGAGTTACTATATATGAGAAGTAAGACTCCAAAACGGAAAGGGGCTTGTCTTGAATGAGTGTTTATAGGGTGCACGAACAAAATCAAAATTACTGACTCAATACGAATCATGAAAGGTTTCAACTAGGCGGGTCGAAGCTACCCATTTCAAAGACACAAAGTTGAGACATGGCTTCATAATCCTTCCCCAAATTCACTTCACAACGTTTCTCAGGATAGATTTCTTCTCACAATCGGAGACCAGGAGAGTCCCTACCTTGTTTCAACTCTGACGGTGAGACTCTAGCTGAGAGCAAGCCATAAGAGGCAAGAGGGTGAACTGAAACCGCTCGTCTGCTCTAAAACTCTACGATAGAGTGCACAGAAAAGAACCAAGCTACGGATGGCAACACTGCATCTTGTCCACATTACATCCCCACTGAACAAGACATTCATTGACAGGTTGAAAGGATAATTGAAGAAACATAATCATGAACTGTGGTCATTCATATCCGGAATAAGAACACATCTAAAATTTATCCAGTAGGGTATAGTTGTCCATCAGGTTTGCATAATTCGTATATGGACCAAAGACCATAGATCTGTACATATTTATTAGGGTGCCACTGTCCATCAGGGTCAACAATGTTCATTTTATTTATTAGATAAGAGAATCTTGTGGTTACCACAATTACTATATAATAAATTAACTTTTTTTTCGTAAATCCATATTTTCAGTTATTCCTCCATTAGCTTTTTACTTCTTTGAGTTATTACATCTCTTCGAATTTCAGTCAGACTTGCTGAATTGTTCAAACATTGAACCCTGTCCGCCATTCAACGAATGTACTATGTGTAAATCGACAAGATAAATTAGTTCTCAAAAACAGCACTTGAAAAAATGTACCTTCCAAATATAGTAAGGAACCTGGGATTCCAGGTATGGCGCACAATCACGATTTTTTAAGTTTACCTGGTGCAAGAAAAAGTACGAACTAAATGAAACAAAATGTAATCCACATGAATTACTGCCACTCTCTTTCTAGGCATACCTCAAGTAGTACAGGCCCATAGACCTTCTTCCGCAGTTCATTACGATGCCCCTGCAACCACTCATAAGCTTCATATATTTTATCTGAACCAGAATTACGCAATGCTTCAAGAAGCTTAGTATTCTTGCTTTCCATGTCCTTCAATCTTTGAAAACAAAAAATACTCTGGTAAATGCAAGCTCTTGACTAGCAAAAAAGATTACAGATCACAAAAAGGAATAGACCACCTTTCTAGGCACTGTTTCAACATTGATTTATGTTGGTTTAAGCACCGTTCTTTTTCTGCTTTGTGAAGCTTCTTCTGGTTAGCTGCGACTTCTAGCTCACATATTTTAGCGCCTAATGATTCCTACTAGCAGCAGAATTTTCGTCATGAATCATTAATCTGTTCGGCAACTTAGAGTAGAAAAACAACACGGTATCCATAAGAACACCTTTAGAAAAATAAAAATGAATTCCCCACTACCAACAAGGTGCACAAATAATGAAATACAACTCAAAAGTGTTCTGCCGAATGGTGAATAATGAGACTTGAAAAAACAAAGGAAGAGATAAAAAACGAATTAGGGCACTGTGGGAAAAACGTGTAATTAGGAGTTAGTTTCTGTTGATCAGTTTCCTTAACCTAGATAGTTTCCTTTCTTTGTTGCCGGGTAATTGTATAAAATACCCAATTTTTCTATGGTTTGAGAAGTAGTTCCCGTCTATCATCATTTTGTACGGTCTGTGTCCAGGTATCAGAGCCTTAGGCTTGCAAATTTCGGAATTCTTTCGGTGGTTTTCATCGTGGTTTTCCAGGACAGCGTTAATTGCTACCAATCTCTCTTGATTATCGACATTCATTTTCGATTCGCTCAGCCTTAAATACCAACAATCCTTTTTTCTGCCGTAGCTGTCAGTTTTTTCTGCAGATTTCAGACTGTCGTCTGTACCATCCCATGCGTTACAGACGTCAGAGGTTGTAGAGACGATTACTGCAACACAATCAGAGGAATATTTATGGTTTCGACAATCCAGAGGGTTGTAGAATATAAGAACTAAAGAAGAAATAAAGTTTCCTTACATTAGGAAAGGTCCGTAGTACAGAGATGTCATAAAGGTGCTATAGAAACATAAGTTTTATTGTGCAAAAGCCCTGTTCATTTTAAACCAGCATGAAGGCGTGGAAAACGGGACATTACTGGAATTGTAGAACAATCAAGAAAAGTGAAATGGCTGTGATGTTTGTGGTACAGATTGGACTGACGAAAACAGGAGTAATATAGTTTGAAGCATGATCAAATATCAGGGTAATATAGCTTCAATCGAAGATCGAAGTGACACACACTGAAAGGTTAAATACTAGTTACAATGTGCTCAAGTAAACAGGTCTGGTTTTAACAACATCAAAATTATGCCATGAAAGAATAAGCACATGCTAAGATGCAATAGCATTACAACCTATCGAATGAATTAAGTAAATAAATAACCGATTTCAGTCCTTCGGAGGCATACAAGTTCGTCCTTCGGAGGTTCATAAATAGGGCAATTTGATAGCTCGATTTCTGCCGCAGCAAGATCATCTTCAGCTTTCTTGATCCTGTGTAGACGTGATTCCTCTTGTTTTCGCAAATCATCCATTTCAGTATGTTTTACTTGAGCTTCCATGCACTATAAAATTATCAAAACCAGACCATCACATAGGGGAATATCAGAACTCAAATTTATTCAAATCTATGCAACATGACAAAGTACCTTGTGACTCTCCAGAATGAGCAGATCTTTGCACCTATTAACTTTCTCGGCAATGACACTAGCTGATTTCTTGGCTGCTTTTTCATTTTCTTCTTTTACCTTCTTCTTTTCCCTAAAAAATCAGCTATATTTTCATCTATTCCAAGTGATCTCTAGTAATATCCATCAGGAGAGTAACATGATAGAACAAGTTAATAATAATATATGCAAGAGCATAACCACTAAGACTAGAGGACAAAAGACACAAAAAGTTCTACATTTGAATCGCAACCTTCTCTTCATTCTATATAATCTTTTCACGACAAAAAATTTAAATAGTGAGAAGAATTAAAAATTACACAAAGGAAAAGTGACTTTTCAAGATCTGCCGCCAATAGCTAGCTATTAGAGGATCCTAGCATATTAAATTACTATAATCTGATCTAATAAGACCATAAAGTGTACACTGAACAAGACTATACAAATTTAATGAAACTACATTTGGCATTCAAAATGTCTCGCTTTAATAAAACTTGCTCAGGCAGTTCGGCTTGAAGAAAAGACTCTATTCTATACCATCAGCTTTCTACATGTACATCCATATACTACATTATCTTCCCATTCATTCACTATGGTGGTTCCTCAATCTTGTTCTAACAGAGTTAGACAATGCATAAAATATCAATGTCACAGGGACAAGATTTGGCGTAAATGTTCCTATGTCATAAAATTCATTAGTAAACCATATATTTCTCCTTTCCTCTCCAATACCCTTAATTCATTAGTAAACCATAGTGAAGAATGTGCACACAGCAGCAATAGGAGTGACAGCTTCCACTATTGACACTAAGGTATATTCTCAGAGATATCTGACCCTCACTATATCAATAATATCTTCCTCTGACAGTCTATCCTGTTACTCAGGGAATGAAATCCCCGACATTTGGGGATCACACTGTCCAAAAGATCCTTTTAGACATACAGTCAGCGTGCTATGGGAGGACCTTATTGGGTTTTCCTTTCTTGTAATAGACGAACTTCAAGTTGTTGTTTGCTTATTCCAGCTCTTATCAATTTTAAGTCCTCACCACCCTCTCCAAATGTCATATAAGCAACAGTTTCAGTGACTATTATTACATCAGTTCCGTTATACCCTGCACTTATCTCAGTACTTATCACCCTACAAGACCATTCAAAGGTATCCTAGTTTTTGTGATCGGATCCTAGTTTTTGTCCTCGTGTTGATCATCAATCTTCTCCTTACTTTTCTGCACAGCAGCATTGTGATTTATAAAGAAGCCAATTACATTATATTTTTCCCCTTTACTTTCTCCCCTCTACAAATTGCTGAATCAAAGTTATCAGTCGTTCGTAACATAATAACTGGCCAGCAGGATGTGCCTTTCTCAGTTTTCAGGCATTTTTGGAGCGGCCTTCAGGCCTCTCATCCTATGTCTTTCTTAGGAATCTGTCTTTGCTCTGTTCAGCCTCTTCAACACCCTCTTGTTCTTTATGTCTTTCCTTGAATCCCAGTAACACATGTACTTCAGCCCATAACTATTTTGAACAAGTCTGAGCCTGATTTCTGGGTGGATTTTTCGACCAGAAATTGAATATATATTGATACTCATTCGTCATGAGAAAAAATTCCCCTTCATACGTAATCGTAAGTCTCTGGATAGCTTTGTTATTGGTTCCTTCTATTCCTAATTTACTATATATTAGTACTTCAGCTGTCAGCATTCCTCTATCTACCTGTTTCAGAATGACAAAACAATCAGCAATGTTGCAGATGGATTCCAGAGTCCAAAGATGTAGAGAAAGCCGTGTAATCTGACACCCAATTGATCCCTGCTCCAAACAAGCTGTAGCTACCTCTCATTTCCGTCTAAAAATAGCAAGAATAGACCCCGCAATAACATTATTTGCTAAAACGTTCTGATCCCCATTGGACATTATCTTCATCTTGCAAAAAATTATTCATTGCTCAAAAATCAGCTATTTTCTTGGAGGTAGTCACACTGGAAGTTTCACAAAAGTGATCTCACAACACACTAGCTAGTCTATCTTTCACAATTGCAGTGCATTGAATCTAAAACGATTGACATCCAACAGGTTTGGGAAGTCTTCTTTGCTCCTTATTTAGTAGTTATCTTCGTGGTGCAATCGACAGATGTATCAATTCGCAATGGTATGACTTCTAAGGAAGACATAAAACGAAACAAGCATATTAGACTCAATCGTAGTCCTTTTAAATGGAATAAGTTCTCTGCACTTTTCTTATTCCTTGGACTTTTGGTGCCGCTCTGGGCACAGCGAAAAACCAACTAACTTGTGAAGATCAACAAATTTGTTGCTGGTCTTTATATTTACTTATACTTAATTTGAAATGGATCAAATTTCACCTTAAAACTTCATTTGGCATAGTCTGAATCGGATTTTTTTTTACCATGCTGCTGGAAGACTGTTCAAAATCAAAGAGCAAGGGAAACAAAAACTAGATTCAGTACAAACACAGTCAAAGACAGAAGGAGTTGTCCCATATACTGGTTTAGCCTCAGTCTTTTGTGTTGAAAATATAACCTCAGATGTAACTACTTTATGGCGGAGAAGATATGTCAAGTTGAAATGGGTCTGCACTAAGACTGTTTCAAACCCTTGTGTTCTGCTATGCTTAAATTTGAATACAAGGGAGCATCACTAGCCCTCAAAACACTGTACAGAATTCTTACTCATTTGTATGATGCCTGGCTGATCCACTGTACAGAAAATTCTATCAAGATACTTTATATGCAAAAATATATATCATCACTTCACCTATACACCATAATAATTTGCAGCTTTTTGACCTAATCGCTTGAAAATGTAAAGATCCCTCATCCTGCTTTTATATATTTAGAGGTTTCTCTTTATAGAAAAAGGATCATCTACTGGTTTGTATGGATTAAAGGTGTGCCATTACAAAATGAAAAATGAGAAAAACCTAAACAGCATAACAGCTATCCACTATTCATACTCTGCAAATCAATTTAAGTATAGCAACTGTTTACGAGCATACTCGATTGGTCTGATGAGATCATTGAGAATTTTAGCAGCTTCATCCAGCTTTCTCTTGGCTTGAACCTCTTTTTTCTGGGCTTCCTTATATTCCATTTTCTTCATATCGTATCTGAGCCAAGGTAATTTCTTCTTCATAGATTCAGCCTACAACAGACAAAATTTCATCAGGAGCATATCTTGCAGAGAAACGAATGAATGATCACACAGACCTTAGCCAGAAGTTGGTTTCTTTGATGAACTCGCTCTACATCTTTTTCTTGTTCAGAATTAAGTGCCCTCAATTGATTCAAGGTATCTTCATTTTGTTTGATAGTCTACAAGAGAATAAACAAAGTCCAAGATAAATTTATGATAAAAGCAAATGCGATGAAGATCACAACCAGTTGACATATGCAATTGTTGAGTTAAAAACTATAAATGAAAACAGTTGTAAAGGTTACCAGTTCCAGTTTCTTCAATTCCTGACTTTTCTCAACAAGAGCACGATGTTGAACTGGTAACTCTGGATCGCCGACAGCCTTTTCAGTCTCCTCCAGAAGTTGTATTGGAGTTAGCTTGGCAAATTCACAGACCCGATCTTGTGGTAAGAACTGGAGAGACCAAACAAATGTAGCAATAGTCACCAGGGCTCTCTAGTCATTAAAAATGTGATTTAACCAGAAAAAAAATGAAGCACATTAAGAACACATCTAGTGAGAAACTTGATAATTCTGCAAAGTCTTGCCATCTTTTTTTTCTTAGAAATGACAGACTAAAGCATTATGTAAAAGTTTAGTGCATGAAAGAATAATTTATAATTATTACAAGGGACAAAAATGCAGGAAGAATGATGCCGATTTGGAGACGAGTACAGACAACATAATGACTGATAAAAAAACTCATAAAACATTTTTCCAGTTTTTGTTCTCTTTCCATTAGGGCACCAACAAAATGAACTGCAACAAAATATTTTAAATGATGTCAACACGAGTTTTCAAAAATATTTTGCAAATAGGTATGGATGCAGCAGAGTTTAAAAATAGTTTTTCCTAATAAAATGCAATATTATTAAACCTCCTGGACCCATCTTCTCAAAAATGGGCCGGAAGCAGCAAGCAGAGAAAAATTCCAATGCAGTCAATGGTGAATAGTGGCAACTTTCATCATTTTCAACTGGTTCACAGGCGGGTGTCTTTTCCCTTTTTTCTTTCCTTATCCTTACTCTTCCTTCACCCTCGTTCCCCCCTCCAACGTCCTCCCTCAAACCACAAGCATACCTTTTCCATGATCTTCTTCCAATACCAGTGATTCCATTAGAAACTAGTAGATCTGAATGGTGGGCCAGAAACCTGGGTCATTTGACTTCGATCAGGCAATCTTCCGAGGATTTTAGTCAAACTAGACAAGGCAGCCTGATGCTAAATATTTCTCAAGAAATAAAATCAAAAGGGGGAACCATGTGGTTTCTCACTGCTTAAAGTGGCCGAAGGTTATATTGTCCACCAGCAAGCATACCAAGACAAATGAACAGCTAAGAAATTCTCCATGAGAAGCTTTCTCCCTTCGTTTTCCGAAGCTTCATGAAATAAAACACACAAGAAAACATGACAAAAATGCCTCTTTATAGGCAGATTAGTAGCACCCTCCTTAGACAACATGTGGCCTTGCACATTAGTGAACTTGATAGATAATAATAAATTTATGAATGTTTGAACATGATATTTGGGCGGGGTCTTCAATTTGGAGCTCCCATATTGCAATTTGATGAGCTAAAAGTACTTTCTAGAAGCCTTAAAATAGTTTCTTGATGTAGAATATTATTGCAGGAAATGAGTACGGCCCAAAAAAGTGGCAGAAAAAGCCCAATTAGATGAAATGTGGACGGTCCAAACATTGCATCATGTTATCCAATTGCAGAAAACCGATAGAAATGAATATGGCCCAAAAAGTAAAGTTCAAAAGGCTAGAACGGGTGAAACATGGACAACCCAAACTAGCAGCACGTTACCTACACTAGATCTTTTATTTTACGCAATTTCGCTTGTCCTTTTCTCTTTTTTAAGTGATCCATGTGGTTATCACATCCTATTTTTTAGGTGATCCTAATAGGAACCCGAGATTGGAGTGCAAAGAAAGCGGAAAATAGAGTTCTAAGATAATAGCAAGGGGGGAGATGGGGTTCCGGAACGAACCCTAGCTCCAGTTCATGGTGATCTTTCAAGAGTGACACCGCACTCCTCCACAAGCTTCCGCCTACCACAAAATCTCATCCTCCCCTTCCCTTATCCTGTCCTAACCCTAATAACCCATTTCTCTCATGAAAGACACTGACCTAATTACACCTACTTAACCTTCACTTGACCCTTACATAATCAACATGCCCTCTTACTCGTGGAGTAAGTTAGGCTCCTGGCATACCTAACATTACTCCCCCCCTGTAAGATCCACTTGGTCCTCAAGGAGGAGTCCATGAGATTGTTATTGTCCTGTGGCCACCAACTCCCAAATGGCTTTGATGGTTAGTAGGTCGTCCCTTTGAATCCATAATTTCGATCCTTTGGTCTTATGCCTAATTCAATTCTTCCGTTATTTCTTCATCTGAATTAAGTCCAGTCCCTTGATCATCTTCATGCACAACGAGAATTTACAACTCTCTTGTACAAGTGCCCTAGGTTATACTTTTTGCTGTAGGTGAAGCATAATCTTTGGCTCTTCTTGTTGTATCTCTCCCTCAATTAGCTTTAGTCACCACTTGATTCTTTCACCACGATTGTTGGACAAACTTCCTCTGATAGCAGGTGATTGCAAACCCCATGTTGTGGCTACATTCAGTAGTGGCTTAATGATCTTGCCCAATTCAGAGGTCCTACTTAAAATTCGATCTAAATTCCTAGTTCTTCCATTACCCAGAAACGTGCTTGACGCTCCATAGGGGCTGGGTCTTGGTGGTTTTGGGTCATCCAAGTCTCCATCAGACCTAATTATTCCGTTATTCTCTTCCACCAATTGAGCAGTCTTCATAATTGACCAAAGCCCCATCAGGTTATGTAACCTGACTTCTGTTCAGATCTCTGGCTTCAACACTTTGATGAAGATAACACTTCATTACGTAGGTCTTCCATGGATGCTGACATGATTTCAAAATCATGCTCTAATTCCGCCAATGTCCTATGTTACTTAATGTCTAGGGACCACTCTCACTGACTCCCGACTTGTGACGTTCCAAACCTTTCCAATAATTGTTGTTTGATGACCTTCCAACTCCAGAAAAGATCTCTAGCATCCGTCCAACAAAATCATGCTAATGTTTCCTCTTCAAAACTCATCCCTACTTACCACTAATTTCTCCACTTCATATAAACTGTTCATAGAAAAAATATAATTCTACCCTAAAAGAGATTCATTTGTCTAGATATTCCCAACTGGAGGTGGGCATTTCTAGTCAACCTCTCCATGACTCATACGCAGCATCTCCCATTCGGTCTGTTCTTGTTCTGAAGTCAGGGAATTCCTCCACTCTAAAATGGCTTCTCTATCATCGAAATGCATCTTCTAAAGGAAAATTTTCACCTGCACTTGCTTCTCCTTCTGCCATTGGATTCTTCCATTTGGCATCAGATCTCCTTGTCTAATGACTTGAGAGTTACATCTCCTCCATGGCTTGCGCCATTTGCACCATTCCCTACATTAGGGTTTTCAAACTCTCCTCTACTCCGCTCAGCTGCTGTGGAAGACTCTCCATATCACGTATCCACTGTAACCCCTCCCTGACTTCTTAGTTTTCTTTCTCTAGGGCTTCCAATCTACTGTCATTAACGTTGGGGGGTATCAAAACTGGCTCTGATACAAGTTGAAAGGAACCCAAGATTGGAATGCAAAGAAAGAGAAAAATCAAGTTTTTGGATACCAAAAAGGGGAGAGATTGGGTTCCGGAAGGAACCCTAGCTCCAGTTCATGGTGACCTTTCGAGAAGGTCATTTCTCTTATCAACGACCTGCCGCCTGCCACAAAATCTCATCCTCCCTCCCTTCATCTTATACAAACCCTAATAGTCACTTTCTCTCCTGCAAGGCATTGGCATAATTACCCCAATTAACCCTCACGTGAACCTCCGATTACCCACATGCCTAACACGAAAGGTCCATAGCTAATTTTTGTCATTGTAAATGAGCACGAAAAGTAAAGAAACATAGGTTTTCATCCCAAAGTGTTATTTTGATCTCTCTCTCTCTCTCTCTCTCTCTCTCTCTCTCTCTCTCTCTCTCTCTCTCTCTCTCTCTCTCTCTCTCTCTCTCCATAAATTCAAGGGAACCCTTTTCAATCCTTGTAGAATCAAGGTTCATTCTACTTCTCAATTTCTTACTGTGTCACCACTCAACAAGAAAGCAATTCCAAAAGCTGTGCTAGCCTTAATGAAGCAGTAGTTTTCATCTTTGAGAAGTGAAGGGAAAAGTGAACTGTAACACAAGTATCATCAGATGATATGCATCTATTTACAAGATATGCATTGAAAAACTTATTTTTCATCCACCTTCATCAACTTATTTTAAACACATTTTACAACTTAACTTAAAACAAAACAATTGTTGCTTACTTGAGTGAGATTGTTGACTTGAATGTTAAACTTTTGAATAGTTTCAATGACATCCCGTTTGGGTACCTTGACTCCTGAAAAATAACCCACTTTAGAGCATAAAACAAGAAGAGACTTCAACCAACAATAAAGCTTTGACATCATATAAGAGATACCAATAGTTATGCATTGATCAACATTAACAGTAAACAATTCTATTCATGGATTACAAAATCTTGAATCAAATTCAGATACTACAAGTTCAAGGACTTCTTTAGTTTAGATTACGAATGCTACTTAGTATAGTATCCTTCACATTATTTCTGATTATATGAAATCCAAATAATTTTTACGGATGCCCTCCCAGAGTAGCAAGTTATTGGCAAGCACTGATATAACACATACTGCCTGGACTTCATTCCAACAATGCCTGCGTTTCATTATTACCTACAAGAAAAACTTAATCACGTAGCATAAAAAAAATGCTCTAAGCATGATGATCTTGTATCTACTGTAAATCTCACAATGCAAATTTCATTAGCATATCCTCGTAAAATATAATGGGAGAAAACTGTTGAGTCCCCCGGACGAAATCATGCTAGTAGCTTAGAAGACTATTCGCCATAATCTCTTTCATCATTCCAAAGGTTACAATTTTTTATCCTAATCAACCAAAAAAATTGTGCATCACCAGCCCCACCAGCCTATGATCAAAACGGAAAATTCAAGAAGACTAGATAACGACATTCAAAATCTAAGGGGGGTTTTACATGGGATCTGCCTACTAAAGGAAGAGCTAGAAGAGTCTATCTAAAGTAACGTGTAACAGCACTGTTTGATTCAAATTGTCACATGAAATATCTTCGTTATGCATACATAACAGTTTCATCTAGGAAAGTTACAGCATAACAAGGCAGAAGGAATACTTTGTCTAGGAATAAAATGCATGTTTAGCGACAGTTATCTATTTTAGTCTCCATAATAAATAAAATGAAAAAGGATTCACAGATGAGCCCTAGGCGGCAATTAGCAACTACTGTTGTACAAAGTATCTATGAGCCAAGTAGGATCAGCAGTTTTTTTTCTCGCCATCTATTTGTTGTTGGCTTGAGTGCTAGCAAGAACCTGTAAATTATGCAATAACCCCACAATGAGCATGTCCATTCTGCGAATTGGTGAGATATGTTTTAAACCTTCCCAACAATCATCTCCACAATGAACGTCCATTCTGCGAATTGGTGAGATATGTTGTAAAACCTTCCCAACAATCATCTCTCTCCAGGAACTAATGCAAGCATTGTGATGGACTAATGTATTTGTTCATCCATAGGAAATGTACTGCCTAGTTCCCATGAAAACATTTTTTTCTCAGATCCAATGTCTTGTAACTTTCTTATACTTCGGAATGTTGCCTTGTAAGGATCAATAAAATTGACAGAAAAGCATTTCCGAAGGCTACGTGGAAGATTGAAAGGAACGTAGTTCACATTATATGCAACATCTCAAAGTTTTGAGACCAAACTGACCAATTCAGAATCGACCTCAAATCCCTACATAGTACGGCAATCACTGGAATAATTAAGAAAATTAAGCTTGCACATAGTTTGCACATGCTTTAGAAAATTATTCAGCTTCTGCTTCTGAAAAAAATATTTGCAGAAAACAAACATTAATTAAGAAAATCTTGAAGAAGAAGACATATACCATTGAGCTGCCACTCAGATTTATTCTGAGTGTTGATGCTCCTGATGACGGTGATTCGTTCTTCGGAGGTACAACCTCTAAGTGATAACTTTATGTAACCATTATCCTCGCCCCGTTTCACAAACGCCCCAATACTTGAAGCCCTTCCAAGTACCTGTGAGCACATCGTGAAAATAGTGACCGCTTCAGCGAAGCTGCCCTAAATATGAAATTGACCATGGAGCATTCGGATGATGCTCTCTTTTATCTCCAATCAAAGGCCAATGTTACTGAGTAAATTACACGGTAGACCCTAAAAGAAAATTGAAGAAAAGAGGGTGGGTGGAAGGTCGACATCATAGAACCTGGGGGTCTCCACCGAGTCCAAGTGCAATGGCACAGACAAGAGAACTCTTCCCCGAACCATTGGGGCCAATGACGAGGTTAAGGCGGGAACCAGGCCTGCACTTGAGATGATCGTAGGTCATGAAATTCCCGATCTCGATTTCCGTTATGTTGCCCGGCAAATAATCGTCCTCTGCTCTGGATGGCAAACTAGCGAAGCCAAAGGAACACGACCAGTCATAAATTGCGCAATGGAAGAACAAATGAGGAACGTTCGGCGATTCGAAAAATATGCAGGAAATAAGGAATCCAAGTAAATTTTTCTGCCCCAAGCAGGAAAGCACGCAAGCAGGAGACTATAAATGGCATAACAACAGAAAAGGGAAACATGGTGGGCGGGTTCCCGACCTACCTGTCATAGGAATGGTGCTGGAGTGATCTACCATGGCGGAGCTTGGGGCGCTTGGAGGAGCGCCCGTCTTCCGACGTCGACGCAGATGACATTACTTCGTGTTCTGTGGGGAGTGAGGAGTATTTGGAAAGCCCGCCCCTGCACCTCTCCCGTGGCGGGAAAGTGGTCGAACGTGAAGGACTTCTGGGCGGACGAGGGCTTCTCCCACCATAGGTACAGACTATACTTCGTACGCGTCCGGTCCGATGAGTAGTAGCTAAAAACGTCATCTTTGGACCCGGATTCCGTTCAAGCTCCCATAAGCATACTCAAGCCCAGTTTGACCTTCGCCCCCATACTCTGGATTATTTACTATATACAACTAGGCAGTGTTTAAATTCCCATAAAGTGATTTATTCATCAATTACTACTTGATTTTGTTTGAAAAACTCTTATTCTTTAGTTTAATTGAAAAAGGTAATTAATATCCAAATAACGCTTAATACTCATCTACTCTTATTATTCATTTTCATTTAATTTTAAATAGATAAAAACCAAATATTAATAATAACTATGAATAAGTGTAACTGGTTTTAATGCTACCACAATAATGATGACAAAAACATGAGATTGTTGGGACATATAAGGTAAGTGCACATCCACAAACATCTAAATTTATTAAATTTAATACCTAATGATGCCTACAAGGCTATTGTATTAATTAAGGAAATAATTTTAAATTTTTATGTAGCCATAATTATTTAAACCTAAGTAGTTATTGCCAAAATTTCTCTATAAAAATCTAACACATATGACATGACAAATAATTTGACACATATCATGGCAAGTCATAAGATCAAAGATATGTTGTCAAATCCAATCAAAAGTTGACCCAATTAAAAAGTTAGTCAAACTGATTGCCTTACCATACTCTAATAGCATGTCAACCCACATATTAACTTGAATAAAATTTTGATTTATCATATCAAATATTTGATTTCCACTGTAAAAACTATCAAATGATGCCTCAATGATTGATCGTCTCTTCTTACATGTTTAAAAATTCACTTCAAAACGTATATTATGAATTTGTGTTTGCCCAAACTCCTTATGGTGTTTGAATTGCTTAGAATAATTGAGACAAGGGTGTAAGTTCTCTTAATACTTTATTTTTAATGTGAAGTCACTCTAGGAGAATACTTATAATGAACATTGAAAGATAAACTGATACTTTAATATCCAATGTGGTGAGATAGATCTGTGAAATTCACTTGTATGAGATATAGGATATTATACGAGACTTTTGTTTTAATATCCAATGTGGTGTGGAGTTAAATTATATATATTTGAGAAAAATGGTAGAAACAAAGGGGTAAGAACTCTTGAAAAGTCAATGTGGACTAAGGAAGAGTTAAATCATGAAAAATAATTGTATTTGCACATACTAGACTTTAGTTTTTGACCAAATATGTAGTCCTAGTAGGTGAATTATGTGTACTAGTCCAATGTATTAACTTGGTTAAGCTAGTCAGGGAGATTGACCCAATGTGTAGGCTAGACATCTTTTGAATAGTCCCACTAGATTTAAAATTTATAGAAACTAATTAAAAATATTTAAAAAATAGCAAAACCCCAACAAAAATATATTTCACCTCCCCCTCTTGGTATATAATTTATCACACAAGAGGACTAATAAACGTAATATGAATTTTCAAATTATTATAAATATATTTTAAAAATGTTCACCTGAACACAATAATAAGCTTTAGATAGAATTCTTTCCCCATTAAACGAATGTTTTGTCATATGTCACAAAGTCAACCTTTGGATGTATAAGTTATAATTTATATAATCATTGAATCCCCTATATATAATAGAACATGCCACTTGGATCCCTAGTGGTTGCTTAAATCTTTAAACAAAGATAAATTATATTTTGAAAGAATAATTACTACTTGAGAAATATGATGGTCCACTAAGTGATCTTAAAATATGCCCAAAATAGTTCTGTTATTCCTTAAAAGATAAGATTAGGTTACCAAGAAGAAAAAGATAAGCTAATTTGAAGGAAACCGCGTTTACGATTTCCGGAGCCGTTTTAAGGTATCACTCATCCTACCCTCAAATGGATACTGGATGCGGATCTACGGATTCTCAGCCGATTCCGGTTCTTCCGGTTCTTTCCTTTTTCTGTGGCCGACGAACACATGACACGTGGCAGCCATGCAACGCAGTAACTCCAAGAGGAGACGAAGCCCCCCCCCCCTTCCTATTTTGGAGAAAAGGGTGCGAGGGATCGGTTGACTCAGCTGGGCCTTTGCGGCGGAAGGCCAACCAACCAGCTGGAAAAGGACGGGCTGGAATCTTGCCAACTTTCCGTCCATGTTCAACGGCCGCCAAGTCCGTGGAACTCTCTCCCTCTCCTCTCTCTCTCAACTGTCTTTTGCACATTAGTTCAAGAAAACAGGTCTTATACCAGGATGAGAAATATGTTTTGCAATTTATGACAATACTTCCCCTTCTATGGTGGGTCTTACGGATGCCCCCGAAACTTATTATTGGGGTACTATTTTACAAATTCTGAGTTTATTAGTGTTTTATTGATACATTAGTTTATGAGAGTGATATATTCACAAATACCCCTGTTTTTTTTGCGCATCTCGCTCGTCGGGGAAGGCATAAGAGCAGTGAAGGAGCGAGAGAAAGGAGGGGGGGGGGGGAGGGAGAGACGTGGAAGGCACCGACATGGCGTCTTGGAACTCGGTGCCGATGGAAGTTCTGTACCAGACGCTGGGATGGATCGCCTTCGTCTGCTGGTCCTTGAGCTTCTATCCGCAGGTTCTTCTCAACTACCGGAGGAAAAGGTGAGAAATCTTCTTGGTGCCGTTTACAGTTCGACGCTTCCCTTTTTGCTGAGTCTTTGGGTTTTCATTTTAATTTTGTGGTCTTCCTCGCGCTTAACATCGGGTTGACTTGTTGTGTTCTTCTCCGGTGGCTTGGGGAAATCACTGATTTCATGCAGCGTGGTGGGGCTGAACTTCGATTTCCTAGTGCTCAATCTGACCAAGCACTCGTCGTATCTCATATACAACGCGAGTCTCTTCTTCAGCTCCACCATCCAGAGGCAGTACCGCGAGAAGTACGGTTCCGGCGAGGTCGGTACTAACTCAGGGGGGCATATTTCCTTCAAGAATGATTATGTCCGTTCATTTATGCTCTGGGCGTTTCTATTTTATGCTTATAAGATTTTTTTTAGTGAATTAACGATACTTCAATTCGCAGGTAAAGTTGTAAAATTTTGACAATAAAATCACTTCCCAGGTTGTACTTGGCTGTTTACCTTAGACCGAGGACTTATTGGTATATCACTTTCACAGTCACAGAAAGCTCGTACCCTCAATACGAGCCAGCTGGATATTGTGTTTTGGAGACTATTCATTCACCTCCCGTAAATGTGGGTTTTGAGTGCATTTTTATTTTCAACTCCAATTCTATGGATCTCATTCAGGATCCATTGTTGGCGGCATATAGCATCGTTCTACACATGGAGATGCCACAAAATGGGGTTGAAAATGTCAAATATATGATCCTAACAAGTTCATTCATTCAAGACAAAGAACAAAAGATAAAATTTTCGTAAAATTGAGTAATTAGGTAACAAGGAGTCGTTGAATTTTTAGTCGTGCAATGGATGGCCACACAGTAATCTAGATAGAGCATGTTATTAAGGAAGATCTTCAGTGGATGCATGAGGTGTTGTGATCCTTTTTACTCTTTAGAGGGTATCTGAGGCCAAATATTAAATTGATTGGCGTTTTGTGCCTGTCTACATATGGTGGCACAGTAGTCAATATATTTTTATTTTTTTTTCTACTTCTAGGATTTCTCTGGGAATAGTTTTTCAATATTTTTCGAAGTAACCTTATAATTGGGGACACGAATAAGGCAGTTCAAATAATTAAACCTTGGTGGTTTTTCCTTGTCTTCCTGCATTTTGGAAGCTTTCTTCATCATCATCATGTTGCTGATCGTTATGATGTGTTTTGTTTTCTTTCATGGGCAGATGATTCCTGTGGCCGCAAATGATGTATGTTTCTCAATACATGCTGTTTTGCTAACAGGAATTACATTATTCCAAGTTCTAATATACGATGTAAGACACTCTACCTGGTTTTATTTCTATCTTTTCCTCAGATATCTGCCTAACTCTGCCACATCTACAGCGCGGGACCCAGAAGGTCTCAAAGACGTGTATTGGAATTTCTTCTATCGTGTGGGTTACTGCTATAGTATGCTTAATTGTTGCATGGCCAAGTGATTCCTGGCTGTGGCTTGTCTCTGTGTTCAAGTAAGCATTCCCGGCTCACTGCCATTCTCTTTCAGAATAACAACGCTGACACACAGCCATCTGATTCTTTGGTTTTTTTTATTTTTATGCACAATCTATCTACTGCAGCACAATACAGGTCGTCATGACTGCCATCAAATATATCCCACAGGTAGGGTTGGTTCTTATTACTTATCATAGTATCATTTTTGGGCCCTCTTCGCTCTGAGAGATTGTTCAAGCATTCCTTATTTTTTCTTTTTTCTTGATTTTGTTCTCGTGGTGTTTACCCAAAGGAAATGGATTATATGCATTATGTTTCTCCAAGGAACTGTAAAATTATAGTTTGAAACCACTTGAAGTTTATTTTGCATAGAAAGTCCTACATTTTTTGACCTTGGAACCGCCAAATGAAGGTGAGTTATTCATCCCCAGTTAATGTGAAACTCATGACTTTGGAAAAATGTTGTCAGCTATTGGATCCTCAGTCTGAAAAAGAGCAGGCACATCCCCAGTTATAGTGTCATTTTTTTTGTTTATCTTAAAGGATACCTGCCATTGCGTATCTTGATTTACCTTGTTGCCTTTTATTTATTTATTTTAATCTGAACTCCATACGAGACTGATTAATTTTCCGTAAAACTTATCCCTTAAAAGGGAAAAAATGATAAATCCGGTCCGATGGGCTGTTCTTCACTAACCACAAGGTTATAGGTACTCTATATTTCATCTTCCCTTCTACAGCTGAAGTAATGGGCAGATGGTTTCCATCAGGAAAGACTTTAAGCCTAGGAAAGGAAGAACCTTACTTCTAAGCTGGCACAAGGGATCCAAAACCAAAAGCACTAGGAAGAGAATGCAATCTGGGAAGGATTAACATGATTGATTCACTATGGAAAGCCTACATTGCTGTTCCAGCGGAAATATTTGGAATAATTCCACTACTTCTACCAGGAGTAGCGTTTTTATTGCTAGCTGAACGTAAAGTCATGGTTTTTGTGCTAAGTTGAAAGGGTCCTGATGTAGTAGGATCATTCGTTGTTATTCAGGAGAATAATGATTTGTTCGGGGCTACAAATAAGCTTTCTGTCCATTTCCTTACCTCACCATGTCATATTAAAAAAATCAAATAAGGTATTAATATCTTTCATGGACGATGTGTACAGCATACTTCTTTCTCTAACGCTGTGCCAGATTTGAAAAAAACTTTAGCAAAGGTTTGTTATTGGTTGCTAGGTTTGGGGATTGCCCAGAAATGTCTGTGATGCTTAAGGGATGCCATGATGGATTTGGAAGAAGATTCGAAATAAATAGATAAAGGCCCAATGTAGTCTTCTAAGATTTGATCATATCTCTTGAGGATCACAATGGCGTTACCTCAATCCCTAAGCCCAAAAATACTTGGCTACGCCCTTTTGTAGATGTCTGTTTGCTGAGGTGCCCCTTTGGTTGTTCTTGTAACCTGAAGTTGAGGCAACCATCAGAGCCTTTCCTCAAGCTCATATGATGATAGCATCAAATGGAGCTTTTATCTCAAGTATTGTGAATAAATGATTTTTGGTGATTCAATTAGGGTTCTGTGGAAGTTTAAGATTAGATAGTTTTTTGTATTGGCAAGTGGGTGGCTGCACTGATTGATCATCTTCGTATTTCGTCCTACGCTAGCTGGGTGCTCTTTTATTGCTTATAAGTGCATAACTGGCTATTTTATTGGTGTTTATTTGGTCCTTTTGAGTTGCTAACTATCATACGAATCACCGTTAATCGCCTAGTCAAGCAGGAATCATCTGATATGCACGCGATTTTTCCTCAAATTCTGATGGACATACACACTGGGTGGCTGATATAGCTTGAAAGCTAAGCCAACAAGGGGAGAAGCTCAGTTAAGATTTACCTCAAGCTTTGGAAACACTTCCCTGCTTCTCATGTGCCTGTATACCGAGTTAGTCATATATCATGGAAGAAACGGACATATATATATATATATTATAGTACAACGATTTTACTAATAATTTGTTGTCCTGCATCAGTAGAAGGATTCAGGGGGCTGGGCATATTCTTTCCATAAACCACCGCCTTTCTTGATTGTTCAGAAGCTCTCTCCCTAAATTTTTAATTTCTATATTTTATACCATGGTGAAGAGAGCTGGTTGAGGCATTTAGAACGCCGCATCAGGTGATTTTTTTTCTCTAATTTATTTCTTTCAAGAAGGGTAAAAAGCTGTTTGTATGTTCTGTCTCATGTGTTGACTCACCTTCAGGCTCCTTGGCAGGGGAGGTGGTTGTAGGGGCAACTCAATCTTATTTATGGCCGTACTGTGAAGATTACTCTTATAATAGCTAGCTGTCTTGGAAACTTACCGTCATCTCCTTCATATAACATGTATCAACCTGATACTTGGGACTTATTTTCTATAGTCTGGTTTATCAGATTAGAATTTTGTTAACTAGAATTCCTTATGGTCTAAGATTCAAATTTTCAGTTGTGTAAATTCAGGTGGAATTACCTCACAATGAGGAAACAGCAGTGCATTTTAGATTATGAAAGTTATCACATAGACATATATATATATACATATATATAGCGTGTAAATTCCTCTGAGATAAAATTGTAATTACTTTCTAATCTTCTCGACTTGGAATTGCACGCATCTTATTTTGGTAGAAAAAAATATCCCAATGAGAGATATTCCTTTGATTTATCTATCTTATTATTTTTACAGTAACACGAAAGAGATAATTGCGTTGTCTGTTGGTAGAATCATCCAATCTGTCCTGGGATGGTAGTATTGACAGATACCAGAAGTTTATGAATTTTTTAACTACATGTAAATTTTTATATTCTAGGCTTTAGTCGTTGAAAATTATCTTCTTAATGGCATATTTTCAGTGATTTTATTCAGTCTTTGAAGAGTTATTCATGATCTCTATGTTTCAACTATTTCATATCAGCATTACTAAATAATCTCAAGAAAAAGTATTTCTTGCAAGTATGTGAGTAACGACCCATTATAATCTGTATGACTTTACTAAATCGTATTCTATTTCAGGCATTCATGAATTTTCAGCGGAAGAGCACAGTTGGGTGGAGTATTGGAAATATTTTACTCGACCTAACTGGAGGTCTCTTAAACTTTGGACAGCTGGCTGTGCAATCTATTGACCAGGGTAAGTTTTGCAAACCTTATTGTTATTTAGATGTTGTGATGTATGTTTAACAATGATGCTGATTATTCATGGATTCCCTTCTGTCCTGGCTTGTAGGTACATGGGTGAATTTTTATGGCAACATAGGCAAGACCTTGCTTTCTTTGGTATGTGAATCCTTTGCTCGGACAGTCATGTTTTGCTTTCGTTTGCTTAAAGATCTTGCCATGAATCTTCCTTTGTTATTTGCATCAAAAAAATAAAATGATGAGTTGATAACACGAAGAAATCAGTCTTGGATTTATTTCATCGCAAAATACATGATGAAACTTTAGATGCTTGTTGATACCTACGGGATACATTTTACAAAGTGTAAGTACGTTTTTATGAGAAGATCGCAAGTAGCAAATGTACAAGACAGAAGAAACCACTACAGACAGTATGATATTTTTTTTCTCGAACCATATGATGCATAGATTTGGGCAATGAGTAGAAGAACAAGAATATAATAATAATAGGCGACTCACCTGCATAGATTTGGACATAATTCACGAAAAAACCGCCTATAGTAGGTAGATGGTTGGATAAGCCATACGCCTAACCCAAGAAAAGAATCAACTGTTTGACGAGCTCATCTCTCTCTCTCTCTCTCTAAAGTAGCTACACTCTTCGGGTGGTTCCATATGATGCTTTTCCCTCAATAGGGTTGATTTTCTTTTTAAAGCTAAAATACCTGTAGATGGAGCTGTTATTTTTTCACAATTATTTGGAAAGGCATTGCTCTACTAAGGTTGATGTTCTGTATCAGAATGATTTACCATTGGAAGGAATAAACAGATAGATACCCTGTGGTTATACAGATGGGACTTTTTGAGTATAATGGCCTCATATTCGAGCGTATACCCAGAGTCGACTGCTGTGCGTTCTTTCCATTTGTTTTATTTACTTTTTTCAGTTGACAAAAACCAAGAAGTTGACTTCCAGTTGAGGAGCACTGGTGGAACAATTCCACGTTGTGAATTGTAAATAACAGCATGTGGCTACATAGACGGGCTTTCCTTTATTTGACCTTAATTGTTTATTTTGTGATTGAATGTTGGGTCAATCGTTTATCATGGAAAGGTGAGTTAAGTTTTCAGTCTTTCCATACGAGTGTTGACCATTCAACTCTGGTGTTTCCGTTTCCCTGCAGGAGGTGGTGTTCTTTGACATCGTGTTCATCCTCCAGCATTATGTGCTGTACCCTTTGAAGATCGGAGAGAAGAATCCAGTGATCCACGAAGAGGTCATCGCCCCTCTCATGAAACCCTCCGAGACAGCAAACACGTCACAAGTCTGACTTTTTGCAAAATGGTATTCAACTCCTGGGGCCCCTAACTACGACTCTGACTGCGGGAGAGTCAGCAGGTGAAGTCAAGCCCTGTATTGGTATATAGCCTTGCGCATGGGAACTCATTACTCTGTCTCCCCTCAGGCGTTGACTAAGAGGATAATATGTGTGTGTGCCTGTACGCCATGCTGGGCGATGATTCAAAGAGTTTCCATGTAAATAGTGATCCATGTATCAAATCTACATGTGGAAAGGAAATCATTCGGGTGGAAAAATGATGGGATTTCTGGATGAAGAAGACGCCGTCCGTCAGAGAGTGGCCATACACCACACCTACAGAGGATCTCGTAGCTGACCAGTGGAGCAAACGAGAGAATAAATCACGAACGTATTCTAAGTTCCTTTCCACATCAAATTGCATGTTAAAAATATAAAGAATCAGACTGAAGTTTGAGAGCTTAAGAAATGAATAATTTCTAGAGATCTCGGGATTCAACAGAGAAAACACAAAGAAGCTTAACAAATAATTCAAGTGATTTACAGGAAGCTAAAATCAAGCAGCAGAAGATAAAAACATGTAATCAATAAGAGAGAAGACTCAAGCTTGGTAAAACAAGAAGCTCAAGTAGGCAACAGCAGGACATGTAACTCCTACAACACACCCATATATACATGTATATATATATATATATATATATTATAATTATAATTAGAGAGAGAGAGAGAGAGAGAGAGAGAGTAGTGCAAGGACATTGGGTCAATTCCTTCCTCAATCTTGGAAGTCAGTCAATTGTTGATTTGACAGAGTCAATATTTACTGAGGAGGGAGGTCCCCCCCCCGGGGAGGGTGAGGGTTAGATACATTTAAGAATGGATGAGGAAAGGAAAGCCTCACAGTGGCGTTAATGACAGAAGGCTCAGCCATTGCACCATTTCCATAGTCTCCACAAGCCAATCTCTTCGTCACAGGGGGGATCAGAGAAATGCCCAATTCAGTAATCAAGCTGAGGTGGCGCTCTGTAAAAGGATTATTCCACATGAAGGTGTTCATAGCAGGAGCAACAAACAGAGGCTTGCTGTAGTCCCATGCCCGTACGATACAGGTCAGTAGATTGTCACACAATCCCCCAGCAATCTTCAGAAACCATTAAAAAATACAACCAAGTGAGAAAACGACACATAAGAGAGGTGCTGAATCAATTGACTAACCAAGAGTCAGGGGAAATGAAACCCAACAATCATGACAGAGACTGTTATCATCTCAATCGGAGATAATAACGCAGCAGTAAATACCTTGCCAAGAGTATTTGCTGACAATGGGGCGATAACCATGAGGTCCGCCCACTTCCTGAGCTCAATGTGCAGTACGCTATCACCTATCTTACTCCAGGTGGACCATTCATCATCGTCGGTGTAAAGGACGACGTCCCTTGAAAGTGATGACGTGTCAATAAAATGCAAAGCTGACTTGGTCGTGACCGCCCGAACCTCGGCCCACTCAGAAAAGCTGCGGCAGAGATTTTCAAATTTAATGGCTGCCACACTTCCGGAGGCAGCCAAGAGGACATGTGATCTTCTGGTTTGCAAGTCACTTCGCACCAGCCCTAGTGGTTCTGAACATTCCATGTAAGCTAAGGGTTACTTGCCCTGATGACTGGTTATCTCCTGGCTGCTTCACCACTGTAGAAATGAGAAATATAACTTCAGACTTCATCATACTAACTAGTGTAAGTAATTCATCATACCCAAAATAAGGATTCTATCATTGCCTTTGCGGAAAATAAAACCTATGCCAAGGTATTATACATAAAAAAATCCATTGTCCTTTTCTTGAGAACTTTAACAAAAGATGGAAAACTAAAAATAAATAAAATCGAAGTTCTACTAAATCGACTAAAGAAGAACAAACAATCCCTACAACTTCAAGAACAAGAAGCTTACAGAAGCACACTGCTTTGATCGAATCCACATCTTTCTGATGTTTAATTGTAGTGTAAAAGATAATCAACTGTTTCCCCAAATAATATTTGAGTTTTCTTCTGTTCCTCCGTGGTTATCAGAGAAAATTGCAGGTAGTGCTGGGAATTGTCATCCAGTTTCCTCTTCTTTAGGCGCCCGGAGATCTTACTCAGCCCACCACACTATTACACCGTAAACACCTTGACTATCATTCCATTGTGATGTGATCTGATCACTTTTTTTCAAAGAATAATTATAGTTCCACTGTAAAATAATAGACAACCAAGTGTTTATGAATGGGTGAAAGAAAATACGCACCCAGTCTCTGCATCTCTCAGCATTTTCAGCGCGTTTCTCATCTTCTGTGACTTTTCTGGCAAGCCGAATTGTGCCATCACACTCTGCAGCCTACTCCATAATTTTTTGTAAGTGAATTACACGTGAAAAATTCATTCCGTCCCCATCTTAATATTCTTCCTCCTTTTACGAGGCTAAATACACAGTAAAGATTAAAATTGAAAAAAAAAATCTTCGTTTCTCCATTTTGGCATCTGTGAAACATCTTTTGAATTGAACATACCATTCTGGCCAATGAGAAAAACGTCTTACAAACTGTATAATTCTCAGACGTTGCTTTCTAATACATCGAACATGATTCATTGACAAAAATGTGTCCGAACATTGAGTGATCTTCCAAGAATATTAAATAATTATCATTCCTCGAGTTGAAATATATTGAATGTCCAACAAAGAAGATAATTCAAAACTAGTTCTCCAAACCTTGCACTAATTTTGATAATTTTAAAAGCATTTAAGAAAAATTATGGTTCACAACATTTACCAATACTACACCCCACAGAGCTAAGAAGTGATGCACGACATGAAAGAAAATGATATAATTTCCGATTAAACGGAAGATTAAAGTTGAAGATTTCAACAGCGAGAATTCAACTACAAGGCAGCTCCAGCAAGGATGGCAATGTTTCAAGTAATTTATGAATACTACTAAACCAAGGTTCAGCTCCGAACTTGTCTACTGCTTGCTCGTGGCTTTTCTGAACAAAATTTTATCCCATTGATTAGAGACGGCTAGATCCAATGATGAATCCTAATTCTAGCGAACTTCTCCAAATTCTGCATGACAAGGTTCAGCTGTAGGGGGATCAAAGAGGACTTTATTCTGGACATTTTTGCACCAGATTCACTTGTACTCCATTTAGTCCAATTGGAGCAATTTCCCTTGTCATGCCGTTCTCATAAAAGGCTCTTCTAGTTGCTCCAATCATATTCATAATTATGCATCAGAATTTTAAAACTGAACACATAAATGAAGCACTATTTCAGAAAAATATGGGAGATAAGGTAAGCCAACTTCAGCGACATAAGAGTTTTCCTACCCGTCAATTTGGCTGCTGTATAGTTTTTTTAAAAACAATATATTCTCCATTTTTTGATCCACACATTTGGAAGCGGCAGACATAAAGGTCTGAGAAGAAAATTTCGGTATCTACATAAACATTGTAAAAGGTAGGTTTTCCAACCAAATAACTTGTTAATAAACTCCAGCATCTTCTGATTAATAGTTAATCTTTCATTTCTATCGCCATTTCCATCAAGCATGGGGAGGTGGCTGCGTTGGTCATAATTCCCAGCAACTCTAATCCCTTGAATAAATCTCAATGCAGCAGCTTTCTTCCATACTATACTTAGTTTAACTGCCTAACAAGAAAATATATCGACGAATTAACCTCTATGTCTAAGCCCTCTCGAGCATCAAATGAACCTATAAGATTCTCCACTGATGATCAAGGGTAAGAAGGACCTATGTCTAATTATTTCGTCCAAATTTCATTGAGAAACGATTACTCACATAATTTCTCTAGTCATCCAAGTGATGATAAACAAGTACAAGAAGGGGATTCTTGATCATTGTCAATATAAAAATAATTTACAAGCATTCATTTCGAATAATATTAAGTCAACAATACAAAATTCCATTTACTCCTTTCTCAGGAATGACCAGGAGTTTAATAGACAGACAGTAGGTTACCAAAATCAATAATCACCAGCAGTATTCTTCAGAATGTAATAATACTTTTAAAAGCCAAAGAAAACTGTTTAGGAGATTGTGTGTCATGTCAACCTCATATTTTGAGAACGGAGGGATTAAATAACAGTTTTCCCATTATTCAGAATAGAAAAAACCTGCCACACGTCAATTATCCACACATCCTCTTCTACGAAAACTTCTCAGTAAAATTCGTTCCATGACATCTGCCCCATTTGGCCAATGATTTATGTTCAAAAACCTTCTATTTGTGATACCGATTGTTTTGGTCAATTGTTGTCCATCAGAATCACAGAACCAGAAATATCGCGGTCTCCTAGATCACAGAACAACTCCACCCGCCATCTAAAGCCCAGGCCCATCCCCCAAAATCTTTCATCCGCAGACCGTCACGGAGATTCAAGAAAACGCGCAAAGAACAGAGAGACACACGGATGCTTGGAAAAATAAGGAAGCCAATGTTCCCCACCTCCCCGCGGATTCCTCGCCGACCGGATCCCACAAGAACGGCGAAAGAAGCGTCGCCTGGTGGTCTTCCTCTCTCCTTCTTCGCCCTCGTTTCCTCGGTCTACAGAGTGACGCGTGGAAAACGAACGGCAGACCTGGAGCTTCCCCCTGCTGCTGCGGCCTCCACAGAGGAGTGCTGCCACCTCCCACCACTCCCTCTGCTTCCAACGCCACAGCTGCCGCTCCTCCTTCCCCACGTCTCTGAATTAGGGATCCCGGGTCGCGGAATGCGAATCGATTTGACTGACAACCGCCGTTGCCTACATGGAGATAGAGCCCACCACGTGCCTCTCTCTCTCTCTCTCTCTCTCTCTCTAATTATCGATCTATATCTCTCTCGTATCTACCTATCTATTTATATCTCTCGCTCACTATCCTTACTATCTCTCTCTCTCTCTGACTATCTATGTTTCTCTCTATCTCTCTCTTTCTATATCTTTCGCTTACTATCCTTACTATCTCTCTCTCTCTCTCGCTAGCTATCTATCTTTCTCCCTCTCTATCTCTCTAACTCTCTCTAACTCTCTCTCTCTCTATCTTTCTTTCTATCTCTCTAACTCTCTCTGCATACATTGGGTGAACGAAATATTTCAAAAATATGAAATGCTTAAACATAAATAAAATGTACTACTGGCTAAAATATATGGTCATGCCTATTAGGCCAGATGTAGTTCCTCACAATTATAGTAAATATATTAAAAATAATGTAAATTAGTTCTTGAACTTGAGTAGCATTGTATATAATTTATTTAGTATTTTATAATAAATGAGTTATTATTTGTCGCGCTTATAGTTAATAATAAAAAAATAGTGTAAATCTACTTTTGAGTTTCAGTGATAAATAATTATTTTTTTTTTAATAAATGATCTAATATTGAAAACTCGAAAAAAAAGTCGTAATTTTCTTTAGAGGGAAGTAATTCCTCTAGATTTAGACACGTGGCAAAAATCGCAACGGAATTCCCACGAGAAGCGGGCCCCACAAAATTGTGACCAACCGCATAACGAACTAACGAACATCCACGCGCCCTCCGGAGTCGACCTCGTGCCGTCCACTTCACGCGTCGCCATGCCAACGGTCACCCCGCCAAATCCTCTCTCTCTCTCTCTCTCTCTCTCCCTCCCTCTGCCTCTCTCTCTAAAGAAGGGAGAGATGATTAAATTATAAAGATATTTAGTACAGAGAGAGAGAGAGGGGAGGGATATAATTAGAGGGATCGAAAGAAGCGGGGAGGGGAGGGGGGGGGGATGGCTTATTAAAGGGGAAGGGGGTCGGAGGTTGCGCATTGCCTCCCATTGTGGCCGGAGAGAGAGAGAGAGAGAGACTCTGGTTTTTCGTCAATGGAGGAGGCCTAACGAAGAGAGAGAAACCAAGGAGAGGGAGAGACGGAGGGTGGGAGGACGATCTCTCCTCTGATTTCCCTCCTCGCAGATCCACCATGGAGAACTACAGCTTGGAGGACATCAGGAACGAGAATGTCGACCTGGTGAGATGATCCTCTCTCTTTCTCTCTCTCTCTCTCTCTCTCTCTCTCTATCTGTGCTCGTCCTCCCCCGTTGGCGAGCTTTTCCTCATATTTCGATTATTGTAGGAACGGATCCCGGTGGAGGAGGTTTTCGGGCTGCTGAAGACTTCCAAGGATGGTCTCACCGCCGAGGAAGGAGAGCAGCGCCTCCAGATCTTCGGCCCTAACAAACTCGAGGAGAAGGAGGCCAGTCTGCTGGAACCCTAACCGTGATCCTCTCTCGTCTTTTCTGGCTTTGATTTTTTTGTGCTCTAAGTCTTCTTATGTTTTTCAGGAGAGCAAAATCCTCAAGTTTTTGGGGTTCATGTGGAATCCGCTTTCGTGGGTCATGGAAAGCGCCGCCCTAATGGCGATCGTCCTAGCAAATGGCCAGGTAACCGAAGATCAACATCATCATCGTCGTCTTCTTGTTCGCAACTCAACTACTAATTATTGTCATCATCTCCTTCCTGTTCTTAGGGCAAACCTCCTGATTGGCCGGACTTTGTCGGCATCGTTACTCTTCTGGTGATAAACTCCACCATCAGCTTTATCGAAGAGAACAATGCGGGGAATGCCGCGGCGTCACTCATGGCTGGCCTTGCTCCCAAGACCAAGGTTGGCCGTCACGCCATCTCTGCGTGTGCTCGATCTACTCCGCCGCCGTATGCCCCTCTCTAAATTGAAACCTTATTGTGAAGGTGCTCAGAGATGGAAAGTGGTCGGAGCAGGACGCGGCGATCCTCGTCCCTGGAGATATCATCAGCGTGAAGCTCGGGGACATCATCCCGGCAGACGCCCGCCTTCTGGAGGGCGATCCTCTGAAGATCGACCAGTCGGCTCTCACTGGCGAGTCTCTCCCCGTCACCAAGAGCCCGGGGGACGAGATCTTCTCTGGTTCTACATGCAAGCAGGGGGAGATTGAGGCCGTTGTCATCGCCACCGGCGTCCATACCTTCTTCGGCAAGGCTGCCCACCTCGTCGACAGCACCAACAATATCGGCCACTTCCAGAAGGTCGCCCCGATCCCTCGTCGCCAATTCGTTCTAAATTTAGCCGCCCAATTCTTTCGGAATTTTCATTGCCTCTAGTTCCGATCTTCGCAGGTGTTGACGGCGATTGGGAACTTCTGCATCTGCTCCATCGCTCTGGGGATGCTGGTGGAGATCATCGTCATGTACCCCGTGCAGCGCCGGCGATACAGGGACGGCATCGACAACCTCCTGGTGCTCCTTATCGGGGGGATCCCCATCGCCATGCCCACCGTTCTCTCTGTGACGATGGCTATCGGCTCTCACCGCCTCTCGGAACAGGGCGCGATTACCAAGCGCATGACGGCCATCGAGGAGATGGCCGGCATGGATGTCCTCTGCAGTGACAAGACTGGCACTCTTACCCTCAACAAGCTCACCGTCGATAAGACCATGATCGAGGTCACTCCATTGTCGTCATCGTCCTCGTCATCTAGATCCTCTCATCTGGATTCTTAAGATCATAAGGTTTCCCCTTCAGGTATTCGTGAAGGACACGGAGAAGGACACCGTGATGCTGCTCGCCGCCCAGGCTTCCCGGACGGAGAACCAGGACGCCATCGACGCCTCCATCGTGAACATGCTCGCCGACCCCAAGGAGGTGGAACCCCCCCTTCTTCCTATTCTTCTTCTTCTTCACCAGCGTAAGGATTTCCATCATTCGGTCTGGTTCATCCGCCGGCGATCCCGGAAATCTTTCAGGCCAGGGCGGGAATCAAAGAAGTGCACTTCCTCCCCTTCAACCCCGTCGATAAGCGCACAGCCATCACCTATATCGACCTCGCGGACGGCTCCTGGCACAGGGTCAGCAAGGGAGCCCCCGAGCAGATCATCGAGCTCTGCAACCTCCCCACCGAGACTAAGAACAGGGCCCACGATATCATCGACAAGTTCGCCGAGCGGGGGCTCCGGTCCTTGGCCGTGGCCAGGCAGCCGGTGCCGGAGAAGACGAAGGAGAGCGCCGGTGGCTCATGGGAGTTCGTCGGACTCCTCCCCCTCTTCGACCCACCGAGGCACGACAGCGCGGAGACCATCCGGCGGGCCCTGAACCTCGGAGTCAACGTGAAGATGATCACCGGAGATCAGCTCGCCATCGCCAAGGAGACGGGCCGCCGCCTGGGGATGGGAACCAACATGTACCCTTCGTCCTCCCTGCTCGGGGAGAACAGAGACGAGTCGGTGGCCTCCATCCCTGTCGACGAGCTCATCGAGAAGGCCGACGGCTTCGCCGGCGTCTTCCCGGAGCACAAGTACAACATCGTGAAGAAGCTACAGGAGAGGAAGCACATCTGTGGGATGACCGGCGACGGGGTCAACGACGCCCCCGCCCTGAAGGCGGCGGACATCGGAATTGCGGTGGCGGACGCCACCGACGCCGCCAGGGGGGCCTCCGACATCGTGTTGACCGAGCCGGGGCTGAGCGTGATAGTCAGCGCGGTGTTGACCAGCCGCGCCATTTTCCAGAGGATGAAGAACTACACCATATACGCCGTCTCGATCACCATCCGGATCGTGGTGGGGTTCTTGCTGATCGCCCTGATATGGAAGTTCGACTTCTCGCCGTTCATGGTGCTGATCATCGCCATTCTCAACGACGGCACAATCATGACCATATCCAAGGACAGGGTGAAGCCCTCTCCCCTCCCGGATTCCTGGAAGCTGAAGGAGATCTTCGCCACGGGGATCGTCCTCGGCACCTATCTCGCCGTCATGACCGTCATCTTCTTCTGGGCCGCCCACGACACCGACTTCTTCTCGGTACTTGCTCTTTCTCTGCACTTGCCCCCACTTCCCTTCTTATTCCTTCCTCGTGGAATCCTAAAGATGGTCACTGCTCGTTTTTTCTCTGCAGAAGGTGTTCGGGGTGAGGTCCATCAGTCTGGAGAGCCACGAACTGAACTCGGCGCTGTACCTGCAAGTGAGCATCGTGAGTCAAGCGCTGATCTTCGTGACGAGGTCCCGCGGGTGGTCCTACGCGGAGCGGCCGGGGATGCTCCTCGTCGGAGCCTTCATCGTCGCGCAGCTGATCGCGACTCTCATCGCCGTCTACGCCAGGTGGGGCTTCGCCCGCGTCCATGGTATCGGCTGGGGCTGGGCTGGCGTCATCTGGCTATACAGCTTCACCACCTACCTTCCCCTCGACATCATTAAGTTCGTCATCCGCTACGCCCTTAGCGGCAAGGCCTGGGACAACCTCCTCCAGAATAAGGTTCGTTGCCCTCTCTCTCTCCATCTGTGTGTGTGTGTGTGTCTCTCTCTCTCTCTCTCTTTCTCCGTGGCTGCTGAGGAGCGGAGTCTGGTTTTTGTACAGACTGCGTTCACGACAAAGAAGGACTATGGGAGGGGGGAGAGGGAGGCGCAGTGGGCGCTGGCGCAGAGGACGCTCCACGGCCTGCAGCCGGCGGACACCACGGCGCTCTTCAACGACAAGAACAGCTACCGGGAGCTATCGGAGATCGCCGAGCAGGCCAAGAGGCGGGCCGAAGTCGCCAGGTGCACCTGATTCCCTCGTCTTCCTCCTCCGACAGAGAGAGATACTCCATCAGGGACAGACTCTAGAGAGGGTTTCCGTCGTCTTCCTCCTCGAGAGAGAGACTCTATTAGGGTTTCCGTCGTCCTCGTCCTCTGCCTCGAGGGAGAGACTATTAGGTTTATGTCATCTTCCTCCTCCTCGATAGATAGAGAGAGAGAAACTCCATTAGGGTTTCCGTCGTCTTCATTCTCCTCGAGAGAGAGTGACTCTATTAGGGTTTCTGCCATTTTCCTGCTCCTCCTCCACGAGAGAGACTCTATTAGGATTTCCGTCCTCTTCCTCCTCCGACTCCGAGCGAGAGAGAGGGAGAGTCTGTTAGGGTTTCCATCGTCGTCGCGGTCGTCCTCCTTCTCTATTAGGGTCTCGGCTAACGTGGTGGTGGGCCTCGCAGGCTGAGGGAGCTGCACACCCTCAAGGGACACGTGGAGTCAGTCGTGAAGCTTAAGGGGTTGGACATCGACACCATCCAGCAGCACTACACGGTGTGACGGCGCAGAGGCTAAAAGGCCAAACGGTCTTCTTCTCTCCATCTCCGCATATTCTTCAGTTTCTGTCATATTCTGCGTTTCCTCTCCGCATTTTTTTTTCTTCCCCTCCAAACACTTGGCAAGAAGCGGAGAAGACGAGACGTGGAAGCAAGTACCCTCCACCTCTCTCTCTCTCTCTCTCTCTCTCTCTCTCTCTCTCTCTGTTTCTCCCATTCGACTCTATAAACATATCTTCAAGCGCGTTTGACGAGACGAGGAACTCCAGTCGAAAGCTCATTGGTTCACCTACTCTTGATGATGATGGAGTTATCTTTTTACTATTCCTAGTAAATCATGTTCATCGGACATCCATAAACCATGCAAGCTCGTTGACCCACACGAGGAACATGCCTGAAAACCCGGCCGCAATGTCCCCAGCTCAGTTCCCCGCTGACCGCGCGCAAGGAGATGGAGGGTTGACTTTAAACAGGCATCGTCTAAGGCAACTGGGATGATTATGAGCTGTAGCAAAGAACTGGGATCAAATCGATGGAGGGAGCGCCCCCGCGAAGATCAAATGGAGATTTTGTAGCATCATTCAAGTAACATGAGCTGGTGATTCAGGGCCTCCAAACATCTTGGAAGTTAGTATCTAACTGGGTCGTGGGGTGAGATAACTATCGGACCTGTGGAAGGTTATTAAATGAAATAGTTAGTAGCATACTTTGGAAACGATTATACACACTTTTGACGCTTTAACTTGACTTACCTTGGGCTGAGAAAGCAAAAGAACATGGATTCAATCTCTTAATTAATTATTTATTTAAATTTAATTAGACGGCATTTTCTGAGTCATTGATGTAGAGAAAATAAACAAATCAGAAAGAAAAAAAGAATTTCAGTTCTTCCTGGGGAGGAGCTCTGCTAAGGAAAATGGGCATGAATCGAAAGAGCAAGTGGCAGTGGTCGGTGATTGGTCAAAAGAGCTGCTGCGTCGAGGCTACGGAGCTCATGAAGGAAGATATCCTGGTTGGGTCCTTTCGAAGGCCGTCTGGGGCACAGATGCCGCTGCTGACGTCGACTCCGTCGGGTCCGAGAGTAGAGATAGCTTCAGAAACGTTCTCTGGCCTGAGACCTCCGGCCAGAAGCCACCCTTGTTTGCTCCGAACAGATGGCACCCGGAACCTCTTCCAGTCAAACCCTTTGCCGCTGCAAACAATAGAGGAATGGAATTATAACAAGGAATAAAATGAATAAATAAATGGTTCAAAATAAGACTTAAATAAACCGACATTTTGGGAACCTTAGCACATAAACTATAATATATATATTTATATATAATGGCATAAACCCTTGTTTGCATATATATTTATATATCCCATTATTAGATATTAAGCACCTAAAATGAGGAATAAATAGTTGAAATAAGATTTAAAATAAACCGACATTTTGGGAACCTTGACACATAAACTATATGATGAGAATGCACATATATGTATATATATAGGATGGAAAAATATGGGATTTTTTTTTTTTGAAGCTCCATGCTAATGAAATGACGGGGATGATAAAATATTGAAGCTCTAAACCTGCCGCCTTTTGCACTGTCCACCAACAGCCAATCAACTTGAGAAGACTCTTCCTCACCCACATCGTTGAGAAGCTGCCCATCGTCGTTGGCATGCAGAACATATATTATTCGTTTTTTCAGGGACAACAGCATCGGAAGCGCTGCCCGAGACCCATCACCATGAAGCTGCACCAGCTGAATACTCTCAGACCCATCACCATGAAGCTGGACTATTTATCATACTATCTGGGTACCTGCACAAACTCGATCTCTGAAGTCTCAGCTGCTCGGAGAATTGCATCGAGGTTGTCGTCAACGAAGACTCCAACGGGCTCAGCTCCATTGTCTCGAGCGACTCGCGAAATCTCTTTTGCGGTGGTCAGCGGCACAGAACGCTTTGAATTGGGCCAAAGAATCATGCCAATCAGGTTGGCACCAGCATTAGCAGCCATTGCTGCATCTCGGGCTGAAGTTATGCCGCACATTTTAACTACTACATTCTTTGTATGCTCCCCTTTCAAAGAGGAGCATTTGACATGGATAGATCCTGAATTCGTTCTAAACATATTCGTACAAGTGCTAAATTTTTGCATCAGATGGACTCTCTCAATATGCATACCTGAGTAGGTCAAAGGTCAGCGTATAAGCACAAGCAGCAAGAATGTAGGCCCAAGATCTAGAGCAGAGAGTTTATGACAAAAATGTAAAGAAAACAGTAATTTAAGAAACATTATTCTAATAAGAAAATTGATGGGGAAGAATTCAAAAAAAAACTCAATGACATTTGTCAGAGATGCTTACAAGTGTGCTCACATTATCCACATCCCATTCTTAAGATACCCAAAACTGTTTAAATGGCTGGTTAAAGTGGGGTTGCATTAGTAAAATTTTGAGTAGATTCCAAGCTGGAATACAGGGTAACAGAGGTTTTGTTCAAATAATGATATACGAGTATCGAAAAATGAAAGTAAGTTTAATTTTACAATTACCGATGCATATTATTAGTACGTAAAACCATTAGAACCGATCAAAAGTTCTTCAAGGCAACCGATTTCCACTGATTTTCACGGTTGACAAGAGCAGACTGGGTTGGTCTCGTTCTGAGCCGAAGAGAAGTAACACGTCCACTAGACAGGTCTAATTATCATTTGAGACCACTGCTATCATAGAAAATTTACAAAAATAACAAAAAAAAACATCCAATATCAATAAAAGCATTTAATCATCAGGGCTGAACATGGTAATTTCGGAGATATCAGCAAGTTGATATTACTATATGAGGGATAAAGGTGAGCATCCAACTATAAGTCCAACTTATTTTTCATATGTCAATTAATAATCATAATAAGTGTACTTATGAGCATTTTAATAAAACCGATTTTTTCATTGATACTTTAACCATTGCAACCTGTTGGGAAATCGTAACTCACTTCTAAAATATATGATAACAGCATGTATGCAGGTCCACGAGATGGCTTAGAGTTACAGTTTGATCGACATTGGACTCTGATAGAGGACTACAAGTTTTGGTTGGTGGCTTCTATTCCATGCAAATCTCAACATCGTTAATTAAAAAAAAATCAAATTTTAATTACTGTCGTGGATGATTTTGTTAACAATGTAATTAACTTTGCATGTAATCTGGGGAAAGAGAGGTCAGACGTGCTAGTAACAAGTAACAACGCATATATGTTATTTAGGGTTAGGAACATGACCTACACCTAAGGTTGTAGCGTGGGGTGTACTCTAAGTCCACTAAATTAATATGGGCATCAGTCCAATCTCAGGCCAGTATTTTACTGGCTCTACCTAGTTGGTTTGACTAAGAAATTGGATCTTAGGCCTACCTTGAGATGGGTGCAGTGGGTTGAGAAAATTAATTCAGTTTGACTGGATGGTCAACGTCATTGGTCTCCATGACAACCTTGTCCAGACAAAAATCATACTTTCAGAAAACTAACAGCAGCACAGACAGGCATAGATACTCTCTCAGACACACACACACACACCCCATATATATGTAGAGAGAGGGAGGGATTAAGAGTCTTATGATCTTGGTGGTTGGGTCGGGATGGGTCGAGGTTCTTCAGTTTAGACTCAATATTGATTAACTTTTTGGATGCCATGGGTCCCTGTGGTGGTTGAATCCATATTCATGATAGCATCAAAGATTAGACTTTGGCATTTCTCTTATAACTTGTTCAACCAAGAGTTCTCTAGATTGAGAATGTCAACCACACCTACCTGATTTGGTATACGAAAAAAAAAATCAAATTCGTTGTCTTAATTATGTGCTCATCATGTCTAAGAACTACCATCCGCTTCCTGCTTACACCCTCTATTGCATAGAAGTGCTTTCGCTACACCACAGTAGGCTTGTAGCTTGGTTGGTTCTACGGACAACAATCAAAATAGTTAGCAATCGCCGGACTAAGAGTTTGGTTTACCACTCAACCTACCAAACTTTGAGATAAATAAATGCAAAACACTGGGGAATGAATACGCATGAGATGGAGGGAATATAGCACGACACATGAGACTCACCTGTAATCAAGTTAGCTAAAAATGAAGAAACAATCCCAGGTGGGATGCACAAAACATGCCAAATTCTTTGAATAAAAGGGTGACACAAAAGAAGAGCTTGGCCCCTATTCCAGAAATGAAAAGCAAAATGAGGAAGGAAGACCTCTTACAGTTTCTGCGTGGCAGCCTTAGTTGAGAGGGCGCACATGAGGCCGGAGTGGATATCATCCTTAGGAAGAAAAAGAACAGGAGGCTGAGCGGTAGAGTGATGAAATTACACAAGAAAGGGAAGGAAAAGAAGGATAAGATTTAAAAATTTGTTTCCATGGTCTCCAAAAGATGACAGAATTTCGGATATCTTAAACGAGGTATTATTTACTTCCCACTCTAGAAGAGATGTTGATGCCTTTTTCGATAAACCATATTGTTTCTGTTTTAGAACTGATCGCAGGAAAGAAGCACAGTAGTCGCTAGGGATTCCCACCAGTTCGAGCTGTAAGTATTTCAGAAAGTCGCATCGTTGCCACTCTTTCATGTTTTTAGGACTGATAACAAGGAAGAACACGGTGATCCAAAATAGCCGTCGTACACATGTTTGAGAGCTGATCACAAGAACGCTGGTTATAGGATTTACCATATCCACATTGGAGAATTCATAACAAGAAGGAACCACTCATATTATTGGGTAGATTTGTCAATAGCTTATAAATTTACCCCGTTTCCATGTTTTGGAACTGATAGCAGGGAGGATTCTCTTTGGGCGTTGGAGATACCACCAGCTAGAGTTGTCAATGCTCTGGAAAGCAGATCATATCCATGTTTTAGAACTGATGAGAAGAAAAACACACTGGTTGTTAGACATCCCACCAGCTAGAGCTCTCCTGGTTGACGGAAAAATCTCGAAACACGATGAAAATCAGCGATGCCGAGGGGATGAAAGAAGCTACGAAGTTGACTTTCGGGCTCGAAGCAACCAGGCAGATTAGAAGAAAAAGCAGGGTTCCTCTTAAGCCCACCTATTACCCCTTCGCTGGTGGGAAAATATACTTGAACCGATGAAGAAAAGAAGTTAAAGCTGCCATGGCCTCAGACAGACGGTGGGTTTATGCCTTGAGCAGGGATATGGAACTTGAGCTCGAGACTGGCCCAATAGACCGGGGCTTCCCTATGTTTCTTGCAGGCGCCGAGATTCAGGAGGAATCGGTCTCCGGGAGCGAGGCGGAGGAAGAATTGGAGTGTCTCGTCCCGTGGAGATAGGTGAGGCTGGGTTGGTTCTTCCCCGTCGTTGTCTTCGTCGCTCATCATCATATCCATGAATTTCCTTGGAAATTACTTGGGCTCTGTTAATCCGCTGAGAACGAGTATTTTGATTGCTGGAGAACCCAGCCCTGAAACTCCCGTCTCCCCATCCTCCTCTTTGCCTTTTATACAAGATGAATTGGTGGAAAACGTGGTACAGATGGGGGGAGGGGGGCGGCTCAACTAAGGCTGCCACGCAGAAACTGTAAGAGGTCTTCCTTCCTCATTTTGCTTTTCTATGAAAACTTCTCAGTAAAATTCGTTCCATGACATCTGCCCCATTCGGTCAATGATTTATGTTCAAAAACCTTCTATTTGTGATGGTCATATCATGGTAAAAGAAGCACCCGCTTCTTTCAAATATTTCCACAGGCATCATATTTTCACGTTTTCCTCCTCTACAGTAAATCTAACCATTTGATAAATTTTGTGCAATGCTCAATTTCAATTCCTTAAATTTTTGAAGAACTGCGTCCTATACCTATACTTTCAAATTCTTCAGCCGCTGGCTTGATCTATTCAACCATACATCTTTCCATCCATCCAAGATTCCCCTTCAAATCTCTATCATATTGTGTACGATTTGAGAGTTCTGACCTCCACTTGTAAACCAATTTAACGAAGCATAAGGAATGGCCCCTTTTGGATGACACAGTCTAGGTGTTCAAAAGTCACCACACGGCCACCAGTTTCGACATCCAAATGGGCTGGCTGCTGGACACCGATTGTTTTGGTCAATTGTTGTCCATCAGAATCACAGAACCAGAAATATCGCGGTCTCCTAGATCACAGAACAACTCCACCCGCCATCTAAAGCCCAGGCCCATCCCCCAAAATCTTTCATCCGCAGACCGTCACGGAGATTCAAGAAAACGTGCAAAGAACAGAGAGACACACGGATACTAGGAAAAATAAGGAAGGCGATGTTCCCCACCTCCCCGCGGATTCCTCGCCGACCGGATCCCACAAGAACGGCGAAAGAAGCGTCGCCTGGTGGTCTTCCTCTCTCCTTCTTCGCCCTCGTTTCCTCGGTCTACAGAGTGACGCGTGGAAAACGAACGGCAGACCTGGAGCTTCCCCCTGCTGCTGCGGCCTCGACAGAGGAGTGCTGCCACCTCCTACCACTCCCTCTGCTTCCAACGCCACAGCTGCCGCTCCTCCTTCCCCACGCCTCTGAATTAGGGATCCCGGGTCGCGGAACACGAATCGATTTGACTGAAAACCGCCATTACCTAGCTACAGATAGAGCCCACCACGTGCCTCTGTCTGAGGCCATGGCTGCTTTAAAATGCACCTCTAAGTTGGGTCAGGTTGTGTTCTTGTTTTGACCCTTGATCTCGCATAACTGAGCAAGATGGGGGGCTCAGAGAGCTTGTTGATTCAGATTTGTAACGAAATTCCTTTTCTTATTACTTACCAAATTTTAAAAAGGATTTTTTTTCCTAGAAAAAGACGAGATCTTTTGACCCTGTTGTTGGATTTAAGTCGAATCGCTTCATGGGTCAAATTGAGTTGCTAAAAAGTTAATTTTTTGGCATTCTAATTAGATAGATAGATAGATAGATAGCAAGGCTTTATTGATTCACGTATATTTCCTTTAAAAATTGATATTTTTCCAGAGGAAATAAAAATATAATAAATTCCCCATAAAATGGTTTGATCAAAAAGGCCGTACCTTGCACCTAGATGGCCCTCTTGGGAACCAGAAATAAGAAAGAATGTAGAATAATACCAGTTGCTCTTTCTAAATTTGGGCCTCTTTGACCCAAATCGGATGCGATAGTCAACCCTCATCGTGGAAAGGATCCAGTCAAATACTTCATTCCTCTTGAAAGGCAGAAGTCGTCGTCACATCAGACTAAAAGAGCACCAACTGTTCTTTAAATATTTGAGCGAGGAAACAATGGAATGGCGCTTTGAGCTTGACGAGAGTGATCGAGAAAAAGGGTCAATTCAGATCGTTCATCTCTCTTCACACCTATCAGTATTCCCTCTAATAGAGTCACCATCTCACGCCTTTTACCCTTTCAAGCAGACGTCCAACAGCCGAAAGGAGAGGCCAACACTACAGCACTTGGAAGCTTTCGCCCAGTTTCTACGCTCCACACTTTTCATCTGGATGACCCACAAGTTTGAACACGGAGAGAGAGAGAGAGAGAGAGAGAGAGAGAGAGAGAGAGAGAGAGAGAGAGAGAGAGAGATGCTACTATGAAGGATGATAAATTTCTCCTGACTGCTTATTCTCCTTTAAAAACCTGTGCCTAGCATTTTATACCTTTCAGTGATTGGAAAGAATAAACTCTTGGCTGACACATAAATCTAAGAATAGTCCCAATTTTTCACTTGGGTGACCCACAAGTTTAAACTCAAGAGTATAAGAGAGAGAGAGAGAGAGAGAGAGAGAGAGAGAGAGAGAGATGGTATTATGCAAGATGATAAATTACACCCGACTGCTTATTGTCCTTTCAACCTGTATATACCTTTCAATGATTGGAAGACGTGTAAAGCCCTTCAGGATGCAAACTGTGGGGCTGGCATGAACAGAGCAGATGACTTTGATACAGCCAAAGAAAGGGGAAGAAGATGGGGGAGAGAGGGCGGGGCCCGGCGAGGAAGATAAAAGAATGGTGCGATATTGGGAAAAGTCAATCCGATGAATACCTCGCCGGCATTATAGGATTGTTCCGATCAACCATACGTGGAGCAGAAGCCAGTAGGCCACGAGACCCATCCTGGCTTCGGGCCGGCCCATCAGCAGCCGACCAGCAGATACCCTGCAAGGTCAAACCCATGAATCAGGTAAAACCCAGGAACTGGAGGGGCCCCACTTTGGAGCCCACTTCTTTCCTCAGTTCGAGGAATCATAGGTCAAACCGAGGAACCAAATGGTGGGTCCCCTTTGTTCAAGATCTTAACCCGGCAGTTCATCCTAGATCTTTTCTTCCTTTTTTCTTCTTTTGAGTGGCACGTGGAGAGTTCGAGCATGTGAATAAAACCCGGAGTTCCAGGAGGCGGCGACTTCCAAAAATAGGTTATTGCCTGATTTTAGCTGAGCTACAACTCACCTTATATGATTCATTTAATGTTTGGATAATTATGACCTCATCTTCTTCAGGCAATAAACAAGGACGGGTGCAGATATTTAAGCCAAAAGAGAAGAAAAATCTGTCATAATTCACGAAGAACAAGCAAAAGCTGGATATCCTAGTCTCATGTCTTAGGCTGAATTATCCGATCTAATCCGGGCAGTGAGTTGAAGCAGATTAATAAAGGGCGGGCGAAGGTAGCTTTGACTCACCAGAGACCATCAATCCGATCGGCTACATGCTTTCCCTGCTTCGGGATGAGGCCCGATGTATTGAGGGACTTGAACACGTGACCTGTGCAAGGATAAACACATGAAAAACATGCAGGTAATATTTCCTTTTTAAGAAGAAGAAGAAGAAGAAGAAGAAGAAGAAGAAGAAGAAGAAGAAGTAATGTGATCAGAACAAACCTTTGTCGTCGATTCCACGGGAACTGATTAATCGTTCTGACTCTGTATCAACATTGAGGGCGAGGTGGTCGCTTGATGGCTTCCGCGTTGTTCTCGCATGCGCAGCAGCAGGCACAGGGGAGACCGATTTCTTCCCAACATGGCCCTGAAATATGAACAGTTGGGCATGCTCGGCTAGTTATTTGAGTCAATATGAAGCATACAGTCACTAGTTCCATTAATGGAAGCAGCTCTTCGGAAAAATAAAAATATTAAACTAAATACAACAGTAATGAGATAGTCTCAGAATCTGGAAACAGGCATCTCAATTCAAGATATGATATTATAACCCATGATTTTGGTGAGAGTTAACAGAGATAAAGCGCTCTAACAGTATGTTACGTATGTTGGTATATGAATGAATATATATAAGCAGTACTTTCATCCACAAATATATTGATTTCTCTGCGGCAAGTTGCTTCATAGCACAATCTGCTTTACTTCCTGAATATGTATAGAGTTGAGTCCTCGCCTATACCATTGCTTTAGTGACTAACTCAGGCGACATGGGGAGCACTTGAGCCCATAGACTGCCTTCTGCCCAAGCTCAGTGCAAGTAAACTGGTTTCTCGATGTTGGACAGTATTTCAGACAGAAGGCAAAGATTGAAAATATAGGCAGATGGCAGGTGATAGAAATATCAGCTCAGCAATTGGACTGAGGGAGTAGAAAGCCGTGTTCCCCGCCTCCCCCTTCCCCCCCTCTCCTCCCTCCCTCCCTCCTTCCCCACGTGGCTAGCCAGAGAAAACCGAGTAATAGAGAAAATCGAGTCTTCAGTAAACCAACAGCTTTGAGTACCACCCAAAATGGGTTTAATTACAAGACTTTGGATTTTTGTCTCTCCTACAAACCTCCATCCTGCTTCATTCCATTCAGTCAGGATTTCTTGGAACCTAGAAACCAGAGAATAGATATCCACAGTTCTAATAATCAGCAGTTTTTTTGTGCATTGTGCGTGGCTTATTTGCAGGTTTGGATGATACCTAAAGCATAAAAAATATAAAAAATAAAATTCGAAATATGAAAGGCAATATTCTGTATTTCAGACATTTTGGGTAAAACATATATGGCCTGCCAAAATGACGACAAGATGCGGAAATGAGCTTGAAACTCAGCTAACTTTTCACTTCGAGCTTAAACTTGCACCAGCAAATCCGATTAGTCAACTATGGCAGATTTAGAAGATAAAAGTACCTTGTCTTTAAAATATGATAGGAACAAGGATACAAGCACCTTAGGTTTAACAAATATATATATACGTGTGTGTTTGTTTTATTTCACAAAATATTAAGAAAATATCTCCAGCATTTCCCATATTTTCATTGATTTCAATTGGAACATAGGAAAGTTAATTTGCGCCACAGAGATCGGAGCTGAATCGAGTACAAAGAGGCGGATGGATAAAAAAAAAAATCCGAAATTGTCACCTATCTTTGTGTCATAATATCACAAACTGTACAGCAAGAATTGAAGTGCTTTACCTACATCCACCCATGAGGGATCAAAACAGGAAATAAGGCTAACTGGGACAAATTAATCAAAGAAAAAGTTAACTTTTTGGACAGCAACAGGAAGTATAAGACCGACGATAGCAATATATTGAATAAGCGCTCAAGTAGAAGAGAGAGCTTTACCCCATCCTCGATTTCAAGTATCTCTGAACCAGAAACAAGTGAAGACCCCTCAGAGACGGTTCTTTCCTTGCTAACATCTGTCAGAGATGACCTAGTATGAATAGAGTCCTCAAGCAACTTAATACTTGATGACAGATCTTCATTTAATGCTTGGCTTTCCTGCAGCTTAGCTCCCAGTTCCTGAACTCTTGACTTCAAACTTTCAGAATCCTGAAGGGAGGCCATTACCCGCCATTCCAGAAGTTGTAAAAGCCCTTTCGTATCAACAGGTCTCTTACTTTCTAGAAATTCATAACCGCCCAACTTCAATATGACTTTCTCCAAACCCTGAGACAAATCAACCAAGTTAGATTTCTTGTCTTCCAAATCCTGATTAATGACAGCATAATTTTCAGAGGCCTCTCTAAATTGTTCAATCTCATGAAGATAATTCCCAAGAGTTGATTGCATCTGATCTTTCTCCTGAATCATCGAGTTTACCAAAACCTGCAACTTGGCAACATTATCCAAAATATAAAATATTTTGTCTACAGGACTTGAAAAACTTTGTCCTTCAATGTTGACCGCTGATTCTTTGAAAGGAACTTCTATCATATTCAACCGGTCAAAAAGGGTCTCCACATGGTTCCCCATAAAAAGCTTCATACAGTCCTCTGAAATACCCTTGAGACTTGAAAACTTTTGAGCCTTAGCTTTTACTGTTTCCACAGCACCCAGAAGTTCTACTGCTACAATGTCACATTCAACTGTTATGCTATTTTCATTATATTCCTCTATTTCACCACCACCTGCCTCTCTAGATTCGTGCAACTTTGCAGAAAGGTGCCTCTCATGTTCTACACTGGAGTCTGCATCCGGTATACCATCAAATTCAATACGCAAATGGTGACTAGCTTGTCTGCATGCAGCCAGAACGGTTGTCAGATTCTTCTGTAATGCAAGCACTTTCGTTTCTTGCGCCTGGTTATGAGCTTCCAAGTTCTTCAAGTTTACTGATAGCTTTTCCCTATACTCCATCATTCCATCAGCATCATTCACTATTGTCTGTAAAGCTTGTAAAAGAAGTGTGATGTGCTCGTCAACATAACCGGAAAAATCCCTGAACCTCTCCATTAGATTGTTCATTTGAATACTAGAAGCTTCAACAACCTTGGCAAGAGATGGAGTGTCCCCAACTTCATCAGCTCTCCTCGAATCAATTGTGGCCAGTTTGGCATGACAATAATCCTCAAAGGGCGGAAAAGAAAGAAGCTTCTCCAAATGAGGATCTTTCTGCAAATTCATAAAAACAGATTGTTTTAATAATAATACGAACGGATTAGTTAAATGAAAAGCAAAAAAAATAAGCATCCACCGGGAAAAGCACTTCACTCTGTGGGAAGAGCATAGGGATAAACAGTAAATGAGTTCAGACGTGTAGGCAACAGACAGAGTTAGCATTCCAATAGTAATAATACAAATGGAACAAAATACCACATGAAATGCCTACTTCACGCTTATAGATTATTGAGGCGACGAAATATTTTCAAAATGATGGAACAAATAAGTAAAGGTACTCCAAAAGATAGCTCCAATGCACAGAGGGAGTACACAGTGATGGATTCCTCTAATGCTAAACGCTTAAACCACATTTTATCTAGTCTCCTCTTGATTTCTCATGTTTTAACTTTGGATGCTACATAAATGGAGAGAGATAACAATGCTGAAGATAATAATGACTGTAATCATATGCTAAATACATTTGAATCATAAGCCCATATCTAAACCGTAAAATAATTGCAAATACATGCAAAGTTATTAGGCAATTGAAGAAAAAAATGAGCATGTGACATGGAATGACTAAGAGCAGCCAACTCCTCAGGACCACTAGCAGGTTTGTTTTGGAAGTAATAATCCGGTTCAAGAAAATGCTCACCAAACACAACGGGAGAACTAGCAATTTAATGCATGGTAATTTACCAAGTGGGCTCGACCTATATTGTCTACAGAAAATTCACCTTCACAATTAACATAGTAAACCAAGAAACAAGGTTTACAGATTAAAAGTAACTACATAGCCAAGCTCAATTCATCAGCTCAGCTGTTTTGATTCCTAGGTCCCAGATGCCATTCCCCACCAAGAATACTAAGAAGCATGCAATTGTCAAGTGGATGTGACTTCAGTATCGACTAAAATAAAAATATAATTCTGGACAGGAGAAAGTACAATAAAGAAATAAACAGGATACCTCTGAATCAGGATTCCCTTCCAACCCACTTGCGGCAAATCTGTCACGAAGATTCTCAATTAAAAGACCAAAACTTTTCAAGCCCTCAATTTTTTCTCTAAATCCCTCTACCATCATGACAAATAGTCCCTCATCCTTTGTAAGCGTCTCAAGATTCCTAAGATGACTAATCAGTTCAGCTGACCGGTTCTCTACTTTATCACGAGCCTCCACCAATTCTTCCACACATGCAGCTAGCTTGGCATTTAATGATATAATCTCTAGTTTACTTTCGCCTTCAATTCCATTCTTTTCATTAGTGAGGATGGAGATGCTGTTCTCTGCCTGAGACAGCGCATTTTCGAGGTTCCTTATGGTCACATAGGACTGTGTCAACTTGTCAGTAAGACTATCTACATCTTCTTTCACCTTTTCTAACTCCTGTTCAGCAGAAACTTTCCCAAGTTTTGCGTCCTCCTTTTCCTCAAGAATAGCAGAAACTTTCTTCTCCATCTCGGATAATGCAATCTCCAAGTTGCTTATAGTTGCATCACCATGTGCCAGCCTGGTGACCAGTGTAAGAGCTTCGCCTTTTGCTTGCTCTAATTCCTGATCCTTGGAAGCTTTAACAATTGTAACTTCATGAATGTACTCAGAAATCCTTTTCAGCTTTTCTGCTGGGTCTTCAGAGTTTATACTGTATGGCAAAGAGATGTGATTAATTGCACCAACCATCTTTTGAAAAGAGTCACCACTCTCCCGCAACAACTGTTTCATTTGGTCCCTCTCCTGCTTCAAGGAAGCAATGTCGATCTCAAGCTGTTTAATGTGTCCTACATCAGCAGACAGGATCTCAATCTGTCCCCTGAGTTCAGCAGTTGCAGAATCCTGCAGCTGAAGATCATGCTGTAGCTTTTGAATTTCAGAGTTCTTTTCATCCAGTGAAAGTTTAAGGCCTTCACGATCCTGAACCAATCCCTTGCCCTTTTTGACTGCCATGGATAGTTTTTCCCGTAGCAAAGAGCACCTCTCCTCAACACGCTCGAAATCCTTCTGCAGGCCATCTTTTTCATTTCTCAAGGACTTTATTTCTTCATAGGCTTGCTTCAATTGGTTTGACATATTCATTACCACAGCTCTATCCAACCTTTCTTCTTCACAGATCATTGTAGATAGTGCTAACTCCTGTTCTTTCATAAATACCAAACTTTGCATTCTTTGAAACAGCTCAGAGAAAACAGAAGATTCATGAGCAGTTCTTCTCCACTCTTCTGCTTTTCCAAGACAGTTCTCTATAAGTGTATCTATTACCTGGGAAGATTGATCTTCTGTGCTTTCAGAAAGATCTATAAGCACTTTCATCAGCTGATTCTTCTCCGATGAAACATGAGAGAGTTTCTCAACAATTCCTTCATATTTGGACTTTAGGTCTTCATTTACGTCTTGTAAAGAACTTACTTCCTCTCTTCGTTCAGAAATAGATGCAGTTAGGCCGTCAATTTCCTTATTTGCCTCAAGAAGCTGTGATTCACATGATATTACGGCTGCCTGCATGCTGGATAGTTCATCTCGAAGTTTGGCTGCATTTTCTTTACTTTCAGTAAATGATCTTAGAAGCCAGTTTAGTTGAGATTCTGAATCAGAGGACGATACATCTTGAGGTAAATCAACAGAAGAAAGTGCACCTTGTAGTTTACTGTAGCCTTGGAGAACTCCTTCTGCAGTATGCTTCTGATCAACAAGGCACCTAACTTTGTCCACAAGCTCCACAGATGGCACGTTCATTGGATAATCAATCTGAGAAACAACTTCTTCGATTTCACATAGAACCTTGCTCTGCTGTGAGAGTGAATCCTGAAGAGAAAGAATCATGTCCTCGCTTTTGCTTAGTTCCTCAACCCTAGCTTGAGTAGAGTCAAGGGCCTCAGATTTCTGTTGCAGCTCTAGCAAGCACCTCTCAAGCTCTGCCGTCTTGTCACTCAATAATTTTTTCAAGGCATCTCTGTGCTGGACAAGAGATTTGCCCTTCGTAACTGCCATACTGAGCTTCTCTTTTACTGTCATGAACTTACTCTCTGCTTGCTCCAGCCCTGCCTTCGCTTTGCTAGCCTCAACCTTAGCTTCCTCCAAATCATGTGTCATCCTATACAGACGTTCAAGAATTTCATCCTTCTCTTTTCTGAGTTCATTTATGGTCTCTAGAAGATATGACTCCTTACTTTTGCCTTCAAGAAGCTCTTGGCGTGCTGCATCAAAAACAACCTTTAATTCATTGTGCTGTGGTATCATAAAATCGGACTGGACAGTAGATAGACATCGTCCAAGCTGAGAAATCTCAGACAAAAATTGTGAATGTTTCTCAATTAACTTGGTGGTTCTCTTCTCAACAAGCGAGAAGCCATCAAGAACATCCTTCTCTAGATCTTCCTCATCCAGGGTGACAACTGTTGCGAGAGAACTTAGAAGTCTCCACACAAAAGCATCAGTAGATTGTCTCAGATATTCTGTCTGTGATTCTTGAAGCGAGTTCAAATAAGAAAAAACAATATCACGAGATATCGAATTCTCCGCTACCTCCATCTTGAGCTCCTCAATCTCCTGGTTTTTGGCGAAGACAATCGCACTAAGACCTCTAGCGTGATTCTCTAATTGTTGCCGCTCATCCCAATCACTTTTCAAGTGAGATGCGATCTCGGAACAACCCTTTATAATTGCATCCATTGGACTCAAAGAAAACGTATTACTGTCGTCATCACTGCCCCCTGCCTTTGTATTATCACCACTGACTAGTCCAGATTGAGAGTTGGTCATTGCTCGGAGTGTCTCGTAAAGAGTCACAATTTCCCTCCCACATGCCTCTCTTTCTTCCTGAAATCAATGTAAACCTCATAACCATGGTCAGAAATGAAAATAAAAATAAGTTTTTTCTTCCATGTAGTCAAATAGGAGCACCTTGTACTTCATGCACTCAGCAACAGCCGCTTCCAATCTCTCAGTAAGGTGCGCCACCTCATTACTCTGAGAAGCACCAATCAGCACCATTGGGTCGCCTAGCCCACTGGAGCTGCGCCCTTCAGAGAAACTCAACTCGTCTGGTGCATCAACAAAGGTGTCTTCCCTCCCTCCATCATCCGATTCACGATCACCTTCGTGCATTGAACCATCAATGTTCACCAGAATACCACTGTCAGGATCTCCATGCAGGGATCTGGAGTCCTGTGTTCCTTGTACATTAGCAACGGATCCGCAAGATCAATATAGAATTAACTTCAGTAAACTATAGCATATACCTGATCTGGATTGAGAGGATGCTCCACCAGCACACCCTCGCTACTGCTGCCCTCTCCCTCGCTGACCGAGACCTCAGAGACCGATTGGCCAGTATTTCTACCATCCCCACTGCTGCTACTACCTCCCGGCGACTCAGGATCATCCTCACCAGCACCGGCGGCGGACGGCGAGGTTTTGGAGGAAGGAGACGCCTTCGCCGGCCGTCCAAACGACTTGGACATGGAGATCCTATCCGTGTCGAGAAGGACCACATTCTCGTCATCTTCTTCACCTTCCGAACTCGACGAGGACTCCACAGAGCTCCTCGCCATGGCAATCCCACCTTACCACTCTGCCATCCATACAGACAGATTCAGGGCTCCTAACCGCAAAAAATGAAATCTCGATGAACACAAAACCCAGTGCCATCCGTACAAACAGATTCAACGCTCTCGATCGCAAAAAATTAATCTTGAAGAACGCAAAACACCACAGTCCAGGCATAACCCCCGGACAATCAGGCGCTGACGAATCGGTCAGGATAGCAGAACACAAATACCATCCCACCCAAGGGTTCCGGAAGGAAAAAGAGGAGATAATACGAAACCTGAAATACAGAGGAGGTCTGCTTATGGGGTCGATCTCGTCAGCGCAATGGACGAAGACACAATCCGGGATCTGGACGAGGGAATCCGATCTGAAGACGGCTCCTTCAACCTCCACCAGATCTTGACCACTCTTAGAAGTTCGTAAGCAACTCCAGCTCCGTGAGGAAGCTCCAGGAAGCCGGAAATGCCGTTGGGTCTCCTCGGGTGTCTCAAGAGGGGAGCAGCGTGAAGAGGAGGGAGGAAGAGGAAGCAGGTCTAGTGTTCCTCCGGAACAATTTACGTTATCCCATTACCATAACCAGTCCAAACCGGTGCTCCGTGTACGTCACTGCGGTCTGCCAACTCGCGGGACTAGCGTGTGGGCGTTAGTCGTCGGATGTGTCGGTGCCAAGTGTGCTGGTCAGCTTACAAGAGTACGCTTCTATCTCTCTCTCTCTTTCTCTCTCTCTCCCTTCTCAAATTTAAGATATTTATTTTACTACATTAATAAAAATTATTTCTAGACGAATGATTTTGTTCATGGATTCAGATCGGCAAATGGACCATATCAAAATCTGCAAAACTTCATCAATTTGGGTAAATTGGTAAATCCACACAAATTTGGGGACTCTAGTGAACAATGTGGCATAATATATGGGTATATTTGTATAAGTGTGTGATTAAATATATCTATGTATTTATATTTGCATGAAAAACCAACTAGTATTGTAGTAAAATCATACATACCGAAAGTATTATGTAATAAATATAAATGAAGAAAAAACGTACTAATATTTTTGCCATATGATCAAAGTTAATTATTTTTTTCCTGCCCCTGAAGTTTACTGAAGGTGATGAGCTAGTTATATCGAAACTTATGTGAAATTTATGTAGTTCAACTAGATTTGGTGATACATTTATGTGGGTTTATCTTCGGTTTTCATTTTTTTTTATTAATATATTGAAATTTATTACCAAATGACGTTTCCATAAATCTTTTCTTAGTCAGCCCCCCTTATTGAGAAATATTTGGATTTTTTGTAGAATCGATCAATCTCAATTTAGGAAGAAACAACCAATCCTGGCTCCAATGTAGGACCTTTTAATTAGTATTTATTACTCATTCTCTCTCTTTCTCTCTCTTTCTCTCTCTCTCTCCCTGCCTCCCTTCCTCTCTTCCTCTCTTTCTCTATCGCCTCTCTCTCTCTCGCTCTCTCTCCCTTCCTGCCTCCCTCCTCTCTCTCTCTCTCTCCCTCCCTGCCTCCCTCTCTCTCTCTCCCTCTCTCTCACTCTCTCTCTCCCCCCCCGCCTCTCTCTCTCTCTCTACAGATTACTGGGAGTAGGAATGTGGTCATCACCATTTCTTCCAAAATTGGAAAGAAATAAAGAAGCCGACTTGATGATCACGGGGGTGGTGCAACCGGTTCGAATGAGACGGTTCTTCTTCACCTACTTTATCGCCTTCTCCATCTCATCTCCTTGAGATATGGCAGCACTTCTCGCAGACCGGCGGCATCTTGCTGGTGTTGCAGTAGCAGCAAGCTACGTCGCAGTTGTTGTTGCAGCCTGCACGAATGAACACCAAGAAATCCGGAGAAGGGGAGGAGGGTACGGTTCATCTGAGTGGCGGGTTAAGCTTCTCAAATCTTATGCATGGCAGAGCTAAAATCTATCCAAACCCATCACCTTTTCTGCTTACCATCTGCTTTCAAAGATACTATTAGCAATATCTTGATCGGAGTACCGCTGTTTCAAGAAAATATATACTATATTTGGCAATTGTTACAAGGAAATAGGAACAAAGTATTCCGGGTTCTCACCTGTAACAGTGATATGCTTCGCCGTCGTCAGATGGGTCTCGCCGGAGCCGGCGGCCACCATGACGGCGATGAATCCGAGCAGAAAAAGCCTCATTGGGAATTGCCTCATTACGTGAGGAGAGCCCATCTCCCGAAGCTGTATTTGTAAGCCCTCCGTTGACCCTGTGCTGGTGTTGCAGGTGGGTTTCAGGAGGGAAGGAAGGAGTGTAGTTGACCTACACTGGGAGTAGGTCTTGAGCTCCCGAGGTGTTGGGAAGACGACTGTTATTATTACTCCACAAAACCAACTACCCACATTGAATATTGACATGAAAGAATAATAAGTATAAGAGATCTCTAATTTGAAAATATAAATTCCAATCATACTCAATAGAGAATTAATTATTTAAAATATGTAGTTGAAAATTTGTGCACTAAATAAAAAATAAGAAAAGGATGAACTTCTTCAATTCTACAAGCTAGTCATACCATATTTACAGGTAACCATTGAAATAGTGAATCATGGTGAATTTCTCATTGATTTTGGGCCTAAAAGGCTTGTACAAAGGTTCTCACCAATACTAAAAAAAAAGATTCAATCAAGTTATTGTGTTAAAAAATCAAAGCTTCATACTTCTTAATGAGCCCAAGAGAACCTATCAAAAGAAGAATTGAAGGTTTTTGACCTAAGTGGAGAAAGCTAGTAAGATATACATCTAAGGAGCTGAAAAGGTAATTAATTTTATGTTCAAATAAAGTAAAAGTTAAGTTTAAACCTAATTCAAGTGGACCATAAGCCCAAGATACATGAACACTCTATTTGTCTCAAATTAAGCTCAAAATGACACAATTAGAGATTTTGTCACATGTTAAATGTGCTTAAATCTCAATTCTCACATTTATCTTTGTTTTCCACATTTTTATAATTTTAAATAAACTCTCTTAATTTTAATCGTTTTTTTTATAAAAAGGTTCATCCCTTGTAACCACAAAGACATTCATATTTTCAGTGATTTATTTTAAAGTGCTTTTACTCTTTAAAGGTTATCTATTTCTATTAGTGGATTCCAACACTCTTGTGGACTTAAGAAGTCATTTTTGATCATATGAACCTAAGATCCAAACCCTTGTGGACTCAAGGGACAAATGTATCTACATTCTATGGACTTAGAACAAAGAGTTTTAAATAAAATCATATTCTTTGTGTATTGAAAGTTGTGATTTGCTTCAAAAATATATGTACAAATGTGAATATAATCAAATCATTAGTTTTTCATTTTTTTTACTGTGACACTTTCAAGACTAAGACCTTCACATTTTAAATAAGCACTACATACTATATGTGTAACATTTACATTGACTATTTATTATAATAATTTATCATAGCCAATAAAAGTGTGTTTGGTGCACAAATATTGATTTTAGACCTTGAAAGTTAAAACAATCGGCTAGCTACTCATGGCTTGTGCTGAGCAAAGAATTAATGTCATTATATTTAATAATTAAAATTAAAGAGCACATTAGAACACTATAGAAATTTCCTTTAGAAGGATGGAATGTGTCATTATGGTAGTGTCAATTAAGGCAACATTATATGGTTAAGAATAAGATGTGAACTTGTTGATCTTATATAGTAACATAAGATCAAAATATTATTAAATACAATCATGATAATACAAAGCTAAGAGGACACTACTTGGTAATTATGGAATGGAAAGAAAAACATGTAGCTCTATCTACATAGGTTGTCAGCAATGTCCACTTGTCACTCTTCTTAGCCTTAAAGTGGGAAAAGGGTAAGTGAGGCTTTCAATTGAATAGAATGATTCCCTTAGCCTATGATGTATAACATACTATGAGAACAAATGAGATATCAATTTAGATTGAAAAAATCATCATATAAGGAAATGAATAAAGTTTAATGAACAAGTATAAGTTTGAAAGGAGTCATCATTGAATAATATCTCACAAACATATCAAGAAATTAACTTAGTTCCATTTTATTTAAATTATGAACTTTATTTAATGACATATATCTGAATGTGATACTAGTGAACATTCTCTCTGCACTTGGGAACAATTAACGCACAAGCTTAGTTTTAATCTAGACACAGGTGAAGCCACTATTATAGTTCAAATAATGCTAACATCAGGATTCGGTGGATATCTACTACTTTCAAGTCATTTTGGTATTTCTTTGGAATACTTCAAGGATTAGGCCATTATTCTTATTTCGGCGTGGATCATTTCATATTTCAATGCAAGCGAAACATTTATCTATAGAAATATGAAAGCATTATCATATTACTTGTTTATGGATTCTCTCATATAATGAATTCATACTAAATAATCTTATAAATTGTATATGCAAAATAGCAAACTAAATTATTAATGTTTCATTAGAAACATGATTAATTCCAAAACATAAGTATTCAACTGTAGTATATGCTATGAGAAATGAAAGGAAATACTGAGAATGGGTACCCACCAAATATAGGTTATTACTTTATGTTGGAATCAATCCCATACTTGGAGAGGGGGAGAGAGAGAGAGAGAGAGAGAGAGAGAGAGAGAGAGAGAGAGAGATCTTGAATTAGATGTGAGCATGAGAACTCTAAACAAGATTTTGGGATGTATAATCAGTTCGGAATCGGCTTTGGACACTTGGAATAGCGAAAGCAGCTTTTGATGATCTAGAGAAAAAGAGACGTTAACGCGGGTGACAGAGTTTCTTGCCTGAAATGGGACGGCTGAGGGAATCGATCGGTGGCAAATGGCAAATTGATTTTACGTCGGCCCGGGCTTCCAAAAGACGGGATCTTGGGCGGCCAAAGTCCCTTGTGGTCAGAAACTGCCGCTACCGTAGACCAGACCACCCGCTCGGGGAGGACTGACGAGAGGAGAGGAATAATCCCTACGGGAAGCCGCTTCTCTCTCTCTCTCTTTCTCTGTCTCTCGCTCTGTGTATGTTCTGAGAGAGCTCCCTTCGTTCCACGCAGGGTCTCTCTCTCTCCCCCTTAGTTTTGATGCTTCAAGCTCGAACGGGTGACCTGTAATGTGCAGTGGACTCCTCTGGATGATCAATTCGACAGAAAATATTTGTACCTTTTCCAGCCTCTGGTAATGTAAACATCGCCTATAATTCGTGGTTCCCGGGTGTAATTTATTTTCTAGGGATTGCGAAGAATTGTGTGTTTAATCGATGAGATGATTTTCTGTGCAGGCCTTAGTTCGTTGCATCGTCAACAACGTCAACAAGCTTATCCTCCAGGGGAAAAAATGGTAACCTTGAGCGTGCTACGGCAGGATGCCTGCCTGAACTGCTGCCATTCGATGGTCTCCTTGGGAGGTACGCCTCTTGTGCTAGAAGAGGGTCCTAGAATCCCTCCACTTCTGTTCTCCAGTTATTTCAGCCTCCTGTTAGATTTGTAATGGAAATCTTTTATGAGAGCGATCTATCACAATGATACAATCGATCAATTATGTCTAAAATCCCAACAATTGGTCGCAGCTAAATGGTGCGTAACGAAAAAAAATTAAATAATCTCTAAACGACACTTCTAAAAAGGTCTGAAAAGAGTGTTCAAGAACATGGCATCCAAAAGGATGCTTAAAAGGGTGTGTATATCAAACAAATCAATAACAAGGGTAAGGTTTATTCATTACATTTGGAGACATTTTCCACAGAGAACATGATTTCTACGAAGCACCCTTTTAGGTGTATACCGTTAGATGACGCCTGATAAATAAGGTATACATGATGGCTGATATGTTGTATGCTGACGCTATCTATGTGATCTGTGCATCATTGACTGCCCTTAACTAGCTTGTTCACCAGAAAGTAGCTCCTGAGTAATGAATCCATTCTTCCATAGACCTATGAACGGAGTGGATCTAATGTAACCTTGTATTTCATCGTCGTTGGTCTTTGGCTAGTCCTAAAATAGTTCTACTGCACATGAGTAGGTTAAATTGTTATAATGCTAAATTTTTGACCAGAGAATAGTTTTTGCGCGTGAAAATGTTTTCTTCCCTATCTTCAGTTCCTCCACGGCCAAATAGGATCAGGATCTCCAATAACTTTGACTAGACGTCCTTGAAGGGTTAGTGTTTTACATCTATATGCGTTATGAAGTGCTCAATGCTCAATTCTCCATATCTAGATGTTCTTGTTGAATATCGTTCATAGTTTGCTGTGGTTCTAACTATTTCATGCAACATGACTAGAAAACAGGCAATTAATCTTCTAGCAATATTGCTTGTAGCTATTTAACTACGAGGAAGTGAATGCTTTTGATCCGGTAGGAAGGATAGTACCGTTTACCCTGCAAAAATCGCCCATCTCATCAGTTTGCAGTCTGTGAGTAGCCTGTGCTAGACTTTCATATTTGGTTAGCCTGAGATTTTATAATGTGGAAGTCTGGATGATCTTTTCTGAAACCTTATTTCTTTGTTCTCCTAGAGATCTGAAGCTAAATGCAAAGTTTTTGCATCAAGGAGCTCCAGGAAAAAAATGACTAAAGACTATAAGGGATCAAAAAATGGTGATTCAAAAGATCGAGGGGAATTTTCAGAGGCCTTTCTCCAGGAAGATGAAAGCAGAAGCAAGATTGATTCTGAGTCATTTGATGCTATCTTGGATCCTAAGAGTTCAATCTCAAATCCTTCCAGAAATGCCGTATTACAGGCTTGCATCATTACTTCGGCCTTGATGCTTGCATTGGGGGCATTTATTAGACAAGTGATCATCTACCAAAGTTCTCTGCTTTCTTTTTTTTTGAACAAAGTGTCAGGAAAATTATAATTGTTGTGAATCTCTCTCAAAGTGAAATTTAATAGTTTTCACCTTTAATCCATCAATGGATTTTTACTCTCAGGCAACTTTCTTGTTTGAATGTTACAGCCAGAAGGTCTTCTGTTTCTTTGTACTTAAAAAATTCAAGTCTTTAAAATAATTCATTTTCATAACGTTTGCTATATTTTATTAAAAATTATTCATAAAATTTCTAGAATGCGTTCTGTTTATCATTCACGGTATATATATATATTGATTCTACTTTCGTGTCTCGCAGGTTTCCCACATTGCATTTACTGAAGGATGGGTGAAATCTGACTCTGAAGAAGTGTCATGTAAATTTCTGCGTTCTTGTTTTGTTCTCATGAGAAAGAGTCTTAAATTTTCTCTTCCTTACTATTCAAGCCTCTTTGATAATCCGTGAACTCCTGTTCAATAATTCTGCCTGCATCTGACATCACCTTCCTTAAGCTTCTGAATTTTCGGCTGCATTCCAAAAGTATCCTGATTCCATGTCGTCATACATGCCCGCAGATACTTTTCGTATAATCATCAAGGTAAGCTATGTTTTGATCTTTGCACGGATGAAAATGAGGAGTATGAAGTTGTTTGAGAATGATGGGACATATCCTCTCATTGATTTTTTGCTTTTTCCATGCACCATTCCTTTTAGGAATAACTAATTTTGGCTTGATTCCCAACATCACTGATGAAATTAGTTTTTTTTTTCTAATAGGATTATATATAGTTTAATTCTCACAACTTAATTTTAGTCTCATTATTTTCCAGGCAGTTCACTCTTTTATGATATGAATTTACTTGTGTCATTTGGGGAATTTTGATGTCGTTTGGAAGAGACAGCAGAGACCTGCTCAGCTGTCTCTATAGATCATGCAATATTTTTTATCTTATTTATGGGATATTTTCTTCCTTTTCTTTTTCTAACGCCCATTTTGAAGGTAAACGGCTTCTGATTGGTGATATTTCCAGTTCATTTTCAGATCTGGCATCTTGAGTTGATTGCATTATTGGTGGTATTGGTATCAGCCAGTCGGTACATTCTGCTTAAGACTTGGCCTAGTTTTGCAGAGTCCAGTGAAGCTGCTAATGAGCAGGTATTTCAAGATGCATGAGATTAAAATCTGGCTATCATGATCCGACAGAAAGATGGGCCTGATGTGATCATCCAGTCACTAAAGCATTCACTTATATGTTTTTCCCCTGTAAAGCTAATATACACTACTATGAAGAACTCTGCTTATGTGAGCGATTAAGCATCTCTACAGATACCTAGATTTTTTGTTTTTTTTATTTTTTTACACAAACACGATTGATATTCATTGGTAAAAATTTCAAAAAACAATATTCTTGATTAGTTGCAATTTGTTCATGTGTTTACCTCAGGCTCTTAGTAACCTGAAGCCCGTGGATTATCTTGTGGTAGCATGTCTTCCTGGTATCAGTGAGGTATGTTTCTTGATCCGGGGCCATTGTTGATCTTTTGCATTTCCAACCCTTGCATCATCTGTTTTTATAGGAACTACTCTTCCGTGGAGGACTCCTCCCTCTGTTTGGGCTCAACTGGACTGGCGCACTTGTTGTTGGGGCAATTTTTGGATGCCTTCACCTGGGTGGCGACCGCAGATACTCGTTTGCTGCCTGGTGAGTTATTGCCCTCTCACCATCTCGTTCCAGATGGGTTTCTTCCCATGCAACATTTACACAAAAATGTTATTTATTAGTATATTTATATATAAAAATGAAACCCTAAAATTTTGGTGGGATGCCCAAATGCCAAGTTATATTAAAGAACGTTTTTTTGAAAGGTTTGGTGGGATTTGGTGACTTAGATCTCCTGATAAGCCTGTTGGAACTTGATATTCTCAGGGCAACGTTTGTTGGGTTTGTGTATGGCATGGCAGCAGTGGCATCCTCAAGCATCATGGTCCCCATGGCCTCACATTGTTTGAACAATCTTGTTGGGGGCTTTCTGTGGTACTTTTCCTCATCAAGTGAGAGATCTAAGTCTTTACCTGATTAGGAAATCTCTACTCCGAATGTATACGAAGGAATGACTCTGTTTCTGCAAAAATGTTGCATTTTTTTCTGCTGTTTTCTGTCAGTTTCATGAGTTTTAATGTGGCTACTAAGAAACGTAGGATCATACCCATTCAAGGAAGAAAAATTTATGAGTGAAGGTGTGGCTGGGGCCAGCAGTGTTAGAACTGGTTTGCCAAAATATAATCTAGCTCGTAATTCTCATGGTCAACTCTTCCGCGTTGACCATGGGGCACTGGCTGTGGCCACTGTTGGCAGCTGGAAGAAAGAAGTAAAAGCAGTTCCAACATGCCACCGGTTGCTTTGGGAAGTAATCCCTGCTTACAGCCGTTTTCAAAACCCATGTAGACATGGACCTAGTTCACTCTCTCTCTTTCTCTCTCTCTCTCTCTCTCTCTCTCTCTCTCTCATGGGCGGGTGAGATAGGCCAGTGAGGGCACGGGCACAGCTCAATCATATAGTGAGGTTGTCTGAGCCTGCCCAGCAAATCCTGTTCTCACATAAAGTGAGAGATCTATCCAATAAGAAATTCCAAGCAGAAGGAACACAATTTTATGAAGAAATTTGAACTACACAACATAATTAAGGTTCAACGGCCATTAAGAAGCAATTAACAGTATAATTCAATAACTTCAGACCAAATATCGCAGTTCATACAATCTGGGGACCCTTGGTTCCTCTGATGGCCCCCCTCTCATACTTCAGTTGGAAAAGCTAAATAGGATCAAAATCCATAGCAATTATCAACAGAGTGCATGATGATAAACTGATGTTCAGATTACTTGAATGCAGTTAGAGTTTTTAGGGCTTCTGAGTTGCCACCGGTGATGGAGACACCATCCCTTGTCTTCCATCAGGGATGCCGACCAGAACGATGGGTTTTGAAGCTCTGAGGTACGGGACGTCACATCTGAAGTAACCTCTCCTTTCCAGTTGGATGACCTCTCCATGCTTAAGATTGCGCATGTTTGTATCCCCCAAAGCTGCAGTCACCTTCCTCGAGCAAGGGTTCAGGAAATCGGTGACTTCTTCATCTTCTTCCAGCTGAGGAGCAAAGCAGATATATGAATCACTATCATCAGAAACTAGGACGGGGAATTTCTACCCAACCCAAGGATTTGACCAACCTCTACAACTTTGAACCAAATATCTACACAAGCGAGTTCATGGATACAAGAAGACGAACGTTAAAGTAATATTTACAGCCATTAACCCAAGTTTTGGATAAAACGAAGTCACGCATACAATACTATAATAGTGTTGCAGAACCGTGTCAAAGAAAGACATGAAAGCAACAAGGAAAGTATCACATTTACATGATAAGTGGAATAAAAAAAAACAGAGATAAAAAAAACAATAATTGTGTTCATATCTAAATGTCCTCTGCTGTTTCTTCATTTTTAACAATCAACGTCGCCATTTTGACATACACAACATTTAGAGCACACAAACCATAATCCAAACTCCACCATCAGAGAACCAGTATGTCCCTAAGTCCCACAGTTAAGGTTATTTCTTTATGTTCTAGATCCTTTCATTGTTCTGTCATTCTTCTTTTCTCCCAGTTGGGTAATGAGTTGTAGATGGCCCTAAATCCATGCATTTACCGTAGTTCCCACTTTTGCACAAATGCGGACTTCTTGGAGATTCGAACCTTCAAAATTGCATTTACTGTGAACGGATCTTATAAGTCAATGCTTCACAGTCTGTGAATTGATCTAAAATTGTGCAAAAAAAATATTAGATGGCATTGAGGGTGGCAGAAACATCAAGAAACAATTTTTATTGGCACAGGGTCAAGCGATCAAGCTAACTAGCTGGTAATATATGCCATTTTCTTCGTAACGAAGATACACTATCTATCCATTTAACAAGGTGTCTACCCAAAAAGCTTCTCCATTTATACATTTCATTCTTTCCGTACAATACATTAGTTTCCGACTGGTGATAGGATACATTTTCCCCGTTGCCTTGCATTTCTCAGTAACATCATTGCCAGAAATTCGAAGTTAAACATATTGCATAAATCCAAACAATAAGTTAATATTCCGTGGGAATAAAGATATGAACACCAAAATGCAACATTAGCAAACAATACCTTTTTCTTCGTGATCAAGTAACCATACTCGATCAAGGAAAGCCTAACCAATTCATCTGTTTCAGGAAGCCAAGTCAACTTCAACTTTGTCGTCTTAACAGAACCCTCTAGATGCAATACTCCTGTTAAGGAAGTCACATTTCCCTCCCCATCCTTCTTGATTTCTTTTACGATGGCATTTCCCCAATCCATCAAGGTAACTTCTTCATTTTCAGAGATTGCTGAAGCATCAGCAAAATCTATCCATATTCTTTGTGTGTATGTAGTTGCTTTCGTTCCAGCTCCTTCATATTTCTTATGCCTGGGTATGATACGGACAAAAGGTGTCTCCGGGCCATTACTCAGCAGTAGCAGGACACGCCTCTCTTCATTGACAGCTGTATGCCTTGCACAAACAGGATCAATTATCTTTTTATTGATAGTCCATAGCTTGTCCCACTCCATCAAATTGAGATTCTTTGAGGCACCCTGCAAGAAGAAAAGAATGGTTTGAAACATATAAACCTTGAGTCAAACTTGTCTCACGGCAGGAACCTATGTGGCAGCACTTTACCTGTTGAAGAATGAATTCGATCAATGCCTCAATTTTCAGCCCCCTGCGAACTATTCCCTGGACAGTAGGGAAACGTGGATCATCCCATCCTTCAACAATGCCCATTTCAACAAACCACTTAAGTTTACGCTTGCTTAAAAGAGTGTAAACCATGTTCAGCCTACTGAATTCGTATATCTGAACTTGCCGCAATCCCATGTCTCCTAGTATCCTATAATATTGAGCATTACGGTCATGATACTCACTTGAGCGCAGGGCATGGGTAATGCCTTCAATGGCATCGACAAATGGGCAAGCAAAATCATATGTAGGATATGCTTTGTACTTGTCTCCAATACGATGGTGGGGAAGGGGATTACAGCGAAAGTAAACAGGGTCCCGAAGTGATTTGTTTGGGTCTTGCATGTCCAGCTTACCCCGTATACAGCACTGCACACCCCTCTCAGACCCAGCAATCATCTCTTTCCACAATGCCAAATTCTGTTCAATACTATGGCCCCTACACTTTGATTCAATGCCATCCATCCTCTCTTTCTGCATTGTCTCTCGAGGAGTATCATCTACATAGGCTTTCCCTTCCCTCATCAACTTCTCCGCCATCTCCATCAACTGTGGGAAGTAGTCAGAGGTGTACGTAATCTTACAATATTCAATGCCCAAAGTAGACACATCCTTGATCAAGTTCTCCACAAATTCATTACTCTCTTTGGCTGGATTTGTATCGTCAAACCGAAGTATCAATTCACCCTTGTACCTCTGAGCAAAATAATGGTTCAGAAGTGCAGCCTTTGCATGCCCAATGTGAAGGTAGCCGCTAGGCTCTGGAGCAAATCTGAGCCGGACATCTCCAACTTTGGCGCCTGGAAGATCAACTTCCGACGTTGTGACAGCCTTATCCTTCCCAGCAGCACCCCCATTAGTGGCATCATCTCCCTTCCCTTTGGGGCCTTGCACATTTGCTTTAGTGATCTGGCCTCCAGCCTGATCTACTCCTCTGGACCCAGAAGGTCCTGGCTTTCCAACCCCCCTTTTGCCGACATAAGCAGCAGTGACTTCATTCAGAGCTTCACCATACTGAGTTGCAATGGCGTCAAACCATCGGACCAGGTTTGGGTACTTGTTTGACTTCTTCAGGCTCGCCCATCTCTGCCCAGTGCCTGCAGGGAGGGAGGACATGATTTTAAGGCAAAGAACTAGAAAAAGGTTGCAGGAAACATGGAAAATTCTCAACGAGGGAAAACATAAACACGCCTACCAGCAAGCCCTGACCAGATGACAATGTCTGCAACGGAGATGCTATATCCAACTAAGAATGTCCGCAATAACAGGTATCCATCGATGTTTGCACAAGCAGCTTCGAACTCGGCACCGGAGGATAGTGTTGATACATAGTCGAGCCACATGTCAATCTGAAATTAGGGGGAAAACAAGTCAATCCCAAGAATAAGAGAATCTCTAGCAACAGATCAAAGGGATGAAGAGCTTTCTGAAAGAAGACCTCCTGCGATTCTTGCGCGGAACGCTCGTATAACGCGGGAGGATCCTGTGCCACCCGCCCTATGTAACGCAGGAGCTGTTGGAGACCCTTCAACTCCAGTTCCGATCTGTGAAGATCGAATGAAATGAGAAAACAACTCAACACGCGAGGTTAAAACAAAAAGAAGAAATCGAAAGAGGAAAAGCGCGAGTGAGAGAGAGAGAGAGAGAGCGGCGGGGAAAGGGGAGGAATTTACCCGGAGCGCAGCACCGGCGGCGAGCTGGCGGGAAGGGTAGGGTCGAGAGAGAGATGGAGGCCCGCGACCCGTGCTACAGCCAGGACGGCCAGGGGAGGGTTGTCTGGGGGGAAAGCCAACACCATTCCAGCCATTTTGCTTCCACGGTGAGATCTACGGCGACCACGGGGAGAGAAAACGCCGCACCTCCGATTTATGAGCAATTGTAGAGATAAGATCACAGAGGAGGAGAAGGGGCGGCGACGCCCACGAGAAGAAGAACAGAGAAAGGGAATGCTGGGGGCTGCGGTCAAGGGTTTATGGAAAACTACTGGCACTATCCCAACCCCCCCACCCCCCCAAACAGAAGGCCCAAAAACTGCAGGCTAGGAGGCCAAATGCCCCAACAGCATCACATCCTTCTCTTGGGAGTTTCTCGATTTTAGGGCACATATACAGTTAGCATTTCATTAATTTCCTATAAATTCTCTCCTTTAAATACTTTCTTCATTTTATATTCTATTTTTTGAGAGACCCAGAAGTAGCATGCAAATTAAAATGATTATATGCGGTAAATCTTGTGAAGTTTATAAGCATGTAACTTGTAGGGTGCCATGTCAACATAGAAGTACTAAGAAATGAGCTAATGTTCACTTATATGAAAATTAAGATAATATTCAGCCCAAAAATCATTTCTTCATAATTTTGAGCAGATTCTATATAAATAATGGCAAACATAAAGGGTGTGCAAACAAGTTACTATATATTTTAGTATGGTAACAACATTATTAGTATGTGAATCTCACAATGATTTGGAAATGTAAAGAGGGAGTCAGATGAGATGTTGAGGGAACATTTGTGCTATAGCTCTTGTACTAATCCAATGATGATGTTATGGTAGTTGAAAGGGCTAAATTATTAATAAGAAAATAAAAAAATAATATGGTTTCCACTCAAGAATTATGCTGCATTTCTTGCACCAATGATGGGATGTTAATTCACCAATATTTAATAAATCACCATCAGGAATTATGATGTTCTCAATGATGATTTTGGGTTGTACCAAGTCTGAAACCAAGTGGATTTATTTTTTGTCCCATATTATTCTATTATCTTTCCATCCATATATTATTTCTAAATATGAATCTAAATCTTAGATTCCTCTAAAGATTTTTGTTAAATAAGTGTCTCTTCCTTGTTGCATTTAGGATGCCTTGGGATGAGTGCATCTAAGTTCTTTGTCTGTACATTCACTAGTTCTAAGAATCCTTAGGTTCGCCTGGAGGAAGTAGAATAATATCCTCAATGCCACAACATTGTTTTGACCTTATATTCTATGATTAAGAGGGGGGATGAATTGATCTATATAGTTTATCTAATACTAAAGTTTAGATACGAATTTCCCAAGATTAGATGAGCCAAGTATCCTTTGCAACAAAATGCTCAATTTTTTATAGTTGTTTAGTACCCCTTGGTTAATCCATTTTTTCAAGAGTCACCCTTATATTAAATGAACTCATGACTATTAGACCCACTAAATAGTAACTTATCTATTAACCTTTAACTCTTGATTTACAAGGCTTTTAGGTAGACAAACATGCTACCCTTTTATTAATAACTTTCACATTGACAACTCTGAATTAGCCCACGTACACCTAATATTGACATGTTGTGGGATTTTGCTATCATGATGAACATTTTAATTTAAAGAGAGCTTACCATTTTTATATCAAAAATCTACCTCAAGCATAAAACTTAATCCTTCAAGATGAAAGCTTAAGCACAATGATATATTGATTAACCACCAATAAATGCATTTGGTAAAAGATGAAAAGTTACATATCTAAGGAATATGAATAATGTTTCAGTTAATATTTTTATACATGCTGATTTTGCATTTCTTTGAGGTTTGACTAGTTGGATAGTAATTTTTGATAACCATTTTAATAGTTACTTATGAGTGCTCGCTCAATAACTACTATCTCTTTACTTTTTTAAGCTTGGTGTTAACTTAAATCTGTTACTCATTATTGTCGGACAAGATGAGTCAACTCACTTTCTTAAAATAATAAAAACTATGAACCTACATGCAATCAAAGCCTTACTTTTATAGGAATTTCCAAGGATGCATTGCAATAGTTTTTTTTATCTTACTGCAGCATAATGATGACATGTTGGACCATTAATTTACCCTTATGTTTGTTTTGATATTTTTGAAACAAAGATGACTCCAAAAGCCCATAATCTTCTCTTCATGATAATGACAATATATATAAATATTTGATAATAACATTATAATAATTCTTATTATCATGATTATTTTGGTTTTTAAGTAATGTATAAATAAAATTTAAATTGTTAGATTTGTACGACTAGATCAAGTGATGAGAGCATTGGGACAATTAGAACTATAATATGTTTATGGTGGTAGTCTTGGGCTAGAAATGTAGAAGGATGGTGTGACCTCAAAGTGACAAATTCAATGGATATACACTAGGTCTAACAGTCAGGATCCATTGTAGTTCATCTAAGCCTCTAATTGTAGTTCAATGGATCTAATTCCCATGAATCTTTAATTTGTACAAAAGATTCCTTCCAAATTCACAGATAAGAAGAATAACTAACATTTTTAGATCTAGAAGCTATCAATATTTTTCATAGACTAAATACTAAAAAAATCAATATATGTTAAATTGATAATGTGGAATGAAGTATAAGGTGATTTTTGGTGCGATTGCAATGTGTGGACACAAAATACCTAAGCTAATTATCTCTAACTCAACATAGATATTCTTCACTAAACAAGAATAATGAGTGGGTGACCATAAGCATTGAAATCATGTAATGAAAAAAAAAAACTTTGGCACTTAAATCAACTCATGTAATGCTAATTATAACGATTACGATGAGAAGGGTAGAATGGTAATCTTAGAGTTGTAGAACTATATCTTTTGATGATCTAAATCATTGTAGATGTAAATGGCCCTTGAATCAAAGAAATACACCCAAAGGTAAAGTGTTTTATATAAAACTTCAAATGATGAAAAATTTCTTTTTATGTAATTTTATATCACAAATAAATGCATGCACTCTCAAAATAGATAATGAAAGGCAAATCTGATGCAATAAATGAGGTATAAAAATTTGAGGATTTATATTTTTTATGGGCTTTAGAGGATAAGTGAACATATTATGAAGTTTAAATTTTGGCCACATATGTGACAGAAAATTGATTGTTTTTCAATTGTTGTAAATGACTATTAGATGGTCCAAAATGAAACATAGAAAAGAAGCATTTCAGCCCATGGTTACAACTAATCACAAAAAGAAAAAGTGAGAGAGAAAGGAGAAAGATGAATGCAAACGACATCACCTACCTCCATTCTCAAGGGAGTCACATTAGAAACAAGTTGCTTTGATTGAGTACCTAAAAGACGATTAATCCAGAAGTTGCTCATACTGTGAAAGTCTACTTTGTGAAAGAGTTTTGAACAATTAAGATAAAGGTATTCAAGGCTATGCAAGCCTTTGAGCTAAAATGACAAAAAATCATAATTCATTAAGGTTGTGTAATTTGAACTAGAATGGTATAACTGAGTTGAGTAGAATTATAATTTTCTATAGTTGTGCCAATCAAGAGTCGTCAATTTAAACAAACTAGTTGTGATAATCTGATTTTGGTCCTCTAAGGCCATATATATAAAAGAGAGTAGTTGGGTGTTCCTTTAGTTAGCCTATAGAGATATGAATGTAGGAGATGATTTATTAGTAAAACTCATAAGTTGGTTAGAGCTATCAACTCTACTAAAACCAAAATAAGTCTTTGTTTCAAGGGAAACCTTATGTTGGGATCCTTTTAGATTAGAGTGGGTCAAGTAACCAAACTTTTATAAGTTATGCATGTGAGTAGATCTAAAAAGATAAGGTAAATCATTGAAATAACGAAAAGTCTAATTTACCCTTCTTGGTTTCTCATGGTGACAAAATATTCAACATGATCTATATGATCATCATCAATATGACTTATGTTCAAGAAAGAAAAAATATCCTCATAAATAACTCTTTGGGCTTAAGGCTGTGCTTAGATCAAAGACAAGTTGAATTGATCTAGTTATAGTTTGACTTTGGTTAGGTATTTTAATCACATTGATTCTCTCCTTTTCTATCATTGATTCTCCTATATTTCTTAAATATAAATGCATAGAATTTCAAAACATTTATAGTATTTCAACCCTTTTCCTATGTCCACTCTATGAATAGATAATTCTTAGATTCATTAAATTTAATTATTAAAAAATCATTGATCACTAAGTTTAAGCTGCAAAATTTCACTTCAGAAATTATCTTCTAGATTCATAGCTCTAGATGGCCTACCATTAATTATAGTGATGAACTCTTTTAAGTAATTAAGTTAATGATTAATCACAAGTTTACTCCGTGCTAAATAATGAAAGATTGAACTATGAGATTTTTTAGTAATGGATCAAGATTCATATTGTGTCAAGAAATCTCGTGAAGAGAAACTCAAGTTGTCCTTTTTTCCTTTATGATCTTCACATAGGGAAGTTATTTAATTGATGAAGATATTTAGGTTGAGGATTTTTAATAGTTGAATGAAATTTAGTCCTCAAATCAGTGTCTTCTTACTATTTAACCAAGCTTCAAAGACCAGCCACCTTTCCATTTATTTTCTTGCAAAACATGTAAAAAAGAAATTAGAGATTGTAGAGAGGTCAAGAAAGATCATTTAAGGCCAATTAGCCATTGGATAGAAGTGACGAATGACTCTTGAAGATTAATTAGCCATTGGAGGGAGACTAAATTTATATAAAAATATGATTCAAGACCTTCCCTTATTTTTTATCATTGTTGAATATTAACATCCTAAAACTGGTTTAAAGTTTGAATGATTAGATCCAAATATGGCATGTCTGAGAATATTCAGATATACACTAAAACAAATACCAAAACCAATACCTAGAGATGTTAATCATTAGTAGACATATATATATATATATGTTCAAACTTATTAATTCAAGTGTGAAGTAAGAATTTGTTATCATCTAAACAAAACTGAAATATATCTCATAACAAATAAATTATTTTTCTTTCAAATCAAATCAAAATCACCTCAAATATAATATAAACATAAACTAGACACATTGAATAATATTTTTATTTTAAATCATCATTTTATGGCGACTCCTCATATTTCAAAAATATTTTCAATTAAAATTTTCAAATTTTTGACTGGCCCTTTAAAATAGTTTGAATCAAATCAATTAATTCTCTTTCAAGAATTATCAAACATAATTATTTCAAGCTATAGACATCTAGTATACTGAATAAGCTTTCATCATAATATTTTACTTTTCATAATTCTCTTATACAATTAACACTAAATTCAGCATTCTAATCATTACTTTCCATTATTTGTAATTTTTAAATATTAGTATTTCCAATAGTAATAGAAAATGATATTTTTGGGTAGTAAATTTATCCAAATTCTAGAATTCAAATTATGAGGCTCACATACATTCATTGAAGTATCTTCTAGATATTTAGAATTATTATTATATGTTAGAAATGAGTTTATATTGAATTACTTTCACATTCATGTTTATTTTATATAATATAAATGTTAAACATAATTTAATCCATTTTTATGTTATGCATGTTTGTATTTATTGAAAATTCATATGCTAATTAATGTTCCAATAATATCTCTCATTATAAAAAGTCAAGAACGTAAGTCATTTACGATTTTAAACCCATAATTATACTCTAGCCTAGTTAAACATCAAAAATTAGTATTTATCATTAAAATAAAATATAGAAAACATTACATCACGTTTTAAAGCAAAAAATTAGAGCAGAAGAATATATGAAGGCCTTTATAAATTTTGAAAGATTTTTTTTTGCCACATTTGTTGATCAGTTGAAACTAATGAAAATTTTAACATTCAACGATCATATAAAAAACATCTCTCCTCAACCAAAAATAACATGCAGAAAAACCGAAAGGAAAATAAAATGATCCAGGCCATAAATTATCTACAATGAAATAAGAGGGATCAAATCTCCACCAATAATGATAACATGCTCTACTTTGTATTTATAGTGTCTTTATATTCAAGGCCTGGTAAAGCCTTAATTTAGAGGAAATGAGTGGCTGATAATCTTGTTAGGTCCCTTAGATTTGTGAATCTTGAAGATAAGAGGAATGGTGTAGAACCTTGTAGGTGCAGAATCTCCTTGTTGGTATGGGATTGTATGGTAGACAATGTAGGTAAGTGTAGTGAGGCACATTGACATAGTGTGGCATGGTGTGGCATACATAGAGGCATGTGTCGTGCACTAAGACATGCAATGGCATGGTGTGATATGCATGAGAGGCAGAGGTTTACACACATGAGAGAGCAACTCGTGTACACTACCATCAGGTCAAAGAGATGTTTGTAGAAGATGTTCTGAATCATGGAAGGATAGTCAACATTCCGTTAAGAGGTTCTCTCCATAATATGTTTTCCTAAGAGTTAGGAATATCACATTCCTTGAGTCTTTGTGTGTTTCTATATGGAGTTAAGCTATTTGACATAAGACGAAGCAATAATCAAGGCTAGACTTGGCCAGATCCCCCTTAACACACTATATATAGAAAAGAGATGTAGATTTTACTTTGATTTGATGTCTAGAGAGTAATGATTTTAGAAGAAGATTCCTAGGTGAGATCTTAAGTTCAATGGAGTTGTTAAATCCAATAAATTCAACTAATTAGTATAATTCAATGTGAAATTAACTAGTAGTTTAGTGAAACTCAAGGGAGTGGGAACATATGAGATACTTTGGGAGTGGAGTATATCAGGTGACCAAACCACTATAGAAATTATTTGTGAAATAATTTATTAAACATCTACGATTAAACTAGTCAGGAGAGATAAAATAATTAACAAAAAACTAATTCTCTCCCTTTTTAATAAAAAAACTATTATTTAAAGTCGAACACACTGGATATTACTGTTAAAGCCCTTGAAGTTAGGACATACAATCTATTTGGCCTAAAATCAGAATTCATCTAATAAAAGAAATAAATGATAGAAATTCCCCTACATATGAAATCATTATAAGTCAAATTGGTTTAGTGTTCCTCACATGAACAAAGTTGTGGATCCTTTTTTTGATAAAAAGGAGAAATTAAGTAACAAAAGTACACCATTTTTAGATGGGCCAAGAGATTGTGAAAGGCAAATGAGGGCTGAATGTAATCAAATTTGGAAATATAGATGATTGAGTGAATGAAAATCCAACGGCTCAAGATTTTTATAGGTAAATAGCTAAGTAGGATTCAAAGGTCACTACTATTCAATGGGCAATACTATTTTAGGGAGATAATCAAATGAACACATATGTGACGATTTCAGGTACATGGATTCAAAGGCCATGCATAACAAAAGTATAGCTTCTTTTAGATGGACTAAGAGATTGTGAAAAGTAAATGAGGGCTGGATGCAAACAAAGCTGGCAATGTAGATGATTGAGTGAATGAAAAGCCAAAGGCTCAAGATTTTGATAGGTAAAATAACTGATTAGGATTCAAGGATCACTACTATTCAATGCAGAAGTGCTATTTTTGGGAGATAATTAAATGGGCACATATGCGACGTTTGGGGTCTATAGATTCAAAGGCCATGCATAATTGCCGCAAGGAGCCAAAGAAGGCATCTATTTATTGGGTTATTCCAATAATTCAGAAATAAATTATGTTTAGGAAAAGAACAATTGAAGGCTTTACAAGATGGATAAATCAGGAGGACGAGGGACCCGAAGGGGCACAAGTACGCTTGTAAATGTAGGAGGGGGGTTTATGTATAATAATGCGCAACGGGAGGATTGTGGGGGCTCAAGAGGTTGGGGAGCTGTTTTGGTTATTAATACCAGTTCATTGTTCACGTCCTTTGCCCATTCCAAACGTCAGTGACAGTCGACCCTCCCCTCTGCTCCTCCTTCCTTCCCTCCCCTCCTCTCCCTGGGGTTGGACTCTCAGGCGAGGCGAAGTGGGGAAGATGGTGGATCTGCACCTTCTGTATCTGAGGATCTGCGGCAGCTGGAGAGCCGGGATCTCCGGGAGGGGGAGATCAGCTGCGAAGGAGAGGTGAGAACAGAGCAGGTGCGTCGTGGGGCTGAGGAGAAGAGGTGGAGGAGGTTAATTGAGTTCCTCTCCTATTCGCTGTCGTGTTTGATTTGCCCGCTGCTGAGTTCCCTCGGGTCGTTCTTCGGCCGGAGGCAGAGGACAATGAGGGGGATGAAGGAGGAGAGAAGTGGCGGCTTTCGTTACCCGGAATAGCCCCTGCTCTACCAGCCCCCTGCTTCACTGTCGCTAGTGGAGTGGTACTTTTAGTGTCGGCAGCAGTGGCGGTGGCAATGGCGTCGCTGTCCCCGACGGTGGAGCAGCCGCCCCTGGAGGTTCTCCCGTGGCTCAAAACCCTACCCCTGGCCCCGGAGTACCATCCCACCCTCGCCGAGTTCCAGGATCCCATTGCATATATTCACAAGATAGAGAAGGAGGCCTCCCAGTATGGTATCTGCAAGATCGTGCCCCCTGTTCCCCCTGCCCCCAAGAAGACTGCCATTGCCAATCTCAACCGGTCGTTCGCTGCACTTCAGAAAAATGTCTTTGGGAGCGGCGGCGGAGGTTCCAATCTGAAGAAGGGAGCTCCAACATTCACGACGCGGCAGCAGCAGATTGGTTTCTGCCCTCGGCGGCCGAGACCTGTCCAGAAGCCCGTGTGGCAGAGCGGCGAGCAGTACACTCTCCAGCAGTTTGAGAACAAGGCGAAGCAGTTCGAGAGGGCCCACATCAAGAGGACCGTTGGCGGGGGTAATGGTGCCCGGAAAAGTGGTGGTGGCGTCAATGCTGGGGGTCCTCTCTCGCCACTCGAGGTGGAGACCCTTTTCTGGAAGGCTTGTGCAGACAAGCCCTTCTCGGTGGAGTACGCCAATGATATGCCTGGCTCAGGCTTTGGCCCTCTTCTGGTTGGGAAGAAATGGAGGGACGGTGAGGTAGGCAGCGTTGGGGAGACAGCATGGAATATGAGGGGGGTGTCAAGGGCGAAGGGATCACTGCTGAAGTTCATGAAGGAGGATATTCCCGGGGTGACATCGCCAATGGTGTATGTTGCAATGATGTTCAGCTGGTTTGCATGGCATGTGGAGGACCACGAGCTTCACAGCTTGAACTACCTGCATATGGGGGCAGGGAAGACATGGTATGGTGTGCCGCGAGATGCTGGGCTGGCATTTGAGGACGTCGTTCGTTTGCATGGTTACGGTGGAGAGGTCAATCCTCTGGGTGAGTAGTGTGGGTCTCTTTAATCGTGTCCTTCACCTTGACCGCTATTGTGTTTTCTTGTTAAAGTAGTGTTCTTGCCTTCGTTTAGATAGTTCCTGCATTTTAATCTTTCCTCGTAAATTGGAATGTTCCTCTTGCGTAATGGATTCCTGAAAATAATTTCTCAGAAAGTTTCCCTTTTCTCTCCATCATCTTGTACTTTACATCAGGAGAGTGGTTCCTCGTAATTGCACTCCAGATGGCAATGGATGAACATTTTTTCTGGTTATCTTGGGTTGCAATTTGCTTTTTTGTTTTTCAGTTTTCGCTTAGCAGATGAAGTGTTTGTGCTTTCTTATGACAGTCACATTTGCTATTCTCGGTGAGAAAACGACCGTCATGTCTCCAGAAGTTCTCATTGAAGCGGGAATTCCTTGCTGCAGGTGATATCTAGTCATCTGGCTCCCTTATTTTCTCATTCGTGGTGTTATTTCCTGTTTATTATAATGTTTTCCGTTGCTTCCAATTACAATTATTTCTTGGATAATGAAGATGAAGGACTTGCTTTTTTCCCAAATAGATTGGTGCAGAACGCTGGTGATTTTGTTGTCACCTTTCCAGGATCATACCACTCGGGCTTTAGTCTTGGTGAGCTTTTTTTTTGAATGCCTTTTTTCCCTTTGTCTTTTGACTAGGAAGAAAGGCCATGGTAGGACTTATGTTGTAAATGGAACTGTTATTATTTCACATGAAACTATTGCTTTTCTTATGCTTTCTGCTGATATGAAAGAGAAACATCCGGTTTACAAGTTCATTTCTCTAAATACGTGCGTTTGAATATGGACACCTTTAAATGATTTCTGCCTTTAGTTATTTAACCAAAAGAATGTACGGAAGAAGAATAAAAATGTTTATTTAGTCTAGAAATAAATTTAAATGTGGCAATCTCTATTTTAGCTACAATTGAAATGGCATCATTTGGTTACTGAATGCCGATTCTGGTGTGTGAATCAGGCTGGTAAAAATTTCTCTCATTCATTTTTCTTTTTTCAGGAAGGAATTTTTGAGTATGCTTCTTTCTACTCTTAGTTGATGCTTTATTACTTGTCTAATGCTTGTTAAAAGGGGGAGACAGAACGAAAATTTGGGGGTTGGCCAACCTTGGCGTTAGCTCTCACAAAACCCTAGCTTCTTTCAACTTCGTATGTAGAATTCGCATTGTGATCTGCACATCAGGCATTGCCCGTGCTTTATGAGCACAGGTCGATGGAGGGCTGCAAACCCATATGAGTTGAATGACAAATCATGTGGCTCCAAAAAACTGAAAAAAAGGGAAAAAAATAATATTTTAAAACTCTAGACCGTCATCAATGTTCTATGTAAAGCTGACCATTGGGAATCATGCTCTCAAAATCCTGTTGTACTCCGATCAGGATTGTCCATAATAGAATCTCTGTTTTGTTGGATTTGCATTTTTAGGCAAATACTTGGGCGATTGGGATAGGATAAGTGCTTTTCAGCTCAGAATCGTTACTAAATTTAACTTCTTTATGTGGTTCTGTTAATGCATCTGAGAGCGATCTTTCTATTCTATTCATGACAGCACGTCATATATTCTGATAAGTTGCTCATGTTCCTGATTAACAGACATGATACTGATTCACATGGTAATATTCTTATTCTTATCCTTGTGATATCTATTTTTATCGTAATTGTTAAGGTTGATAATTTTTTTTTTGTGTAAAATCAACAGTTGCAAATGTTTGACAAAAAATTGCCGATTCATATTTGGATCATTGTGCTCAATATTTCTTGTTATCCATGGGCCATGGGGAATTGCTTCAGTCTCAGGCTGAAATCTCTCTCCACCACTCAGGAGAAATGATTTTGACTTTTTTTTTTTGTATGTGTGTTCATATTCTTTTTTGGCAGGGTTTAACTGTGGTGAGGCAGCTAACATTGCAACCCCTGAGTGGCTGAGGGTGGCTAAAGAAGCTGCTGTTCGAAGGGCCTCAATAAATTATCCCCCGATGGTGTCTCATTATCAGTTACTTTATGAACTTGCTTTATCACTGAGCTCAAGGTATGTTTTCTCATCATCTAAGACAACGTGATAAAGTGCTACCATTATTTGAAAATTTGAGGTATGCCAGGTGGAATATTCCTGATCTGGCTTTTCGGTTAGGAATTGAAGTGGATGTAAAGTTGCCCGTCTGTCTGTGGTTTCTGTTGGTTTGTAAAATGATTCGTTTGATTGTCTGTTTTGGAGCTTTCACTTGCCCTCCACGAGTAACTAAATGATGATGCATATGGACCTTAATACCGTGAAAATTCTTCCTATGACCAGGTAGCATTATTACTAGGGTGAATTACAATATAACTTGATTGTCTAATGGTGTTCTAGGCTCCATGCTCACGAGTTCTACCTTCTCTATCTCTGTTGCCCTGAGCATGCTAGTGATATGCATATCGGATCATAAATCATTTTTATTTACATGAATGTGTTCTGTGGCATGCAGATTATCATCTTATTCTTTTGCTGCCTTTGGAGAGATATAGTTGTTGTTATTCTACAATACAGCAGAGTTACGGTTGCATATTCCCCGCATATATTTACTGGTTTTCTAGAAGCTGTTGTAGCATATTAGGAATTTCAGATAGATCTATCAGCTCAAGTTGAAAGTTTGCCTCCAGATATAGCGGGGTGACGTGTAAGTTTATCCTTAGATATGATTCATGAGGGAAGTTTGAATCAGAGACATAGTTGACATCCTTTCAATTATTCCCTTGTGATGCTATATAAATCCTTTCCTACGAGATACCCTTACCATTGCAAATGAGCGAGAAAAAATCACAACAATTCCATTTGGCTGTTTGGTAAACCGTTTGTTTGGTTGAATTAATTATCAGCTTATTTCATCAGGATGAATTTTATTTTATTGTGCTTTGTAGTCATTGCAGCCACTGACTGCCATCTGGATTTGCCTGGCTCATATGGGTCAGCATGTCTTGGATTTTTATGGATCTTATTCCTCTTGGGAAGTTGTCGATTTGAACACTGGATGCTTAGATCATGGTCTCGTTTTAGGTGAGAAGGATGGATTGCTAGCGTGGACGATCTATAAGATATAACTGGAGGACATGGGTTTTTGTCATTTGGTTCCATTAGTATACTTGGTGAATTTGGCATATCTTAATCATGCCCCTTTGCATGGGCTTGGGGTGCATATCCTGTTCTAGAGAGGGTCACATCCCTATAAGACGATGTTACCTGGAGATCTGGTTGCCTTAATAATAAATTGGCTTGATTCTCATGTGGACATGTACGGATTTGTATAAATTGCTCCATTTCAGCTCTGGCCAACTTAGTCAATAAATCACGAGATAAAAAAATGTCTGTAAATTTCAAAAGCGCACACACACAGAGACAGCTGGATATTATAGATGATTTTATTGACAGAAATATAATAAGTTTCATATCTGTCTAAGTTCAATCTGTCATGAAAACATCCAAATAAAAGAGACGTTCTTATGAATGCCAAAGGCATATCTATAAATGATTTTACAAAACAACATTCTTTCAACTCCTCACTCACCTGTCCCGATTTCTGGATCTGCATAGCATGCCATTTGAAAGATTTGGGGCTTAGGATTTATTGCGAAGAGGAGAAAGAGAAAGACGTGGTAGAGAGATGACAACAGTTTATGGAGGATATCAAGAATGAGAAATCAAAAGAAAAAGGAGAATGTACTGGGGTTTCTGCAGGGGTGGCTGTGGGAGTGACCGCTGACACTGTGAAACAGTGGTGCCAATGGCAGTGGTTCTGATATGACAATAAACAGTGGCAACAAGCAGCAGAAATAGAGTTGGATGTTTTTCCTCTCTTGTTCGTTATTCCTTTTTCTTTTCATCTTTTTCTTCACCACCTTCATCAGAAAGGCAGAAAGCGAAAAGTACTCATAAGAACTTTTAAGTTTATTGGTCGGCTGAGAGATCTAAAACACTTGAGCATTGGATCCATGTTGGTCCAGTTTGGCTAAGCTTGCATCAACAAGGAGTCATGCACCTTCTACTGTCAGTCATCCTCTATCTCTGCGAGCTAGTGTTTGGGAACTTTGTGGTCTGACAGCCCTAATCAAGTTATTTTTAGCTTCCAACATTCATATCTAACAGATATTACATCTTCATTTTGTGCTCGTGTTCCCTTATAATGTATTTTAAATGTAGCATCTATCTAATTTGTATTTGAGCTAGATGTATTATTAAATAAAAATCAATCATCTTTTCCGTGCAGGCTTCAATATATTTCAGTTATTCTCATTGCAGGGTTTTCGTGAGTTAAACATTATTCTGCTTGCCGCACAATTTTCATGTTTCATTTTTCATGATGCAGATGACTGATCAAAATTAAATCCAATCACAGTTAAACACAAGTCTTTATAATTTTTTTAATCTTGGCAGTCATCCTGCATGAAACAATGCTCTTGTTTTCTGATTTAGTTATCATATTATTGATTGAGTTACTGCTGTGAGGCCCTTTTGGTGAGATCACCTTTTTGCCCTTCTAAAGTGCTTGTCACGTTCATTGCCTTCGTGTTTTTTGGTGTTGTGAAGCTCTTTGACATTTGATTTAATTATTTAATGTTGAATTTTCTAGTGAAACTGTTAGTGACTGTTGTCATTGCTTTCATTTTTATTTTTTTTATCATTAGGGACACCACAAATAACAGTTCTGAGCCACGGAGCTATCGGTTGAAGGATAGGATGAAAAGTGAAGGAGAACAGATGATCAAAGAACAATTTGTTGAAAATGTTTTGGAAACTAATTGGAGGCTTCATGACCTTCTTGACAAGGGTTCATCATGCATTGTTCTTCCACATAATGCATTTGATATTTCGTTGGCTCCTTATTCTCGAGTCATATCTCAAATAAAGGTTAAACCAAGACTGTCACTTAGTTTCTACAACCAAGAAGAAGCACTGAAGGCATCAAGGAGTTTGTTTCCTTCGGAGGATACACTTGAAGGAAATTCAGGTCTCAAATATTTGAGTGGTTTCTCTTCAATAAACGGGAGGTTTATCTCTTCTGCTGAGGCCAAAAGGTTTCCTGTGGAAAAGTCCAGCAAGACCGAAGTTTCTACTTCGTGCACAACTGCCGACTCTCAGGAAATTGGGCCTGAGAAGGAGGTTACCCTCAGAAGTGATGGATTACTCGATCAAGGCCTACTTTCATGCGTGACATGTGGGATTTTGAGCTTTACGTGTGTGGCTATTGTTCAACCCACAGATGCAGCAGCAAGGTGTCTAATGTCTGCCGACTGCAGTTCTTTTAATGATCTTTATGTTGGCTCCGGAGAGACAAGCGATACTGGCATTCTTGGGAATGCAAATGCACACAACTATAATTTGCTAGCCCGTCCAGGTTTGCTGCTGGTGCTTTGACCTTTTAATGCTATATCTAGTATTGAATTCTGAATATTAATTTACCCAAGTGAATTTATCTTAGGCTATCACAATTCTTGGATTTTTATCCATTTTAGATTTCCAATAATTAGTGTCTAAGTTGAGTGTAGCTTAATTTCTTTTACTTTTAGTCTTGGAAATCATTTATACACAAATATATTATCAGATTCTTTAGATGGTTTTTATTGCAAATATTTTAATAGTCTTTTTTTTTTCTCCAAATATATATATATATATATCTTTGGGATTTTGATAAACTCCTAAAGATAAACCTTCTGTCATAGTTGTTTAATGGTTCCATACTATCTTTACAAACTAAATCTATCTGCAATTTTGAATCTATGAAGTGGTCTGCTAATTCCTGATCCTCGGATTTTGGTCTATTGACTGAGTTTTTTTCTCTGCTCATGTCCTGAATTCATCTTCATCTTATAAAGTGTTGTGGAGTTCGATCAAATAACCCCAAAATCGTCAACTACTTGCTTAATGGATCCAATCATCTAATTCCTCTTCTACAAGCTTTCTGAGGCATGGGAATATGATATGTTACGATTTTACTTCGGCTCTCATTTCTATTTTTGCTTTTTCCCGAAGAAACATGGCTCCGAGTCATTTTTGGTGTCATTCAACTCTGGTTAGTGGGATAGCTCCTCTATCTTTCTTCTCTTTCAGGAATTTAGTTTTCTTTACGATGTGCTCTTTATTTAGCTTTATGCTTTTAATATTTTGCGGTTCCATTGTACCACATTATTTTACACTCATCTTAATTTGTTCAAAGACCCTGCAGTAGGATTCCTGCAGAGGTACTTGCAACATTGGTAAACCAGCTCCTTAGACTTGTCTTGATAAATGTTTGCTTTCTGGTATCCGGAAAATCAGCTAACAACCAGTATGTCAGGTCCTATGGTAGTAGAGGTTTCTTGACGACTGTGATAGACATGAGTGTCCAAGGAAGCAATTCAATGACTTCTATGGAGCTTTTTTCTCTCTGTTTTCTTTTCATGCGGCAAGGACTATGCATTACTCCGTGGATGTACAATTCGACGATAAGCTTTGGGTGGGACCTCGACCCTTCACAATAAAGCAACATGTTTATGTTGCATGTAGCTTTGGCTTTGGCTTTGGCTCATCAAGTGAAAACGGCAGTGAATTAGTGGCCAACTATTATTTCACCCCTGTTGGCCAGCATATTACTAGGGATCTGAGTAGTTCCATTGTTTGTCATAATATATGGAAGGATTCTAGCTTTGTTTTCGGCAGCCAATATTTTCAGTCACTTTGTTCCATGTATACTTTAAAAAGTGAATATTTTATGGTGAAAACTTACAATTTTCAACTTCAATTTTGATGTCAATTTTTTGTGATACAGACGCCAAGAAGGAACAAGCGTCAGCTCTTGATTTATTAGTTTCCGCATATGGGGATTCATCTGATGCTGAGGAGGAAGCGCTTACACCTGAAGCGCCTGTACGCCTAGACGAGAATGTTTCCAATATTCACTCATCATCTAGGCCAGATCAGGATCCAAGGTATTCGGATGGCTCTACTTCGTCACTAGACTCCCACCCAAGTGAAGCATCATGTGGGAAAGTGCCATTTTTCTCTAGGACGGGGACAGAAGGAGGAGAGAGTTCATGCCATCCATCTTCGTGTGCTGTCTCCGGTGATGAAGGCATCCCTGAACACTTAGAGCGTGAGGTTGGTTCTAATAGTGCATGCCAAAATGTGAGTGATTCTGATGTGGGATCATGTCAACAAAATCCTGCAGTCTCCGCGCGAAATTCGTGTAAGAATGCTGAGGGGATGGAAGAAAACGTTTCAGACAATTTGAGAGATTCGACAAGGCCAGTCATTTCGCCTAATTCTTTTTGTTCAGCACCCATGGAAGAGACTAATGGTAACCTGGATGGTATTCATCAGTTTACTGAAACTGCGAAAATTCACATGAGCTGTGAGGACGTGAAGAAAATAGAACTGAATTCACCTGGTTATCCTGCCAATTCAAGCTTGAGCCCGACCAGAGAAGCGAATGGAGGCATTCAACTCAGCAGTTTCAACCCTACTGTACCCTTCCTGCAGAAATCCGATAAGGACTCCTCCAGAGGGCACATATTTTGTCTTGAGCATGCGCTGGATGTAGAAAAACAGCTTCATAAGATGGGTGGATCGCATCTAATGCTCGTCTGTCACCCTGGTTAGTTTTTCAATAACTTTGCTCTTCCGTTTCATTGGTGTTGCTGTTGTTCTTTCAATGATACTGCTTTATCAGTCCTTCGCTCTACTTTCTATTCACTGTCGTGGGAATAGTGTGGTATTACTTATGTTTTATTCTTGCTTTCAACCAGCTCTATTCTGCTCAGCATTTCTTCACGGGTGTAGCTGTAAAGCGTAGCATCTACAGGCTAGTTTATACATAAATGATTTTTTTTACAGATAAAGATAAAAAGTTTATATTGCTCGAATTTCGGGCTGTGATTTAGCAATAAATGACTTTTTTGTTTGTTCAATCTAGCTATTCTATCTGTATTTCCCTTGCATTTTTCACCAATGTGCACTGATGGACGATGCCTTTTTGCCGACCCATCTGTATGATCAAACTTTGTGCTCTCCATCATAAGTGTCTGCATAATATTTCCAGTGACATTGTCTTTTCTCTTTAGGGTATCTTTCTCCTCGGTCAGCTGAATACCGATTTGAGCTCCAGCTTAGTCTAGATTGGTCTAGATTGAGCATTCTTGCCTTCTTAAACTGGAGTTCCCAACCAGATCAAGTAACCTCTCGCCAGTTCCAATGTCCTCCCAGTTCTTTATGGTGATTGATCTGATCTACCTCAGGGAGTCCCGTTGCTAGAGGTAGACCATGTACCTCCCTCCAAGTATCCTAAAGATGCTCCTATTACCCTACTGGCAGCAGGGTAAGGCATTGAGAAGGGCCAGCTTCTGTGGATTTTCTTTCCCAGGGTAGGAGAAAATAGAGCACGCACTCCTGGAAGATGGGTGGGGCCTCCCCCTAGTTTGTCTTTTGTTAACCCATGGCCGCAACAGAGAAGAGCCTGCTCACTTTTCAAAGGCATTCAGGCAGTAAGGACATGATATTTACTGTAGGTATCTCACCGAGCCCACTCCTCCCTTCTCTATGTCCACCGCTCCAGGACAAGGCCTTCTGCCCTCAGAACCGTTCTTGGTGTTTTGAAGAGTGGAAGAATATACGCATGAGCCTTGACAACCATTTGACGCTGCACAGCCTTCAGGGAGATCAGTTTCACCTCCCAGTCAGTTTTTTTCTTAATTTTTTTGATGGCATTACATCTACCTCGGCGGCGCTGTTCTTCCCTTCAAAAGGAGGCAAGTCCAGAACCATTTTTAACGGGTTCAAAGGGTCACCTGGTTTTATGACCTGCTAGATTGGAAGGCAGTTCTAGAACCGTTGACTTCAGGTTGATGTTCTTCTATCGTTCTGAGAACATCTCAGTGAGCTGTGTTTGGCGAACTCAGATAAGTGGGTGTGTTTGCTGCTGAAACTACTGTATCATTTTGTGAATGAGAAGAAAAAAAAAACCCAAGCATTTTTTGATCTTTTATTTTTGGGTTTCATCTCTGCTACCTCTCAGTGGGTCTTCCATCCTCTTATCTAAAATTGAGTCTTTTAATTGTTCCATTTGCGCCTGCAGATTATCCCAAGATTGAGAATGAAGCGAAATCCTTGGCAGAGGAGCTGGGAATGGAGTGTTCTTGGGGGGAGATTCACTTCAGGGAGGCAGGCAAAGATGATCAGCAGAGGATTTGTGCCGCCATTGAAGACGAAGAAGCTGTGCCCACAAACAGCGACTGGGCCGTGAAGCTGGGGATCAACCTCTTCTACAGTGCCAACCTCAGCAAGTCCCCCCTCTACAGCAAGCAGCTGCCGTACAATCCCATCATCTACAAGGCCTTCGGCCGCAGTGCTTCCGGCAGCTCGCCAGGAAGGTCAAGGGTCGATGGGAAGCGGCGAAGCAAGCAGAAGAGAATAGTTGTGGCTGGCAAATGGTGCGGGAAGGTCTGGATGACCAGCCAGGTCCATCCCTTCTTGGCGCACAAGAATGAGATTCATGAACAGTACGAGGCGGCAGCGGCGGCGGCGGCGGTGGGGGGAGCCAAGATTGAGGCCGATGCTGACTGCTGGAGGGAAGCTCTGTCGGGCAAGAGAGAGCGTCCAGATGCTGGCATGGAGGCGGAGAAGAGAATTGACCACAAGGGGAAGAAGAAGACGAATTCATCGAAGAAGCCCGCCTCGAAGAAGCCCAAGTGCCTGCCACCGGCGGAGGCTGCCACAACAGTGGTGGCGGCAGCAGCACAGAGTTTGACTGATAATTTTTCAGCACGGCGGCAGCGGTCTGGGCGCCTTCGTCGGCCGATCTCGAGACCCACCCCGGACCAGGAGGAGCACCACCACTGCGTCGCTGAAGAAGAGAGACCCACCACCGCCAAATCGGCCGTGGCGGAGAATAAGAAGAAGAAGACGGTGGCGGCGGCAGCGAAGAAGAAGAAGAAGAAGCATCCAGATGCCGCCGAGGACGGTGGCGACTACCCCTGCAACGTGGAGGGCTGCTCCATGAGCTTCCGGTCGAAGCAGGACCTCGCCGTGCATAAGCGGAACATCTGCCCTGTGAAGGGCTGCGGGAAGAAGTTCTTCTCCCACAAGTACCTGGTGCACCACCAGCGCGTCCATGTCGATGATCGGCCTCTCAAGTGCCCCTGGAAGGGCTGCAAGATGACGTTCAAGTGGGCGTGGGCGAGAACAGAGCACATCAGAGTTCACACGGGTGCCAGGCCCTACGTCTGCAAGGAGCCAGGCTGCGGCCAGACCTTCCGCTTCGTCTCTGACTTCAGCCGTCACAAGAGGAAGACCGGCCACGTGTCGAGGAAGGGCAGGAGTTGACCGGCGGCGCAGATGTGGGTTCTCGACTCTGATTCATGACGAGGAAGAAAGGTTGGGTTTTTCTTCTTTTTTTCTTCTTCTGTATATTGTGGGCTGTGGATGATGCAGCTGCCATTGTTGGGAGTCGGGTGGGGTTTAGGGATTTGTCTGCCTTCTTGATCCTCGTTCCTGTTTCACTCAGACTCCTGCTTGACTTCCTGGGTTTCCATTGTGCCCATTCAATTTGACCCAACAGGTGATTTGACTAAACTCTCCTCAGCTTACTTAATTGGGTAATGGATCAGGAACCCATGTCTGTTCCTGCATTCCCTGAATGGCATGGTTTCCCGTATTGTTGGATCTATCGTTCATGGGTGTTACGGCGAAAGGTCCATTCTGGAATGGCAGTGGTGCAGTGGTGACAAGAAGAAAATGGTGATGGCGGCGCAGTTGGTGCGGCGCTGGGAACGCGGTCGTAACCGGAGAAGCAGCCTCTCCGGTGGAAGAAGAAGAAGAGTAAACGCCACGGCTGCCGCCGCCGCAACGGTCACTGCCCATATGAGCGTTCACAAAGAAACCATCCTTAGGCTGTTTCTCTGGGGATCAGAAGCCCACGCGGCCATCGTCTTCCCGTGACGCCGCTCCTTCATATCTATATATATCTGAGCATCCCTCTCTCTCTCTCTCTCGCTCTCTGTGTCGCCATGAACATTGTCGGGGACAACAGGCTCGCCTGTTAAACGAAGATCGACGGAAACCAGGGCGGCGGCTCGATGGTGGCGCCGCTGCCGCGCATGTTCGTGGTGAACAGGAGCGACTTCTACGCGCAGTACAAGAGCGTGGAGCCGTGGCTGAAGAGGAAGAAGCCGCCGCAGGAGCCGGGGAAGGAGATGAAGCGGAACAAGAAAGAGAGGGAGAAGCTGGATGGCATGTACGAGTGCAAACTCCGCCTTCTGCAGCACCTCCCCTGAACTCTTACCTCGGTCCTGTTGCTCTCCCCCACGCCCACACGTAGGTTACTCTTCTTCTTTTTCCTCACTCCCTTCCTGCTGAAGGAAGGTGCTTTTCTTGGGGTCAACCTTCCTTGGGTTATTTTGGTGGGTAGGCTCCACGTAGGACTGAAAGTCGCGTTGACTCCGTTTGAGGTTTTACGACCAATGGGCGTAGTTTCCTGGTATTATGGGACTAGTAATCTTTCTAGGCTGTGAACTGGCCTCCCATGTTCCTAAAGTCAAACTTAATCCATTCCTCGGTTGACTGGTAAAAATCTGGAAGTTGTGCTGTAAGGAAAAAATTTCGGGCATTTTGGTTTTCCGAGGGTAAGTCAACTGTCACGAGACTTGCTTGCTCATGAGAGAGAGAGAGAGAGAGAGAGAGAGAGAGAGAATATTGGGTATCCATAGAATATTGGGGGTGGTCAAGCTGACAATGTTCGAAGGCATATCAGGCAGCTTCATTTATATACATATAATTGGGTCAGGATGAATTAAACTAACCCTCAACAAAAAAGAATTGCGTACTACTTCCAGTCCATTGATGACGCTCCAAGCTAGCTCTCGAGTTTGCAGCCAATCTTTGGTTAGTCACTAGAAATAGTAGTGAAAGGGATCACCACTGCCATGAAAAAGAACTGGACTCCGGATGTCTGAGATGATCCAAAGAACCTTGGCCGTCAGGTTCTTTACACTGCTCCGCTTTCAGCTTCATGAAGAACACCGAAGACCAGTAATCCTTGAACAAATTCTTCAGGTAGAAAAATACGCAGTCAGAGGAGGTAGAAATGATGAATGGTGGTGCCCAATTAGGGAAAGATCAGGAAAGGATACCGCTTTCAGTAGTTGCAGCAACTCTACTACGGCATGGTCAAAGAGGTGAGGGCTGGTGAGGTCCTCACAGGTGAGGATCTCCTGACGGGTCCGATGGGAGATGTTGACCTCCATCTCCGTGCCTGAGAGTTGCAGAGAGAACAATGCAGCTTAGTGGTTGCCAAAGCAAACGGAGAAGATGGAATCATTGCAGGCCAAACCCGGGAGAATCTCTGCGTTCAACATAAGTTCATCGTCTCAGGACTTGGAAAGAGGATCATCCGATTCAGAACGATTTTTTAGGGACCCTTTTCGTTTCATTCACAGATTCTATAGCGTGACACAAGTTAATTCAGTGCCCTCTTCAGGAGAACTCCTAAGGATTCCATTTTTATTCTAAAGAAGGCAAAGACTCTATAGAATCATTTCAGGCCAAACCCAGGAGAAAATCTCTGCAATCAACATAAGTTCGTCATCTCAGGACTTAGAAACTGCATCATCCGATTCACAACGATTCAGGGTCCCTTTCCGTTTCATTCTTGTGATACAGTTTAATTGGGTGCCCTCTTCAGGAGATCTCCTAAAGATTCCATTTTTATTCTAAAGAAGGCAAAGATTCCAGTTCTGGGTGCCTCCTAAACGAGACCAAGATTCCAGTTCTGGGTACCTCCTAAACGAGACCAAGATTCCAGTTTGATTCTAGACAAGTGACCAGAAAGAAGGATAACGCACCAGAATTGATGTATCTCTCGATGATGTGCCTCGCCATGTAAATCCTCTTCGCAGGATCATCTACACGTATCTTCCCGAGCTCAAGGACTTCGTCGTAGAAATGAACACCTTCACCAGCCAGACAGCTGAACATGCCAAGGGGCAGCAACAGCACAAGAAACATGAATAAGAGCTAGAATCGAGTGTGCCCGGCATGTGGCATGTGCCGAGGAATAGGAGCAGAAATATGATCACCTGTCAGCGTACGCCATGAAAGATCGGCGGAAATTGTCATCAAGCAGCAGCCTGTCCAGAGGTTCATTGAAGTCTACATCGGAGTGGGAAGCTTTCTGTGATGAGTCACCCTCCCGAATGCCCAGAGCTTCACCCATCGTAAGATACCCCACTGAACGCCTTCCGCTCAGGCTCATTTGAGAGAGCAGGGGTTGAGAAATCGACATGGAAAAGAATGCCAGCACAAGAATGCCCACCTGGAGCAGAACACAAGCGGTTGACTTTATGAAAGGGCATCTACACCCAGATGGTCAACAAGCTTTCTGTTTGAAAAGCAAGTCAATCCCAGTAATGAAGAGGAACTATAAACCACTGGGAGTAAGACTGATTCAATCCCCCAGGGACATACAGTTCAAGCAACAGCCCTGGAAAAATCCCAAGTGTCTAGAAGATAGCAAGACTCTAGAATTAGATCCTACGTGGCGTGAAAAGGGGAAGGCGCAGGTCTGCCATAAGTGAACTGCAATATAGTCCGCAGTCTGTAGTTCACAGTTCTGAAGCTTCCTCTGAAATGCTTCACTAGTCCTGTGTTTGAATGTTAGACCCAACTGCCCACCTAAAAGGCATTTTTCTTTGGCCGTAAGAAATATGCCAGCCATAGCCACCTACTTCATCCAGTTCATGGACGGGTTGAAGAATTCTTGGTGGGGAATTTCAAGCTAAGGCAAAAACGGTATACATTTTACCAAGTAATACCCTATCTCTGCGCATGATATAAAGCTATATATGGAAAAATGAAATGACATTGACAGACCCCAGCAATATGGGTAAAAAATGTTCACGATAATTTTCAAGGACATGGAGTGGAAACTTGAGGAAGAATGCTCACCGTGAATAGCAACAAAAATCTAGATATCACTTGAACCCATGAGTTATATTCTTGCACCTCAATTAAAACATAAGCAATAATCCATACGCCTGAAATAGAAGGAAACAACAGTTAACTGAAAACAAACCCAGCGGTAAGGTACTCACAGGAATCCCCACGGTGGAGAAACATTTCGTTTCTGGCTGAAGATTTATGGTGAATGTAAATCTTACATAAATGTAAAATGAAGGCTGAAAGAGAAGGAAGAATGGAGATGAAACAATGAAAATGGATATCCAGGCCATCTTGTTAAGAATAAAGAGAGAATCGATGCCTATGAATTACGGCTAGTTTCAGTCTACGTATTATAAAAGCCTAAAATTTGGTTAGTAATCACATTGAAATGCTTAAGAGCCCGCCATGTGAATGGATTCTTCAGTTAAGTCTTAACCAGTGTAGTATATTTGTGTCTACAACACCAGCATAACTGCGTTTGTTTTCCTTGTCATGTTCCGCATGAATAAAGAGCATCAATGCACATTTTGAAATTTAGTGAAATACCAGGATGAGATATACCTGTGGCAGTCGCAGAAATGATTATTCCTCTTAAAAGGTCTTTCAATTCTTGAAATCTGAACTCAATGTGCCGAATAGCATAGGCCAGCCATATCAGAGCAGAAATATATAACATGATGAAGCATACAACTGGAGCAATCCATTGCCAGTGTATATGGCAATTGGCGTTCAAAGGTTTGGTTATGCTAATAGCTGGAATATATTGCAAACATAGTGAGTTCAATCATATACGGCACAGTGATAAATCAAATCGTAAATATTCCTGAATGGATAGAATGAACTGGGAATGATGGGTATAAACCAAGAAGATTGTGCAAATGAGTAGCCGAAAAAAACAAAGCTAAAGAGATTGAAAGTTATCAATCATATTACTATTGCTTGTAAAAACCTTATTATCTACCAAACAGCATATTTAGATGGGACCAGTTGATTAACACTAAAATGCAGAATCTGTTGTGTTCCATAGATACAATAGCAGCATCACATCAAAGATGGACATTCAAGGAATGAAAACTGGGGTTCGTACGATATAGTTGGCATAGATAAATTAACGAAACGAATACTTGATAGGAAGGCCCATGCTCCAGCCAACACAATTGTAGCAGCCCTATGTCCCCACACCACATTACCATGATCCCTGTTCAGACCGCGGATGGATAATCATAGCTGCCAGAATGCGGATGGCCATAGCAGCTATTATAGAAAAACAAGCTTATACTATTTCTCTTGTAGCATCATTCTTGATCTCAATGATTAAGAATATTTAACAATGTAATTTTTATTCATGCGAATAAAAAATATACCTCGGAGGAGTGGAAATTCTTGAATACTCGTTTCTCTGTCTATCGTCCAAAGAAAACTGGAAAATGAGTAATCTAGCAATTAAGAGGTTCTTTCAAAAAATACCTTTAGTTATATCCCAATAGACCATTGTTGCCATGAAGAAATGTCCATTTATCTTTTAGATTTCGTTATCAAGACTATGGCATGATGTTGAACCAGGTACTAGATGACAAGGCATCCCCCGATTTCACATGACGTTCAGAAAAAAGAAAATAACTTTGGGAGGAGAGTTAATATGGTGATGCCTCTTTCTAGAGACAACACCATTTCCATTGGAATAAGTTTCTCATTTCAAATTTTGTCAGGATAAAAATGGCTAGAACTACTGAGAAATAAATATCTATTTACTGGGAGAAGGGGATTAACTTTTTCAAAAACAGCAAATGCATTAGTACGTGGAGACCTGTGTGCCCACACATGTAGCACAATCATGATGCTAAAGATGATTCATGTAATGAGAATATAGGGATGATAGGAAAATACTTTGATGCTGTTAATTTGATAAGTAAAGGAATAAAAAAACTTCTGAAGGGCCACGTCGCCAGCTGTGATGATACACAAAGGTTTTACTTGGGAAACTGGTCATCTAATTTTTCAGAATAATGGATACCACGACAGGTGATAATTTTTAGAATGGGCCACTCCCTTGATATCTGGATATGCACCATCACTAATAAGATCAGAGATAGATTCCAGAAACCTGTGATGGATAAAAATTGGGGAATGGTCTATCTCCCACTCACATGGATTTCACAGTGACTCATCCAATGAGTCTCAAATAAAAAGAAAAAGGCCTGGAAAAATGTTAAGTCTCGGCTAAAACAATATAAGACCGTTCCAGGCTTTATTTAATCTCAAGAAAGAAGAAACCAAAAAGTCAAGATGAAAGTTACCAAGGTGATGCTTTCTTTATAATGATATATCCATTCTATCCTTCTCTCTTCACAAATGTATCAAGATAACTAAGACACAGCACTAAAAGAAACAAAAGTTCCACAAAGAAAACAAGAGTGATGATCAATAATTAAAATTCACTGCAGATAAAAGAACTGGGACCAGCGCAGAATACTAAACATACAAGAGGCTGATAATGATGTCAAGCATAAAAAGTACACAAGAGTTTTCATTACAAACAGCCTAAATATTATTATGTAAGTAATAGCATCTTCGAGAGTTTCTTTCTCCAATAAGTTACCAATCTTCTTGCAAACTCCCACTGTTATCTCATACTTTTCTCCTTTTGCTGAGAAAAGAAGTAAGGAAATGGGCCAATTGTCAACAAGATACAAGGAGAGAAATAAACTCTCCTAGGAATGACTCAAAAATGTCATTGCCAAATCTTTATCATCAAAACCAAGACGATACAGAAATAGTTTCTTTTAATGCAGGTTGTAGGGACGATTTAGACAAAAATGAAAAGAAATTCGCCTACATCAAAATATTTACGAGCCAGTGCTGACCTGTTGCCCCACCCATCCATGGCAAGAGAATCAATGGAATCAAGACATTTGACTTAATTGAAGGTAATCTCCTCCTGAGTTAAATCGTGTGCAAGAAAATATCAGTCGCATGTAAATACTGTTGCCATAATTTTTGTGTCAAAACAGTACAAGAGTCTTTCAAAACAAAGAAAATGTGTAATTCAAATCACTGCAAGGAAACCTCAGGGAAGGAAATCCAGATATGACTTACTTAACAAACAAGTAATAAAGTTGATAGACTTGTACAATGCGGAAGCTTATCAACAAACCAAAACCCAGAGCTCCTCCAAGCCAGACTAGTGAAAATTGCAAATGATATCTCAGAAAACAACAACCAACATGGTGAAACCGAAATCAGTAATAGCTATGTGAGACAAGAACGTTGCCACAAACACCTTCACAAAGGAAAAGTAGAAGAAAACGATTACCTCCCCAAATGTAGCACGACTGCCATGGATGACGCTTATTGACATTGAAATAATTTAGAGACATCTAAGAATATGAATACCCATAAGCCAAGGTGCCAAAAAAGAAGAAAACTCTCAGACAATTGATAACTGTAGTTATGTCGTACCACAAAACCTAATACAAGGTTGAAGCTCCCAAAAATCTGAACAACAACAATCCAGAGGTCATTAGTCCTTGTTCTTGGGCCTTTGCAGTAAAGAAAGGGGTAAGACGCACGAATACAAAGCCTGCAATAAATGAAAGATTAGTGTAAGCATTTAGAAAACAAAATAGAGTGTTTCATCATCAATTCTTAAATTGATAAAGTCAGAAGGAGAAGACGCTAAATTGATAAATTATAAGCTAATTTTCACATGAAAATTAAGTGAAATTAACTCTTGAAAAATCCAATAACCACAATTCTGAAGATTAGAATGTATATCTCTGTTTTCAAAGGACGTAATCAGTATGATCTACATTATTAAATGAGTATTCAGCATACACAAGTACTATGGATAAGATTTCCTTCTATTTTATCTCTCCCCTCAATCCCTTTTTTTTGTCCACTGGAGTCAGCCTCTATTTATGATGCTCATCTTTTCTTCTTCTTCTTTACCTATTTTTCTTCCCATTCCACTTTCTCAACTGACCAAGATTCCTTCAAGCAAAATACCAGAAATTGGTTTTTTTAAGATAGAGAAAATTCTTCTAGGAATTGACATGAAATTATAGCATTAGTCTAGCCTCTAGCAATTTACTAGTAGCTACAGCAGCCTATTATATAGCTTTCTGTGGGAATATCTCATACAGTTCAATGAATCAAATAAACCAGGGGATTTGAGGATAAGGGATTATACTACTAGATTCACAAGTGTCAGAAACAAAAATAAGAGAGAAAATATACTAAACAAAACTATAACTAATCTGAAATCCAGACATAGTTATTAATTTTTCAGTCACTAGTAGATAGATAACTCACAGGTTGTTGCAAGACTTGATTTGTAAACAGGACAATAAAGAATGATACCATGTATAGATTGGCGTGATAGCCATCAATAAAGACTTGATTTGTAGCTATTCCTGCTTGATTTTTTCTCTCACCAGACTCGAAGTATTTTTTTGACAAGCCAAAAATCTGAATCCAATAAAAATTATAAAATTTGGTGCATGGTGCATAGCCATCAATAAATCTATTTTCTATTTGCATTAAATTCGTATTGGTCATGGTATGAGCTCCCATTTAGCTTGTTTCTTGTTCATCGAGCCCAAATGCTGCTCTCAACATGTCAATTAATTTGAATTTTGAAACCATTTTTAAGTTTTGGATGAATGTGCTGCGCACAACCATCTCTAGATGTGGCATCAATTTTATTTACTTCATCATGTAACTTTATCTTTCCTTTGGATGTATGTGCTGGTTGATCCATCATAGCATTCCTAATAGAACCATTGCTCAATTTCCTTCCAAGTCTTCCTCAGAGAAATACGTTATCATTTGTATTTAATGATTTAGTTAGTCAACGACACATGTAAAGGCAAGTGTACAGATCTGTTTTATAGGAAATCAATTGATGATAAGATAACCCCAAAAGATAATAGTCCAGAAACTTTGATCAAACTTATCCAACCATATGGGTTCAATGCTCACACTTGTATTTAGGTCTTTGGGCCCTCTTAATGCCATTCCCATTGCTCAATATTAGTCAAATACGACGAAATTTTCTCCTGTATTTGTGTAATGGAACCATTTTAATATGATGGACAACAGATAGAAACTCCAGAAATTATGGTTCATCCACAAGCCAGTGATGATTCTTAAATTTTTTGATTAAATCAGATACTTAAATAGAAAAATATGCTCAATTAAACAAACACAACTACTTCTCTCCATTTCACGAATCATCAATCATTATTTATGAAATATGCTTTTAAAACAACGATACCGATTAATGACCACTATTTATCACCTTTATTATTTTTAAGTATTTTTTAAAATAATCACACAGATTACTCTGACTTCATACTATGCAAAAACATCTACGTAGGAAATGGCTGAGAACTAAGAGCAGAGTTCGTAGCTCTAGAACTCATCTAAGCGTAAAGTAGGATGTAACGTGAATCAAAATTACTATCAAGACAAGAGAGAAAAGCAGCATGGAAAAAGAACAGCTTGATATCCAACAACTCGTCAGCCTGTGTAGCAAAAGAACTGAAACAACTGACAATTAAAAAAAAGAAGAAAAAAGCAAAGTCAGTGCCCCTTTATTGCAGGCATAAAATCTGAAACCACCAAGACGAAGTGAAAGAGCATGGGAAGCTCCGAAACCAAAATTACCCAAAATCCAGCACCAAGCACAAAAATCAATGATAAGGATCCACAAGACATGGTAAGAAAAGCACATAACCGGTACAGAAAAAAACGGAATCGCGAGCTCTTCTAACCCGAAGGGACGGTGGTCCATTTGAGATCACAGAGAGAGAGAGAGAGAAGAGGGAGGGAGGGAGGGAGGGAGGATGAGAGTGGAGCTGTGGCTACTTGGAGGGGAGAGGGGAAGGAGGGCTTACAGAACGAAAGAGGCGGCGGCGAAGCCAACGACGGCGTAGTCGCTGGGGCAGCCTCCGTGGATGGCGCAGGAAGCCATGGGGAGACTTGCATAGAATGGCACTGGAAGAGAAATCGAAAAGAGAACAATCCAAGCCACAAGCGGGCATGGAAGCGGGGAGCCCCTGGGCAGCAGACTTTGACTGTTGACCAAACGTTGCAGGAGAACAACTTTCGTGTCGACGGCATAAATCCGAGTTTACTCAGCATTTATTTATTAATTACAATTTTTAAAAAAACATTATCATCTGAAAATTATAAAATCTACTTTCAAATGGGAATTTCGATTCTTCATTTGTAAGAATTCGAAAGATTTTTTATAATACCTTCTTTGACTTTTCATTATTATGATCTCCCTCTGTTTTCTACTAATATCCACCTAAAATAGTTTAAATAATATGAAATATGAGAAAAAAACTAATATAATCTACTTTTTAATGCATAAAATTTTTTTAACACAAAATGATAAAATAATTTGAACTCTACCTAACCCACTTACTTACATCAACAATTAGTCTCTTAATATATGTTAGAGCTTTTGGGCTGTGTCTTATTTCTTGTGGGTTTATCCCTCTTTCTCTTTTACCATAGTAATAATTAATTAAAATAATTATTTTGATAAGAATGTGATAATTGCCACAAATTAGTTACATACAAAGATGCTTGGCCTTTGCTGTCCTTTGCTAAGACTTTCAGTTCCATCATTTGAAAGAAATGGGTCTGCCACACATTTTTTCTGGCTCTATTAGGGCATTATGAGGAACCCAAAGGAAGGGGATAAATTAGTCTTTTCATGATACATAGTATTCTGCTAATCATTTTCTCAAGTCTATTTGCACAAAATTTCTTATGATTGAATGAAACGAATATATTGAACTTTTTAATGACTAAGTATTTTGGCCCCACTAATACCATGTGATTGACATTGAGGGCAAAGGTTTCAATGGGCTTGCTATTGTAGTATTTTAATAACTTAAGACAACATAGTTGTTGAACATTTGAACTCTCTTTTAGATTCATGATTCCAGATTAACCAATTTGACTTATCACTCCTTTAATTATTTTTATGTTCATGACTCTAATCAGCCCAAGTAGAACGAGTTACCATTCTATCTGAATGAACAAATCACCATTCTAATTACGTATATAGTAATGAATGAACTATCATCCTTACATGTTTCAATCTAAAGCTCTTTTTCGGTGTGAAATCCTTTGCTTGATGCTATGAAAGTTGCTTGTGTGGAAGATGACTCAGTGCTTGAGTAATATCTAAACCTCTCTTCATTCTAATACTTATCTTTCTTGTATTTGTATGTGTAAACTCCTTCAAGGGTGTATGTAGATGTTGTTACTCTCACACTCTCCTCTTTTCTTCCTCTATTTATTTTCTAATGTAAGCTACAGTCCATTCTTTATTTTCTACATTGTGGGTGATCCAATTTACTTTACAATGACTAGAAATTTGATCATTTGTTGTCACATCTATCTTGATTTAGGCTTCATACATGTCAAATAATATTCTATAATTCATTAAAATATAATAATTTTAATATTTTGTTTCTTTCATTATTTTTGTCTTTAAAATATCTTTACAATGAGTCTATGCATGCTTATAATTGAAAATGAAACATGTATCAAAGAATCATTTGACTATTTAACACTTGAGTGTATTAATATTTTTTTAAGATGTCTTCTTCCACAATGAGTAAGATCATCAAGTAATATATTTTATTATTTTTAGACTATCATTTGCCCTTGTATTCACTTTTATCATCATTAAAAGCTATTTAGGCTCAAAAGTCAATAATTACCCCTTAGATTTGAAATAGGTATGTCAAGTCACTTTTATCTCATGATTTAGTTACACATGAACCCTGTCAATTTGTGATGACAATTTAAAAGACTTTAACAGTTGGATTTGAAATTACCCCGTAGATTGTTAAAATTTTGACCATAAGATTGTTAAAATTTTGATCATAAAAGATACTAAACTAAAAATATTGAATTGCTCAACTTGATGAGAAAATATGCTTTTCGGTTTTGGTTTGCCTAGAAAGGAAATGCGCTTGCAATGCTTCTAGTAACATGGCACATTTCAAGGATTTAATATAATTTTTGTAGAAGAAAAAAGACAAATGGGATCCACAAAACTTAAATAAATTAATTATGAGAGTATAACAATTACATTGGTAATAGATATGTCAAGTCATCCAATTATGGGTTCCCTCTAAGTAGATGTTTATGAGATTCAATGCTATGTTTATTTCTATTGTGTAAGCTTTAGAATGATTGATGAAAGTCAAAGAGCTAGATGTTATTTTACTATGCCTTATTACTTGTCTCTACTATTAGATTTTAAACCACACTTAGATTAAGAAGGAGGTTGAATTGTTATGTTCCAATTTTATTATATTCTTTCTACTGTTCTTTAGTCTCTTAGTTTTGTTATCTACTTACTACTTTTCTTAACTTTATCTTCAGATCATAATATCATGATTTTATGTTATCTAAAATTATCATATTCTAAAATTTTTATAATGGTTTGGCCTTTTACTTGCATTCACTCTTAAAAAATACTATGTTCTTGAGTTCCCTTAAGATTACATGTTATGATCACAACCGTTGATTATCTAATTTAACTTTCTTAGAATTTCATCTAAAAAATTCCTTCTAGATTCATGGATTTAGGAGGCCAAAACTACTATTAATAATAACAACCACTCATGATAAATAATAATTCAATATCACATTTGGTCTACTACAAATAATAAAGATATTGTTGTGAAATGTTTCTAGAGAATGATGTTGACTTGAGGTTCATCTAGAGTTTAGATGAAGATGATGAAGATTTAAGTTTGCTTTCGTTTATGTTTTTCATGTTAAATTGTTGGTTGAAGATGTAAGGCATTGTCCATTAGATCTTGTTGGAGATGGTTGCTAAATACTTAAATAATACTCTTTAACTTATGAGTTCACATGGTTTTAACCAGCTAGTAAATATCTTAAAATTTCTTTTAAATTTTTCTACAAAAAAACTCAATACAACTCTTGAAGTTATGCAAGATTTAGGGATGATTGTTTAGTTATAATTAGATGTTCAACGGCTAGTGTATTTATAGAGAAATTGTACTTAAAATCTTCCCATATTTTTGTCATTTTACAATGATTATATTTTGAGAAATGATTCAAAATTCGAACAAGTGGAAAACTAATGTGATGTGCCATTTGCAAGTTTAGATATCCTGACGAAAAATCAGTACGTGAGTCCTTTAAAGTAAAAATTATTAATATGAATTATAGCAGTATAGTAAAAGATTATTAATGATCTGATAATATTTTAATAAGCCAATAACATGTTTTTCCAAATAAGATTAGCATTTAGAAATCAAATATTAGTTAAATCATCCCAAATAAAATATGACCATCAAGTAATCATTTAGAATCATAAGTTCAATATTATTTTGGTGAGTGAGGATATCTAAAATAATTTTTCTAAGTATATTTCTTAATATCAACAATTATGTTTGATAGAATAATTTTTTTTCAAAAGTAATAATTTAATATCATGAGCACATAGTAGAGTAAATAAAATTTTATACTTATATTTTACTTCAAGGAATCTAGTTGATTTGGATATAATAATCATTATATTCTAACTACAATCGTATTTTATAAATACTGAACACTTGTTACAATAGTGCAAAATATGATAATTTCATACTATGAAATCAATTAAATATGTAAATTATATATAACTCATAAAAAATATATTCAATAAATTCTCATATAAATATTTAACAGTCATGTGTAGCCTCACATCAAGTATCTTCACAATTAAATATAATTAGATCATTTAATTGATTTTATGAATGTTTGTCATCATCAAAACATCATGAATTTAATGTTACAACATATGTCTCTATATCTTTCTCTTTATCTATTTTTTTTATCTCTCCATAAACCTCCACAAACTATCATGTGCTTAAGCACTTGATGTTCAACTCCTCATAAGCATTATTCTTCTTAGTTGAGTCATACTCAATACTCAAAAATATTTAAATTTCTCATTTTGTATGTCAAAAAGTCAATTTTACATTAAAATGTGAATTTTCTTCAAAATAAATCTTTAATCAATAATTTTATGAAACTAGTTAGCATTGAAAAAGCTACTTTTATTTCTATCTTTCACATATACAATTTTTATGCCAAGTTCATATGCACATGTAATTGTGATACCTTGTGTCAAAGTATATATCTTCTTGATAATAACACTTTCTCAAAAGCGATAATAGCTTGCAATTTGCACTAGTAATATGCCACTTATGTCAATGTAATACATCATATTAAATCACAATTCAACTTTGTACTGTTATTATTTGTAATCTACTTTTGTTAAGATCTTCTATCTTTTTTTTCATTAAAAATATACAAGTGATTTTGGATTGAGGGCTGATGCCATGACGCTAAGTGTTAACACTTCCTTATTCTTCAATTCTTCAGCTGATTTCATCACCATATCAATTATTTAAATAACTTTTTCATCCCCCAACCAAGTTCTTTTCCAGGTGACTTGGGATGAAAAAATAAGTAATACAAATGATGCACATATGAGAGTGGAGTCTAACATGCATAGAGATGGCTTAAAAGATAGAACAAAATGACAATAAAAAATCTTCATATCACAATAGATTGTTTAAGTGGTTGAATCAATACAAGCCTATTTTAGGCATGAGTCTAATTGGCATATCTACATAGCTTTGCTATCTCATAGTACCAATCAAGGATTTTGCAGATTGAGCCTTCTCAAGGTAATAAGGAAACTTCTTAAACCATGCACAATAGAAAGATTCAACAACATCAAATAAATGAACCAAAAGTGCTTAAAGGTGTCATAAAGGTTAGGATGTATTCACAAGTTCAGATTGTTTAATCATATTTTAGATGTTTTCAAAATTTATGAGCTAGGATGCTTTAAGAGTTTACTTATTTTTTTCATAGAAGCTTGCATAAGTTTATAAATATCTTATTCTTTTCTAACCTCAAAAATCATATAGCTCTGAAGTCAATAATTTTATATGAGTTGACATACAATATATAAGGGTCGATTCTTATTTTTTATGACAAATATTATGCCATAACTAATAATATCTAAATATTATTGTTAAAAAGTAATACTAGAATAAGGCTGGAGTAAAACAACTTTGTGTCACAATGAGAAGAATAGATGATGAAAGAGAGGATAAAGGAGATGAAAAAGAATTGTCGAACACCTTCAAGAGGTGATAGTGGTGTAGTTAGCTTTTCTACATAGATGTGCTACATTAGACATTAGTTGCAAGGAGAAAGAATGATAAGAATATCAAGGATGACATACATTTGTAGCCACAAAAGTCTTCTTCAAACTTATTTCTTCCCCCTCTAACTATTATCTTAAGCCACTAATGTCTGATTAATCTTCATTTTCATGGGGAAAACAAACAATAGATTTAATTATGCCATTTGATTTTCCTTTATTTCTTCAAATCAAGAATTAAATTTGAAATATTATTCTGAAAAAAATATTATTCTTTAAATTTATTTAGTATAATAAGTTAATAATTAGTTCAGAAAATCTTGTTTCAGCTATGATAAGAAAAAAAATAAAAGCTAGTAGATAATTCTATTATTCCTTAGACTTTCACATAGTTTATGCTTAAAAGTAATATAAATGCATCTTATGTGTCACATATTTGAGCAGATAATATTAATATAAAGTTTTAGAATAGAACCTAATAATTTTAATAAAAAAATAATAATCATAAAGTGGATTAGTCTACCTTTGAATCACAAATTGCCTTCTGCATATTAATTTAATAAATTAAAATACCAACTTATTAGTAATTAGTAGATTTTGTGTGGATGAATCTCCCCTTGATAATGTTGTTTTGTATAAATTGTACTAATGGTTCGTAAATACAAAGACTTTCAAATCACTAAACACTTAGGTCCCTAGGTTTGCCACTTTAAGTTTTCAGGTATTGATGATTCTTGGCTTGAATTTGTACCCAATGTTCAACTTTCACTTTAGGAGTTGACATTTGGGATGTAGTTGGAATTTTTATATAAGTTCAGTGAATCAATACATAAACTATTGCTTTCAATTTATAAGAATTTTTAGTTTTGAAAACCTTCAAATTTTTGCATTGGGCTAATGTAAAAAAAATGAAAAAATTAGTACACTAAAGGAGGTTTTATAAGGAAGCTCTGGTTAATCCCAAATGGGTGAGTAGGACTTAGAGGAGGGGTGAATTAGTGAAATTCTGGTTAATTTATGTTGTAAGCGTGCATGAATAAAGTTAATCATCTCCTTACCACTCTTTTGAAGAGTAAAGGAACTTGATCAAATTTTTGTAGGTGTTAGATATGTTGGTATAGCCTTTGGGATCACTATGGTTCAAGAGGAACATGAACTAGACTTTTCAATATTCTTAGAACTTAGTTTTAGCACAAAAAAAAATGGTCTAGACACAAAGGTTTACAATGGTTTGGTAAATCTGACTTACTCTACTCTCCAAGGGTAAGGTCCTTATGTTTTACTAATTTATGGCTAAAACATGCAGATTCTTGATTTCAAAAAATCTCTACTAAATATATAGCCCTCAATAATCTTGTGTTGAATATATATGGCTCTATCAAATGGATGTCAAATATCTTGGCCTCAACAATTTAATGTGTTGAAGATTAAGGTATGGGTCAACATTTAACAAGATTAGGAAGGAATAATACTTTTGCCAAATCATCTTGAAACTTCCTTAACTTGAAAAAAAAAACCTTTCTCTAGAATGAAAGAAACATTGAATACAGGACTGAGTTGATAAGGGCTTGAGCATGAGACATCTTTTTGATCTTTGGGTGGTAATCTTACTTTGACTCCCAAGAGGAAGAAGGCTGGTGCATGAGATGTTCTCTTTTGGTTTTTTTCTTTCCCTTTTTCCTTCTATTTCTATTATGGGCAAAAGGCTCCTTTTTATACACATCTTATTGAATCACAATGATCATCTCGACTAGTAGTTGAGCAGTTTGTATTAGAACATGCAAGTGCTTTCAAAGCCACAAAAAATACACTAATTAATCTTATAAAATTTCTAAGAATTTGACGTGACACTTTTGCAATGTATTTTTCTTTTAATTAGATTTCCAACAAGTTGTCATGTGCCGATATCTATGATACCATCTTCTAGCATAATCATTTGGATTAAGAATATGTATAATTTTACCCTTGACAGATTTTTCCAGGTTTAATTACGAAAATTAATCTATGTCAATTTACATATTAAGCATAGAAAAAAAATTATCCATAAATTATCATGCTATCCTTTGCCAACATCATAACTTTTGAGGCTCTCAAGGCCCACAAGGTACTCCATTTGTTCACCACCACAACACCAATGTGTCAACTCATAAAGCTTTTAGATTGTTTACATAAAATATTTTGTTGCTTTTTTCATATCTTCTTGCATTATGTGGTCTCACATAGCTATCAATATCATGAAAAATATCGAATATTAATGCTACCCGATCAAGATGTTGATGTCCTGTGTGTTGAAAGAAAAAAATATGGCGAATCATTTAATAAATAGGAGTCTATTATGGTTCCACATGCACTTACTTTGATCCAATGACAGCCATAACTCCTCTTGTAGTTGATGATCCCCGGTGGGTAGATGAGAGAAAGTTCAATAGATGAAAACGAACCTCAGAAGGTTGAGGCTTCCATTATTTTTTTCTCAGTGCTGCCTTTGATCTAGAACATTTAAGATAGCAACTTTGAATCGTGTCCACGCTCCTTGCTGGAAGGATTATTGCACCCGTGAATGCCCAAGGCGATGGGGACTAGTACGGAGACCATGCCTAATGAATGCGCTCATCGAGCTTGAGAGGAAGGCGGTTCGAAATGAAGCACATGCATGGATACATATATGTACATAGAAACATCAAACTAATGGGGAATATGCTAGCTTGAGATGGGGTCCCCATCCCCAAACCTGTCCTGAAGTTTTCAGGAAGCACCTCAACGGATATCATGCTTGCCCATCTCTCTCTCTCTTTCTCTCCCTCCCTGTCTCCCAGTCTCCCTCTCTCTCTCTCTCGCTCTCGCTCTCTCTATCTGGAAATTCATCCAATAGGCGGGGCTGCCTTCTGGCGTGGGTTAACGGCCTCAGCGAACCGCAGCCATCCGTCACCGCCCCACAAGAGTATTCCATTTTGACTAACACGGCAGCATTTGCCGTCGGATTGGAGTGATTGGATCTGCTGGAACTAAATATTCGAGAATTTTTCGCATTCAATTCCACATTAAATATCATTAAAAACTTTGCCGACGAGACCCGGCGAGAAACTCATAAAAAAACAGTCTTTTTTTGCTAGGTTTGGGAGGGTTGGGCGGTGGGAGAGGGATCTTGGGTGACCCAACCCAACTACTGCGTCGATCAGTAAATGAGACATCACACCTACATGCCAACTGTTTCCTTCCTCTGCCACCCCGCCTTAAATGACCAGAAGGCAACCCTTTCCTCATGCTCACTGCGGGGGGATTTAGACCAGTGTCGCCTTCTTTCAGGTCTTATCTTCCTCCCCCCTTGGTCCCCTTGCATTCCGAACCCTGAAGGAGAAGACTTTTTGTTCCTGTGGAGGAGCAGAGAGAGAGAGAGAGAGAGAGAGAGAGAGAGAGAGAGAGAGAGAGAAGGAATGGAGGTCTGCGCTTGCCTGCAGTATCTCAGGACGCAGCCCGTCTGGCTGTTCGCCCTCACTGCCATCGGGTTCCTCTCCCTTGCGAAGCTCGGCTTCGCTTCTCTCCGCTGGACATACGTCAGCTTCCTCCGCCCTGGGAAGGATCTCAAGCGGCGATATGGCAGCTGGGCGGTCGTCACCGGATCCACAGACGGGATCGGCAAGGCGTTTGCCTTCCAGTTCGCCCGTGTGGGCCTCAACCTGGTGCTCGTCGGCCGCAACCCAGAGAAACTGAGGGAAACAGCGGCGGCGCTGCGTGAGAAGTACGGGAAAACCCAAGTGGAGACGGTGGTCATCGACTTCACCGGCGACCTTAACGGCGGGTTGGCGCGGCTGAAGGAGAAGGTGGAGAGATTGGACGTTGGAGTGCTGGTGAACAGTGCTGGGGCCTCTTATCCTTACGCGAGGTACTTCCACGAGGTGGACGAGGAGTTGCAGAGGAACCTGATCAAGGTGAATGTGGAGGGGGTGACGAAGGTCATCCAGGCAATCCTTCCCGGGATGATTAAGAGGAAAAGAGGCGCCATTGTCAACATCGGCTCCGGCGCCGCCATAGTCATTCCTTCAGATCCACTTTATGCGGTGTATGCCGCCACAAAAGCGTGAGTTTTCTTTCCCTCCTCCCTTTTCAAGATCTATTTGAATCTCCCCTTGATCGGATGAACTGGGTGACCTTGATCCGGAAGAAGATCCATGATCCGGGTGACCTTGACCCCAGATGTTTTCTTCAACGAGTCTTGAACGTTTGAGTAGCCTCTTCGGAAGTTGCAGGTATATGGACGGTGAATCATTATCGCCTCTCCATTAGGCTCTCCTCTTCTCAGAGTGAACTCTGTATTGCTTTATATACCTGATGAAATTGATTTCTCTCTCTCTCTCTCTCTCTCTCTCTCTCTCTTTCTTCTCTTACACTTTTAATCCGATAAGATCCAGTTCTTTCGTCATTCGTCGACCTCATCTCATTCTAGAGGCGGAGTAATCCTACGGAGTGATGAGGCTACTTGTATGCAGTACCACGACTTCGACCATTTGGAATTAGTATTATTACCTGGGATTCATTTGCAGATCATCTTGTGTGGCATATAAAGCAATTTCCCCTATTTTCCGCAGGTATGTTGACCAGCTGTCCAAGTGCCTCTATGTTGAATACCAGAAGAGTGGCATCGATGTGCAGTGTCAGGTACGTTCTTTCCTTGATCCCTATCGATGAGCAAATTTCGACGCCTTTTCCGGGAATTGATAATGTTCTTGCTTTAGATGTTGAATCTATCGGGATGCATCCATCCATTTTCTCCATATGAATATGGAAGCTCTATCTTGTTGATTATGAATAGACCTTTCTCTTTTCTTTTTTTTTTTGATCTCCGTTGATTACAAAGACTTTGGTAGACTGATGGGGGCTTCGGATCTTTGCTTCCCTGAGGTTTTATGAATTGATGTTCTAATCTATGGCTTATTTTAGCTGAGTTCATCCGCTGATAGGGCAGCGGATAAAAACCCTGGAAGGGTGGAGGTCAAGTAGATCAAAGCCAATTTCTTTTGCAAAACAATCGGATCTTTTGAGATGTGAGGAATAAGAAGAAGGTGTTGGGCCCTTTGCCCACTTTGTTTAAATAGTCAGCACGAAGAACTTTAGTCTCCATCAGTGGAATCTGAGATTCTGGGGGCGTAATTGAGGGATTTAATGGTGCTGCTGTACCCAGATTTCTATCCTCTTTCTTGTTCCGAGCTGTTCTTGCATCGTTGGTCAAACTGTGATCCCAGCTTCTAAGTCCTTTTGGTGCGTTTAGAAAAAAGCCTTGTATCCCATTAAAATCTTGAAACTGTTGCTTGTCTTTGACTTCTGTTGGCAATTTACTGGCATTTAGATGGTCAGCATTGTCGAGTCCATAGCAGAAATGAACCAGAGATCCATCCATCCACGAACATAAACTCTGAAACTAGCTTCCTCTTGGAGATAATTCGCAAGCTTTCGGATGTAGCTTTGACGCCCCATGGAGCATTTACTATGGCTAGTAGCGGGCATGTGGAGTCATTTTCTGAATTCTTTATACCAAGGAAGAAGATATGGATGGATATTAGTCCTTGAAGGTCTCTGCTGAAGTTGTGGGCAGGTCGATCCAGTCTGTCGCGGGTAGTTTAGTCTTTCTCTGCCCGGCTGGGAATCAAACCAGCAAAAAACGGATAGCTTAGTTTTTTCATTCACTAGAAACTTATATGAGATCATCTTCTATTCTAAGACTCTTTGCTGAGGGTGAAGGTATGGATGCTAGTCCTTGAAGGTCCGGGTCAAAGTTGTGGGCAGGCGGATGCAGGCTGTTGCTAGTTGTGTAGTCTTTCTCTGCTTGGCTAGTGATCAAACCCGCATAAAATGGATAGCTTAGTTTTTCCTTTACTGGAAACTTATATGCAGATCGTCTTCCACCCTAAGATTCTTCCCTTGGGCTTGTTCATCTTGGTGTAGGTCCCCTTGTACGTGGCGACGAAGATGGCTTCAATTCGGAAGTCCTCCTTCTGGGTGCCGTCGGCCGACACATATGCACGGGTGGCGCTGCGGTGGATTGGCCACGACGTGAGGTGCACTCCCTACTGGCCGCACTCCCTCCTGTGGTGCCTCATCTCGCTGCTGCCTGAGTGCGCCGTCGACCGGTGGCGCCTGAACTTCTGCCTCAAGATCCGCAAGAAGGGGATGCTCAAGGACGCCGCCAGGAAGAAAGAGTGAATTAGCCCAGATGGAAACATTGCACAATCCGTCTTCTTTCCACCTCTCTCTCTCTCTCTCGCTCTGTTGTGTGACACCTGTGACTTGAGACCTTGTTGCTTTACATTTCTCTTGGGTTTGTTCAACTTGCCATGGTGATACACTCACTGTTCCTGTTAGTACCCTCTGTCTCTCTTGGCGATCCACAAACTGGTGAGAGGAGGAGGCGGCTACCGGCCTCAAAGATGGAACTAGGCGTCGGAGACGGCTACTGGGCCGGTGGCAGATGGAGGAGACCCAGTTGACGATTTAACAGGACTTTTCCGTGTCTATCTGATGGGAAGCCTCATGCCGCCAACCCTTCCACTCCTCGTCCTTTCCTTTCCACTGTCAGAAAAGGTCTCAGTTTTTATTGCCCTTCAGCCGCCTTCTGACCCAGCGGCGATCCCAGTGATACAGCGGCCGTAGTGACTCTGGCGATCTCCAGGTTCGTGCGCCACCCACTCTCCTCCCTGTCGATTGAGGAAGATTGGATTGGTCTGTTCACTGTCAGGATCATGAACTGAAAAGACTGCTTTAAGAACCCATGAAAAATGATTTGAATCAGATTGGGCCACCCTGTCGGCCAGGTTCAATCAGATCTGAATCAGGGTCAAGTTGTCCATAACAGCTGTTCTGAGGAAAGTGTTCATCCAGGTAAAGGGTACCCGGATACCCTCAAACTTCATCAAGTGAAAATGCACCAATCGTACTACAAAGGGTAAAAAGAAGTAAAGAAGAAAAAAATTTGATTCCTGAAAATCAGTGTTTATTCAGGCTCCCCAACAACCATCCCTGTTCTCATGTGGGGGAGGAGGGGGGGTGAGTGTCAGACAGTTCTATGATGATTGGCCAGCTGTTAGTGAGCTATTGCATCGTCAGTTAGTAATGATCGGCAATGGCTTAGGTCTGAATTGTTTTTCTTTAGCGTTCTTCTCCATTCTTTCTCCTCTCTTCTTCTTACTCTGCTGGGGAGTTGTGGGTGTACTCCGCACTGATTGCCTCCTCTGATGAAAATACTCCACGTAAAGCAGCCCATCTGAATGAACTCGGACAGATCAAAGCAGGAAATTCACTGATTGCAGGCTGTTCTACTCCAAAGGGGTGAAATGTCTTTGGCTAGGGGAGGGGGGAAGTTAGGGTAGGCAGCATCGATCACATTCATGTGCAAGGGCTTCACTGACTCATGTTTCTGGAATGAAAACTGGGCAAGAAAGGAGACAAAATCAGAAAGGGAACCAAGGGGGGGTTGTGTCATTAATGTTATTTGTGGTTGGTCATCACTAGGGAGGCCTAGTTCTGTTTCAATTTATTACAAAACTACTTCCGATCCCTTGTTGTGGCTATTCGGTCCCACAAAAAGGGCCACTTATTGTCATCACTACTCGTGTTTGTTGGCTTCAATAAATACAGTTGCTGTTTCTGGGCTTTTCTTTTTTCACTGGGGTTTTATATATTTCCATGAGTCACCTTGATCCATGGCAGATGCTTAAAATTTTTCATGGTTCTAACTATGACTCTCGCTAGCTATTTTTATAGAAATATTGTGATGAAATATCCGCTTTACTGAAACCATGCAGTACAGCACAAGGATAAGAAGGGGATGAGATCAAAGGAGTACATAACAAGGGCTCTGTGGTACTGCTCATAAGATTGAAGATTTTAATCATATACACTCTTCTACCAATTTATTGGTCTTCTTTTGATCCTCTACTTCAACCATGACTGAACCATGGAGTGAGAAATGTGAGGAGAGAGAATAGTAGTGGAGGATTGGTCTTTCCATCTCTTGCTGAATCCATTAGCACCATCCCTTTTCTCTTTCCTTTCTTTTTTTCTATCTCAGGGGAAATTTTCACACTTGTCACACTTATCTCGGGAGAGAGAAGAGTAGAGGAAGATTGGTCATTGGGACCGTATAATGGAAACTGTGCTAGATTGTACATTTTGCATCTCAGTTAACCTGTTAAATTTTGTTATGTAATATAAGTTTTTACTCGCAAGTTTATCAAATTTTTTTTTTCTACTTTTATTAATTTTGGCTGAGTTGATCCAAATCGGATTAGAATGGCTCGTTTGAGCCAGTATGGGCCTCCTGAGCGTTGAACTGATTCAGTACTGAATCAACTTGATTCCTGGCCCTTTGTCAGAGTGGAGAAAGATAGAATTTTTCAGCCTGCAGTATTCATAGAAAACACAATCATCATCAGGCAACTGTCAGGGGTAGTAGCATTCAAGAACAGAGTTTCTTTCACCTTCCTGGTGCCTTTAGGAAAGCTATCAGGTACTTCTTTTTTACTTGCCGTGGGAAGCAGTGATGGATGGGGAAGAATGATGGCACTTTCCTATCAATGGAAAGGGAGAAGTGAGTGTAGATGCCACTGCTATCTCAAACTAGGAAACGAGATATGACCACTGGGTTTCTCTGTTAGATGGAAAGAAACATCACACCATGAACGTTCAAAATAAAATAAAATACTCACTTGTCTTCAAGTGGGAGATTATTTTTTTTTTGTTCATCAGATTTGTATGATCCGGAATGGGTGCAATCTATTTCAGATGACAAATCGATCTATTATTTGGAATGTAATGTCTACTGTTTCAGTTTATGAAATAAAGTTTAATGATATCTAGCAGTCAATGATTTTATCTTATGACATTTTATCTAATGCTCCATTTTTTACCTAAACAAATTGAAGCAGATAATGTCTCCAAGGATTGTCTTCTAGAAGCCACAAAGTGTGATGCTAAAGTGGGAAAATTGTGGGTCAATCCCTCTAATGCTTTTTATGTTCTAGCTGACCAAAAAATTGAAATAAGGTTCTTGGAGCAGCTTTTTTTATTTTTTTCTATTTTTAATAATACTTAGATTTTATTTATGAGATATTAATCTATATTTGGACTATTAGTCTATAATTTTCAAGCTTAATTATCTTTATTAAAAGGCATAAGGCACTTGTGAGCTGTTCTGTCCTCTGTCCTCTGTCCTCTGTCCTCTGTGATAGATGTCATTGTCCTTGTTCCTATGATTCTCAATAGTTGTAATTAAAATGGCTGTCTATGTCATTTATTTTTACACGAGTGACTTAAATCACTCATGTTTATGACTAAAACACTATCAACCCAGATCCTTTGCTCTTGGGCACATTTTATTCAATAATACATCTGTAAATAATTATATTAGTCCTTTTTTTCAAAATCCTGGTTGCATTTTGATTTTTATTTACACATTTTCTGTGGATTGCAATATTTCTCGGAAAATATTTCAATCTATGGGTCTTAACAGCTCATGTTATGGAATTCTAAATCTCTTCACAACTCTCTACTGTTTTCTGTGCATTGAGTAGGTTTTTAGGAATTTCATATCCTGAAATTATTATTTTTTCTTTTTCGAATTGTGTAATATCCCATATTTCTGGAAATAAACGAGTTTTATAAGCTCTGATTAGCATGACTAATTGCCATTAAATACTTTTGAGCATCCTTTTGTCTAGGGGAGAAGGAAAGCCCCGCATGCCTTTGTACATTCCGCTTCTCACGGGAGACCGTGCGTCTGGTCCGCTGATCCAGTGGTTCACCGCGAACCGTCGCTCGGATTCTTGCTCGACCTCCGGCTCGCTTTGGGAGTAAACAGTTTCCTTTCCACGCACAGGAAAGGTCGCAATTTTTGTTCTTTGGCTGCGAGCGACACGGCGGCGACGGCAGCTCCGGCGATCTCCAGGTTTGTCCGCTGCCCGCTCTCCTCACTCTCGAAGCCGCCGCCGCTGCCGCTGCCGCCGCCGCGGCGCCGTGGCCTTCGCCACCGTCTATTTATCTTTCCCATGGATTAGGAAGTACCGTCCCGGGTAGAGATTTCTGTGTTCTTAACTAGACCGTTGTAGGCCGCAAGCTAGATTTAGGACTGAGAGGAAGAAAGAAAAATTCCCCTGTTTGGGTCTGAGTCTGCGAGAGGAAAAAAACTAAGAGGAAGCGAGGAGCCCAACAAAAAGAAAAAAAGAAGAAAAACCAGCTGAGAGGTGTTCTGCGTCAGAACCTCATTCGATTAAATGGGCACATTACCATCGAGTGTCATCCTTTTTTTTTCTTTTTTTTTTTTTAACTGGGATCAACCATATTTAGCGATCTTGGATGAAAGCACTGTTTTTTTCCTTTTTCTTCCTGTAAAACGCATTGTGATCCTCTCCTTCACCTTGTTCTTGTTGATCGCTTATTTCTTCATTTTTTTTTCCTTGGAGTTTTCCAGGTCCCATTAGGCTACAGAAATCTCCACGCCTGCATTATGGGAAGAAAATGTCGTAGGTGCAAGTTAAAAATCGAGAGGATATAAGCAGGTTGGCTCGCAAGAGGAGAAACTAAGAGGAAGGGAGGAGCCCAGCCAAAAAAAAACAGCTGAGATGTGTGATGATCGTTCTAATGCCGGAAATCCAGGTTCAATAATTCCGGATGTAAGGAGGGAGGCCCTTAAATGGCTCATATTATTGAGCGAATAGGCATATTACCGTTGACTGTAACCTCTCTTTTATGAGTTGGGCTCTCAGAATATTTTAGCTGGGATCAATCAATCATATTTAGTCAACTTGGAAGAAAGCACTGTTTTTTTTTTCCTTCTCTTCGTGTAAAAGGAATTGTGATCCTCTCCTTCACCTTGTTCTTGTTGGTCGCTGATTTCTTCCTTTTTTTTCTTTTTTTGTTGGTCTTCTAGGTTCCATTAGGATACAGAAGTCCATTCGGGTTGTCTCCCACCATGAGCACTGAAGAACCGAAGGACCTGCTGAAGAACGTGGACTGGAAGACCTTGGGGAGCACCCCCACAGATCAAGCTCAAGCTCGAGCTGGGGGGCCTGTATTTAAGAAGAGGCTTCCGAAAAGGCTCCGACAGGTCCCCGACTACTATTTCCTCCCACGGATGTCCACCTTCTCCGCAATCGCCATGACCACCCTCGTCTGTGCTGCTGGCGTTGGAGCGGGGATGCTGGTGGAGGTCTGGATAAACAAGAAGATCGAAGGTACATCCGCTCTCGTTGACCACTTTCCACCTTGAGGCTGATCATGTTCGTGCATGCGTTGACCCGGATGACCCACTTTCGGACAGTTTCCACTCTGGTTTTGGGATGGGTAGTGATCTTCAGAGCCTGTTCTTTATATGCCTAGTCAATGGGGATAATATCATTTAACTGTTGTTGAGGTAAGCTCTTCTCTGGTACTTGCAGAGGATGGTGGTGTCATCTGGGAGTTCGACAAGTGAGCGATGGTGCTTCAGCTTTGCCCTGAGGGAGTTGATGGTGTCATCCGTTCTCTCCTGTCTTCTCTCTCTCTCTCTCTCTCTCTCTCCCTCTAACACACCCAACGGAAACCATTATTTGTACGATATTTTTGATCTTAGGAAATTTAGTGTTTATACTGCTGACAAAAATAATTTTTCCAAACAAGAAATTATTCCTATTTAAAAATTACCGGTTAAGGCAACCTTCGAAAGAACATCAACCAGATTTGGTCAACAGATATTTGGCACTTGGGTCCGAAAATACCACTTCGAGTATAATTTATTTTTCAGATTTTCATCACAAATTTTCATGAACAGGACTTTACAAGGAATCTTGTTTTCTTTTAAAATGGTACAAAAATGTCAGCCTCCTAGATATTTCGAGTTGACTAAGTAATTAAGGTCGTCATGTAGCCAATAAAATGATGGCACCAAAATATATACATAGTTGTGATGCTCGGTGTTCTCTGAAACCATGGCCTATATACATACACATGCAGAGTCTCATTTGAGCTACATGGGGTCAAGGGTGAGATCGAATTCAGAGCTCCAAGCTGGTCTGCTTGAAAGAATCTGACCCAAACTTCTTGGGATGGTCTACATCTGGCGCTGACCTTGGAAAGAAGCATCGCCTTTACAGCTCCAAGTTGGTCTTCGAAGAATCTAATCCAAACTTCTTGGGATGTTCTACATCTGACGCTGACTTTGGAAAGAAGCATTGCCTTCAGAGCTCCAAGCTGGTCTTCGAAGAATCTAATCCAGACTCCTTGCGATGTTTGATGTTCTACATCTGGCGCAGACCTTGGAAAGAACCTTCGCCTTCAGAGCTCCAAGCTGGTCTTCTCCAAAGAATCTAATCTAAACTCCTTTGGATGTTCTACATCGGGCGTTGCCCTTGGAAATAACCAGTGCCTTCATCATGTTGGACTGGGCAGCATCGAGCAATGGGTCGGCCGACAAGGCCCTCTTGAAACAGGCGACGGCCTCCTCCCACCGGCCTTCCACCGCATTAACAAGGCCGAGATTGTTATGAGCAGGAGCATAGCCCGGGCACAGCTCCAGTGACTTCCCTAGCATTGTCCTGGCAGCATCCAGTCTCTTCTGCTGCCGGTAGAGATTTCCAAGGTTGGAGAGGATGGTGTGGACTTGCCGGGCCGCAGCCAATGAGAGCGCCCTTTGGTAGACCTTCTCCGCCGAGGATGCATCTCCCGACAGTTGCAATGAGGTGCCTGAAAGAAAGTGGAGTCAACGAGGGTGAAACGCAGTTTCCTATATTGGAATAAGCAATATCAGGGGCAACAGAAATAAAAAGGGGCAACAGAAATCCTAGAACAAGTGGATAAATTTCGACTCACTGTATCATGTTTGGACTTAAAATAAAAAGGGGCAACATAAAAAGTCAACAATGAGAATGGGTTTGCTCGTGTTTTGGATAAGATGAAGAAGAATATTTAGGATCTTACCAAGATTCGTCCACGCGTAGCTACATTCCTTGCACCGTGCAACTGCAGTCTTGAGAAATTTTTGCGAAGCCTTGAATTGGAGAGTACAGAGGCTATGCAAGCCAAGCTGATGCCATTGTACTGCATCATCTGGATCCACCTCAATTGCCTAAAATTGCAGATTATATTGGAAGAAAGATGATATGTCAATGCGGAGGAAACAACGCAAAAACCTTATCTGAAACCAAGGACTTAGTTATGTTCATTAAATACAGAAAAATATGATAAAACAAGAATGTGAAACCATGCAATTGCATAAGAAGTAACCAGGGTATCGACATCTCCACATCACCATCTGGTTTGCCGCATTAAAAAAAGATCATTTTTGCCGTTGTATTCAAAGAGATTGAAAACTAATGATATTACTACATTAAGGCTTTAAGGTTTTCATTGTTCCATTCTAGCCTCACTAGGTTGTATTCCCACAATTCCCTCAAAAGAAAAATAAAAATTCCAGATAAGATATAAATGAAGTCAAACAGGAATACATAGCTTTCACCATGAAAAAAGAATCTAAAAGAGCAATGGTAAGAAAGAAAGACAGAAAAATAATTGAAAGCTGCTGAAAACCTGCTTTAAGGAGCACTGAGCTCTCTCCTTTGACTCCGCCAACTCCTTTTCCAAAGTTTCAAAACCCGCAGAAATCTCATGCTGGGCTCTATGAACCATTGCCAATCCGGCCCAAGCTATTGGAAGGTCAATCACTGCAGGATCTCCCTCCTTTAGTATTGATGCCATCTCATTTGCTGCCCACAACAACTGATCAGCAGGATCTTGGGACCGTTCAACATCTTTGATCCGAAGAAGAGCAACAGCATATCGAGTAGACATGATATTAGGCTCCAGCTTTGCTGCCTGTAAACATTTGGGTAAACACATCAACCTGTCGTCAAACCAAAATGGTCCCGTTACTGGAATTGTGTTATAAAAATGAGAGATGACTGAACCACATTAAATTATTCAATCTTTGGTAATGCAAACATTGCTCACATTTTTAAGCTACACTACGATTTTTAAAATTTAATTCAAATACAAAAGTGCGTAATCTTGGAATCATCATATCTCAGAGTAAATAGATAGAAAATTGACCAAAAAACTTAACTAAATGAAGATACTGTAAGTTTTGCAGTTTGACCTGAAGTAGACTACGTTACGAAGATGGTATTAAAATGGGAAGGCTACAACAGTAAATCATAATTGAGGCCAATGGAAACAGACACATCAATAACATAGAAGCATATATGAAACGTCTGAAACATTTTACAACCATACCCTTCCATTAAGAAATTTAAATCTTCTTAGCGGGTAATCCAAAGATTTTAGCGCTAATGGTTATTTTTACCACTAGCAAGATATGCCAGTAAGCGTCATATACCCGCACTAAGCAAGACCAGCAGAAACAGAATAGTGCTTGAAGAATATAAAACCACAGATCATAGTGGCTTGGTTGTGTCTTTAAAGTGGACTGATCCACCAAATAGCACAAAACTGTGAAGAGAGTTATCGTCGAATTAGTAGTTTATGTTAAAAAACCTCAGATTGTATGACTGGGCCAATGACTGTCATCATCAAGCCAAACTCTTGAAAAGAGAATCATACTCGCGTGAGTTACACCAAGTTACGGTTGAATAGCGAAACTAAGTGATAGAAGTGTATTTTCATCGCATACTATGATAACTCCTTCCTAAGGTAAAGAATGCAACAGTTCCTGAATTGTGAAAAAAATTAATATGCCTGAAAAAGAGACGGGATCAAGTCCTAAACGTTCATGCTTAAGTGGCAATGACTAGGTACATGCACACTTATATTTTCAATCCAGTAAGCAAATGCCTCAAAGAGTGTATAATACCGACAGATTTACAAAACACAAGTCCAAGACAAAAGATATTTCGATAAATGTCTAGACAAAGGATGCTCAAAAGTTGGTCTGGATGAATTCAAAGCAGGGGATATCAATCAGCCAAGTTCTGCTTATAAGAGATTCTAAACTTGTCTACTTTGAGAAATCTGGGATGTTACACAAGCCAAAAAACAATGAAAGTGATTACAGGATATGAAATTCCTAAGATCTACGCGGTGCACAATTAGAAAATCTGCATTCAAGAGAGTTGTCAAGAGCACTAGAATTTCATTATAGTGATCTTGACATGGGTCAAGTTTAAGACGCACAAGATTGAAATATTTTTGGAGAAGCATCTCAATCCATAGAAAAACAACCTAAATGCAACCAAGATTTTTAAAAAGGGACGAGTTCTAAATCACGACAACAAAACCACAAAATTTAAGATGGAATCCTGAACGAGGGAAGCTCGACTCAAAAGGTTTTACACTAGTTACCTGCCTCCTTTCCTACTTACAATTATTACATAGGTATTATTCAGTAAAATGTGTCAAATGTCTAAAGATCAGGGTTGAGAGAGCTTCAGTCATAGACTTGAGCGTTACAGGTCACTCACCTAAAAATAAATGAGACAGACGGACCTTTTAACGAGGACAATGACGTTTGAAGCTTTTCCCTTAAACTAAAAGTCAAAGTGCTTGAACTAAAATCTCATAAATAAAATGTTAACACCAGTAGAAAAGGAGAAAAATACAACACCTGCTCCAAGCACCTTCTTGCATTTTTGTGGTCACCTAGAACATAATAAGCATTAGAGAGATTCACCCAAATTGTTCCCACTTTGGAATCACCCTTTGTGGCTTCTAGTAAACACTCCTTTGCAACGTTTGCTGCTTCAATTTGTTCAGGGAATGCTCCTTCATCCGCACTAGCACCAGGACCTAAAAAATGAAGAAATAAACAGAAAGATCACTTTGTGATCTGAAAAAGATTGCGCCCATTCTGACGCATACAAATTTGATCAGCAAAAAAGATATCCCGCTTGAAGACAAGTGGCTATTTTATTTTGAATGTTCATGGTGAGATGGTTTTTTCTAGACAACAGAAAAAGGCAGTGGCCATACATAGACTAGTAGGAAATAAGCGCATCTAACTTACTCCAAGTCCATGTCACAATCTCATTTCCTAGTTTGAGATAACGGTGACATCTACATTCATTATTCCCCTTCCATTGATAAGAAAAATCTATCATTCTTCCACATCCCTCACTGCTTCCCGTGGCAAGGAAGTAAAATGAAATACCTGACTGCTTCGACAATGACACTACAAAGGTGGAAGGAATTATGTTCTCACATGTTCCCCCTGACAGCTACCTGATGCTGATTCCGATTTGTATGAATAATGTAGGCCAAAAAATTCATCTTCCCCACTCTGACAACCAATGAAGACACTATGATGGAACCCACAAAACATCATCTACCAATGAGATCTATTAGAGCCTCCAAATGCTCACTTTGTGCATCATCAGCTGAAAGAAAGCCCAAATCAGCGACTCAAATATCTGCCTGACCACCATACAACTTTCCCCCGCAAACATTCTATTTTTCTCAAGTTCATTCGATTCCATTATCCCCTCCCTCCCTTCCAATGATTGCAAAGAAACGAGGTAACCAGTTCTCAGGATGACTCATCGATTAGCCCACATGTCAAAAACTTTTCTGACTCGAGATTCGCTACGATGTTCAAAGAGCCAGGAATCTAGCATGTGCACCAAAGTGTCCAAGGCTGATTTTGACTTTGAATGAAGTTGATTCAGTACTGAATCGGTTCAACACTCATGAGGCCCATACTGACTCAACCAAGCCATTCTGATCAGATTTGGATCAACATAGCCAAAATTAATAAAAGCAAAAAAAAACGATAAATTTGCGAGTAAGAACTTATGTGACAGAACCAAGCTTAGCTGGCATTGTCGGACTCTAGTAAAGCTGGTGCCAATTCGTATCAACAAAAGGGAGTACCTGAAATTATTGATCCATATTTACACAGAAGCATAGCTGCATAGTTGACCAGTGCAGCAGGATGGTTCTGGTCTTTGAGGACAAGTTCTTGGAAACACTTAGCTGAAAGCTCCAAATTGCCACTGTAAAAGAAACAAAAACAGGTTAAACGGCCAGAAAATCATGATAAAAAGTCATAATCAGGGAGCTGGTTGAGTAATCCCTTTCTGAAAAATATTACTAACAGTGTTTTAAGCAGGAATGTGAACCTGAATTTTTGAGGTAGGAGTAACATCCAGAAACAGGAAAATTAAGTTTCAGCAGGGAGAACAGAATGAGCACTATTAGCGGAAATAAATCAAACAGAAATGCAAGTTACCGTTTCAGTTACCATACAGTAAAAAAGATGAAAAGAAAACTACAATTCCACTAATAACCTAAAAAATGAAGGAAGCCTAAAATGAAATAGTTTGTTTAATGTGCGTCAAAAAAGGTCAACGTTCTGATGATATTAATATGATGAAAGCTATTAAAACACATTTGACACACATTTTGAGAACGAGGATCAAGGCAAAGGCAGTAATCAAATCGTAGTCGCTCGACCTTCATCCTAGAACAAAAACATACAGGGGTGTTCCAAACATGAACATTTGAATCTTTTGGAAGACTGAATCGCTGAGAACTTTTATTTGAAACCCCAATTTTCAAAGAAAATGACATTCCACCATCACTCTTACAGAAGGAAAATTAATTAACTAAAAGTACAAACCATAGTGGGAAACTAAAATAGAAAATATACAGTTTTTAAATCCTGAGATGACTATAATTCCATACCTTTGAAGGTAGGCGATGCCAAGATTGGCAAGGGCATCCAAGTTGTCAGGACAAAATGCCAACAGAGATGACAAAATTGAAATAGCACTCTGAAGAAAAAGAGAGTACATGGTAAGACGAATTTCTTATCTCACCAAGAAATCAAAAATGAGCTGCTTGATGAAAAAAATCTTTTCGTACCTGTAAGCGGCCTGTTCTAAGAAGTATGAGACCAAGTGTACTCCAAACACCACCATGCCTGGTATCAATTTGCATGGATTCTTTTAGCCTTATATGAACATCTTCTAGTTCTTCTGCTTCAAGTTCTTTATCAGAACCATCACCACTACTAGCTTGCAGAACACACTGAAGGGACAGTAAAGCATACATAAATATCCTCCACATTTTGAAGTAGAAAGATAAAAAGAAGCAGACGAGATTCTTTGTCGTAAAAATCCAAAATCACCTGGGCGTGGTGTATTTGCACTAAGGAGAGCAAGTCTGGACGACGATTTTCCTCCTCACATCCGAGTAATATCTCAGATGCTTTCTCTAATGCTATTACTGCCTGGTACATGTTACAAGGAAAAACAATCCATTGGGCAAAATTTATGAAGGTGGCGCCATCAATAGCAAACCTATGAATGAATAGTATTACTTTGGATAGGAATATTTATTTATAATATCCAGTTACCTTTTGTGGTTGACTCAATCTCTGATACATCAGGCCAAGTAGGAAATGACAATGAGCATTTTTGGGCATCTTCCTTGCAACATGTATGAGACCCTGTTGATAATCATCATGAGATCTAAAACTTAGATTTTTGAAGTTATTGCATAAAAATGCATCGGATTTTAGGCACATTAAACTTTCATTTGCATTTCAAAAAAAGTGGGAAGAATAAAGTTGCTAGTATACATGACATCTCCTACGTTTCTTCAACTGGAGAATGATGAACAACCAAACCCAACCCTGTTTGAGCTGTGACAGTGGAATTTGAATGCAAACTAGAGGGGAATTCAGTCGAAACTCGAACTAGGATTACTTTAATATAAAGCAAGCATGCAACCTCTTTAATATAAAGGAAACATGATTGAGGGTCTCGTAAATGCTAAAGTTCAAACAAGCTATTCAACTTTCAAAAGGACATTAAGAATGAATGCAGTTTACGCACAATAACTCTATAAAATACCCAAAATCCTTCAGGAAGATTAATCTGGCATGAATGATGGTTGTTCCCGTAAAGAGTATTATGGGCTACGGAACAAAGGGCTGTAAGTCATGTAAAGCATTGAGAGAACTCAAGAAAAAACTATGTCATTTAAAACCCTGGCATATTTCGGACGCTTGAAGGCCCCGCTGACCCGAAGTGATTTAGAAAGATTCTTCTTTATCGATGGTGATCGGTCATGGTATCCATAGCGTTGTATATTTTTCGGCCAAATCCGGATTTCGTTTTGCTTCTCCCGGTCGTCGAGCCTAATTGTGGCAACTTAGTCAAAAAATATGTACAGATCCATGCATTTATGCATCGCACAGAAACAACGTTCATAAAGAAAATAACCATTTTCCACTTGCCAGTGCCTTGGACTGGAAAAGGAGACCTTATAGCAAACATGGCGAGAAGGATGTTAGATAAGCATCCAAAAGGTACCGAAAATAAATAATGTTTGATAGTTCTGTAAGTACTTTGTCGAACAAATCAAAATGGGGCAATCAAAAAAATTGTCAATGGCAAGCTCAAAGGGGAAGAACTAGCATTCAGTGATAACGAATTGGCAGTCCCTTGGAGGAGCAAAATACCAGCTAACGAACAGAACTACACACAAGAACTCTCCACAAAGTGAGCCAAACTGGATTGAAATCATAAAAAAAACCCTCACAGCTTTTAGACTGCTGACTTTTTCTTCACGAGAAACCGAAATGCCTTGACACTGTTGATCAGCCTCTGCATCAATTCCAAATTCAAAAGGAGACTCATAATTGCATCTTGAAAAAGCAACTGCAGAACATACACTCATACCCTCTATTTCCATGACATCAGCATCTTTAACTGTTGAGATCGTTTTCACTTTTTTGACTTCCTCATTGTTCCTGCATATACTTCTGTCACGTTAAGTACTTTTAAAATGATTTTACCAGAATGATATAAATTGAAAAGTCATCAGAAAGCAGGTTACCGTGAAATTATGCTCAAGAAAAGACAAAAGGAACAAACCCTTACAAGAAAAATAAGGTAGAACCAAAAAATTATAGACAAACATTACCCTGATTGAAAAGGAGCGACAATTTATATAGCTATCATTTAACGATTATACACAATTCATTTTAGAGTGCAAATACAAAACCCTGTGCATTAGTCACAGCATTTAAGCAAGTTTTGTGAATAACAAGAGATGAACGATATGAATCTTTATGACAAAGAAATCATTCGAGTTTTTACACCCTAACATCATATTATTTTTAGAAATCTTAGTCCAGGAGACTGAATGAACACAAGTTATTTCCCATGCCTCAGTTTTACTTTATGTAATGTGTAGATTAGATTGCCAGTCGCAAGTGTTGCAAAGGATGAACTTTCATTGCAGATGGACTGGTCGGATTCAGTTTTGCACCACTTCTGGTATATTTTTGATTAATTATAAACCTTGCACTTACTACAATTGAAGGAGAAGACTTTGACAAGTTGACACTATCAATCCTACCTTGCTTATTTTAGTCAGGAATTTAGTTTTAAAAAAATATGGCAAATAGCAGTACAACAATGTTAGATTAGTGGATCCCTCTCATCCCTACAATAAGCACATTTTACTAAATTATATTATTTCATATTTTTTCAATGGATACACAGTTGGGGTCATGAAATTGATAATAAAACTAAATAAAAAGTTTGAACATTCATCAAAATGAGGACAGGATGAATGGTCTGCTCGTTGGGTATGATATGAGAAAGTCCAACAATTATTGTCGGAAGTCACCTCTCAAAATAAGTATTGAATGTGAGTCCTCTCCTGGTTACAAATCCTGGAAACAGATTCATCAACCTTTCATACTTCAACAGATTCATAATCTTATTTCTTGTTTGTCTAATTGCAGGTAACGTCATTACTTCCCTTGATTGTTCATCCCCCAGATCAAGAAAGAGAATAATCTTTGATTCAAGAGGGCTGGAAGGGTTAGCTCACTCTTAATCATCACAGACTCAAGTTTGGAGATCTTGCATAGTCTGGCTTTTAGCACATTAGACATATACTTGTTATCTTGATCTCTTGCATATTGAACAAGTGTGGCACAATCCACTTTCAAACTAACCAATGACCGGTGGAAAAAATATCAATAAGAATAGGGGTCACTAAAGCGTTAGAAATGAAGCCAGCATCAAGGGGAAGGAAACTTCTTCAAATTAGTGTCGTGAACCAGATAGAACAGATCCCTGCAGAGTGAACAGTTTTACTGCTCTCATGTCCAAGTCATGAACTCTGGCATTTGGTGTACTCATGCAGATCCAATCACTTTAAAGTGAGCACAACAAAGGCAGGACATAAAAGATTTTTGGAATTTCTTCGTCCTCAATGTCCTCCATCCTTCTCTTTCTCCTTTTCAAAGGGAAAAAGTAAGATTGTACCCAATTATGATTTTGATTGAGACAAATCATATGTTGAATGAGCAAGAAGATAACCCCTTCCTCAATGTTAAAAAGAGAGAACATCAATGGTCACTGTGTAAATTAGTTGTCAACACTCAAAAGTGCAGTTTGTCAATTTTTTACAGGCACCTGACACAACTTGAATAAAGGTCATATATCTGATTTTTCAATATCTTCATTTACTGGGAGATGTTTACTTGATTTTCTGCTCAAAACATGCATATTGAATGATTTACAGACATTGAATAGGTATGATCATAGAGCCAATCAAGAAGCCATTCAATTAATTATCCAATGGAAAGAAATTCCAAAGATGACACCTCTGGGAAAGATGTTGAAGTCATCATCAGAGACTCATCATGATCTGACAAATCCTTAGAAGTAGGCAGTTATATTGAACCCAGATTTGCATAACTCATTAAGTCAGGGTTCATGTTTACTCAGGTACATACAGCCACTTTAAAATGAGCATCAACAGCATAAAGCAAGGTAGAAAATATTTGGAATATCTCCTTGAACGTCCAACCTCCCCCCCCCCTTCTCTTCTTCTCTGTATCTTGAACCTACCTTTAATCCATGCGCTCTGTTTCTTTGATGCTCCGTCTTGTGGAACCCCTCTTCTCAGGTTTGCATTATTCTGAGAACACTCTCAATCTATCATCTCGATTCTGGTTGTTTTTTCCGTAATTGCTTCTTGTAAAGTGATTTTCTTCTCAAAATTTTCTCGTCTAAATTAATCATTGCAGCAATGCTCAGATCGAGTCATTTCTGGAGCACGAGAATCTGAAAACTAAGGCCATAATGCGGAAAACCCTCAGTCGATACTTAACCTAAGCACGCCGGCGCTGGAGGAGAAGGGGTTGCTCTGCAGTAGTTTTTTCTCCTTGCGGATGGGATCTAATTATAAATAAAATGCCGCAGGAGAATGACATGAAGCTACAGATGCAGTTGACTACGGATGAAGTACAGATGAAATCGAAGGGATGAACTTCCTGATGTTTGGCTACCTAGGTCACGGATGATCCGCAAAGACGAGAGTTTTATCCGCGATACTGCACATCCACCATGGCAGCTGGTAAACCCACGAGAATGAATGATAGATTCTACCAGCGGATATGGTTTCAATTGAGCATATCGCTGCGACCCAAAAAAAATGCAGATTAATCGCAGATGACATTAGGGTTGAATTACGCGGTTCCATTTCGTGGCGTTTACAGCATGTGTTCGTGTGTGTCTGTGTCGGTGTGTGACAGAGAGAGAGCGAAATGGAGGTGAGGGAAGGATATAGATAGAGGGAAAGAGAGATGGAATGAGAGAAACGGAAGAATGGAGAGAGAGATAGAGAGAGAGGAGAGGAAGGGGAAGGGGAAGGAAACGAAGACAACCTGATCGAGGAACCGGGGAGGAGGGAGCAGTCTTCGCCGTCGCTGTCCGGCGGGTCGACGTTAAGGTCTGCGATGACGGGCAGCTTCCTCGGGACGGGGAGGTCCTCTCTAGCGAGCGACTTCCCCGCCATGGCATGCTCTCTCTTTGGTTTCTGCGCCATTACCTTCGTCTCTCTCTCTTTCTCTCTCTCCCCCTCAAAGGTCCTCGCCGTCCCCCAGCCCGAGTGCGCTGTAATGACAAGGCAATCCCGGTTCGGCTTCGGTATTCCAAAAACCCAACTCCCTCCCTCTCTCCCGCTCTCACTTCCTCTCCTGAAGCAGATGGAACCTTGGGAACCGTTATCGCGGAGAATACGACTCATTAAGTTAGTCTACACCCGCACTGCGATGAGAAAAGGTCTAAGCAGAAAGTCAAAGCGGACTTGAGCAAAGCAGGAACTTTTCAGGGAGCAATTTACATCTGGGTAGGTTATCTCTCGGAAGAAGGCTAATCTCATGTAAAATATGCACTGAGCACTGATTAATTTCCCTCAAACTGCCTATAAACTTTTTAAAGTGATTTTTTTTGTTTATTCCATGAAATGCATCGACGAACAGCTTACCCTCCTTCTACTCACCTAGTTTGCTGTTGATCACCCCCTTTGACCAATTCACATCCATTTTAGTTGAACAAACATATCATAAAAATGTGGGTCAACTATAATCTAAAGCGTCCTATATGTGAATAGGGAGTGGACACTCCCTTCCCACGTTTATGGGCCCCCAGCAAGTCAACGCGGACTTTAGCAAAGCACAAGCTTTTCCGGGAATAATTTACATCTGGGTAGGTTATCTCTCGGAAGAAAGGATCATCTCATGTAAAATATGTACTGAACACCGATTAATTTCACTCAAACTGCCTACAAAAAAATTGTGCTTTTTTAAATTTATCCCATGAAATACATTGATGAACATTTACTATCCTACTCACCTAGATCACCCGTTGACCAACTGCTTTGACCAGTTCAAATCCATTTTAGTTGAACAAATATATCAAAAAATGTTGTCAACTATAGTCCAATGCGTACCAATTTCAGCTGTTTCAATTTAATCCGGTGCTTATTGTGTCTAAGAGACTCTTTCGCAGGTCAAGTAGACCCATCCATGGTTACCTTCACAATAACAGATTGAGTTCAATCTCTTGAGCCAGCAAACAGTTTACCATCCTTCTACTCACCTAGGTTGCCCATTGACCAACCGCTTTGACCAACTCACATCCATTTTAGTTGAACAAATATATAATTAAAATGCGGGCCAACTAGAGTCTGAAGCGTATCAATTTCAGCTGTTACAATTTAATATGGTGCTTATTTTTCTGAGAGACACTTTCGCAGGTCATAAACCCATCCATGGTTACCTTCACAAGAACTGATTGTGTTCAATCTCATGAGCTAGCAAACAGTTTACCATCCTTGTACTCACCTAGGTCACCCGTTGACCGACCGCTTTGACCTGTTCACATCCATTTTAGTTGAGCAAATATATTATAAAAAAGTGGGTCAACTATATTATAATGCGTACCAATTTCAGCTGTTGCAATTTAATCCGGTGCTTATTGTGTCTGAGAGACTCTTTCGCAGGTCAATTAGACCCATCCATGGTTACCTTCGCAAGAGCAGAATGTGTATAACGTCATGAGCTAGCGGAGGGTTACTATCTTGCTCTACGGAGAAGACTCAGATTTTGGCGGCTTCTATCACAAACTCGCTCTCATCAGCTAAGGAAATTGATAGACATACTGTGCATTTATTTAGTGGGTAGCCTCGATTACCTACTATAGCAGAGTATTGTTTCGCTGTTCACAATAATTTCGGATTTCTCGTCTTCTCGTTTCTGCTCTGCCTTGTGAACAACGATAATTGTGAAGAAAGAAGGCTAGGAAAGTAAGCATGGTTTTATTTCGGCGTCAACCCATGTACCAAGAGAACAGCAGATGGAGGAATGGGTCACCGGCGGCGGCGGCGCCGCCGGTGTGCCCATCTCCTCCTGACACAGTGGGGGTTCTCCCCCTACATGGGAGGGAGAGTCCACCCCGGGGGACCGTCCCGGAACTTGCGGGGGGCTCTGCAGTACTGGCTGCATACGTCCCTGCATGTATCCGGTGTGCCAATAACTGGCTTCTTTATGCACCACGCGTAGCACAGCTTCTCGCAGCGGTTGACGTTCACCTTCTCTCCCACGGCATGCAGCGGCGTGGCGGCGACGACCAGGAGCAGCGCCACCAGTAGCAGCGGCGTCTTCGCCGCCGCGTTTCTCCTGGCCATCGTCGTCTTGTTCGTTGCGCTTCCTACGGAAGGTTGGACTTGGAAGAGTAGAAGTGGGTTGAGGGGGAAATGAGATGGGAAGGGGGAGGGGCGGGCGAGTAGTATTTATTGGTGGTGTGGCCGCATGCAAAGGGAAAGCATTATCCGCTGCTCTTCTCCAGCTACAGGCAGCTTCCTCTGCGTTGGTCTCCATCTTGCATAAAGGTGGTTGATGGGGGTGATGGAGGGATATCAGACGATGCCGTGAGAACAGCTGCCGAAACGAACATATTACTAGGAAAGGAGAGCAACTGCAGAAGATAAGCCATCATCATGCCTAGAGAGACCCCCGATCTTTATTTACCGAGATAAGACATCACCCCTCATAGGTGGATCCTAGGTTATCCCCATTTATTGAGCAAACGACCACAGCCTATCAATGCCCTTGAGCTCAAAGGATTCCCAACTACGGAAGGGTAGTTTCTGAATGTTGATGCCAAACATTTATCATCCAATTATGAAGAAAATTAAAAACACAGTGGACAGTTCCAGAAATCCGTAGAACAGTTTTTCATTGTAAATAGATCATGGATAAACTTTCCAAAGTTTTTAAGAGCATAATAATTGTTCATAGAAAAAAATATTTAATAAAATTATTTCAGAGAAATATGTTGAAACGATTCAAGGCAGATACTTTATCTTAAACAGCGGTCACTATTTAGAGCATCTGGATCGTGCTGAGGAATACCCTCTACCGGTTGTGGTATCTATGCACATTGACAGATGATATCCTGTAAGACCTAATGTACTGGTTGTGGTATCTTCTCCTACAAAACATTAGATGCATCTCCTTGGTTTTAATGGTTGTTGTGACTACCGAGGATATCCATGACTCAACATTACTCTAGCTGACGCACATAGAAAATCCTACTATGATACCCCTTGATGAAACCTATTCTCTAGGTATAAGGAATGAGAAAGGAAATAGGATGGAGAAGAGAGATAGGGCTAGGGAAGTAGCGGCACCTCTACAGGGCTAAACATGTTGATAGAGTGAGTATAAAGGAATTAACGGTGTGGGCTGAAAGAGAAGAGATTGATGCATGAGAAAGTGTGAATGATAATAAAAGAATCAAATCATTTTGTTGAAAATTTTATCAAGAAAGGATCATACCATGACCCATCTAAACACTCTAATTTAGTTAGTGTATAGGCTTCATATGTTCAATGATGAAGTAAGAAAACTTTGTTGGCTCATCACTTTGAACCAGGGTATGGAGTTGGAAGATCTATTTCTCATTGGCTCTATGAAAACTTCCACTCTTATGAACAAGGATATGAATAATAGTCAGGTGAAGTACACAAATGTGAATGGGTAGATGTAATGTTTGGATAGAATCGAGAGTCAAGTGCAAAGCCCTATAATTCTGATGAAATAAATCTTTTGGTGAAAGGATGTAGGAAGAATTGCACCAAGTTTGGAATTGGAAGAATCTTGGCAATATGTTGTTTGTATTTTTAAATAATTTTCCCCTTCATGAAAGATAAAAAGTTGATGGATGTGAACAACAGGTTGCTGCACAAGTGTTGTTAGTGGGGACACAATCATGCTCTCAAAGGCCCCTCACCATGTCCATCATTTATCTTCAATTAAGTAGGGTTTTTGTGTTATTTTTTGTCCATCACATTTTGTATTGGTTAGAATTATCCTGGTATGACATTTCAATACTATTTAAGGACTTTTAATAATGAAAATAAGAAAAAAAAATCTTTTTCATGCATGAGCTATCTACTTTGGAAGAGAGCTTGGGTGGGAGGCCTCAATCTCCTCCTCTTCTTCTTCTTCTATCTCGTCCACCCTTATCTCTATCTGATCATCCATCCTCTTGCCAATTTTCCCCATCTACTCATTCATTTGTCCTGCTTGGGAGTCTCAATGGCAAGGGGCCCCCAATCGTCTTCTCCATCATCTCTCCTACCCTACTTACGCACATACAGCCAACAACTGGCCATGTCCAGTTGTGCCCGACCACACCCATGTTAGTGTAGACCACAACGTCCACCCTTACTCCTGCACCAATTCCTATATGCCTGTGCATGCTAGCATTATCGCCATGTGCTTGCCCTTTCTACCCATTAGTTTGTACCAAGTTACGCACAAATATTTCACTAGCATAGCTACATGGGACGACATAGTTTAAAATGACTAAATGTGTCTGTAAGAACTAATGTAATACAGTACATCTAAAGCTATGGTCTGAAGGTTATCCTTTGATCAAAGATGATCCATCAGAAATATAGTAACCACAATAAATTAGATAAATGTATCAGACCATTGAAAACACAAATAAAATACTTAGTATAATTGAGATAATCTGTATTGACCTTTATTTTTTGACAGTGCTGCTCAATAGATAGAGATAGAGAAAGGATGCAAAGATAGTTTCATAAAATAAGCACATGGATTTTATAGTTGTTTAAATAGCAGCCGGTGCCTATGATCCCAGGAGAATGAAGCTCATGGATCTTGCGTTTTGATAGTTATGAGCAGTATAAACTGCCCTAGTTTATACCAAACTAGTAACCAACTTACTTACAAGCAATCAATCATCAACTCGGCCGCCTTGTCTCTAACCCACTATGTTCATCATTGCACCATTACAACATAAGTCTTATGGCTCCAACCCACAAGAAACTACTCAGAGTGGTGTGAAACCTTGATTGCAAATTTCACTTTTTAGGTCAACTCACAATGCAAACATTCGTAGGGTATATAATTATTAGCATTATCGCAATACAAAATTGCTAATATAATGATTCATTATGATTTATTATCTTTCATTAACCATTGTCTTGTAAATCAAGCTGAAGATTTTCATTGGTATTTTGTGCTTGGATCTTTTCATTGAAACATAGGCATCTTTAGAACTTTAGAAATTAATGAGGGTCTAATTGTGTCGAGAAAAAACTGATCTTCACATAAAAATGATGCTCTTAATAGGTATACGATTGGTTTCTCACTAGTTGACTTTCAAAAGGTATATTAGTAAATTTAGGTTTTCTCTCTTTTTCAGAATGGGACAGTCTAATTCATAAGAGTTCAATGCAAAAGAGAAACTTTCTTCACTAGTAGCTAAAAATGGCCAGTAATATGATGATGACATGCCACATCATGTGCCTAAAAAATATATTAAAAAATATAAATTAATCATTTTATTTCAATATCAAATTTATTGATATGGCTGGTGCATGGTATTTTCTTCAAAATATCTTTCCAATGAGTATATGCATGCTTATGTATGTTATAGGATTGTAGGTCTTAAAGTATTTTAGAGATTCAAGTGTCAATTGATACTTTAAGAAAATAATGAGTTTTAAATACAATGACTTTTAATAGCTGTACTGATAGCCTCATATGTCAATTGATATCATAGTACATCATTTTAGCATAAATAATACAATTTGAAAGGTTAAATAATGTATCAATGTCACAAAAAAATATTTTATCAACAACAATAATAATGTATATGTATGACAATGACACAATATATAAACATTACACACAATATATTGCAATCATAGTTAAAATCGTCTATGCCTTACCATAACATAGTATACAAAGATCATTAATCCAACATACCATGAATCCAAAAAACATCCTTCATCTATTGTCATAACACAGATTTCTAAAGACATTAAACTATTACACTATCGTATTAGCAAACTGCTATGATTTGTTATCAACAAAACCAAAAATCTAATGCCAATAAATGACATATTCTCCTTTCAACTAGGTATATGTGTCTTGTAATTCCTGGATTAGATTACTTGGCTCATATATGTCTTAATTTGATATTGTTGTGGGTCTAGAGATATTTGAGATCTCTTAATATTCAAATACTTCCCTTTTGGAAGATTACTACCTTCAATACCCTCTCAAAATCCTAGTATGGTAGTAGCTTCTTAACAGCCACATGGTCCTACATGATTCATATTCAGGAATTAAATTTTCAATAATTCAATATTCAGGTGATATTTGATCTTCATATATAATTTTTAATTAAATTTAGTTACTAATCATAATTAGAAGAATTTATTTTTGTGTGACTCAATTTGATATTATCTTTTTTATCACATCCTAGAATAGTTTGATTTGGGTTAGGTAAATAGTTAGACAATTAATTAACATGTGTTTGCATCCAAGCCTAGAGAAACTCTTAGGAAGCTTAAAGCAAATTGTGTCAACATCTGTGTCAAATTTTTCTTAGGAAGTATTTGGGTTGATGGAATAAGATTTGAGTTTACTTGAAGAAAGACTTGGTACAACAATGAGAAGAGTTAAAGCTTTCGTATAACTGAGTCTGTAAAAAGAGATTGCATATCAGATTATAAATGTCAACATATTAGAGGGAGGCAAAGTTAACATCATAGAGAATCCTTAAATTGATGAAGTTTGAATGAAGTGCTTGTGAAGATGAAACTTTTAGTAAAGATAGGCAAGTTGATGGAGAAACATTTTGAAATCTTTAGAAATTTCAACAATGATGAGACATATTGGCATAGTTTTCACATGGTGGTCTTGGAAAATTATCACATAGTGGCTTAGAAAGTGACTTTCTACTTATTGAAATGACAACCTCTATTTGAGTCAACTCACATCAATAGACTTGAGATGCTTGAGTCAACTTCTACCTAGGAGACATCATACCATCAATAAATCAATTAAAAATAACTTTCATGAAGATTAGTTTTGAATATTTATACAATTAAAAATTTCACATGATTTTCATAGATTTCCAATTTCATTCTTCTAAAATTAAACTTTTCTTCTAGAAGGGACTTAGTAAAAACGTTAGTTAACTTATTTTAGTATTAATAAAGTTAATTTTTTTATTTATTCAGGTGATATTAGATAAAATGATGTTCTATTGATCTATGATTGATTCTAGAATGAATGATAAGTACTTTTTTGGATTAAATGTACAAGTATTCTCATAAAATCAACGTCCTAAAAATCTAATTTCATAATCTTTTAACTATAAAATAATCCATAAGATTTATGCACAACAAAATCAAGTGTCTATTCACCTTCAGCCATCAGCATGGGTAACAAATTAATATAAAAATATCGATGTCTTTGGTGAGAGAGAGTTGCATGCACACATGTGTTGACACATCTAATGATAAAGACTTACATGGACAATTAGCTAGACAAAATAAAAGCTGAAAACATTTAGACCCAATTAACCCCTCTTGGAGTTTCACCTAGCCCTATAGTTCCAACATTTTAGTCCTAAATTTATGCCATAATATAAGCATGTCCATACTTATTAAAATGTGATATTTATATTAAACTATAATTTTTATAAAAATTAAAAAATATAAAATTATATTTCACACATTTATGTGATAAAAAATGGTCAAATTTCCAACTATTAAACGTTGTTGTTAATGACTATTCAAGGCCCCAAATCTCCTCCTATAAAATGTCTCTATATCAAAGGTGAAGGAAAGGAACAGTTACAACGTCCACGTGCATCCCTTCAGCTATTAGCACGAACCTACAAGAAAATTGAGTGTCCAAAAAGAGAGGAAAGCTAGTTGATTCTCAAGACACTTGTAACTAGAGCTACCCAACCTATCAAATGAAGGTTTCAGCTAGCTGAACAAAAAAAAATGCATGTTAGAATTACATCAATACACACACCCCCCCCCCCTATATATAGAGTGAGAGAGAGAAGAGAGAGAGAGAGAGAGAGAGAGAACTAAATCGGGAAAGTCTCCTACCACTGATTCATTGGCCTCCACTTTGTGGAGTGGGTTTGCTTGTACCTATCTTAGGGAGAGAGGGTATGCCTACTTGGTCCCCCATTCACAAGCTAGTCCAGCCCTTTTTCTACATAGAACCCCTTACAATCAAGAGATTAAATCACTAAAAAGAATCATTTAACCTTTTTGAAGGAATTAAATTATTTTTATTGATTCATGAGATTTTTATAATTAAACTATTCTTTGGAAACCAATTTTAAAATAAATAAATTCTTGTTTTTCTATTCTTCCATTTTCCCTGAGTTTCTTCCACATAGCCCTTAAAAGTCAGCAGGGTAAAACTAGATAAATCATCAGGTTCCCAGCGGCCTATTTTAACTGCTCTTGGAGATACTACAGTCAGCAATGGTTCAATTTACCAAAAGTAGAAAGATGCCCCCCCCCCCCCCCCCGCCCCCTCCCCACGTCTTGCCACGTCTTAGCGCGCTGAACGGCCCCCCCAAGGTCTTGGGAAGACTCTGTCCGAAGGAGTATGAGTCCGTAGGGGGGATGTATGCTCTTTAGTTTGACGTGTTCTGCTGTGAATGGCTGATTTTTCAACCTCGTACGTGGTTACTCATACTTTGAGTGGATTGGTTCGAGGGCACGGCTCGTGATGACGTGTAAACTAGGAAGAAGAAATCCGTCCCCCTATATAACACTGTTTTCCTGTTCCAGCAGAAGGCCATGGTGAGGCGAGTTGAGGATCGAGGAATAGAGAGAGAGAGAGAGAATCGTAGGACAAAGGGATCAGGAGGGGGGCAGCGAGGAGGTTCCCCGCAGCCAGCCCCGCCTCGGTCGATCCCCAGGGTTCAAGTCCTGCGTTCCGTTTTGGCAACCCTCACCGTGGTCGTCGGCTTAGTTTGGGCGAGAAGATCAGTTACAGTTCTATTTTGCGGCTGGAGGAAGTTTCAATACGATTTCTTCGCCGGAGGCTTGCTTCCCCTGTGGTAGATTTGCGTTTTTGTGCATTGGAAGGCTGCTGCTTGGGGAGTAGTTAACGGAGTGAACATCAGTGGCGATGGCGTTGAAGAACGAGGGCTTCCTGACAGACGAGCAGAGGGAGGTGCTAAAGATCGCAGTACAGAGCGCGGAGGGGCTGTCGTCGTCGCCCAAATCACCTTCGTCCATGCTCAATGACCACAACTTCAAAGCGCCGACTGCGGGAGTGAGAGTGCCTACTGGGGGAAACGCTATTCGTCATATGCGTCGGTCGCACTCGGGAAAACTAGTTCGAGTGAAAAAGGGTTTGTAGTCTTGGGCTGTTTGACCTCAGTTATTCGTTACTTTTATAGGTGTATCCATCATCACAATGTTTGTCTCATTTTGATTGGACAATTTTTCAAGGCAGCATAGAATCTCATGTTTAACCGGTTGCTCTTAATGGATTTTACCGTGTGAGGTTTTTCTGCTGTCGGTTCCATGTCGTGTCGCATCCTTGCGTAGTCTTGCCTGCTTTGTTCTGCTTCACTAAAGATAATTTCTAGATGTCTAGCTCTAGTTTAGCGTTAAGTGATTCATAACTGGTTGGACTTCACTGTGGTGCACACGCATATGCGTCTGCAAAACTTCATCTTCTTCATTCAGCTGAACAAATCTTAACTGTTTTCATGGTTCCCCTACTTTTTTCTTTTCATAGGGTGACACCAATCGCCATCTGTTGTTCATAGCAATGTGTATTGCTATAAGTTCCTCCGTTTGAGAGTTTCTTTGAGGTTTTCTTCTCTCATCATTTTTCTTCTTTAGAAGACCGGAATTGCTTTATCATGTAGGTACAAAGTGACATTCAGTCTTGTTATCATGGGTTTAAGCAAAATCCTGTATGTTAACAAAAAAGAATTATCCTCAAATTTTATTTAGTTTCAGCATTCAGAAGTTTACCTTAGGGAGTCAGCTAAGTTTTAAGGCATTTTTTTTATAGATGCTCCTACAAATAGAAATTATTGTCAATGATAACTTCTACATTCTGAACGTTGCTTCTCAAGGTTTCATCTAAAAAAATTGACTAAACATCGAAAAAAATTGAAGGATTTTATCTGTACTTTGTTATTAATAATGAATTTGAATAGGTGTCTTGTCATCTTCGTTTTTTGAATTATATGACACAAAATTTTCCTCACTGAATTGTTCGTTCAAAATTATATTCATGTTCTTTGTTTTCAATTCTGCGGATTATGTATAGTCTATATCCTTGAACTTCACCAAACAGAGATTATTGAGATGTTAACATTGACACTTCTATTATCTAAGGATACATCTTTTAATATTCTAATTTCGTACTACCCTGAGTGGTGAATTGTTCATTTTTCCGTTGTATGGGTACTAGTGGTGTTAGTGTGTAAATGGTTAGCAGAAATACAATGCGTTTGGGAGACAGGAAAATTATGGGCATCAAGAATCAATCTTGAGATATGGAACAGCTGTCAAAAATGCATGCTATAATATTCTACTGCTCTTGAGTAATTTTTTTTAGTCAAACCTGCCGCACCCATGACTTTTCAAATTCTGTTCTTATTAATGGGAAAAAGCAGAAGAATTCCTTGCCGTCCCAAAATCTTGCTTTTTCTACCCCATTTATAGAACCAATTAAATGCCTCTCTGCCTTCCAGTTCAATAGAGCATATTTTTTGTGGACAGGTGTGAAGGCACTGGAATAATTTTTCTTTTGCCATCTTTAGTGGGGAAATTTATCCTAGACCATGATTTTTTTTTTAGGCTGTTGTAGAAAGAACCTAGGCCTATGTAGAGAAAGGGCCTTCCCTTTCTTCTGTAATCTTAGTTTTAGTAACTGATTTCAATTTCAATACTGATTATCATAAAATGTCTGTTTTAAACGAGCTTGCCCTATGTTTTGTTTCTTCATAATAGTCGGAAACAACACTTACCTTGTCTATTATATGGAATGTTGAGGATTATGTAACTCTGTGAACTGCCTCTTGTCAATCGATCATTTAAAGCATTTTGAGGTTCACTGTAAGAATGGTGAAACGTAGTTATAATTTAAAAATGAGCAAATATCCACGGTGAGAAATAATACGGTTTCTAACTTTTCTTTCATTTTGATTTTATTTTTTTGAATGTGAGAGCAAGTGACCGATGTTTGATTCATTGCTATACCCAGGGATAGGCATATATTGAATTAATTACTGCTATTTTGGAGCCTGCATGTATTTGGTCATAGGGGGCTGTTAGACCTTATGGGCACACGTTTTTCGGTATGATTTTATGATTCCTTACATCTAACGGTGGTTTCTACTAGGGTATCACGTTCCTCTTCCTTTGGAGTAAGATAAATTACGCATTTAGCTTTAATTTTCAACCACAAAGGACAAACAGGGAAGGCCATAGTCAATTTTAAAGTAGTCTTACTTTTATCTGAGTTTTTGTAATCAGTCTTTATCTTGAGAGGTAAAGTGCTCTGAGTACTTAAATTATAAAAGATAAGGCTGGCTTATTTTGTATTACGCTGGAGCTGCAAAACCTGATTCGCATACTGGTTTGGTTGTGACATAAGACCTGGCTTGGCTTGGTTTTGCTTTGTGCGATCTAACATGTATGGAGGGGATTAAAATGTCAACCGGATGGCTCATGTTTCAAAAATTTTGATTAACGTGTGGAACTAACATGAGCCAGTTGCATTCCCGTCTGAGGCAAATACCTTCTCCCCGCCATGAGGAGAACCGCGGCTGGGGAGGAGAAGGAAAGAAAAACAAGAGGAAAAAAATGAAGATACTAAGAAAGTAGAAAATGTATACATGTGTCGGCCCTCACTGAGTGATGGCTGTTGCAACAGCAGCATAGTGGTCCCAGCCTCCAATCCGCCATTTTTTTTGTTAATTTTCCTCTTAGTCTCTCCGTAGCATTTTTCTCCATCTAAACAGCCTGCATCAATACCTTAACAATAGTTGTTGAAGTTTCTCTCACGTTTGTTCTGTGACATTTTTGGTCCCACTCGGACCGGAAATTTTGTCCTTCCAAAATATTAAACAATCAACTGGTCCTTGAAGGGCTTACGTTTTAACATCTTAGTTGAAGATTCTGGTAATAGATTTTGGTTGCTAAACCTTCAGGGTTGGATTAAGTCATAAGCGTATTCTGCACTGTTATCCTTGTAGTGAGAACTTATTCTGTACTGCTGTTAGATTCTTTTCACATGCGATCCTTGTAAGCTTTTATTTTTATTTTCATTGGTAAGCTTGGCTTCTGATCTTCGGTTTTTGTTATGTTGATAAGCAGATGGTGCTGGCGGAAAGGGGACATGGGGTAAACTACTCGACACTGATACTGATACACACATCGACAAGAATGATCCAAATTACGACAGTGGTGAGGTATGCGTCTGACTTAAGTCACATGAAGTTCTGATCTCGTGGTTATCTACGTATTTTGCACACCATAGATTTCTTATTCTAGTTCTAAAAACCCTTTTTCTATGCGTTATGAACTTAGGAGCCATACGAGCTTGTGGGTGCGACTGTTTCCAGCCCTGTAGATGATTACAAGAAGGCTGTTGTCTCAATAATTGAGGAATACTTTAGCACCGGTGACGTGGACCAGGCTGCTTCAGATCTTCGAGATCTTCATTCTGATGAATACCATCACTACTTTGTGAAGAAGCTTGTGTCCATGGCAATGGACAGACACGATAAAGAGAAAGAAATGTCGACAGTCCTTCTGTCTGCTCTGTATGCGGATGTGATCAATTCTGCTCATATCAACAAAGGGTTTCTTATGCTACTCGAGTCTGCAGATGATCTGACACTCGACATTGTGGACACTGTTGATGTCCTGGCTCTCTTCATTGCTCGTGCAGTCGTTGACGACATCTTGCCCCCTGCTTTCCTGAAAAGGGCCAGGGAGAAGCTCTCTGAGACGTCCAAAGGATTCCAGGTCATTCAGACGGCTGAGAAGAGCTACCTGTCTGCTCCCCACCACGCAGAACTTGTGGAGCGGAGATGGGGTGGCAGCACCCACATCACTGTCGAAGAGGTTAAGAAAAAGATTGTGGACTTATTGAGAGAATACACTGAGAATGGCGACACAACAGAGGCCTGCCGGTGCATACGGGAGTTGGGGGTCTCCTTCTTCCACCATGAGGTAGTGAAAAGGGCCATCATCCTGGCCATGGAGGTTCCAGCATCAGAGTTGCTCATACTGAGACTTCTAAAGGAAGCTGCTGAAGAGGGCCTGATCAGCTCCAGTCAGATGGCAAAGGGCTTCCTTCGGCTTGCTGAGGCCCTTGATGATCTTTCCTTGGATATTCCCTCAGCAAAACCCACATTCCAGTCATTAGTTCCCCGGGCCATATCTGAAGGATGGCTTGAGCCGTCATTTCTGAAGTCCACTGCAGCAGATACCCTGGATGTGGATGTGGATGTGGATGTGGATGTGGATGACAAGAAGCTGAGGCGATACAAGGAAGAAGCTGTGGCCATCATCCACGAGTATTTTCTCTCCGACGACATTCCCGAGCTGATTCGCAGCCTCGGGGACCTTGCTGCTCCGGAATATAACCCCATTTTTCTGAAGAAGCTGATAACCCTGGCCATGGACAGGAAGAACAGAGAAAAGGAGATGACATCCGTCCTGCTCTCAGCTCTACACACAGAGTTGTTCTCAACTGAAGACATCGTCAATGGATTCATCATGCTTCTCAAGGATGCCGAGGACACTGCACTGGATATACTCGATGCCTCGAACGAGCTTGCCTTCTTCCTTGCGAGGGCGGTGATAGATGACACATTGGTGCCCCTCAATCTGGTGGAAATTGGCGGCAGGCTTCCTCCGGGCGGCAGTGGGAGCGAAACCATCCACATGGCCCGGACACTCATCTCTGCCCGTCATGCCGGTGAGAGGCTCCTCAGATGCTGGGGTGGTGGCTCAGGCTGGGCAGTGGAAGATGCAAAGGACAAGATAACAAAGCTTCTAGAAGAGTATGAGAGCGGAGGGCACATTGGTGAGGCCTGCCAGTGCATCCGTGACCTTGCGATGCCCTTCTTCAGTCATGAAGTGGTGAAGAAAGCGTTGATCATGGACATGGAGAAGAAGAACAGCAAGAACAGCAGGATTCTGTCTCTGCTCCAGGAATGCTTCAGCGAGGGCCTAATCACCACCAACCAGATGACCAAGGGGTTTTCAAGGGTCCGTGACGCCCTCGAGGACCTGGCCCTGGACATCCCTGATGCTGGGGAGAAGTTCCTGTCTTACACAGAACTGGCCAGGGCGCGTGGCTGGCTGTTGCCAGCTTTTCCATATCCCTCGTTGGCTACACCAATTGCCGCCAGTTGAGGCCCACATGCACTGCCTGTCGGCCGCCTCGTATGCAGTTCCTCACCCCCCACTGCAGGGCCATCTGGCCGTGATGCACTTGGGTTTTCCTGCAGCAAAACTTCCAAGAAGCATTCCTCCTGGACAATCCCCATGTTAAGGAAAAGATCCCCCTGTGGCTTAGTTTCCAAACACACCAGGGTGGAAGCTCTTGCTCAGAGGAGAATGTGCTCTCCTTTCCATATCTCGACCAGTTACCTCTAGACGATGGTGTTTCTTTCTGCTTTTGTCAATCTTGACATGCGTTGGGTTGCTTTGGCAGACTTTTGTATTTCTCAAGCTCTTTCAGTGAAACAGTTTAGAACAGCCTGTCACGTTCCAGTTCTGCTAACAGATGGTGATTCATTCACTCTGATACAAAGAACACCGCACCCTTTTGAATGGTTCCTGTTTGCGGGTAACCCTTTGATCCGAATGATTACATGATCATATGTTTCAATGGAAAACGGAATTCTTCCCTCCAAGTTCTTGGCCAGATTTGGATTTTTCTTCACTTTCACAGGTGAGCATGAGGCAACGATCTCAACCGCCATGATTCATGACAAACTACTTAGACCAGATAGGCCGAAATGGTTGGATTTTTATTATGCTCTATGGTTGTTTCCTACTAAATCTACTTAGACCAGATAGGCCGAAATGAATTCATGACAAACTTGTTGCATGGAAAATGTTCTTGAGACTTGTTGCATGTTAGGCCTGATTCCCTTGTTTTTTTCTGGTATCCAGTGTTAACAGTTTCATGATCACCAACAACTAGTTTAGGACTTTCATGTGATACATCCACAGGAAAGTAATTGTTATGACTGCCATTGATGAACTTCAATTCTTACAATGATGATGATAATTAAATCTGGATTCAAAAGAGATGACTTAGCTTAATATTGGGCAGTTTTATAGAAGTTAATTGGGATTAAAAATATTTATTGAATCAACAATTCTTAGGATTGTTGATGATGGTTTGGTTGAAATATTTTCATCATTAAAAAGGTGTCAAATTACACAACAAAGCATGCATATCATGAAACATGCAAGTGCCAAAAAAATGTTCATGTGATAAAGTCATTGTTCCTATAGATTTCATTGATTTACCAAATAAATTCCTAGAATGAAGACTGTGTACAAGCTATATAAGCGGAGACAAAAGTATTCTAAAAAGGTTAGACTTGATAGGTGATATATGGGCCTAAACATAATAAAAATGTGGGATGTAGATGAGTTTAGATTCTAAAACATATAGTTAAAGGATCTTTTAAAAGATATAAAGTAAGACTTGCTTCAAAAGGCTACTTTCAATGATGATTAGTGGCCAATATTATTATTGTGAGGGTTTTATTTACCTTTAGCAACATTATTTATTAAGTATGCTAAGCAAGATAATGATGTAGCGAAACCTATGAGGCGGATGACTTGGGTGAGTTGCAAATAATTTTGACATTGTGGAGATTTAAATCACAATCTTGAATCCTCAAAGATGTGTTCCTATCGTTGTTATCTCGTCATGAATCCATAAATTAGAGAGTACATGTCCTTTGAATCCACAAGGGGGTGATTTTGTGCCAACATAATTAAAGAGATTGATTCCCAAAGTTCACATGGGAGTTGGAGTCTACTAAGGAAGAAACTCATGAAATTTATTGATTGAAAACTGAAATATTAAGCCATATGAGGTGCCTTTAAATAAGTTGAAAACTTTTTATTTGGTGTCTAAATTTAAATTTTAAATTAAATTTAAAAATAGAAACATAAAGAGAATAAAAAGAAGAATATGAATTTAATGAAAATAAGAATATAAGGGGAAATGAAAAAATAAGAGTTTAAAAGTAGAAAAGAATTAAAAATAGAAGGAGAGATAAAAATAAAAATAACTAAAAGTAGAAACATATACAAATAGAAATATGAAAAGGAAATCAAAATATAGACACATTCTAAAATGTGTCTTGTTATAGGTTCAAGTCCATTTGATATAGACTTTATTTGAGTATTTTTTCAACACTTTAACTTTATAACCCCTCCTAGTGGGAGAGTTGCCACTAAAGGTACGTGTGCTGCCCAGCACGTGTTATGAACCCCTACGTCATCATGTCAAGATGCCTTGAGCTTCGAAGAACGTGTTGAGGGGCACCTATCTCCAAAGAATGTGCCTAAGAGGCACCAAAGTGCTTGGGCATGTGAAGTACCAGGATGAGTGACCTTTCGAGAAGTTTGGCCCAAGACAATTATCTCAAAAAAAAAAAAAACACTTTAACTTTATGACCTAAAATTTGAAGAAATTGGGTCCATATTTAAAGTTGGGGCTCTAACTTCTATGTCTTGGGCTACATTAGATAATGTATTAATGCTACATGTTTATGTTGCTGATATACTTGCTACTAAAAAAGATAATTGAATAAAAATATTTAAGAGATTACTTAGTTCATGGATTTGAAATTAAATGATTGATAAAGTTAATTTTCTTAGGATCAAAGTTCTCTTTCAATTAAGGAATCTTTATTTCTCAAAGATGGTATACTCTCTTTGGTGGAGGTTTAAGTTAAACACTAGTTGTATCATGTAGAGGTGGCTCATTTATATTCATATGTGAGATTTACTATAGGAATCTAAAAAAGTGAGAGAAAATCAACAAGCACTCCTATTAAACTATAGGATGGGAAAACAAGAAACTAGTAATAATATAGATAAAGGAAGCTATCAAAGGTTAGTTATGAAATTGAATTACCTAACACACAATAGGACAAATATAACATATATGCTATTAGTATATTAATTCAATTGATACATGAACTAGTAAGTAACATTTGTGAGCAATGTATAGAGTACTTTAATATCTCAAGGGTTTTGAAATTTTGGTTTTCCTAATAAGAAAGTTTAAATTTTAAGTGAATTGAATGAAATGGTCTCTACATGCTTGATCAATTGTGGATTAAATGTTTTAGTCACTATACTTTAGGATTTAATTCAAAATATAGATTAGAAGATTTAATTTTTAAGATTTCATAATGACTAGTTGGAATATTTTAATAATGTTTTCTTAATTTTGGATTAAATATTTTAATAATTAAAACACTTTTTTGAATTTGATTAGAATGTTTAATTTGTCAACTTTAGATGATTTAATTCATTGTATAGAACATTAATATCAAATTTTGAATAGTATTGGATTGAATGTTTGAATCATTATAGTAATGTTCTAGATTTGAATATAATGTTGTTCAAACTTTAGAAATTTTAATTCATTTATTATGGTATTCCAAAGAGTCAACAAGTGGACACAATTCTGATCAGCTCATTACAAGTTATTCTAAAATTACCATCATGAATTATTGAGATTTGTAATGACTAACTTGATCACCACAATCATAGTAAACCAAATATATAAAAGGAATAAGAAACTAATGCTTGTGATGACGACCATTTGACTAAGGCGTCAACACAAGAGCTGGGTCAATTGATATATTGTCTTAGAAAAAAACTTCCAAGCACTAAGGCATCATCACAAGAGCTAGATCAATTGGTATACTGTCTTAGACAAAAACTTCCAAGCACAAGGATTCTACATGGCTATTGCTAGAAGACCAAGTACTAAGGGAAGAGGGAGAACCCTTCATGAGGGACACAAGATATATATATATAGAGAATATAAAAATATAGTAACCAAGTCCTCCTCAAGTCTTGGGGTTGTCAATTCAAGATGGTGAGTCTCCACTTCACACAGAGTTCTTCACGAGGTTGTCCCAACCTCCTCTTTCCATGGCCACTCGACTCCTCTTTATAGTCGAAGTCTTCTATAGTCGACGACTACCTCACGTTTCACTCCAATTGGGTCCGATGGGACCTAAGACTTATTGTGCTCCATCGATGTTAGATCTGACACTATTTCCCACTGAATTCCATCTACTGCACACATCTCCTATCTTGCAGGCTCTCATGTGCAGTTGTCCCCTTCGATATCCAGATCTTGTCTACCTTGCTTCTTTCTTGGGCTGGGCTAGCTTTTTTGAGACCTTTTTCCCTACGAGCCCATTTGGGTTGTTAGGGTCTCAACAATTAGACCATTCAATTGAGAATAGCCTCATGGTTTGGAGAATAAGTAAAACTCTAACACTTATCATTTAAATAATTTATGTCATCTGCATAACAATGAATATCTTAATTAGAAGATATTTCAAAGGTAAATATGATACAACAAATAGGTCAAAATATTTAAATAATTTTATTTCATATAGATTTTACAATATTAACAACCTTATGTTTAATTTAATTTCAAGCACAATTATTGTGAGTCTAGAAAGAGAAGAATTACATCAAAGCATCCCTCATATCAAATAATCATTTCATAACATCGTATATATTGGTTGTTTATCTTTTTAAAGTAGATACTGCACCAATTAGTGGTGTTGTGGGCTTAAACTTTGAAGGACATAAACACTCAAGTTTGATTGTACCTTGAGTTATTTGATAGGTCTAAGCTAGTAAAATTGGTAAATATATGATAATATTGTAAGCTATTTGTTGTGTTGAAGTTAGTAAATTGAGTGGAGTGATAGTACATTGATAAGCTATTAGGTGGGCTAGATACAATAAAGTTGGTTAGGTGTTGATTGCCTCAAAGTAATTTAGTTGCTAGTTTTATAAGCATTAGAGTAACTAATAGTTCAAAGTACTATCCAATTCCTACAGCCATGAGTATTTAGATTCAAACATCATGAAAAATTGTGAGTTATAATGTAGAATGTACTAAGTGGGTTAACACACATGTTGACACAATTTAGGGTGATTAGATATCTAAAGCTAACAAAAGACCATTTGTACCTTTCCTATATTCAATCCACCTAGGATTTCTACCCTTAATTTTCACTATTATCTCCAAAGAACTAAAATTTATGAAATCACTCAATTTAGTTACATGATAAATTTCATAAATACATCTTGTTTTTTACTTAATACAAATCTTAGGTTTTGGC